CAAGAAAATTTAAATGCGATATTCAACATTTTTTTATAAATTGCATTTTACGTCCCACTTAAACACCAATTCTTTCAAATGAGCGCATTTTATTTTTTCATTTTAGATTTTCTTTCACGTTTACCTGTTAAAAAAAGGTTGTGGAACTATGCCGAAATCAAAAAGCTCGCTTGAACTTTGATCATTTGTCTTTACTATTGTTTTCTATTATGTAAACGTAGTAACTTTCATCAAAATTGTATGTACATTTTTAGTTTTTTGATACATTTTTTCTCATATACAGTATACACTCCTATTTCCATACAAGTCAACCATAGTATTTTTATTTATAAATAAAGTCACAAAAAAGGTCCCTTTTGTAACCCAAACCAAAGGGCGAAATTTTAAAAGAGGTGCCAAAAATTACCTAATACCTATATGGATTTTTGAAATTTGGTCAACTTAGTCGAGAGAAAACATGAATTTTTTGTGCATTGTGACATTAATTAAAATAGCATTATTTTTAATTGTCATTAGTCGATAAACTGGACTGGATCATTGTTATTTAAATTACTACTCACATTTCGTATCTTTTATTTCTTTTAGATAGTTTTGTATGTACATACTGTACGAAAATGAAATTTATGGCATTTTAATTGTGATTAAAGTTTCATAATCGCCAGAAAACAGAAAAAGCCAGAAAAAATGTTTAAACTAATATTATATTTAATCAGTAATTTAAAGCAAAATGTAAAAACCCTGGCGGGGAATACCTTATGCATTTTTACAGCACTCGACAATTTTCTACAATTAACACGTTGATGCACATGCATGCACACGATTTCGATATAAAAAGGGCCCTTCGTGGGTAACAAAATCCCGAGCGCGTTAAAATCACACCGAATTAACAGGAAATTCATTTAGGTGTGAATGAATTTTTAATGAGGCATCCCTCTCCATTAACTCATTTTAGTTTTAAAACCTATTTATTAAAAATCTGCCTTTTTGTTTATTGTATAGCACCTTAAAATCTCAACACATATTAATTATCATAAAATGTTGGAGTATATCGTCTCTCAGGTGAATTTTGTATTTTTTTTGACACAGTGTATTTACGTTTTAAATAAAAATTGTTATAAATATTCGCCAATATCTTTCACCTATAAAAGGTAAGACTTGATTTTACCTACTCTTTTTGAGATCAGGATTTAAAAAATGTGTAACCATATTTAAGCAAGAAATTAAATATACAGAACATACCTTTGTTAGGTAAAAGGTGTTGGAAAATAAGAATATTGTGACTAATATATACATCCATTACTACAAAAGTTTAATAAAAAACTGAAAGCAAATTAAACTTGTGGCACTACATATTCAAAATCACGTACGGAATTTGGAGTTTCGTTTTTTCCAAGTTTTTTAGCCACACTGTCTAAAATCAAATCCCGTATCATTTCTAGGTTGTTATTGAATTGGCTCACCAAAATCGGTGAAATGAAGTAACCTGAGAAAGTCAGCTAATATTTCAACTCGCGCAAACAATTTATCGATATTTTACGTCAGAAACCTATACTTCTCCTTTCGAAGTATTATGGTTTGATAAATTTAAGTGAAAAAAAATTTGCTGATTTTATTGCCTAAGTGTTTTTTTTTCTTGTTGAAATAGATTAATTCCTAAGAGCAAATATCGCCTCTTGGTCAACCATTTTGCAAAAGGTAAAACAGCCGAAATTAATTTTATCCTCGATTTTAACAATGTTTAAAGATTTTATTTATTCTTTTTCGTGTACAGCAAGATTTTTGTAAGCTCGAATACTTTAGATCAGTGACTTCGCTTTTTAAAATATAGGCAAGTTTTGATCAGGCAAAATTGTAAATTAAAGTAACTAAAACTATGTTTGTTCAATTTTAATTACATAACCCCTGTCTTCAGCTTTTTAATTCGCGTGAGATATGGGATTAGGCTATAAGCACAATTCTATTCTTGTTATTCTGATTTCTCATATAATTCTGGAAGTTGAAAAAGCTTTAAGGAAACAACCGAAAAACTTTTTTTAACTACGTCTTAATCACATAACCTTTTCGAAGTAATAAATTAGAAAATATCCAAAGATGCTCAGTGCTGTTAGTATGTCCTTTTCCTACTATTGATTAAAGATGAAGTAATTTCACAAAATCCTACGGCGCATTTCATGCAGCAACTTTGAAATTTTCATCTTAAATATTTTTTTTATTAAAATCAATACTTTCTTAACACTCAATACGAGCAACCGTCGAATGAACATTTCAAATATCAACGAATACCTTATAAAACTTATTAATACTATTTTCATAAATCTGATTTAGCATGGAATCGTTGACCCTTTGTAAATTTAGAAATTCAAACAGGTGAAAAGTAACCGGAAGAAAATTACCTCGGACTGGAAAATATTCTATAGAATTCTCCGAGATGTCAAGGAATATGTAGCTTTCCTCTATGACTCCATGGATACGGAACAAGTTCTCAGTCCCACATTTCCTTTAATTATTTATTCTTACGCATAGCTGACGGCGATTCACATGTTCAAATAAAATTTCTTTCTATGCACCTTTTTCAACGACATTCTTATGTAGGTGCAATTTAGGGTGCTTCATTTTTAGGCGATATTTTTTTTTCTCTGTGCTACCTGAAAATCTGATACTTTATAGAAAATAAAAAATTATGATGCCGGGTAAAAGGCTTTAAGTGCAATAGCACCTTAGCTCATTTCAAAATTAATTTTCCCATTTAAATAACACAGAAAAAAATCTTTTTCCGGTTTTTACTTGATTTTTCGACGTGAAGAAATTTTTTTTGGGAAAAACGCGTATATAGCTTTTGTAGAGCATAAAATTTGCTACAAAAAGTTCCTATGCCTACATTCTCCTCGACCAACAGCTTTTAAGTTATACAGCTGTGAAAATAAATGTTCATTATAATTGATATCAAATCTTGTCTAAATTAGAATTTATTATTTTTAAATTAAATAGCAATTAATTATAAACAAACTAACTCTTTATTTGAGTTACTATATGATTCAAGTTTCTAATTAAAATTAAAACTCAATTATTAAAAAAATATTAATTATAATTATATAATAATTAATTATAGTCATTAAAAACTATTCATGTTTGTAATCCGCGTAAGTGACCGCTCAAAAATTTAGTGAACGAATATAAATTTTAATTAGTAAATAATGATATGTAGAAATGTAATTTTTTATATTATTTTGGAGTTTCTGTTGAGTCAACTCGCCTAAAAATGAAACACCCTAAGGTGCATATGTATATATTTTTTTGAAATATAAAGTGGAGAACATCTTGTGACACCGGTCCAGCGTGGCTGCAATTTATTCCAGCTTTATTTGCCATGTATTTTTTGTTATGTTAGTATAGCGAAATTGCAGGACCTATGTCCTCTGTAGAACATTTAGTAAACCCAATAAAATCAAGGATTTGCAGTTAAGGGGGGTTTGAAATTAATAAATATAACATCATTTATAAAGGCAAATGTTCAAAAATAAACTAAAAGAAAATTATGAGTTTGTAGTGTAAAAATGGCGGTGCTCGGTAATTGCTCAAAAAAATTATTGAAATGAACTAAATTTTGGCTAATATATTCAGTATATTCCAATTTATTAGAAAAATATAGAGTGAGAACAGTCATTTATTCTTGAGCAAAAATATTGTTTATTTCACTTAGATCTAGTAATCTAGATCATGTAAACAAACTAACTTATAATAATTCGGCGTATGGTTTAATCTTAGATTAGTTTTTTGCGCACCGACTACCCAGCATAAACTCCCTTGTTTTTAAAAATTTTCTAATTTGCTGTAAAAATATTAGTTAGCCGCTATATTAAAATAAATGCATAAGAACATTTTCCCCTGGGTTCATTTTTAAAATTATTTGGAATATAAAACCATAACTTCATGAAATTTATTTCTTATACATAAAATCAAAGAAACATTTCTTCAAAATGGGAAAAACTTCAATGTCGTAACCGCGGCTAATTTGGTTTCAATGTACTGAATGTTTGCATCACCATTACAGGATATATCGGTAATGTCCAGTATTAAAACTGCTGTCTCGATATAAGTGGAGCCCAGTAGTTTGTGCGCTCTCTTGTTATATATAGTAATTTCTACGATAGTAATCTCAAACGTAGAATATTCATTCTATAACATTCTTTCAATCAATCACAAGCCAAATTTCTAACACATTTTGTCAACATTGCAAATAGTGCAGTTTACTTATTGTCATAGTGACATTGAACACTGGAAATGGGTAAAGAAATTTTGTGGACTATTTTTCGCTAGGTTAATAACAGCAAAAGCAAAATCATATTTGGGCTCATAGTATTTTCTATCGCACTTGTGTTTAGCAAGTATATTTTAAACTGTATAATCCTTTTTATTGCAGAGGATACAAATTTCAATTACAATTTCATTTCAACGACGAACTGGTGTTTAATGAATAGTTGGCTAAGCTTTTCGAACGTTGTATAAGTTGGGATAACATCTTATTCAAAAGCTATTAATTACCAAAACGGTATACAGTTGCGGTAGCTATTAGCTGCCGTTTGTAAAAACGGGTGATTATTAATATTTGACAAATATTGAAAAATAAATACCCCAAATCTACGCGACAAAAAAATGGAAATGAATAGTTAATCTTCCAAAATCACACAAAATATTGTAAAATTGCAATTGTTTTCAATTGTCACCCTAAGAAATGCTAAATTTTACAAACGAGATTAACACCTGTTTTTCACAAATGATAGCTAATTTTTCCAGAACCTGTCCATCATTTTTAGAATGAATAGGTCAGATAAGCTGAGAAAATAATTTTGTCTATAATATTTCTCTTTCTGGTTTGAGTGTCCGTCAGTTTATTTATTCTTCATCCTATAGCGGCCATGGATGGCATAATCGAAATTTTTTACAAATAGAAAAAAAATAAAAATCGGTCAAACGAGAAGAACAGTCCACGGTTCGCTTACCCTCGGATATTTCGTTTCGGCGGCAACTTTCAACAGTCGCGGGGGAATCCTCATGTTCCGCAATAAATCCTCTCGGAAAAGCACGTGAAATCGGCACTGGAACGCTTAAAATTAACCACACTCTTATATTTCATAACAAATACTGCCGGCGGTCCTTTGGTGCCAGCGATAGAGGCCCTCTTTTCGGAAGCCCGCTCGATGAAAACGGAATGCGCCGAGCGTTTTTGCGCAACCCCATGTTTACCGCGCGGTAATCGTTGAACACGCGTCCGTCGCCGGTCGGCGATCTGGGGGAGGTTTATTTAGGGAGACGCGGAATTGTGTGACCTGTGGGGGAAGGAATTGCTCGTTTCTTTCGCGAAACTTCTCGTTTTTGCAACAAACGCAGTATTAGCGGATTTTACATTGCAATGAAACCTCTAGCGAAAAACTATTTCGGCAGTAAAATTTGGATTTTCGGCGTTTTTTTAATAAGAGTTTCATGTTTACGTGGCATGGTTTATATTGATATTGTTTAAAGAAATAGTTCGTTTGGAGTCGTTCGCGATTTAGCACCTGTCTGGATTCATCAGGTTTCTTATCTTAATTTGTCAAAGAAACTAATATTCCAGAATCTGAACGCATAGCCCCAAAATCTCTAAAATCTCATCCCATCATAGCAATTCGAAAAGCAGCTGACTATCGAAAAAAAAAAATCAGGATATTCTTACACACGGCAACTTAAAAAAGATCCTATGTCATCTATGGAACGCAACCTTAACTCTGCTATTAAAGCTAAGAACTTTCTAATCCCTTACGACTCTAAAATCCCTCCTTCCTGTAGGCTCCCTAAGATTCACAAACCAGGATAACCTCTTCAACCTATTGTTATCACCATTGCTTCTCCAACATTGGTATTGGTATTGGTATTGGTATTAAAGGGGGGCGCCCTCGCGGGCGTCCAAGCACTTAGGCCACCAGATGGGCCCGTTGTGCCCCCAGGCCGCTCTAGAGGGCGTCCAGAATGCCGCCCCTCCTGTAGAAGGTCAGCAACTCCTTTAGCCCAATACCGTGCACTGAGTCCGGATCGATCAGGGCCGTTCCGAAGACTCCCAATCTTGCCCATGTCAAGGCAGGGCACTCGGTGAGCAGATGATACGGGGTCTCCTCCCCTTCCATGCACCACCTACACTCCGGGTCGTCTCCAATGCCTAGCAAGCACAGATGCCTCCTAAGCCTGCAATGTCCTGTGTAGGCCCCTGTTAGTGCTCTACACTCCCTCCTGGTCAGTCTAAGCAGCTCCCTGGTGCGAGGAAGGGCGGGCCCATCCATCATAAGCCTCGCCTGCCTCATTCCCGGAGCAACTCTCCAGCCCCCCGCGGCCCGGTCTCTCGCCCAGGCTTCGAGAGCTCCCCGCCTCACACACGGGGCGATCCCCAAGCGGGGCTCTGGCCCTATATGCCTATGCGAGGAGCCCTCCCTGGCTAAGGCGTCCGCTGCCTCATTGCCCCGGACACCGGTGTGACCCGGGACCCAGACCAACGTGACCTTTCTCTCCTCAGCCACCCTCCTCAGTACCCCTTTGCACTCCTTTATCAACAAGGAGCGCGTACGCACTGACCTCAGCGCCATGAGTGCAGCCCTACTATCCGAGCAGAAGAAGACTCTCCTGCTTCCGTAGTTGAGCCGAAGCACCTCTCTGGCCGCCATCAATAAAGCGAAAATTTCCGCCTGAAACACAGTGCAGTACTGACCCAGAGGGACCGACAAGCTTGATCCCGTTGTCTCGCAGTACGCTCCAGCTCCGGCCAGATCTCCCATTCTGGACCCGTCCGTGTACCAGACAAGTCCATCCCAGGAGCCGACTCTGCCCTCTCTCCAATCTTCCCTTGATGGAAAGAGAAAGGTCAATTTATCAAAGAAGGTCATCTCGGGGATCATGACGTCACTCGGCATGCCCATGACCCCGCGATCCCCGCGACAGCCCTCTAAAATGTCGTACGGACCCCGATTGAGGGTCCCCTCCCTCCAGAGCCCGCAGCTCGCCAGCCTCACAGCTGTCCTGGCCGCCTCCATCTGCACCCGATCCGCCAGAGAGGGCAGCCCCACCAGAGCCTCCAGGGCCCTCGTGGGCGCCGTTCTCATGGCGCCCGTTATGCAGAGGCAAGCCAATCTCAGCAGTCTGTCAAGAACTAGCCTTGCTCCCGCTCTTCTGGTCCCCGGCCACCATGCCACTGCCCCATGCGTGAGCATAGGCACCACCATGGTACCGTAGATCCACTGCATGATCTTCGGCCCCAGGCCCCAAGTGCCCCCTACCGCTCTCCGGCACGCCCACAGAGCTCCAAAGGCCGACCTGGTCCTTGATCTTATATGTTCCTGGAAGGTCAACTTAGAGTCCAACCATACACCCAAGTACTTGACACTTCCGCTTGCAGAAAGAGGCACCCCATCCATCGAAATGTTGAGGTTGCACTCCATCTTCCTTTTCCTAGTGAAGATGACCATCTCCACCTTGCTAGGATTGACAGCCAGCTTGCTGTCCAGGCACCATTGTGAGAATCTTGCCAATGCCCCGTTCAGGAGCCCCTGCATCCTTCTCACGTCCGTCCCCTGCGTCATTATCACAAGGTCGTCTGCATATGCCTGAGCGTAGACCCCGTGTTCTTCCCTCAGAATATGCAATATCTCGTTTACCACCAGGCACCACAGGAACGGGGACAAGACCCCGCCCTGTGGACAACCCCGTGATGAACCGATGGAGACCTGCTCCCCACCCAGTCTTGCCTCGACCCTCCTGTCGGTTAGCATGGAGCGGATCCACCTTACAATGGCCGTCCCCACTCCAGTACTCTCCACCGCCCTGCAGATCGAGTACAGGGCCGTGTTATTGAAAGCCCCCTCGATGTCAGCGAACACGCACACCGACAGCCGTCCCGAGCCCATACCCTCCTCCAACCTGGAAGTCAGATGGTGAAGAGCTGAGCCCACAGACCCGCCACTTCGGTACGCATGCTGAGCTGGCTCTAAAGGGGCCTCCAGCTCCACCCAGTCCCTCAGATACCGGTCCACCAGCCTCTCCAGAGTCTTCATAATGAAGCTGGTGAGGCAAACAGGCCGGTACGACTTCGGGTCTGTGTAGTCACTCTTCCCTACCTTGGGAATGAACACTACCCTGCTGTGTCTCCACAGCTCGGGCACGTACCCCCTCGCAATGGAGGCCCTGAACAGGTCCATCAGCGGGCTGGTCAGGAGACCTCCGTCCCTTTGCAACAGAGCCGGAAATACTCCATCCCCGCCCGCCGACTTGAAGGGGCCAAAGCTGTCAATAGCCCACCTCAGCCTACTATGGGTAACCACCCTCCTTGCCGTGGCGTAGTCGCCTCCAAGACGACCCCCGGCTTCAATATTCCCCCCTGTGTCCGGATCAGCGGACCCTGGGAAGTGCGTGTTCAGCAGCTGTTGTAGTGTGTCCGCTGGTCCCGCTGTGTAGCCACCGCCGGTCCTGCGGACCACCCCCAGTCTTCCCGCAGGGTCACTTCTGAGTACCCTAAGGAGCCTAGCCGCGTCCGGGGTATTCATTACTCCGTCGCAGTAGCCCCTCCAGGCCCTCCTCCGTGATGCCCGTAGTTCTTTTTTGTACTGTCTGCGGACCTCCCTATAGAGATCCCAGTCCGCACCTTGGCTGCTGCTCCTCGCTGTATTGAACAGCCTCCGCACTTTCCTCCTGAGACGCTCCAGGGAAGAGCTCCACCAAGGAGTCCTTCCCACCCTATGCTCCTCTGTCTCAGGGCAACTATTCTCGAACGCCCGCATCATAGCGGAGCTGACTCGGTCGGCGGCCTCGTCATAGCAATTCGAAAAGCAGCTGACTATCGAAAAAAAAATCAGGATATTCTTACACACGGCAACTTAAAAAAGATCCTATGTCATCTATGGAACGCAACCTTAACTCTGCTATTAAAGCTAAGAACTTTCTAATCCCTTACGACTCTAAAATCCCTCCTTCCTGTAGGCTCCCTAAGATTCACAAACCAGGATAACCTCTTCAACCTATTGTTATCACCATTGCTTCTCCAACATATGCTCTAGCATAATATGTAGCTTCAAGATTAAGACCCTTTACAGGCAAAACATGATTCATGGAAGATACCAAAGGAAAATCTGAGAATCCATAAAAATCTGTAAATAACCAAACAATCGCAACTACCTTTCACCAATATGGTTCTTTTCCTCCTTTAACCACGCCCCTCAAACAGTATATAAAACGATACAGAGTAGAAAGAAATCCAGTTTCATTTCAGCTCTAAGAAAGCTATAAGATGATTGGCACAGGAGAAATCCAGAAGATTTATAAATGGTGTTCAACACAAATTCCTCTGTATGACGGATGTCACTCGAGAAACGTTAAATAACAATTACCCGAATAAGACTTTTTGACGTAACAATTCTATTCTTCAAATCTACCTACCTATCACGCTTTAAAGAACGTCAGTAATATAGTTTTATTTTATGCAACAAGAGCGGTAAACCTTAATTGGGTCACGAGTTTATTTGGCACGAGCGAAGCGAGTGTTTAATAAATAAATAAATAAAAATAAAAATTTACCAAAAATGTTGCATCCTATACTTTTCCACGACCGTTATTTTTTGGGTAAAGTTTTGCAAAACAACACGAATATGTTCACTGACATGGCCGTCAGAATTGACAAATGTCAAAATTTAACCCCTGCAGTAATATCCTGAAAATGTCCAATGGAGCTCGGATCCGTCGTGGTATTTTACGTATTACGTATTTTAGAGAAGTGAGTAAAAGAATTCCTTTGACTTCTACAGTAGACCCAATTCAAATTACATGTCCTACAAAAAATTTCATCTTCGGCTACTGTTCTTGTGTTATTTTTGCACACACTGCAAAATTGTTCTCAGAGCTATGAATAATGCTCTATTTTCGTTTATGGAGGCAGGACGAGCCGGCTAAAGGTTCAAAGATGACAGGTAAACATTAGGTAATACTTCCAAACGACCACGTTTGCAGCGCTCTCCATCGCATAATAAATTCCCGAATACTCTCATCACAAGACAAGGAGGAAGTTGAAACAAAATTAATCTTAATATATTTTGTATGAATATTAATTTTATTTTAATCACTTTCCGCATACCGCACACCTCCGCACATGCCCCTATTTTCACATATGGTAATATTTAATTTTGTGTGTACTAGCATTACATTACATATTTAGTTTGTTTAAAATTTTATTGTTGGTGGTAGTTGTTGAAAATTGGTACCCCCTATAAATAAGGAAAGTGAATTTTCAAGAAACCTATTTTTGATCTTACAACTTTCATGTCAAAATCAAAGAATTCGTTTTTTATTAAACATTTCCTAGTCCCACGTCCAATAATTTCATTTTTAGCGTCGCAGCAATACAATACACAAGTTTTATTCTATATAACTGACTCTGCATCTTTAAAAGTACAACTTACCTAACTAACCTAATTAAAAAATTGAGCGTTCTGAAAAGACGAAAATTCAACAGCAGCAGCTGAGCGAAGAATTAGATACCATGATTAAAACTGGTAAATGATAAAAAAGGAGTGTGAACAGTTAAATTGTGTGTCGATTATAGTTCACTAAATAAAGCGATCAATTTCGGACGCATATCTGATTCTGTTCATGAGTAAACACTCTGCACATACCCCGATATTAAGTCAATGTTCTGGAAAATTCCTATTTCTAAAGAATACAGTGCCGCAAGAGGTTTTCTTCACTTTAAGCGTATACGAAGTGGTCCTGCCATTTAGCAACTCCATATTGACTAAATTAACCTTACGCGTTAGTATATCACTGTGCCAACATTCTTTCCTATCCTCGAAGCACTTCTGGTAAGCACTTTCCGATATAGCTATGAATTCTTCCAGCTATTTTTTCGTTATTTCCTCATCGTTCCAAACCTCCTTCCTTTTATGAATTTCTTGAGTTCTGAAAACATAAAAAAATTTCGGGGGGCCATATCCTGTGAATATGGTGGCTGAGGTACGACTGTGGTTTTGTTCTTGACCAAAAAGGTAGACACAAGCAATACCGGCCTTTTTCTTCCTATTACTTCTCGCGCTTAACATCAACTCTTTATTCAGCGTAGGACTTGGTGGTAAGAACTCTTCATGTACTGGGCCATAATAATCAAAGAAAACTGCAAGCAACACCTTGTTATTTGATCGAATTTGACGTACTTTTTTATTCTGGGTTCTTCCATTGGGACGACTGGGCTTTGGTTTCAACTTCATAATCATATTCCCAAGATTTGCTGCCAGTTATGACCTTTTTGAGCACATCTGGATCATCATTGACAGCTCTTCAGCCATGCTCCTTCGACGGTCCTTTTCAACCACTTCTTCAGTAGTGATTCAATGATTTTTCAACACCATTTGTTGTACTTCTTCAACACTTTCATCAGTTATTGACACGCTGGGGTGTCCAGAGGGAGGTTCGTTATCAGTATTATCCAATTTATCATGTTCCTCTATGTTTAAATTTCTCAAGAAGTATTTATGTTGCGAAAGCGAACACATATTTAGTCCGTTCTGATATTATACAAGGTGGTCAAAAATTTCTACGAGGATTTGTAAAAGTATACTTAAATAAATATGTCATTTTGTTAAACTTAAAAAAAAAAGTGATCTATGTATTGGTTTAAATTCAACCAAAAACACAATTCGACAGCCAAATTACTTATTTTGTAAGTTAAGCTAAAGCAAAAAAGTTTTTCTATGAAAATTCGAAAATTCATATTTGAAGCATGTTCATTATTTACGATCCGATGATACTGTGGTAAGATTCAAATATTAAATAAAACGCTTTCTTTAATGTTATTCTCATTTATTTTTTATTATTTATATTTAAAACTATTATATTTTGCGACACAACACAACAATTCTATTATAATGTGTTAGAATATGAAATATTTCAAAAACGTGTTACATAACTCCAAATAATGGTCCATTTTCTACTTGTTGCAGTTTTACTATAACAGATGGACATTTCCTGTGGACACCTTATTCGAAATAGCCACTATTGCTTGCTTCTTTATTACTGATGGAAATAGTAGTATATTTTTGCTGTGTTTTTTATAATTGTAATTTTGTAAAATTTAAAATTGTAATTTTTTTCCTAAAACCACAAATGGAATATTTATAACAATAAGTTTAATATCGCAGAAATATCCGAAGTGGCTCGGATCCGTGAGAAATGTGGTAAAGTGACGTTTCCCGCACGCTAGATCGGTATATAATTAGGTATTTTACAGAAGGGAATAGAAAAAGAAAATTACAGTGGATCTGAAACACATTATTTAATTGAAGTTTTAATTCTTTTTATCTGTGAAAGCCATTAGATTTTATACCAATCTATGTTAGACTTTAGACTGACAACTTTCGTAAAAATATCTCACAACATTTCTAAAACAAGTTAATTCTTCATCTAGCTCTGAAATCTGTAAATCAAAAACTTTTCTATGAACTTTTTTTCGGATTTCTCACTAAATTGTAGCTGTGGCGACAATTGAAGGAATTCATCAAACGCTCCGGTGTAATTAAGTAAGTCGGATCGCTCCGCGCAAAACAAACTAAGTTAGAAACGTATGGCGTCCAAACACAATTCACTATAAGAGCTAAAATTATACACCGTGTTTCTATTTTTGATTTATTCTGCTATCTGGTCGATTATGAATGCGACAGTGGTATTCGATGTGGAAGGGAGTCCCACCGCATGTTTCACTTTTATAGGACGCAGCGCCCTCACGAGGTGAGTATCGAATGTTCGAATTGTTTCTCCAAAGGCGGGCTCTGTAGTCAGGAGTTCAATCTGGAATTTGTTTGGTTGCTTGTGCAGGCGTAGAATCGCTGATCACAATCAAATACATATACAACGGTGACTAAAATTCATTGATTAAATAAGTGCAGACAGGCAGCCCACATAAATAAGATTTATGTGGGCAACATCTTGGATCCGTCATTTGAGATGCCAGGAGTTTACAGCATTCCATGCATATTTGGCAAAAAATATATTGGAAAAGGAAGACAAAAAATATCAACTAGACTCAAAGAACACGAAAGAGCCTTACGACTACGACAAATAAATTCATCAGCTGTTGCCGAGCATAAGCACGAAACCGGACATAAAATTTTATTCGATATTCTTGCATGTAATCGATTCTTGTACCAACGAAAAGTCGGAGACTATAGAAATCTATAAACAACCTAACAATCTTAACCGCGACTCAAGTCTCTACCTGTCACCAATATGGGAATGTCATCCGAGATGGTGATTATGTCCCTCATTTAGCTCCGCCCCCCTCAAACTTTATATAAGCAGGCACAGCAGAGTAAAATGCGAAACAGTTTCAGTCAAGCTATGAAGAAGGCAAGAGGATGATTGGCGAAACTTCAGCAAGTGTCAGCAAAAACCGAATCAGGAGTTTTGCATGTTGACAATTTTTCAGATCTTAATTTCAACATGCAAATCAAATGACAAAAGAAAGGGTAAAAGAGCCCGATATATCACCTCCACGGAATTATTAAGCATTGCATAACACTAACCTGCACTTTCTAGACAGCGATCTCAACACACTTATTTTGCAAGAATTTCCATAAAAATACTACATCTAAACTAAAATATTTCAAATTGGCGAACTGTCGGAGGCCATGTTGATTGTTGAACGCAGGAACCTCTTAGATAAAAAAGTGATACTTACCAAAACGACATCTGAGCATATCGAGACGTTACTATAAGTAACTAAAATCAATTTTTGGAATTGGTTTGTTTTCTGTGATTGGCAGTTGTGAAATAACATCATGTGCTGGCATTTAGGTTGTCAAAGATATTGTGAAAATTTGACTGTTTTATGCTCTTAAATTTACAAAATACATAAGTTTTGAAGAGACTGAAATTTGTCAAAAAATGTACGAGCTCGTAGTCTGATTTAACACTTCCTACGTATGAAATTTAAAAGTTAGTCCATAACAAACACCATTAATACCCCACATAGGCTCAAGACAAAAATGCCTTTTTTTGGAAAATCGCAAAAAGGACCCGCCGAAGTGGTGAAAACTTTAAAGGAGGCACTTCACGCACTAGAGAAAGGAGAGAAAAAAGCTGAGAAAGCACAAGAAGATGTTTCAAAAAACTTAGTGCTAATAAAAAATATGTTGTATGGCACCTCTGATTCAGAACCACAAACTGATATCATAGTCGCGCAGCTTGCTCAAGAGCTCTATAACAATAATTTGTTGCTACTGCTAATTCAAAACTTGGGTCGTATTGATTTTGAGGGAAAAAAAGATGTAGCTCAAGTTTTTAATAATATCCTGAGAAGACAAATAGGAACAAGATCTCCCACTGTGGAATACATATGTACTAAACCAGAAATTTTATTTACACTTATGCGCGGGTTTGTATTTATAATATTAATTTAAAGGTGTTGCGACTATTTTGCATGATATACCAATATAAATAGTTCCCATATATATAAATATATAATATATAAATATTTTCTGTTTTAGTTGGTATAATTCCAAATTGATAAAATATATAATCGCATATCCTAGGTTCTACATTTTTGGTTAATGTTATATTTGAATATCTTGTGTATCCAGTTTTTTTTTTGTCTCCAGCTTCTTCGATTAAAGTTTTTTTGTTATCGGCAGACTTGTTAATTACCAATGTTTTATTTTCAGTTATGAGCATCAAGAAATTGCCTTAAACTGTGGAACTATGTTGAGAGAATGTGCTCGGTATGAGGCCTTGGCAAAAATAATGCTGTATTCTGAAGATTTTTATAATTTTTTTGATTATGTGGAGGTGTCAACTTTTGATATTGCTTCAGACGCTTTTTCAACTTTTAAAGTAGGTATATTTTCATTGCCTATTAAATATAATGGCTGTAGACTAGTAGATCTGTTTTCCCACAAGTTCATACATATTGTTTACTATTTCAGGAATTGTTAACAAGGCACAAGATGTTATGTGCTGAATTTTTAGAAGTTAATTATGATAAAGTGTTTAATCATTACCAAAAGCTTTTAAATTCTGAAAACTATGTCACAAGACGCCAAAGTCTTAAGTTGCTGGGTGAACTATTACTCGATAGGCATAACTTTACTGTTATGACGAGGTATATATCAAATCCCAATAACTTGAAACTTATGATGAATATGCTAAAAGAGCGGTCTAGAAATATCCAGTTTGAGGCCTTCCATGTTTTTAAGGTAAGAATTCTACCCCCAAATTTTAAATATTGTTACATAACAGGCCCTAAAATCACATCCAAATATTTTTTTTGTAGGTATTTGTAGCAAATCCAAATAAACCAAAACCAATTCTAGATATTTTATTAAGAAATCAAGACAAATTGGTAGAATTTTTAATGAGATTTCACACAGATCGGGCAGAAGATGAACAATTTAATGATGAGAAAGCTTATCTGATTAGGCAAATCAAAGAGCTTAAACCACTACCAGTACATTAATTTAGTATTTCATCTAATTTTTTTTTATGAATATAATTTTTGATTGTAATATTTTGTTGACATATTTCCATTTTTTATTATAGTTATTATTATTACTACAGTACGACAAAAATACAATCGTTAATTACAAAATTATAATGCTTGCTGTATTAAAATAAAATATATTTACTATTTATCTCAGCTTAAAGAGTATTAATTAATAGCATCTATAATTCGAGACTAGTTAGAACTTAATTTATTAGATTTTTGTCGTATTATTCCGTATAATTTGCCAAGGCTACAAAACATCTTTTCTATTTTGTAAATATTAGCATCAAAATTATGGTAAAGTTGTATCAGAAATAAATAAGTTTTACTTTGTTGCTGATGTTCTACCTGGCTCCTCCCTTAACTTTTCAACAAAATAGAATAAAAAACAATTTATAAAACATAAAATAAAGAAAATGCGAGGCATATACAACTTTTTATTAAAGGAATATACATATATAGTTGCAAGAACTCCAACTACTAATTACAACTTTAATCTTTTAATTTCCTCCTGTCGCAGATCGCTCCTGCAAAAAAAAATTGGGCATGAGAGCAAATTGTTTTGTCCTTGCAATGAAACTTTCGTACCGTTAAGGAAAAACAAGATTAAAAATTGTATGAATTTTGTATTTAATTTCAAGCGGGTAATAAAAAGTAAAAGTAGTAGTGACGCCACTACAACGAACAAAAAACATTCATTATTAACTTACCTCAGTTTCATAATATTTTTAATTTCGGTGGGAGTCAGCCTCCAAGTCAGAGCGCCATCGTGGTCGCCCCAATAATCGTAAATCTCGCTAACTTGTTCCAGATTTAATACTGTCGCAATTTGACTTAATCTTGCAAATTTATCGCGAACCGAAAAGTTGGTGGCGGCCGTGATATATCCCGACAATGATCGAATTTCCTTATCCAATACCAACCCGCCGAGCTAAAATTAAGGTACCCAAAAAAAAACGCCTGCAGAAAGAAATAAATTTTAAAGATTACCCTATTAAATGTACTTTTCATTACAGCTTTCTCCATCCTTTGCGTCACTTCTGTTGTAAGAACTTCAGTGAAATTTTCATGGTTAGAAGGTGTCAAAATATCACGAAACGAAGATAACAGTGTCTCCAAGTTCATTATTAACGTTTGAGCAAACGACTCTCCAGCTTCATACTCTGACAATTCATCCTTTCAACATAGAACATGACTATTAGAAAATCCGGCACGTTTTTTAATGGCCGTTATTTTACTGAATTAGTATTGAATACTTTATAATCTTTTTTGGTAAATGATAGGGTAGTATAAGAAACTGACATATTACATTTTGTCTAAATTGGTAGTATTTGGTTAGCTGACGAAGAACGTGGTTAAAATCTTGTAGGAACTTTCAAATACAGTATAAGAAGACATAAGAAGGTCTAAAATCCAAAACAAAACTTGTAATTTTCTTTTACTAACGGAGGAATTGTAAACAGATATTAAAAAAATAAATTATCAATAATATATATTGTGTCTGGAAATTTAATAAATAAATTTGTATCAGTGACCTCATTCCCCGACCTTTCTTTCTTATGAAGCAGGGTTTCCATTTTCAAGGGAATTCGCTAAAATGTTAAATGTAAAATGTTTTTTATAAGATGCATAGGCGTGCACAATTTTCTGCTTGAAAGGCATATGAAATATTATTAATACTCACTTCTGTCAGATCATGGCTATAATTTAGGAAACTGTCTACCCAAGGGGTGATTCGCGGTTTGATGGCAGTAGAACCAAGTTGCTGCATACCATAATTGATGATACTTTTGAGATTTACTACGACTGATGACAATCCCGAGAGGCAGCTTTCTAGTTTACCTCTCTGGTTGGGGTTCATGCGGGGCCACGCGGATTCTATTTCTTTTAGAATGCTGTCGCACAGCGCTTCCACATATTCAGTACTTGTATCTGCATTGTTTAAAGCCATCTAATAAAATTACAAAACCTATTGCAAGCATGTTGTTAAAGTGAAACCAAGATAAATCGCGGATTTCAATATAAATTACTTTTCGTAATTGTATACCTAATACAAAAATGTGAAGTCCACTATTTAATATTGCGATATGATTAGAGAAAAATCACTCTTATCACACAATTTTAACCAAGGGCAAAATACTCATTCAACAAGAAACATACTTGGCAAATGGAACCTATATTAAAATTGCAAAGATCGCCTTGTCAACGCGCGTCTGTGACTTCACCACAGGTGTCGTATAACTTCAGAATTGTGTTATAGGCTTTCCGAAAATATGTAATTGTCTAATAACGGTTGTATCAGCTGAAATGAAATAAAAGTTAAGGAAAGTAAGAAGCCTATCGATCAGTCCATCCATACCGTTTTCAATAATAGCTGAGATATCGGTAGGTTCAAAAAATTGTAATTGTAATATGAAATATTATTTTAAAACCGAAAATTATGGCATTACTTAAAAAATAAATATATAGATATTTTTTCAGAAAACCCAAAAAATTAAATGAAGGAAATATATATGTGTTTCAGTAAAAAACACATGTTTGCTTTGTACCTTAAAGAATTAAATTTAAAAATAAAAAACTGGAATGGAAGCAAAAATATCAATCAAGGGTAGATATTTTAGAAAGAAATGCAAAATTCAAAATCCATTAAATAAATGACGTCAGAATTTACTATTTCTTTTTATTGCTAAGGTAACAAGAACCAGTTTGGCATGGCTGTTTTTCATTTTACTCAGCAATCTTTCCTAAAGATCTAATTTACCAAATTCCTTTAAATTAAACCAAAGTTACAGACACCAAGCTAGATATGTAAGTCTTCTCTATTTGATGTTCTTCATGATAAATATTAACGTGGGACATTTTTTTTATACAACCCTAGCAAGAAAATATTTTCAGCAATTACTCTTAATCGACTTCCATAATGAGATTTTTTACAACTCCTACTCCAAATATTCCTTGATTTTCACTTACTATAAAAGCCGTGCGCGCCTGTTCTGTATCTCCCGATTGCAACCGTCCCTGTTGAATTGAAGTTTGAAGTACATTATAGGCCTGCGTTAGATCTAAATATCCAGATGGGTATCCTTGCTTCAATCTCATCTTTAAATTATCACAAAAATTGTTCTCCAATACGCGACAGGCGTTATTAATTATTACACATATTCCGTCTAAACTACCTGTTGATATGGACCGTCTGAAAAATTACATGTTATGTGTAATTACATAATGAACACAATCACAAAACTATTTCCATTTTTAAATTTAAATTTTTTACAAATAAAACTAGTGCATTCCAAACCTAGCTTATAACTAGTAAGATTTTGCGAGGTTTAAATTTCAAAAATTAAATAAAATAAAAAACAAACCCTGCCTTCAAACAGGCTCTGCAGAAATTTAATTCACTTTTACTTATAGCAGTAATATTAATTTTTCAAAGAAAATTCCTTCCACAGGCCCTAATAAATTAATACATGAAAAATAATAACTGGAGGCCCTTGAATATATAGAAAAATAAGAAAAAAATTACTTTCTGAAAACAGATGAGATATAATATATATGTATAAGAATAAATTGAGTGCAGTAATGAATTTTTTTACTGCAAAACAATACTGGTTCCAACTGGTGGTTAACTCGCAATTTAAAAGGTCAGGATTCATGAACCAAAAAAATACTGATATTAAATTCTTGATTTTTGTGTTTGTTTTATTCCAAATTACTTAAATCCTCCACAGACATATAATTTTCCTACTGTTTCAATAAATTTTGCAACAAAATAACAGACAACATTAGATTTAATAAAAAGCAATGAAAATTTATTAGCTTAACAGTAATACATACGTTATCACTGTCCATACTCTTACCTAATGCATTTTCTGACTATAAAAAAAGTATCGTCTACCATACTAGAAATCTGTTGGGAGGGATCTAAACAATCCATATTAATAGCTTTGATTACTGATTCTTCCATAAAATATTGCTCAAATTTTAAATAGTAAGACAAAAGTTCATGTTTACATTGACTTAAATCACTGTTGACAATTAATTGTTCCAATAATTTTAAGGACTTTTCTTTTTGCACTGCATCAGGTGTGCTAATTTCAATGTCGGCCTTAAAAGAGATTATAAATCTTTTGGTGCATATGAAACGGTAAAACTCACAGCCACTTTTCTGTTGATAAACTTGATATAAAGCTCACAACGGAAGTGCATTAGAGTTGTTTCCCCTATCAATATGTCCAAATCCTTGGGATCAATCTTTTCCAGTTTACCAAAGCTAGCAGTAGGATTCATTCTCGAAAGATCAGTAATAACCTATAAATCAACATGCAGCAATATTTAACATTCACTCCTAAGAAAGTACCTGCAATTTTTCTTTAAGTTTTCTTGCTTTCATCCATTCAGAAAGAAGGCGCTTAACTTGCTTATCACATTCCTTTTGTAAAATATCTACTGTCGGCAACATCTTGCCTGGTCCATAGTAAGTTTCTAATAAGGGTTGGTGGGAATCTATTATTCTCGCTAGGCCTTCAAATAGGAAAGTAAGAGTATCTGCATATATAATGGCATGACGTTTATCTGCTAATGGCATAGTCATTGCAGATTTTAAATTTTTATCAGCAGTTTCAGCCACTTTAGTTCTCAAATAGGTACAGAATTCTCGCACACCTAAAATTTAAGAAAAACAGAAAACAAAAAATTGGCTTAATTTTTTTAAATAATACTTAACAAACCTTCAGCGTGCATTCCAAGCAAGGGAAATATTTTAAAAAATTTCTCAATTAAAGCTAAGTCCTCATTATTGACAGCTTCGGTAAACTTGTGTTCCACTATTGCCCTCAATTGAGCTGTTGCATCTTGGAGAGTTCTCACAGACTTGAGCATATTGGACACATTATCCATATCATTAGCAGTTCTTTGAAGTAAAGTCTGATCCATTGACAGAAACCGATGAATATGGGCAGCCCCCTTTTCATAATCCATATCCAATATTGCAGCCTGAACACCTTGAGAACAGACTTCAAGATCTATTAAATCATTCACACGAAGCATACATTCATCAACACGGTTCTAAAATAGTATAAACATATTTATTACAGACATCAGAAGAAAATAAAACATTATATATATATATATATATATCCATATATATATATATATATATATATATATATATATATATATATATATCCATATATATATATATATCCATATATATATATATATATATATATATATATATATATATATATATATATATATATATATATATATATATATATATATATATATATATATATATATATATATATATATATATATATATATATATATATATATATATATATATATATATACATACTCTAACAGTGTCCAGAGTACGAATTTTGCCACTTATTTTTTCAGAACTCTCAGATATTTCATTAACGGTTGAAACTAATTCTTCAGCATTTTGCTTCATAACTTTAAGAGTTGGAATTACTTTGGATATTTCATTTATTTTGCTTTCTATATATGTTTTCTGACTTAGCATAGCATTTAAATCGTCCAATAAAGTTTTCTAAAATTAAAGAAAGTACAATTTCTGTGACAAATTTAGTGTTGCTCAGCTACTTCTTCGAATTTAAGTTTTTCCAGATCTTGCTGACATTGTAAGTAAATGCTTTCATAGTCTGGGTTTTCGTCGTTCGTAGAAATTTCCATTTGAATATGACTTTGGTCTTTTCCTCCAGTTTCAAAACTTTAAGAAAATTTATACACACAACAAAATCCAACATAACCTTAGACCTTCAAATCAATTAGGCGTTTCACAAAAAATGTTGGGCTCGACTGCTAGGATCATTCGCCCATTGCCGACTTCCGTCGAGGATTTTCGCTTCTGGTCAATGACCACCACGTACAAAGAAAAAAAATAACCAATAATTTGCTCAACTAGCAAAAAACGATTCTGACCGATACCAAAAAAATCGGCTTCCCCCCGCTTACACCGCGGACCATCCGGGCCCATCCTGCCTCCATACCGGCGTGAACGGGGAAAAACGACGGGGCCGACGACGATTATCACTTTAAGACGTACACTGAACACTCAAAACACTAAATCCACACCGTGGAAACCGATATTAAACTTTTTGGGACGAATACATGGGATTCTGTCGGGAGCGAACAGAGGTTAAACCGCCGCGTGCAATGCTCAATCACAGAATCAACCTTAGACCTTCAAAAGTTCAAGTATGCGTTTCACAAAAAAATGTTGGGCTGGACTGCTAGGATCATTCGCCCATTGCCGACTTCCGTCGAGGCTCTTCGCTTTTGGTCATTGACCAACACGTACAAAGAAGACATATAACCAATATTTGCTCAACTAGCAAAAAAACAAATTTGACCGATACCCAAAAAAACCGACACCCCCCGCTTTCACCACGGACCATCCGGGCCCATCCGGCCTCCATACCGGCGTGAACGGGGAAAAACGACGGGGCCGACGACGATTATAACTTTAAAACATGCACTGAACACTAACAACACTAAGTCCACACAGTGGAAACCGATATCAAACTTTTGAGGACGAATACAAGGGATTCTGTCGGGAGCGAACGGAGGTTAAAACGCCGCGTGCAATGCTCCACCACAGAATCAACCTTAGACCTGGAATCTGAATGAACTTCATTCTCATAGAATCCGTTGGTTTTGTTCAATGCGTTGGCGGGTATAAGCGATTGACTCCGATAACTAGATTAAAACAAAATGAAAGAGGAAGAAGAAGATGGGCACAATAATACCTTACTTTAGCTGGCCGAATTGCCTTAGCAGCATTGGCCAAATAAAGCGTAATTAAAAAAAATACCTTACTTTATGTAACTAATTAATCTATCATCACTGGAGCTATAACTTACCTTAGTATTCTGTGATCATGGGATTTCATGAGAAATTTACTTTAGGGCGTTATTGCTGCACCCTTCCGATAAAATGTATCTCTAATCCAAAAATGTTCTGTAAAATTTATGAATGTTAGGCCTGAGCAAATATTTGTAAAATATTTTTTTCGTCGTTTCACACGGATGTCAGAGGATTAAGGTTTACTGTATTTCTGCTTTTCAAGTGCTCCGTTAAGGCTGGTGTCCTTAACGGATAGAACTAAAATGCCTGTAGCACAATGCTGTTCATTGGTCACGCCGCGCAGGTAATTAGGAAGGTTGCACCCAGATGGTGCGTTGGGGAACAATGCGCCGTTTCATTTTTAATGAGTTTAAGTGTCAAGAAACAATGTTATTAAGAATGTTCATTACTTGAGAGTGATAAATGTTGTAGTATGTACGCATCTCTCAGCAGTTGGACAAAATAATTTAAGACGAAAGAAATGTAGGTTGTAAACTGAAAATTGTTTAATATGCCGTATTTTTATGTAATAAGTTAACATCATGTTAGTGTAATCTTCCGCCGTTTTTCTACAATCACGCCAGTAACTAGGCCAGGTGAGCTTGGTCATTATACGGACCGGGTAATCATATTTTTATTGATATTAATGAATAATTAATTGTTAAAAAGTAAATACTTGCCAACACATGATTGAGCTCTTAAGTCAAGCCGTGCTTCCCCAATAACGCCGGACCTAGTATGAGAAAGGTAATTTAAAAGTCCGTTGTATATAGATTTATTGAGTATGCATCTGGGCAAGCATTTCGTTAACCAATTTGGCCTTATCAGCACTTGTGTCTTCCTCCATAGGTTCTTGTTTTCGCATATTTATTTATTTATTTATTTATAAGCACTGCATAAGGTTTATCTTATAACAAGACCAAGTTGGTTTGAAAAATTACAAATTTTTCGTTCCGAGTGTGACTTGGCAATAACCATTTGCCCCCTCTATGATACCGTCATTGATAACAATAGAATTTGCCCTCTGGTTATCATACTATGAATGACGTAAGAAAGTCCCTGTTCTTCATGATATAATTTAATTTAGAAAAAAGTTCATTCAAGGCAATATATCGTGCATCACTTGTCACCTACTCAATCCGTAAAATTAAGTAAACCATATCGAGTACAAGTCGTTCCTGAGTCCAACAATCCCCACATACATTATTGTTTCCTCCAGTTACCTACTCCAGTTACCTATGTATTTGTGACCCTGGGATTCCATGAGAAATTTGCTGGAGGACGTTATTGTTGCACACTTCTAATAAAATATATCTTTAATCTTCCTGATATCCAAGAACATTTTTCCGCTTGTCCATCAAAATTTCCAGCTCTTTAAATATTTTTAAGGTAAATTATTTAATTAATGCATCTCCCGATAGAGTATAATCGTTTACCGTACCGTAAGAACGACCTTAAGATTGCAAGGTATAGAGGGATAGCGGCTGTATTCGTCTCAGACGGGAATCAAGATGTGCCCGCTATGAAGATGGAAGGTACAGAGCAACTTGCTGGAAGAAAATTTTATTGTTTTGTATAATCCCGGTCTAAAACAGACACAAAGTCTGGAATATATAGTAGTTCCAATAGAACAGATAACTGCCATTCGGGGATCTTATGTAAGCGGAGATTTAAACGAAGTGTGTTTAATAGGAGGTACTTGGACAAACCTATCTAGACTCCGTGCTGAGCTGAACTACTCAACATTTGAAAAACATTAACAAGATTGTTCCAATATAATTGTCAGTATCGTTTCAGCATGGAAGACGAAAACGTAGTGCTTTCTACTGTCTGGTGGAAGTCCTAATTATGAGACGCTCTATGTCGCAGGACCAAGAGTAGCCTCTCAGCTTCAGTGGTACACCACTGCGCAACATGTAGGTTGTGTTTAGAAATAGTATTCATCTCGTAACCAGTTACAGACTATTAGATGCCACACGATTAAGAGTACTAAGAGCTCAGTTCATTGAGCTAGAAGAACTATTCATGTAGATGAAAGAGGTGCAGTACTTCCTCAAGACTACAGCATTCTAATAGGGACTGGGGTTGGGGACGAGGACGGTTAGCGAAACAAACACTCATGGATAGAATGTTTCTTTAAACGAATGTTACAAAAAAGATATTGACGATAATGACCATCATTTCATAAGGTGTAAATATTGCAAAGAATAGACCTGTCACATTGATAGTTGCGTGAGAATGAAGAATGAACATAATACAAATTAAAAGTCACAAACAATATCCTTCACAAATGTTTTAGTTGTTGCCGTCGATGGACAATATTGCGGTCTAGGTGACGCTTAAACACATACAAAATATTTATCAAATACGAAGCGGTGTGGTGTTCTAAATTGTTCTTGCCATATCTGAAATGAATGCCCGCGTAGACGCTCATCATCGCCACACTGAAACTGGTCATGCGTAATCTTCGATAGCGCTTATTTCTAAGTTGTAGTGATCAACACTTGGCGCTTCAGAATGTCACTATCGCTATGGGCCCCAGACTTTAGAAGCCAATTCAAATATGGGATCAAATATAGGATATAGATCATAAAAAAATTGCGGAATGTCCTTAACAAAAACAAGGTGGAATATGCTTTCTTGGCTATGTTTGAGGTATGTACAAACAAACCAGGGTTTATCATCGGTCACAATAACGCCTTTGAGAAGTTACACTAGGCACAATATTACCTTTCAAACACCAGTTGGTTATCCACTCTCACAATTACTCGGACCTTTTAACGTTTGAATTACAAGAGTCCATGGCACTTCATCTAAGGTTTTTTCTGAATTAAGGCAAGGTGTACTGGATTACATGATTCTAGTGGCAGTGGTACGTGAACTGCCAGGACCAAAGTCATTCTGCTACTCGAGATTCTTAGTGTAACATTTGGCGATGCCCACTAATTCGATATATTTGAGTCCAAAGATTTTTTCAAATAAGATAAATCGGCTCTGAAAGCACAGCAGAATAAGTTTTCACAATCTTGCTTGAAATTCTATTAGAACCTACTTTTAGCTTAGATATATTTCTTCAACGTCTTGATCAAAGTGAACGTGACCATATTGAGCGAATTGATAACTTTATTTGGCAGACATCCTAACAATACTTAATTAGAAAGCAAGGGAGTAATGGAGTGAATGTATTTCGGGTGAATGCGCGGCGAGAACATGTTGAGCTTAGTTTAGGCAACCATCAATTCCACTTCGCCATTCGTAGGTATTGTACCTGTTTGCCGTCGAAGTCGTTCCACGCAGGTAATTAAAGGTAACAGCACTTTTGAGTATTGTGACTGTTCGACTCGAACGTGATTGACCTTTATGTCCCCGCAAAAAGTGCCAGTGCGAAAAGTTCTTAAGTGTGGTGTTTAACTTAAGCGATGTTTGGATTATCTTAAGTGATTTTTTTTTACTTTATTCCGGGTAAGTCATGCTGTTTCGGTGCGTAAATAAAAAAATCCGGAAAGTGTTACACGTAACTGTAGGTATGCGGTGCAGAAGTGTTAAACGTTGGGGATTTGTTCCGAATTTAAATTAGGTAAACATTTTACGTAAAAAGTTGTTAACGCGATAACGCGGTTGTAAACAAATATATTTTTTATTTAAATATTTAAGCCTTATATCTAGAGGCCTCGTAAAAAGTATCGCAATGGCCTATCTAGTAATAAACGTTAAATGTAAACGTACCTACATTCCGATAAGGAACTCTGGACTTGGTTATTAAACAAAAAAATCGACGAATTACTGCCATAACATAACCTTGCTGGTTTTGTCTAATATGTTTATGCCTCCTATGTATAGTACTATTCAAAGGTGGTTGCCAAAAAATCCTTCGCCTGCCGGTTAACCACTTTACCACGATTTTCGTGCGGTAGCCGAATCGTGGTCTAGAATAACTACTTGTTGGGACCGTCCACTGATGCCTGTTTATAGCACTAGGTAATTTTCGGAAGAGGTTCTGTCAGACATGTATCCAAACAGTGTTGAAGTAACTCCTGACTTATACCACCGAATTAGAGTTCTGCAGATTAGATCAGCAACTGGTATGGACAGGAGCAGTTTTGCACAACAAGAATTTGACTGTTAAGACAGTAAAGTTTTTAGTATTTTATTATCACAATTGTGTTAACGACAACAACTTCTAAAACTTCAAGCAAGAAATGTTTGGAGTTGGTCTTTAAGTGCAGCGCAGCCAACCTTCAAGTATCAAAATGACTTTGATAGCATTAAGTTGTTGTTGACCCACGTCAGCTAACAAGCAAAGCGTTCTGAATTTTACGATTGCAATTTTACATTATAATATAATTTATGGTAGTAGTTTTAATTTTTCGTCAAAGTCAGCGAAATCTGACCAATACGAAAATGAGTGCGTTAAATGTGCGCATACAAATTTAATTAGTGCTAAACAGTTATTCTTAAAGTTTTCAATTTACCTTGACATCTGTAAACAGCGACACCGTCTGGTTCATTTTGTGCAATTCAAATTCAAAAGGAGTAAAATTTAATTGTTCTCACAATTCAATTATTTCAATTATAAAACTTTTTCAGAATTCACAGCAATTTATCTAAATTTTCTTTTATTAAGCATTAGTTACCACCCAAAATAAATAACAAAAATAAAAATTAACATTCAACCTAAGGATCCATTTTGCAGGTAGCGTATGGCAATAAAGTAATTTGGAATGGAGAATGGCAAAATAGAGATTGTCGAACGGGGTAAACAGAAATCGGTGGAATAGCTGTAAGCAAAATTAATAAAATTGATGTTCAAAAAAGTCTTGTCGAAAGAAAGGGATTAAATACGCATGTAACGACCGTGGTAATATAAAATAGGATCAGAAGATTCCCCGCCTTGAGAGTTTTAAATGTGCCTAAATAAATCTCCAACTTAATTGCTACACCACGTCCAAGTTCACCGACCTATTGAAATTGGTTGAGAAATTAAAACCTCTATCGAAGGGCCATAGGCATTGTGGCAATGCTTACAAACTTTTCATGTTGAAATCTCAAATACGTCGGGTACAATATTTCATAAGATTCGGGGCATAAGACGGAGAAAACCAGTTTCATTAACAACATACGGCAGTTTGATAAGTCCGTGACTTTTTGAACAAAATATACGGTTCCAATCTTTTTATATTTGTGGTAGTTTTTTGCAGCATTTACTTCAATGAAGACCCTTACCACCTAGCCATTTTTAAGCTGATGACTTAGCACGTATGCCTTTACATGTTCTTATACTTTTTTTCTTCGTAACAAACCACTTCGTAGGACTCGCGAGCCTGTTGCGAATAAGTTCCGAACTGTATAAGAGGCAAATGTCAGAATGGGAGATCTCTGAAGAAACATAAAACTAAAAAACAAACGCGGCTTCTTGCTAGACTTTGGTTTAGTACTGTCGTGTCTACTTAACCCACTTTCCACTAAAACTATACAGTAATAAAAATAACTATCCATAAAATACAGTCGCAAACAAGAGGTTTATTTCAGCAGAGCCTGGAAATATTTTACTTGTACTAAGCACATTGGCAAATTAACGTTCATTTCGAGTTCGGATCGGTTTAAAACTTTGCTGTTCCAACAGTGTTCCGGAACTGTTTTCCAATAGTTCTAGAACCGTGAAAAATATTCTAAGATTTTTTGCGCATGAGCTAAAACCAATTCAGTGGTAAATGTCAACAAGGGTTATTCCACCAGCCAATGAAATTTTTTGTTCGTAGTTTAGGTACGGGGTGGCCCATTTATTCTTGGATGACTCAAACTGAAGTTACACCCGTTCCAAAGAAAGAGCATTCAAGAGTGGCATTAAACGGTTTTAGATCAATCAGTTTGTTACCAACCATCTCAAAGGTTGTGGAAAAAATTGCAGCTAAACAACTTCGTCAGTTCTTGTGCGACAACAAAATTATCCCAAACGCTTGATCTGGGTTTCGGCCTCTTCGCAGCACTACTTCTGCCTTATTTCATGTTTCTGATGATTTATTGAGAGCAGCTGATTCTAAATTAAACTCTTGTCTCATACTCTTGGACTATAGCAAAGGGTTCGACACCTTGGATCATTTCCTTCCCTTAGCTAAACTGAAATTCTTCGGCATAGATACTGCTCTTTCATTTCTTAAAAATTTTCTTTGTCAGAAATACCAAACGGTAGTTTTAGGAAGTACTCATTCAGATGGCATTGCTTTGGAGAGGGGTTTTCCCAGGGGAGTATTCTGGGAGCTATTCTGTTCTCAGTTTATACAGTTGACTTCTCTACTTTTCTTGAATGTAATTTCGAAGGTGTCTGCAGCTTATAACCCCTTATGAAATACTAACAAAACGCTGATGTTATTATTTGGAAATACAAAGGAATAAATTGTAAGAAACGCCTCTTTTAAGATTACCTCTCCTTCTTCGGACGGGTGTAAAAATTTAAGATTATGGTTTGACATTGACTTGCATGTTGGTTCAGTGTTACAAAAATCCTTCTATAAGTTGAGGACGTTGGATATTCATAAACATTTTCTCAGTAAAGACGTGTTATGTTAATTTTATCCCATGTCGCTTATTGCAGTATTGGCCACCTATGCTGAATCGAGGTAAGGAGAGACTCCAACGACTTCAGAATGCCTGTATTTGTTTGTATTAGTTATTATAATTATAATTAGTTATAATAAAAAGTATATTTCCCAGAGCCTCTCTGATTCGGGTTGGCTCAAGCTGGAGGACGGACCGTTATAAAGTTCAGTTAGTCACCTTTGTTTTTTTACTAAACTCCCGACCCCGTCGAACTTGTTTGATAAACTTTGCAGAGGAAATGATACTCATAATCGAAACACCCGTCATTGTTTGAGATACTGAGTTGCTAGACATACTTCGGTACCTTTCCAGAGAGCTTTTAGCTATAACACAGTTAAAATATTTAATGTAATACTTTATGCTATAACGTCCATCTCCACAATAAAGTCCTTCAAAAAAGTGTTTATTAGGGTCGCCAGTATCTAGCAAAAGCGTATGAGTTTGATGTGCGTCTATTTCTTGTACTTACGAAGCAGGTATATACGGGTGCGTATTTTGTTTACAATTATGGTGTTGCTGCTGTTCTTATGGTTACATGGAAGAGCTCAATTTGCCTATGTCGCCACTCTTGTATTATGACTTATATTGTAATATTTTGATTTTTGATAAAGACAGTTTATCATTAATTTTGAAAAAAACTTCCACAGCCTACTGTAATACTTTCTACAAAACTTCGGGATTCCTCCTGCGTCTGTTTTTGCAGAGTAGAACTTGCTGACGTTTTGCCAGCATCCTGTTGGCTTCTTCAGAGCTTGACTGAAACTGGCTCGTATTTTACTCTGCACCTGCTTATATATTATTTAAGGGTGGGGGGGGGGGAGCTAAATGAGGGGCATAAACACCGTCTCGGATGACTGATTCCCATATTGGTGACTGGTAGAGACCTGAGTCTCATATTTTTAGTTGTTGTTAGTTTAGAACTGATTACATGCAAGAATTTTAATTTTATCGAATAAAATTTTATGTCTGGTTTCATGTATGTGCTCGGCAACAGCTGATGAGTTAATTTGTCTTGAATCTCTAATGTGGAAATTATTAGAGACAAGAGCAGAAGTAAGGTGTTTTAATTCTGAGTTCAGTGACTCGGGCTGAGAGTTGATGATTTTTGGGCCGGATGGTGATGTGATTATGCATTAAGGTATGGGTCTGTGTGCGTAGGTTTTCTGTAAACACAATGACCCAATGTTAGGTCTGATTTTCTAAAAGAATATCTAACAATGGAAGGTTATTATTAGTTTCCAACTCAACGGTAAAGCGTACGTTACGGTGTATAGAGTTTAAATGTCTAAGAAAATTTACTAGGGTTTCTTGACCATGAGGCCAAATAACAAAGGTATCATCGACGTAGCGTTTCCATAATTTTGGTTTTAGATGAGAGGTGTCGAAAGCTTTCTTCTCAAAGGCTTCCATAAATATATTCGCAATGACTGGTGATAGTGGAGAACCCATAGCTGTTCCCGGCGTTTGTTCAAAAATTTTACCGTTATCAATTCCGTTTTCAACAAAGTTGAGAAGGTTTGGTTCCAGATTCTCGGACTTTAATATATCTGAAATGATGTCGAGAGTTTCAGGAATAGGAACTTTGGTAAAAAGGGATTCTACGTCGAAACTAACTAGAGTATCTTAAAGTCCTAGAATTTGGAACCAAACCTTCTCACCTTAATTGAAAAATGCTTGTCGGGAACATATTTTTCTTATAACGGTCAAATTTTTGAACAAACGTCGGGAACAGCTATGGGTTCTCCACTAGCACCAGTCATTGCGAATGCATTTATGGAAGCCTTTGAGAAGAACGCTCTCGACACCTTACATCTGTTATTTGGCCACATGGTCCAGAAACCCTAGCAGATTTTCTTAGACATTAAAACTCTATACACCCTAACACACGTTTTACCGTTGAGTTGGAAACTAATAATAACCTTCCATTCTTAGATATTCTTAACAATAGAAAATCAGATCTAACATTGGGTCATTGTGTTTACAGAAAACCTACGTACACAGACCGATACCTTAATGCATGGTCACATCACCATCCTGCCCAAAAATCATCGGTTATCAACTCTCTTGTTTACAGAGGCGTAAAACTATCTCAGCCCGAGTCACTGAACACAGAATTAAAACACCTTGCTTCTGCTCTCCTGTCTAATAATTTCCACATTAAAGCGTTCCATCAAAAAATATACTTTACCACAACTTTCCAATAGCAATGAGGCCGAAAGCAATCCTACACTTGCCACTGTGGTCCTTCCTTACATTCAAAACATCACTGACCACATATTAAAAGTTCTAAAGAAGGATAACGTCAAAACCAGATTTACCAATTCTCTCAACATCTTCGCTCCGTCAAAGACAAAGTTCCATTTGAGATGCCACGAGTTTACAGCATTCTATGCATATGCGGCAAAGAATACATTGGAGAAACCGGACGAAAAATATCAACTAGGTTCAAATAACACGAAAGAGCCTTACGAATAAGACAAATAAATAATCAGCTCTTGCCGAACACAGACATGAAACCGGACATAAAATTTTATTCGAAAAAATAAAATTCTTGCATGTAATCAGTTCTTCTACCAACTAAAAATCCGTGAGTCTACAGAAATCTATAAACAACCTAACAATCTTAACCGCGACTCAGGTCTCTACCTGTCACCAATATGGGAATTAGTCATCCGATACGGTGTTTATGCCCCTCATTTAGCTCCACCCCCCTCAAACATATTTAAGCAGGTACAGAGTAAAATACGAGCTAGTTTCAGTCAAGCTCTGAAGAAGCCAACAGGATGATTGGCGAAACGTCAGCAAGTTCGACTCAGCAAAAACAGACGCAGGAGGAATCCAGAAGTTTTGTAAATAGTATTACAGTTTATAGTTACTATTATTAATAAAAACTAACAAACATTATGTTATTTTGAACTTATCCTAGAAATAAAATATTACTACTTGTGTCATGCAATGCGTTGGCCGTTTTGATAATATTAATCTTTAATTGACAAAAATTTAGATATCACGTGGCGGTAATAATGCCATTTAAACATTTATTTTTGATATATGGTTATCGTTTCTCTCAGTTGTGTGTCATTATTTACATAGCGGTCCCACTTCTTTACGGGCTTCTACCGTTACACGGATACCGTATAAACTTCTGCCGATACTTCTGCGGGAAAAATAACGAAACAAATTAAATATGTTGCCCACAAGATCGATATGGTCGTCTATCATGTTATGCTTCGGTATCGATGTATCTATCGGATTCGTACGGTTTTCATAGGTAATTAATAGCACCACAAGTAAAAACGACGTCAATACTAGAATTTAATTGTCCTCCAACAGTAGCACAATAATTATTAAATACATTTACCTTAGAAAAATAAGCAAAACCTCATTTACTATACATTTCACCGTTAGTTATTTCAGTGGTTTGAATTTTCATCGACCGTCACATTTACCCAGTTTTCACCGACTAAGAAAAGACAAAAACAAATCTAGACAGCCGTCTGCGGTCAAAAAAGTAAATAACAATGAACATAACTGACACAGCATTAAATATGCTGTGTGGTACTTGAAGGTATTTTAGATTTTTCGATGGATGTTTTTTAGTTTCGAAATATTTTGAATTGACGCAGTCGACATCATTCAGCAATTAAAAGCAAATAACGCGTGACCTATTAATAGCAAGCGAATTAAGCATATTTGTCAGTGTATTTTGCAAATTTATACGCGTATACAGTTAGCGCAACTTTTTTTTTAAATTCCTTAAATGGAAGCTATAGCCTGAATGATATGACTTGATTACCACTTGAACATTTAGGATCAGATTTCTGTTTATACCGTTTGGGAAACAACTGTAAAAACACTGAAATGTCTCAAAATATCTACACCCATATCTGTCCAATATTAGATACTTTTTGAAATTACCATGCAGAACCTACGTTAAGAAAAGTAGACGTAATTTTGTAAATGATTAACAAAAACAAATATTACGGAAAAAATTGACTCGATAGCCATAGGGAAATCATAACAAAGTTGTAGCGGGGCAATAGCTAATTACGATGAAGTAGCTTTATTAGAGGGTGTTCTATATAAAATATTTAAAGAATCATAGAAAAGTTTCATTTAAATTTCGTTAAATTATCAAGAGATAAGAAAGCCCCTGTATGAAATCATTACTTACGGGCTTCTTAATTGTTCTCAAAAATTACTTATTAAAAAATGAAATCATTTCTCAGAGATGCATTTTAATTGTTAGCAATAATAATTTCCTATTTATCAAGACTAATTTCGACCGTGTATTTAACTGGTAATAATCAACTAAAAATTACTTGGGCATCCCATTATCCAATCACTTACAGTTTCACAGAAAGGGACGCCATCTAAAAAATTCAAATTGTTTGTTGAAATTGATTATTCGAGTGAGTTTTTGTGAAGGTTCTCTTATAGAACTATGAATGAATAAATTAAATTAATTAAATTATTATATAATAATAAGGAAACTAGAAGCTATATCTGATGAAGTTGCAGCAGAAAAAATTACAACCAAAAGGAATAATTGAAATAAGAATAGTAGGAATAATAGTATTATTCGGTAACTAATTTGACTGCCAGCAATATTAATTTTCTCAATCAATGTTATATAGATTCAGCATTCCCTCATTAACGCAATAGCAGCTTACATTTGAAATTTGATCGTTAAGATTTTAACCAACGCTAATCACACTTAATAAATATTTGTTATCGTGCGTGACACTGAAACCTAAAAACAATGAACAACTGCACAGTTTTGAAAGTGAACTTTTGTTTAAGTTGAAGTAAAAACATTTAAACGGAAGCCTAATGATGCGAGAAAACTAAAAATAGGAATGTATGTCATGCTAATTAATCACCTGCAGATTAAAAGTAACCGACAAAAATTACGTTACTAAAACCACAACTGTTTGTTACAGGTCTTCCATGATTTTGCTTCCGTAATGGTGATTGTCACGCGGGTAAGTATCCCTTTTTTCCTGAACACGGTTACAACTTTGATATCCATAATGAACTAACAAAAAGCCAATTTTTTTCTTTTAATGACAAATTTTTGGCATGTTCAAAAAGTTTTAATGCAATAATGCCTATTTATAATCAGTATTTGCCTTAAAAATTACATTTGGAAAACATACATAAAAATTAGTATTTTTTTTAAGTTATTTAGCTTTTTTCTAACCTGAAATTGTGGACCTGATGGACCAAAAAATGGCACGGAAAAAACAACCAACAATGTCATGAATTGAAAAGTCTATACCGGCCCTCCGTAAGTCTATAAACCTTTGATCCTTGAGATTTAATTTCTGAGAATTCCTTATTTACCCAATACACGCAAACAAAAAAACAACTGATCAGAGCTTTCTTTTAATTTGTGATTTAAATTATTTTTTCAAATAATTGGCCAGAACATTTCAAGAGTCTAACGCTCTTTTTTTTCAATATTTTATGCCGAAAAAGTTTCATCAGTTTTTTCAGCAGCGTACGCTAATATTACTAAATATTATCATTGCCCGATCCAACTTAAATTAGGTCGAGTGCATAGACTATGGGAAAATTTCACGGACAATTCAATGAAAGGAAAAGTTTTATGAACATTACCTAACTTCAATAAAAATCTAAATTATATTTATAATTGATAATATTCTTTTTTATGTACACATTGTTTCTAATTTAAATAAGGTTTATTAGCCGATTCATAAACGGACAAAGACTGAACCAAAAGAATAGTGGAGTAGTAAGCTCAAGAAAAAAGAAACAACTTTGTCCTAATTCATTAGTATGGAGGACAAGATTGTTTCTTTTCTCTTAAACTAGTAATTTTTTGAATATATAAATATATCAAAAATGTTTTTATGTTTGGCAGGGTATTCTTTAATTTTAGTAACGTCTTTCAGTAAACGAAATCACCGGTAATTAACAAAGATGAGGAGGGATATTCTTTGATCAAGACCGGCACTAATCCAAACCTAAAACAAATGTTAAGTTAAGAATGCTCATTGGAGAGAGGGTTACCGACCCATAATTTTTCTTTTCCTTCTTTGCAGAATAAGGGACTTCAGCTGTGTAGCCAAATATGGAGCAATAACTTGTAGATTTTGTTTAATTGGTTAATTTACAATCATGTATTTCATATTTGCTTAAATAATCCTTAAAGTACCGTAGGTAGCTCACTAACAACAATAACGGCTTTAACTACTTTCAGTTAGCTTTGGTGTACCTTCATATATTATTTTGATGAATAGAATTTCAATATTAACCATTAAATCTCAAAATAGATCGAAATAATTAATCATTTTTAAAATATTGATTTTCAATTTTATATAGTGTACAGATAACTTTTTACCCAACGCCATGCACAAATTGTGCATCGCCATCCGTAGTCCAAGTATGAAAAACTTGCGGTAGCGAAGAACAGGTTGCTAAGTAAATACAAAATTGCGCTGTTTGCAGTGCCTGTGCGTATATCCGTATATGTACGCTGAGATCGTTCCATCTCAAAGTGCATTTCCACTTGGTCGGATGTATAATAAACCACCAGCCGGAAAGTACTTCATGCTTCGCGACCAAAAATTACGTCGGCAGTTTATTTTTCCATTCATCGCCGCATATCGCACATGTTCTACGCTTTATAGGTCTACACTAAACTGATGGAATAAGTATAGTTTGGGAGATTCTTACACCAATATCTTACACAATTTGCAAAAATAATTAAATATGCTATTATTATAACTGAAGAAGATTTTTTTTATGAATAATTTTTAAGAAGAAGTTGTCTATACGAAAATGACGCATACAATACAAATAGTAACCATATCTCTCAAAGTCTCTCACAGAACTGAACTTTGATATTTTAAAAATAACGCATGATACGTTTGTTTACTTTTGAATCGCTGTTAGTTTTCTTCAGGCTTGGCGTCTACTTAATTAACTTAACTTAACCAAAAACTTCCACCAGCAGATCACCTGGCTTCAGTTCTGGAACCGGCTGTATTTTATATTTCTTCAAACTAAGATCCTTGTGTAAAATCTTCCGCCGTAGTGGTCTATGGCAATCCCATATAATTAACTCCAGTCAAAGTCTGTTTTTCCATCACTTGTTGTACAAATCAGCAGATATCATCAAAATTCATTCTTGCGGATACTTATTTTAATAAAGTTAATTACTATCACACCAGATGTTTTGCGAATCTCAGGACAATACTAACCTACTTGTATGAGGTTTGAGCGTTACCACAGTGCAACTGGTTAATAAAGATTTATTTTAAAATAGTCACTGCTGGTCATACTAAATCAACCTAAAGAAATTGTGCCGTCCGTCGTTCGGTATGAAAGCATAGTATTGGAACGATTTATTGTCAACAGTTTTCCGAAAGAAAGCTGATATTATGTTTTTATATTTCTTTCCAGGGAGATTATATATGGATCGAACCCGTTGGCGGTGGGGAGTTCGACGTGGCGATTGGAGGCCGCGTCGTGTCCGCGGAAGGTAGGCGGATCCTCGTGCGCGATGATGACGGCAACGAGTACTGGTTGCCGCCTGACCGGCGCATCAAGGCAATGCACGCTACGTCTGCGCACGGCGTCGAAGACATGATCAGTCTTGGGGATTTGCACGAGGCCGGCATCCTTCGGAATTTGCTCATCCGATATAGCGAAAATTTAATATACGTAAGCGGAGTTTTTTTATTTTGCTATTCCTTTTCGACCCTGTACTGCTATATGACTATTTTGTAAATGGGAAGAGATTCACAAAAATCTGCAAAGTTTTGTTGATGGTTAACATGCGCCACTGTTGGGCTATTGATTCGCCTAACTATCTAACATTTAAAAAAAAAAATTGAAGTCACGTATTTCAAAAAGAACCGCTTTTTTGCTAAATATTTTTTACTCGATTTTGGTAAAATTTGGCAACCTCGTTGATAATGATAAAAACTTAATTCTGACTAATTAAATTAATAGCATTATAGTATAACTCGCATCTAAAAAATTAATACTAGTAAAAATTATGAAAATTATAACCAAACCAACCAAACCAAAATTAAAACTGAAACTAACAAAAATGTTCAAAAAATTTGAAGTCACATGTTTCAAAAACTTAACTAAATTAATAGTATTATCGTATAACTCTTATTTAAAAAATTAATACTAATAAAAATTATGAAAATTATAACCAAACTATTTTTTTGTTGTTGTTATATTATTATATATTAAACTTGTACTTGTATAGATAGTGTGTTAATATTTAGCACACTGTTATCCATCAATTAATATTTACCAAATTATGCAAAATCATATTCAAATCGATATCTGTGACCAAGATCCTTTTTGTCTTGGATGCAGTGTGTATTTCGTCTTTGAGTTAGGCGTGTGTCAGTAAACCAGACGTTGTAAAGTTCATGTATTGAGGTACCACTAAAAATATTTTATTGTGATAGAGTAATTAATTTGGTAGTTCGCTGAGTCATCCACTACCCAGTCCTTCGATATACATATTATAACTTTGCGTGGTTCAAAGAGATTCAACTTTGGGGCAACTTACCTTTCAAAGAGACAGAGAATTTTTTTATAAAACAATTTGTCAACAGATTATACTTCTGATTTTTGGTTTAACGTTACAGGGTGTCCGTAATTGTTTTAACATTTTTGAGAAATCCTAATTGTAAAAACTTTACTATCAACCGAAATATAAGGTTTTTAATTCATTTCAATTATTTTGAAAATACGTTGATAACTTTTTTTATTTATGAAAATTTCTGATTCTTATAATTTCATTATCAGGGCACTTGTTTAAGTGAAATGGAATATACCCGTATTTTTTCTACAATTCCTTCGGCAACCTAGGAACACAACTTTCTTATTTTATATACCAGTTTAAAATATTGCTCATAAAATACCCGGTATATGTTTTAAGAAGTAATGACAAAATTACAGTTATTTTAATGTAAATAATAAATCAGATGCTCCTAATAAATTATGTGTTAATATTAATTAGATTAATTTGATTAGCCTGGTTTAACGTAAGGGTTTTTTTGTGCTTTCGGTAATGTAATGTATGTAATTGAAAGCATAAGTATGATCACTAAAACTCTACCTCATGCAGTTTTGGTTAGTACTGAAGAACACAAAATCCAATAAGGTATACAGGTGATAATGTCTTTAATTGACAACTATTAAGAAATATAGCAGGAATACATGATTAAAAACCGCTCAACACAAGCATTTTTTACAACTAAGTATAATTGCAATATTAAATATGAAACTTGTATTCATTTGTGGTAAGATGTTGAATTCTAGAAAATTTTCTAAATGATCAAAAAACGCTCCATTAATACTGCCCCATGCAGTTTTTATCATTAAATATTTTTAAAAAATTGAGCTTATTACATGCAAAAAACACTGCAGTTAAGGTACACAATTTAAAATTATCAAAAATGTATTGGTGGGTAATGAGGGACTGTGAATGCATCCCAGCATCATTACAGTTAAAATCTCATCTGCCTGAAATTTACTGCTTTACGACATGTACCGTGCATAGCACAATACTAGATTCGCGTGTCTAGTAATTTAGATATCTCTTTGAGTATTGGTAGCACGTACGCAGACACGGAGCCAGTCGGTATAAAGAGATCTCGATTTAGATTCAGACACCATTTAATCGGCAAGGTATGGTAATTGGAACCGTGTGCACTTGTAAACTATCCATTTAGTGAAAATACGGTTATTTATAATCTGCGATTTAAATTGCGACATGATTTTAGGACGATCTAGGTCATGAATGGTAACTACGCGTTTCCGCTTTCGGTATCTAGGCAGTATGGTCCTTATAAAAAATTAAGTCCGGTGCTACTTTTACTATCGTCCGATATATGAGTATTACTTAGAATTTGTCAATTAAAATTGCGAATTAAAAAAAATTGAGATAAAACGCAAACTTTTAAATCGGTCTTTTTTTTTTCTTTTCGTTTTCCGGTTATTTTGCAAAGCAAGAAAGGAATTAGTTATATTTAGCTATATGGACCTATCTACAATGACATTCTCAAATTAAATATTAAGAGCAAAATTAAAAACACAAAGAAACAGCAAAAATACTTTAAAAGAAAAATTAACCCAATACGTACCTACAACAAACATTTCTAAACATTTTTTCGTTTTCTAAGTAAATAATTAGGCAAGTTTTCGTCTTTATACGGAAAGTGAATGATTTATAGCAATTCAATTCAATAATTCAATAATTCCAATGTCTAAGCTGAAGTTGATAAGTCCAAACCGCCAATTTATTCATGTTACATAATTTTTTGGTTTAAGAAAATATACATTTAATTATTATCTCTTCTGCTTTTCCTAGTCTTTACGGAATGAAGGTACTCGGCGCTCTTGTTTTTTTACACTTTGGTCTATATTTACTGCATATCGGAGCACGGTCTACGACGAGCACGACGCTGCTGAATGAATATTAAAAGATTCGGAAAAATTGTCAATTATTTTTCAGTAAATGTGTTTGCGCATTAAGGTTCTTTTTCCGACAAATCTTCTTTCTCACAGTTATTGATTATTAAATTGTTATTGCATTTGTTTCAGACGTATACAGGCTCAATACTTGTAGCAGTCAATCCTTATCAAATTCTTCCTATTTACACTGCCGAGCAAATTAAATTATACAAAGAGCGAAAGATTGGAGAATTGCCACCACATATTTTTGCCATAGGGGACAATTCGTACGGCAACATGCGCAGGTAATTATCACGTCAAACGTGCTCCTTCTCATCACTAAAATGTGATTTGAAAGCACAACTTAATTGCTCATATGTGTGCTTTCAGGTACGGGCAAGATCAATGCATAGTAATTTCGGGAGAATCTGGAGCCGGAAAAACGGAAAGTACAAAATTAATTCTGCAGTATTTAGCGGCCATCAGCGGCAAACACTCATGGATAGAGCAGCAAATATTGGAAGCCAATCCCATCCTCGAAGCGTTTGGTAAGAAAACAGCGTCCAATAATTCCTGCGTCTCAAAGCGATCTAAACGGGTAATGGTGGATTAGTAATTTCACGTTTTTAAATCGTTTTCTGCGGTTTTTATTGTTATCGTCGGCGACTTTCGTGAAAGCTGATATTGCAATTATTATTTTTTCACCTGCTTAAAAAATATGAGTCATCACCCGTTGCGGAATCAAGTTGGTTGTAATTGCAACGCGCGCTAGCGGACATTGCTTTTTTATCTAAATACAAGCGGTATGGTGCGTTTACCTTTCCGAAACAATAAAAAATAATCGCATGAACGCTTGTCCGGAAACGGTTTCCAAGGTACAAGATTGAATATGGTGTGTGGCAATATTAACAAAACGTTGGCTTTATGCGACCTGGACAATCTATAGTCTCACACATTTCAATTTAATAGATGGTTTAGATGTATCTAAAAGGCCCTAAAAACTTTGTAAAGTGGAATATTTTTTTTATTTGCAATTCAAATTGAGGTAATTTAATATGTTCAACTTATTTTTCTTGAAATATACTGCCACAAATTGTCATTTGCACACAACTTTTCTTCATACAAATATGACTATTTTTCGTAAGGGCTCATAAGTTATCATACATTCACCAACTTGTCGCGGTAGGTATATGATGAAGAAGTTGGTTTTCAGAATCTGTAATTAGTTGCGACACTTGCATTAGCTTATTAAATACTTAATATATCGATACAAACATTAAATTACTAGAAGAACTTTTGGCAAGATTTTTATTTTATCAGAAACTTTATTTTAGGGGTCAAATTTAAAAGCTGCTCAAATAATTAATAAAGCCTTTTTAACGGTATGGGCTTTGAAATCATGGGATCTATGGACATTTTTTATTTCAGTTTAACATTTCATTTATACGAACAAAAAAATCTGGAGTACTGAGATACTTAATATGCAAAAGTGTTTATTAATGCAGCAGTCAACTTTCGGTACTGTAATTATTAACTATAACTATTAAAAAATAAGCTTTATAAATACAAAAAAAAAATTTCTCATTCATTAATATCAAATTAGCCAAATTTTACAATGCAAAAAGAAGGCTAATAATTTGGACCTTGTATTTGTCGTGGTCTTTTATATAAATTAAGGAATATTTGTCTAATTACTTCTTATTATTTGGTAATCAACTAATATTTTGATAATATATTTTGAATAATCTAAATTGTTAAAATTCTCTGAAAAAACGTACACAAATTGATATACCTAAAAAATTTTAAATATTTAAGTCTGTTCTAACGTTTTAAAAAATTTATTGGTAAAAAAATGGCAGCATGTATTTTTTCAGGAGTATATTGTTTCAAAAAAATACTTAAAATATACTATTTACTTAAATACAATTTTAATTTCTAATATTCGATTTCTAAATAACGGGTAAACATTATTATGTGATCATATGACATATTCATATTAACATGTTTCATTATTATATATTGAATATATACAACACAAGAATTTACTGTAGACATTATATACACATAGAATTATTTTAGACATTCACATTGTCGCCGTCAAAAAAAGTTAACATATATCACTGAGTTTGAAGGAAGATAAATAATCAAAATTAAAACAATACCTTGCTACATCTATTTGCCATTAGTATTAACGTGTATAAAAAAAGTAAACTTGGAATCACAAAATCGATATTGCCTGGATTCAGTACAAACCCGTTCACTTATTTAAATGTTGTTTTAGGTAACGCGAAAACTGTAAGAAACGACAACAGTTCGAGGTTTGGCAAATACATCGACATACATTTCAGTGCCAACGGGGTAATCGAAGGGGCCAAAATCGAGCAATACTTGCTGGAAAAAAGTAGAATAGTTTCGCAAAATCCGGACGAAAGGAACTATCACATCTTCTATTGCCTGTTGGCGGGCTTGGGGAAGGAAGAAAAAAGAAAACTGCACTTGGAATCTGCTAGTCAATATCGATATCTCACGGGGGTAAGTTTATATGCGCCCTTTAAATGGAGCGATGTTTAAAAAAAATGCTCCTTAAGGGAAATTGCATAACGTGCGAAGGACGAGAAGATGCGGCCGAATTCGCTGATATCAGAAGTGCGATGAAGGTGCTGCTGTTCTCGGACCACGAGATATGGGAGATAATGAAACTATTGGCTGCTTTGTTGCATATCGGCAATATCAAATACAAAGCGACTGTGGTGGATAATTTGGATGCGACCGAAATTCCAGACCCGACAAATGTTCAGAGGGTGGCAAACCTGCTAGGTAGATCATTTTTTTAAATTTAATTACGCGTTCATCGCAGTTGATGTGACATATTTTTAAGAGAAGGTTCCCGGCATATGAGTTCATTCATGACATTCGAGAATGTTTCAAAAAGAACTTTTTTTTTCAAGAACGTATATCTTCTTTTGCAGCAAACTGGATGACCAACAAAAATATAGAAAATAACCACTGGCGTAGAAATTACGATATAAATTGATTAATCTAATTTCTTGGTTTTGCTTTTAATTATTGTAAACTGTCACCAATTAGGAAGTCAATATTATTGAGTATTATACAAGATTAACGGATATATTTAAAACTTCAAAATTGGTATACCGCGATTTTTTGTAAAAATAAACTAAATGTCCTTTTCATGTGGCCAACAGAGGGCGCTGTGTACGGTCGCTTTAGAACTGCATTTATTGCCTCGCGTCTTAAGGATAATTTTCAAACTTTGGAGATCGGTACTATGCATTCGTCATATTATTAATGTCTTCTTTACCTGAGGATGCCTCAAACATCAACTATGAATTCCATCCCTAATAAATAAAAATGGCGGATCTTTTTTGCGCTTTAGTTTATGCAATATAACTTTTTGACATAGTGTAAATGTAAATGTCAGTGTAATTTATATATAAATCCCAATTATTTAACGAAAAAAACTGTTAAGTATTCCCATAAAAACGGCTAACAGCAAAGAAATACTTTAGAAATATATAGGTCTCAATATTTTTGCTTACGAGTTTTATAAAATATAATTTTAACAACATATATCTTGTTAATGTGAACTTTTTAATCAAACAAAACATAGCTGAGCAAAATTGGTTAGTTTTCGTTACTTTGGTTAGTCATACTGAAAAAGACAACCTGTATACATAGATTTCGTTTCAAATAATGGTACCTTATACATGCTTTATTTTCAGGGGTTCAGGTACAACACTTAATAGACGCCTTAACGAGAAAAACTTTATTTGCTCACGGGGAAACAGTAGTCTCCACTCTATCACGGGATCAAAGTGTAGACATTAGGGACGCCTTCGTGAAAGGCATTTACGGAAGACTGTTCGTTTTTATAGTTAAAAAAATCAATTCGGCAATTTACCGTCCCAAAGAACGCCAACGCAGCTCCATAGGCGTGTTGGATATATTCGGTTTTGAAAACTTCGACAATAACAGTTTCGAGCAGTTTTGCATCAACTACGCCAATGAAAATTTGCAGCAGTTTTTCGTACGGCACATCTTCAAGCTGGAACAGGAAGAGTACAACCTGGAGGGTATCAACTGGCAACACATAGAGTTCGTCGATAATCAAGACGCTCTGGATTTAATCGCTATAAAGCAACTGAACATAATGGCATTGATCGACGAGGAAAGTAAGTTTCCGAAAGGGACGGATCAGACGATGTTGGCGAAACTTCACAAGCAACATGGAGCCCATAGGAATTATCTAAAACCGAAATCGGATATTAATACTAGTTTCGGATTGAATCATTTTGCGGGCATCGTAATTTACGATACCAGGAACTTCTTGGAAAAGAATCGTGACACGTTTAGCGCAGATTTGCTACAGTTGGTGACCGTTAGCAACAACAAATTCCTCCAACAACTATTCGCTGACGATATCGGAATGGGTTCGGAAACTAGAAAGAAAACACCGACTCTGTCCTCTCAGTTCAAGAGGTCTTTGGATTCTTTAATGAGAACGTTATCGAACTGTCAACCGTTTTTTATTCGATGTATCAAGCCGAACGAATATAAGAAGCCGATGTTGTTCGATCGGACGTTGTGTTGTCGTCAGCTTAGGTATTCCGGTATGATGGAAACCATACGAATTCGTAGAGCAGGATATCCGATCAGGCACACCTTCGGCGAATTCGTCGAAAGGTACAGGTTCCTGATATCAGGCGTACCACCGTCTCATAAGACTGACTGCAAGGCGGCAACTTCGCGAATATGTTCGATGGTTTTGGGTAAGTAATACAAACTTAAAAAATATATATCACGTAGTGTCCGTCAAGAAGCTGAATCAATTTGAATTGAAAATAAATTAAATTATTTCGTTATAATGGTCCCACTTAGAGCAGAAATTGTTTCAGGAAAATTTATTATGTTCCTGTGAAGGTAAATGTCGGGCATTTAACTGTAACTAAGCACCAACCATCACAGTAACTCTTTATAACTAAAAAATGAGTCCCTTCGCTATGGAGAGTTTTCACCGTAGTCATTGATTTTCTAAACAAAACTCCAGTTTAAAATGTCGAAAAATAACGAAAAAAGAAAGTCTCTGTATTTTACTTGTCAGTTAGTTAAAATTAGTTGGTTAAAATTTCATATAATCATGTAGGATTGTTTATCGTTAGTCCTCAGAACCTTTCTGAGGAAATAAACAGAGTCCGACGTTCTGGCAAATTAAATAAGAATATATTTTCACTTATTTACACAGCGCACAATAACAACTTCTTTTACACTTGGCATGGACAACAACAATTCGTCTACCCGTCTTTCGTCTAACATATCGTCTACTCGTCTTTCGTCTTATTAAAGAAAAAGAGTAAGCGGCACGGATTTCCGCGTTACCCACGTCTTTTACGTCTTTAAAGAAAAAGAGCAACCGGCACGGCTTTCCGCGTTACTCACGTCTTTTACGTCTTTTTAGTTTAATCGTCTAATACATAATGCCCGTGGTCAAGTGTCGTGACCTGCTTTTAAACCCTTCGTCCGTACGCATCAAAAGTAGACCCGAACTCTCACGAAACACCGCAAAGCGGCTTCTTTTTGTGATCGGCTCACGTCCGTAAAAAGAAATTATTTAAACAAAACCCTCTTTAATTGCATGCAGAAATAATAAACAAAGAAATTCCGCGCTGGCGAAAACTAAACTAAATGATATATTTTATCTACAATCAAAATAAAGTTATAATATATATATTTTATAAAATTTCATTTAGCAAGAAAGCCCTAAGTACTTAAACTTTAGTTGCCCTGTGGGCATTTGATTACTATTTAAAAGTCAAAATAATATATTGTATGTATAACCCATTTTAATAGTATAAATGAATTTCTGGACTGAAACTGAAAACGATTCTTAGTAATTTTTTAGCTACAAGGAGCGGGAGAAAAATAAGTCTTTTTGTCGTTTATTTTAATTTTAAATTTATAACAGATTTTAAACATTTCAGCACGCATTTTTTTTTAAATACATAAACAAATTTTTCTGTGACATTTGTTAGGTTCACCTCAGACGCATTTTACCATAAATTCACAAATTTTGACAATTAACAATTGACAAAATGAAAAGACAAAAACTAAGCACCTAAAGGCTTATTGTTCAGGGCCAGGAAGACAGCTTTAAAATCTGTAAAATAAATGTATTTGACGTATCACAATCCTTCATAAACTATACACATACATACATATCAAAACAATTTTTTTACGCTTGTGCTTGTTGCAATCTCTTTTTCTGGTTATTGGGTGGTCCCAGCTTTTATTTTTGAGGGGTGTTATATAGATATTGCGTTTTAATATTAATGTTAATAAAAATTAGGTAAACTACGCCAGTTACGGTTGAAAGTATTAACGTAAAAAAATACCCAAATATATTGATCATATTTCAGTTTGGAAACATTCTGTTATGAATTTTACACTCCATTTAGTCAATACGCACGTGATATAAATCTCATTTTAATTCACTCACTGTTTTCAATATCCGAATCAACCTCTTTTAAGTTTCTAAAACCTACTAATATTCTAATTTCTGATTCTGATTTAGTGTGCAAGAGTACGTTAATGGTATTTTTTGTTCGATTACAATTAACCAAAACTAGTAGCATTTAATTGATATGCAATTAATAATTTTTTGTTTAAAAAATATTTTTCTCACTCAAAAAAACAATTACTTTTTCTCTGTATATACATAGCTCGTTTTTTTTTAATTCAAACTTTTTTGTGATCCTGTCTTATTCAGCATCAAAAAAGAATGTGTCAAATCACTATCATTGCTTATTTTTCTGTGAATTGGGGCGGTCAATTTAATTATATAGTGGAAATTAATTGATGAAAATTAAATTACCGAAAAATAATATTTCAACAGTACAATAAATCATTAAATATAATAAACAATTAAATCAATTAGAAAATTCATGATATTTTTTGTGGTAAAAGTTTTAATTTATTATTTATTGATATGTAGCTTTATAGATGATATTCGTTTCTCACATCTCATTCTCCATTTTCCCTTGTCTTTTTCTTTCCGAACTTGTATTTTTTATATTTCTCGTTTTCTTCGGGCATAGATTTTTTCAGCTCAATTTATTAAAGGTAAAATGACAGAAATGCTTATCAGCCGCCTAATAAACCATAACGCATTTTTGAGCACTAACGGCAAACTTATTTTTCGATACTCTTTTAGGAAGATCTGACTACCAATTAGGGCATACCAAAATATTTTTAAAAGACGCTCATGATCTGTACCTCGAACAAGAACGCGACAGGGTCATAACGAAAAAGATCTTGATATTGCAGAAGACTATTAAGGGCTGGGTATATAGGAGACGATTCTTAAGATTAAAAGCAGCTACTGTCACAATACAAAAGTACTGGAAAGGTTACGCACAAAGAAAACGCTACAAACTAATGAGAGTTGGCTATATGAGGCTCCAGGCTTTGATAAGAGCCAGGGTGCTATCGCACCGTTTCCAGCATTTAAGAGGTCACATTGTAGGCTTACAGGTACAAAATTTTAGTCTTATGCTGGGGAGGTAAGTTAATTAATATATTTATTTGTAGGCTCACTCTAGGGGATATTTAGTCCGCAGAGAATACGGCCATAAAATGTGGGCCATCATTAAGATACAGTCACATGTCAGAAGAATGATCGCACAGAGAAAGTATAAGAAACTCAAATTCGAACACAAAAAGCACTCGGAAGCGTTGAAATTGAAGAAAAAGGAGGAGAAAGAACTCAAGGACGCCGGAAATAAGCGAGCGAAGGAAATCGCAGAACAAAACTACAGGTACTAGACTAGTCTGAGTTATTATTATTTATTATTAATATTTCGAGCGTCAACAGGGACGGGCCCTTTTTGTCGCCCACGTAATATTAAATTTGTAATTTCAGAGAACGCATGTACGAACTGGAAAGAAAAGAAATAGAATTGGAAATAGAAGAACGCAGACGGATGGAGATGAAGAAGAACATAATTAATGACGCTGCGAGAAAGGCGGATGAACCCGTAGATGATTCGAAACTAGTTGAAGCCATGTTTGATTTTCTACCCGATAGTTCGAGCGAAACGCCCGGAACCGGTAATGTTTTACGAAACTTTAACAATAACGTTCATCACTGCTCTATTCTAGGACGCGAAACATCGGTGTTTAACGATTTGCCATCGCAACCCAACGAAAACGAAATTATTAGTCCCATGCAAACGATGTCTGACGACGAAGAAGATCTGAGCGAGTTTAAGTTTCAAAAATTCGCCGCCACGTATTTTCAAGGAAACGTCGGCCACCAATACTCCAAAAAACCGCTCAAGCATTCGTTGTTACCCTTGCACACTCAGGGAGATCAGCTCGTAAGCAGATGATTTTTGATTACTATTTTAAATCCCCCTAGCTTTACGCAGCAATAAAACTCGGCCGGTTGTTTTTAGTTCAACTCCACTATCGCTCTTTATATATACATTTGTTGAGATTTCTACAGACTCATAAATTGTATTGTTTGTGAATGCTTGTTTAACATATGTATCTTTTATGCTTTTTTTTACTTATTGGTTGGTTAAGAACTCTCAACGAAACAATTGCTTTGTTCTGTTGATCTGCATTTATTTTACCGTATTATGTTTTTCATTTTATTTTAAAAAACGCACTAAGATTTTTTTAACTGTGGTGAGTTCTTTTATTGTAAACAATAAACATTTTGAATCTTTTCGCAGGCTGCTCAGGCGCTATGGGTTACAATCCTCAGATTTACTGGCGATTTACCTGAGCCCAGATATCACATTATGGATAGAGATAACACATCTGTGATGTCCAAAGTGACAGCCACTCTGGGTAGGAATTTCATCCGAAGCAAAGAGTTCCAAGAAGCGCAGCTAATGAATTTGGAATCTGAGTCGTTCCTCAAGCAAAAACCGAGGTACTGTTGAAAGATTTCATCTATTTGATGTCACGAATTATATTGTTGCAGGTCGATTCGGAACAAGCTCGTTTCATTGACACTTAAGCGAAAGAATAAGCTGGGCGAAGATGTTAGACGAAAACTGCAGGACGAGGAGTACACTGCTGATAGTTATCATTCGTGGTTGGAATCTAGACCCACGAGCAACCTCGAAAAATTGCATTTTATTATAGGACACGGAATTTTGAGGGCAGAGCTAAGGGACGAGATCTATTGTCAGATTTGCAAGCAGTTAACCAACAATCCGTCAAAATCGTCGCATGCAAGAGGTAACTAGTGATTTAATAATAAATACCTGTGTTTCGAAAACGATAACCAGATGATAATTGGATATTTTGTTGTAACTGCTAATTTTTGGTGGTAGACACTACGCAATTTGTGTTTTTAAAATATAAACATAACTTTATGCAAAAATAAATTTTTGTGTGATATAAAACCCATTTACATGAAAATACAGTTTTTTAAACAAATTTTTCATTGGCATTTTTGATTAGAATTATATTTGGGAGACGACCCTTTCATCACTACACTTGCGATGAACGACTGAGCGTTTTGTCAAGCTGCCTGAGTGCTGCGGTACATATTTACACTTTCAATCAACATCTTTTAAGAATTCGATTTTTGCGCACAAATTCTAATCCCTCAAATTCTCTGTAGCATTAATTCCGTATTTTGTTTTAATTAGGGAAAGCTATTAAATTTTATTATCAACAAACAAAATTTAATTAATTCGACAGAGGTAATTAAGTCAACAATGCAATTTCTTTTTAAATAACAAATTAATAAATTAGGTATCAGTAGGGTTGTGGAATTGAATGGGCAATTTTTTTTGTGTCGATTGATTAAAAATACCATAAAATTTATATTTATTTATATTTTGTTTATTATTCTGAGAACCTGCTTGTTAATTTTAATTAATTTTGTCCTTAAATTTTAATGAAATGCTACGGAGAAACAATTTGGGTTTACAAAAATGATTACGAACCTTTTGCAGTGTTAGTAAAAAAAAGAGACCGAAGTAACCCTCTACCATGGGAATCACTTGGTCGATTATATGATCTCATTTATTATTCGATGTATAGAAAAATATTAACAGTTGTTATTGTAACACACAAAAAACTAGGCATAGTCCACTCAGAGCAATTGTGCATTTGCGTCATAGCATGACATCTTTATGTAGTTCATTATTGGATGTTGTAAATTGACACAGGAATTCTGTTTGTCAGTTTTGAAATCCGTTTCAAAAGCCGCGTCAAGACCAAAATTTACGTGACGTAAGTGCTTTGCACTGCTCTGACTGGACTTTATAATCAATATCAATAAAAAAAAAAAACTTTTACCTTTTTTACTTTTCAGGATGGATCCTTTTATCATTATGCGTCGGTTGCTTCGCACCATCGGAGAAATTCGTCAACTATTTGCGCGCATTTATCCGTCAAGGTCCACCGGGTTACGCCCCTTACTGCGAGGAAAGGCTGAAACGCACTTTCAATAACGGCACGCGAAATCAACCGCCGAGCTGGTTAGAGCTTCAAGCGACCAAGTCCAAAAAGCCGATAATGTTACCCATCACGTTTATGGATGGTAACACCAAGACCCTTTTAGCCGATTCTGCTACTACCGCGCGAGAACTATGCAATCAATTGTCGGATAAAATAGGATTAAAGGATCAGTTCGGCTTTTCCTTGTATATCGCTCTGTTTGACAAGGTGTCTTCGCTGGGAAGCGGTGGGGATCACGTGATGGACGCTATCTCGCAGTGTGAGCAGTACGCGAAAGAGCAGGGCGCGCAGGAGAGGAACGCACCCTGGCGGCTATTCTTCAGGAAGGAGATTTTCACTCCGTGGCACGAACCTACGGAAGATCAAGTGGCCACCAATTTGATATACCAGCAAGTGGTGAGGGGAGTGAAATTTGGTGAATACAGGTGAGTAGTAGTTTTTTCTTTAAACATTCGTAACAGTCTGAAATTTATTAAAACCGAAATTAAAAGATTAACCAACGCATTATTTTAATATCTTTATCCGAAATAATTAAGTTTCATAATGAAATTCATGTGTAAAAAAGACAGATTAGACTTATGACTTAAAGTATACAGGGCATCTCATTATTATGTAATATCAATATTGCAACGCTGTTTGGCTATTTGGTTCAAGAACCTTTAATGTTTTTTATAAAGGCTACCAGATAAAAAGTCCAAGACAAAATTATAAAAAAAGTTAAATAGAAAATTCCCCTTATCCCAAAATGTTCAAAAATTGAACCAGCTCTTGAGTCGGCGTTTCTCCATTTTTGACAAAATAAATGCTCATTTTCATTTCACCATCTTGAATCTAATAACCAAAGTAGTTCGAGCCCAATACAACGCTTTTTATAATGTTCGGATGCCCAATCTCTAGTTTAATGTCCTGTATGCTATTAATAAAAATGGTAGCTTCTGAATGTATTCTCTTTGTACTGGAGCTTATATTGATTTGGTATAAACAATGATCTACTGAGCCTTTCTACCATGTTTCAGGAACGACTAGTGCAAATGACGCCATAAATACGCTTTGGTTTAGAAAGGTTCGATATTATATGAGACCGAGTGTTTTATAAATTTTGTTATTATTTTGTTTAATTTTAAATTTAATTTTGATTATTTTTTATAAAAATTACATTTTAAAATGGTGAAAACTCTTTTCTTTTCTAATTGAAAAACCTTAAACTTTCGAGTGGAGCATTAGCTAACCTACAACATTTTCGCATAGGTTTGTTTAATTTAAGCGAATTATACGTACTTGATTATTTTTATTTTATTCTCTAGCACCGCCTTTAATTAACCACTATGGTTGACAAGGGAATATCCAGCGAAACATGCAATGCAGGGTTTATTATTTTTTTGGAAAACTAATATAGGACACAAAATGATGGTACATGGTACATATGAAAAAATATAAAACAAACAAGGTCTGCAGGTCAGTTAAAAATTGGTGGTTGACGTGATTTCCGGGGTCACACTATATTATATTATAGTTTTAGAATTGAGAATTTTAACAAAATTGCGAAATGTTTCATTAGGTGATTTTTTTCTTCGACTTCGAGACCAGACATTTTGAAACATAGGATTCTAATTGCTTAAATTTAGCAAAGTTCCACTTATGTGGCAATTTGGGACTAGAAAATTACAGGGTTGTTTGGAAAAACTTCACTGATCACGAGTTTGTAAACGGCTTAGGAACCTGAATTCGTAGCAAAGTTCCATTTATGCGGCAATTTGGGGTTAGCTATCTACCCATCATTGAGTAACACGACCTTCTATGTAAACTATGCAATATTGTGCTATAGATAAGATGCAGTTAGGTTATTATTATTATTATTATTATTATTATTATTATTATTATTATTATTATTATGGAATTTCATGGTTTCATGGTTATAAACATGAAATTTCGTATATCTAGTACTTGCTTGATTACAAGTATATAGCTATTACAGAATATAGTCGCCTCAGAACGGTAAAATTAATATTTTGAGAAAATATTTGTCTAAAAACCTATGCGAATTGACGAATTGTCAGCGGCCATATTGGTTGTTAAACTTCGCGAGGTCTTATTGGTTGGTTTGAAATAACGGGTGTTATTGGTTAAAAACAAGATTTCCAATGATCGCGCATGCGCATATTATTTATAGTTGCGTTCTTGTATTCTAATCAGTCATTATTCCAGATGCGACAAGGAGGAAGATCTCGCAATGATTGCCGCCCAGCAGTACTACATCGATTACGATACCGACATGAACGTCGAGAGACTGGTCACGTTACTGCCGAACTATATTCCGGATTACTGTCTCACGGGCGTCGAAAAAGCAGTGGATCGATGGGGCGCTCTGGTCGTACAAGCCTATAAAAAAAGTTACTACGTAAAAGAAAAAGTGCCAGCGTTACGCGTGAAAGAGGATGTCGTAAGTTACGCCAAGTTCAAATGGCCGTTGCTGTTTTCGAGGTTCTACGAAGCGTACAGAAACTCGGGTCCGGATTTGCCAAAGAACGACGTGATCATCGCGGTAAACTGGACCGGCGTTTACGTTGTAGACGATCAAGAGCAGGTCCTGTTGGAGTTGTCGTTTCCCCAAATTACAACCGTGTCTAGCCATAAAACCAACAAGGTCTTCACTCAAACGTTTAGCTTAAACACTGTGAGGGGAGAAGAGTTTACTTTCCAAAGTCCCAACGCTGAAGATATCAGAGATCTGGTCGTCTACTTCTTAGGTATGAATGCGTTTTCACAGCATGCGTTTTTCGTTTGCGTATTGTTTTCGAAGTAAATAACTATACGACACTTCCATTAAATTCGTCTAATAACCGAGATAGAAAATTCAGATTTTTCAAGATTATTTTTTTACTTAGAACAGAATTCCCAACAACCTGGAAAATCTATAATGAGTATCACCAAACGGTCAAGCATATCCAGGTGTATTTTAATTCGTACATTAAGTCCGGAAATATTGATAGCTTGGACAATATAAGTATTAACGTTTTAATTTTAATGGAAAAAATCCACTCTAAAAGCTTTCCGAGATATTATTTACGGATTTGAATGTTGACGTTAATGTAATGTTAATGTTAATAAATGTAACCTTATTAAAAAAAGATAGATACACTTATTTCAACTGTTTTTCTAACAGTAATAATTTCTTAATTAAAAATTCGACATTTTAATTTTCAGAGGGTCTAAAGAAAAGATCGAAATACGTAATCGCGCTTCAGGACTACAAAGCGCCCGGTGAAGGGTCGAGCTTTTTGACTTTTCAAAAGGGCGATCTGATAGTTTTAGAAGAAGATAGCACGGGCGAAACAGTTTTAAACTCTGGATGGTGTGTGGGAAGGTAGGTACATCTTCGTTTTAACTCATCGACCTGTCCGGCATCCCGAAAGAATTTTACTGGTTATTTTTTCAAATATATCAATTACTCTGTGGACACTCCAAAATCCAGTCTTTATGAGTAATATCAAGAAATGCCATCCAATTCCTTTATATGAAATTTGAGTACATTAGATTCGGTTCTCCCATCCAATTGATGAACCGTAATTAAAACCTTTGATGAATCCAAACTAAATATTTTCAAGGACATGTTGCCCGTGTTACCAACTTAATGTTATCGTTGTTGTTGACGATAAAGCACATGGTATAACAACGTGAGTCACCTTTGAGATTAATTAGATAATATAATAAAAAAAGATAATACAGAAGAAAACGATTACCTAGTTGTGACAAAAATAATCCCAGGATACTGATTGTACTATCTTAATGGCACTTTACATTTTTTCGTGTTTTGCATATATAATGAAAAAATCATTAAATCTGTTAATTTTTGGAGTGTACAGTAAAGCCTCCGTGAAATTTTAGTCATACAAAAGCTGTGAATGAAATTTATGAATACTACAGGGCTGCACCGCCCCGGTTGTACTTAATTAGATCTATTTAGTTTCACAAAAGTAATCTTAAAGTGGACAAAAGTATCACTGCAAAAGGTATTATTTTGCACTGAAAAGTTGCCATAACAGCTGAAAATGGGCTGCAAAGATAGACAATTGCCCAGCACATGAAAGCAGGTTCAGATTGTTTATAAGTGTCAGCTGCGAGTTGAGATCCATCAGCCTAATGAATAAATGCAGTGCCTTACCAAACAATATTTTTAAGAATTTCACTGTCACACTGTTATCAGTCATTGACTCCAACATAGTCTTTGCTCCGTGGATATTTCATTCATGATTCATTCATTCATTCTAAGTGTTTGTCACATGATGTGGTAATTTCCGTCAACACTATTAGGTGCCTGTCTAAGTTAATGCATAACCCCAGCTTTCCTCATCATTTTGTTTTTTTGTTTTTGCGATATTTCAAAAACATTTGAACCAAATTATAAACATTAAGCGAATAAGATGGCAATGATGGGTATTTCCTCTCCTATTCCTTATAACCTACTTCTACAGGCTCATACTTTCAAACAGTGGTTTAATTTGAACTTGATGTTTTCCACATCATTACATTTAATCTCATAGATTTTCTATTGGGTTAAGGTCTGGACTACGTAAAGGCAACTGGCTGGGGCTATGAATTGACTCAGAGAGACACCTATTAATGGGAACCGGAATTCTGACAGAATCTTGCAAACATAAAGTATAAAATATTCTGTACATGCCTAAAACTTAACTGTAAATAAAACGGATTTTCATAGCAATATTTCTGTAGATTTAAGCTACAATTTAAAAAAAACATGTACCGAAATCGATTTAGTAGTTCGCGAAAAAATCAAATTTTTTATTCACCTATTTAGATGCGAACGTACTGGCGAAAAAGGTGATTTTCCAGCGGAAACCGTATACGTGCTGTCTTGCATGAGTAAACCGCCTCCAGAAATCCTTGAGCTGTTTTCTGTCGAAGGTTTGTAAAATGAAAACGTCATCAAGAATTGAAACTTACACTCCTGCTTCAATTTGTTTGTAGAAGTAGAGAACGGTCGGCGATTGAGTCACCATTCGATGAATGGTACCGCTCCGAGAGACAAACCTCATACATTAGCCGAATACGCTATGGATCACTTTAGACCTCCTATAAAACGGACCATGTCCAAATCATTGACATTGAGCGGCGGTCGTAGAGGATTTGATGAACTGTGGAGACACTCGAGAGAACCTATCAAACAACCCTTATTAAAGAAACTAGTAACGAAGGAAGAGTTGGCGGGTAAGCAAGTTTAGGTTATTTTCTTAAAAAGCGTCGAAAAAAGTGTGTTTTCAGAGGAAGCATGTTTCGCGTACACAGCCATATTAAAATACATGGGAGACTTGCCTTCCAAGCGTCCCAGACTGGGCAACGAATATACCGACCATATATTCGACGGGCCGTTGAAACACGAAATACTGCGCGACGAAATTTATTGCCAGATCATGAAACAGCTCACCGATAATAGGAACCGGATGTCTGAGGAACGAGGTTGGGAATTGATGTGGCTCGCCACAGGTAAACCAAAACCTTTTTCTCCTTAAATATTCAAACATTTGTTTTAATATGAGTGTTGACAATTTTAGTAGGTACAATATATTACAATGCAAGAATATTGTTTTTGGAAATATTACTGTTTTTTTTTATTTCACAAATCGCAAAATTAATAACAGCAAACAGCCAAATCCCACAACTGATATTCAATGCGAACCTGGTAATATTAAGGGCTTGGATATATTTATATATAGAAATAAAAATGGAGGTAACTTTGTATCAGGTTATATATTCTATATATAATGGCTCGACGTACTCGTAGAGATATTCCTGACTAGTTAATTCGATAGGGTTCTGTGCGGTGCAGTGCATGCTCAAAGACGTTATATCCAAAGGAGATACGAAAATTCATTCCTAAATGTAAAATTAATAGCGAACTACCAAATTTAGAGTCCAAATTCGAAATGACCAAAAATCCTGAAGAAATATTAAGGGATTGGATCTAATGTACATGATAATCATTTAAATACACGCGAAAATAATTATATAGCGTCACAACATAACATAACACATCTGAGCAATAAATTGCAAATTGCTTGAAATATTAATTGATTGAGCCAGTTTATATCAAAAACTTATTATGGAGTAGAGAAATTTTAAAAATCATCGTGTGGTGAAAAACATTTGAAGACAGATTCACTCTAAAAATATGAAGAGTTGATTTAAAAATTAAACCTGAAATGTTTCGTTTTGATTATAAAAAGTGTTTAAATTTTTCCATCTTTTCCAGATTATGTATCACTAAAAGTTACATTTACATGTACAAATTTATTTTCTAAAACTAATATCACTGCCGTTGACGAGGGCAAACCCGTACGCCTGTACGCCACTGGTTTTGGCAAAGATTAATTTCAATTTCTGAAAGCCAGTTTAATTCTGCTTAAAAAGTGTCTCCGGACACGTAACTGAAAACTATGGAATTGTTCTACTGTCAGCGGTCGTGTTGATTGTAAAACACCATATGGTTTCATTGGTTAAAAGCATATAGCTATGGCTACAAGAGATAGATGCCCTGCTTATGCCGATAATACGGGAACTTATGAAGCAACTATAAAAAACATGTTAAATATGTTAAGAGTTAAATTGTAGGTCACTGAAATGCAGAGGTATGCACGCAAAATCAGTCCCTTCTCTATGAAAATAGTATAGCTACCTGAGGCGTATGAACTTTTACCATATTAACACCACTATATCTAATAGCCATATGATTGAAAGCGAGATATAAACTCGCAGGTCTTGTTGATTTCCAAAGTGGTTGTATTATTAGTCATATATCTAATGGCTATAGGCTTGTCTTTGGGCACTTATATAATATTTCTTTCCAGGATTATTCACGTGTTCTCAAAGTCTTCTCAAGGAACTGACCGCATTCCTCAGGAGCCGACGCCATCCAATATCACAAGATTCATTGCAACGACTTCAAAGGACTCTTCGAAATGGACAGAGAAAATATCCCCCACATCAGGTGGAGGTGGAAGCGATACAACATAAAACGACTCAAATTTTCCATAAAGTCTATTTTCCGGACGATACCGATGAAGCTTTTGAGGTCGATTCCAGTACCAGAGCAAAAGACTTTTGCAGGAACATTAGTCAGAGGTTAAGCCTTCGATCCAGCGAGGGTTTTAGCTTGTTTGTTAAGATTGCCGACAAGGTAAAGTACCTTACATCACTTTGCTATTTTTCGATCCAATTCCTTCATTCTTCTTCCTCTTTTACCCAAAAATAATGAGACTTCTATCATTTTTCTTTTTTGTTAATGTTGAATTTTGTGGTTTGGCATTATAATTTTATATTGGTTAATTTGTCATAAATAATAAAAACAAGTCACGTGCCTAATATAATGTTGTTTTAGAATTTTAATTATAAACGCACCTTATCGATTTGATGATTCAGGTGGAGCTAATAAAAGTTTCGGAGAATTAAAGAAGAAAATTTTTCCAAATTTTTGTATACAACTTTTGCAATTGTCTGTTCCAGAGTATAATTAAATATATGATATTTTATTTTAAAAAAAGCCATCGTTATTACATTTAGGAAACAATGTACATTGCGGAAAGATGGATTGGATATTAGAATTTTCATGTATTATGATACGTAATGCTTTTACGCAAATGCATTTTGTCACCTACGAAAAAAAAAAAATCCTTTTTTGGTTAAATTATGTATGCAAATGTTAAACCTTATTTATTTTCTAATTTTGTTAGCAAATAATCTCGTTGTAGAAATTGATTCATATATAATGACCATCGGCTGTCCAAAATATGAAAATGTTGGAATACACAATTGCTCATGCTAATAAAAATATTAAAAATTATTTCAAAAAATTAAATATTGAATAAAAAAAAACTTGTAATGATATTATACATGTCCACCGCTCGTTCCCATTGCTGGAGAGAGGGGACAATTTTGAAATCTTAAATGACAACCACAATTTTGACCGTCCTTTGTTAAATTAAATATATGTACATACTTACCAATTTTCGGCGTATTGATATAAATACTAAGATATAATATCAGAAATTAGCGGCTGACGTCATTGCAGGTGATCTCTGTGCCGGAAGGCGATTTCTTTTTCGATTTCGTGCGGCACTTGACTGATTGGATTAGGAAAGCGAGACCTACAAGAGACGGTATAACGCCCCAATTTTCTTACCAAGTTTTCTTCATGAAAAAATTGTGGACCAACACCGTCCCGGGCAAAGATCGCAACGCAGACTTAATTTTCCACTTTCATCAGGAACTACCGAAACTGATCAGAGGATATCACAAGTGTAGCAAAGAGGAGGCCATTAAGTTGGCTGCCTTGGTGTATAGGGTCAGATTCGGCGAGAGTAAGCAAGAACTTCAAGATATACCGTAAGTTTTGTCCATAAATGACCCGTCGTTTTGGAAATGATGTTAACCACCATTTTCTTGAGTCCAATATTGGCACATTTTAACATTCTTCTTATTGTGCCTTTTTTCTGTTACAGGCTCGTATCGCGTTTTCTATATCTTATTTCCCACAAAACTCAATAAAAAATATAAAAGAAAAGTAGTATAAGACGGGCACTACAAAACTTTAAAAAATAAAGTAAGATGGAATAATTTTTTGACCACGCTCCATATACTTATTCCGAGAGCGGCATTGAAAAAGTTACTTAAAAATATGTGATAAAATAGAAAAGATCCAGGAAGCAGCCTTAAACGCAACATGATCTGACTTATCTCTCAAAATAGTCGAAATTGGGATAACCTATACAGCGCAGAATTTCTTTTTCTGGCTGAGGAGATTAATTTATTGTGATTAATAAACGTGATCTATTTCAATTAGCACCAATTCTTTTTTTTTTTTGTTGGACTTATGCCTAGTTTTCACTGTTCATAGACTACAACATTAAATACCTCAAAGATTAAGAGAGAGAAAATAGGATTCGCTCTGGAGTGGGCGCCATTGCTCTGGTCATCTGCCCATTTTTCCAGCATCCGCCTAGGATTTCACTTTTGGTATAGACTAGTGTTTTACTTCTAATTTTTGTATGGAATTTTATAAACAAAACGTGTACAATACGCCTCATGATAACATCCTTTATAAAGTGTTATGTTTGGTTGAATGTTTTCTCAAATCTGTTAAACGATGTTCAATTTTAATTTGCGTAATGCCAGTAATATTAACACAACATGTTGTGCATAAAAACCGATGCACATAAAAAAAAAGTTGTGCATCTATATGGTTACCAATATGTTCTTTAATATGTTACTAATTTGGTAGTTATTCCGAAAATGTTGAAAAACTATTTTTTTTTTCGTATCAAATGATGTCAAATACTTAATAAGCCGTCATTTTTTAAAACAAGAGTTAACATTACTTTAGTAATAAATTTTATAGACACTACCCGTTGTAAATTTTTATTTGCTCTTGCCTCTACTGATTTGCTTTTGTGCTTTATTTTGTTAGAGTAGAAATGATACAAATAACAAGAAGCCACATTTTCGAAAAACTGTCAAAAAGGGTAGGCATTTAATACTGCTCCTACTCGCTTACATTTCTCCAATTTTGTGCGAAAAATAGAAATAGAAAATTGTAAATAGAAAAATTGTATAGATTGTCCTGAACAACGAAAAGTTAATTAAATTTAAGCTTACGTTAAATGTAAGAACTTTTCTAAAAACAATCGTATAACGGGTGTCTAGAAAAGTTAATATTTGAAAGGTTGATTCTTAATTTCTCTTAAGATAAAAATGCATCACCTAGGAGATACCGGGTGTTTTCCTTAAATCACTCCTGCCGTTTTTAAGCCATCGATTTAAAATTTGGAACTCTTATTTACCAGCCCGTGGTCAATATTTTCAATGTTCTAGCGATATTTAATAACAAACATTGTCTTTTATTGCAACATTGAAATGTGAGGAATTGGGGCCACTATAGCGCAGTTCTTGGAAAAAGTTGAAAATACAAAGCAAAATCCAAATCCGGTAGCAAATCAAATACTCTATTGATCATTCCAGTGAAATGTTACGCGAATTGGTTCCGGTCGATTTGACGAAAATGCAGTCGGTCAACGAGTGGAAGAGGTCCATAGTGGCCGCGTACAATCAAGATGCGGGCATGAATCCCGACGACGCCAAAATTGCATTCCTGAAAATTGTATACAGGTGGCCGACTTTTGGATCGGCTTTCTTCGAGGTGAAACAGACTACCGATCCGAACTACCCGCAGATGCTTCTCATTGCGATTAACAAACACGGGGTGTGCCTCATTCATCCTCGAACGAAGGTAAGTTATGTTTGTGTATGCGTATGTAAGTGTTCTATTTTCCATATAAACTATAAATCTGTAGAAGAACAAAATAGCTCATACTTGGCAATAAGTACAAAAAAAATCTATTATAAATGCAGACCTGGACATCTTGTATATTTTTTTTATTATATTTTAAAGCTATCTGATGCAATTTGCATTTTAATCAACTCAAGAGGGCGCCTGCTAATTTCAAGATTAATTAATTAAAAGATTAAATAGGGATCAGAAAGAAAGAACTTAAGAATTCGTTGTTATGTTCGAATTTGTCCCAATCTATGAAACATCAGCCTTTTGAAACGAAAGTTAAATTTGAAAGATTTTAGTTTGAATTAAATATTTCAGTTATATTAAATTAAAAAATAAACTAAAAATAGAATAGTAATGCTATATTTCAAAAATTGAGATTGCATATTAAGGCAGTATGCTAAATATCAAAAATTGTGTTTACCTATTTCTCTAGAACTTTTAATAGGTACTCAACATTTTTTGCCCTATGGAAATAAAAAATGTAAATCTGAAACATCCTGCAAATATGAAGATATTTTCAAAATATTCATCCTTTTTTGTCAATCTAAGTAAATAAGAACTAAAAGTTCGGATTTTTGACATTTTGGACATTTGTTTTTTATTTATTTTATAATTTTATCTATAATGGACAGATTGTAGCCGTTGTTCAGTGCAATTTGTTTAATGATGTTCTTTGTTGTAATTTTCTGTTGAGAGTGGCGTATTAATATAATAAGTCTGTGTATAAAAAAGTGAAATGCAGCCATTTTGTGTGTATAAGGGTGATTTGAGCTGTTATGTATGATTGTGTCCGCGTGTGAAGGTTTATGATAAATTAAAAAATCTAATTTGTTGTGCGCTGTCATGATAGTTAAGTCTAAAAAATTAATAGAGTTATCCTGTTCAATCTCGATAGTGAATTTTATACGATTAAAATTACTACAGCTCAAATCAACCTTATGCACACAAAATGGCTGCATTTCACTCTTTTATACACACATTTCTTAATACGCCACTCTCAACAGAAAATTACAACAAAAAATTTAATATCATTAAACACATTGCACTGAACAACGGCTACAATCCGTCCATTATAGATAAAATTATAAATAAAAAACAAATCCAGACACCAGTAAACTTTATTTATCCGAAACCTAATATATAACACGAACAATTTAAAACAATTACATACATAGGAGAACCTAGTGAAAAAGTTTCAAAACATTTGTCAAAATGTGGTTTAAAAATAGCTTTCAGAACTAACAACACAATAGGAAAATTTTTAAAAAACAATAAAACGAAATGTCCAAAATCTCAAAAATCAGGTTGAAATGCGGATCTTGTCCTAAAATTTATATTGGACAAATAGGTAGATTCTTCAAGAAACTCATTAACAAACATAAAAGAGCGTTTAAAAACAATAATCTAGATTCTAATTATGCTACACGCTTGGCCACAGACAAACATATTTTTGACGACAATTTTGGATATTTTACATACAGCCACAAAAAGTAGAAAATTAAATTAATTGGAAGCCATGGAGATTAACAAAATGAGATATTCAGATGTATTGCTTAAGGATCAATTAGATTTAAATACCTCTCCTTTATTGAACTTAAATTCTCACAACAACTTTAATTAAGGTTTTATGGTGATATTTCGGTATACCTATATAGTAGCAGGTAGTTTGTAAATATTACATTTGATAAAGACAGGGTGTTGTCGAAACAATTGTCATGTAAAAATATATAATTTAGTGAAAATCTGAACTTTTAGTTCTTAGTTATTTTGATAAATGGATTTTCATCAAGTATAGGATATCTCAGTTCAGTTTTTGTCAATCAATGCTATTTACTATATTCGTCCTTAAAAGTGAAAGTTACGTTATTTAAATATTCTTGAATTTAGTTTAAGAGATGCTTAAAGTGTAATCTACAAATCGTTTGTACTCCGTACTTCTCTGAAATACTGAAATATTCCCAGACCAAGCCTGCTCAAAGTATCACTTTAAGACGCCAGCTGCGTTAACTATGGTCGCGGACAATTCTGGTAACTACATGAGTGTCTCAATCAGTGAATGTATTTCTATTGCTTTGCAAAAATGTACCCAAAAACTAATTTTCACAGAAAAAGTATAGTACGGAACACGTTGACAAAGTCTTTAAGAGTGCTCCAAATGGTCCGTTTAAAAAAGTTTCAAAAATAAAGCACATTGATGGAAAATTCATGTTAAGAATGATTCTCTCTTAATAGACATGGATTTTCCAGCACCTAATAGACATTATTTCGTCATTTAAAAATTCGCGCCTCGTAAAAAATAATTCAGAAACAAAGTTTTCTTATGTTTTTTTTTGTGACAAGAAAAATTGAACAGGCGTAAAATAGTAAGGAATCAACTTTTCTCTGAGAAGTCTTGAGACGGTGGATTTACTCATTCGCGTAGCTGCTTCCAAACGCCTAATATTTACGGGATTTCCGTTATTCTATTGGGTCGTCCAACCAACATTATTATTATAAAACGATCCACATTCGCCTAACCGGGTAAAAATTCTTGAAAAATGTTACCCTGGAAAGTTTCTAGCTCCGTAGAGTTTTATATGCCTTCAACTTGTGCATGAAAAGGAGTACCGTCCCCTTATATTATTTCTGGAAATTCAAAAGAGCACATTTTAACGATAGTAACCATTAAGATTACCGCGTTGCTTATGTAAGTATCGTGATCGAGTATTATTGTTCTCACGACAGGAGGCTTCCTGTTTTTGATTCATACGGTAATAATTTTCAATTAATTTTCGTTCCATTGTTCGGAATTAATTATTATAATAATTACCAAAGGTATCTGCTGATTTTAATAGGCGTAGTTTGTTTGTTTGCATGTCATGCAAATCAGATGCTTACAGATTAACATTTTGTGTTTTTTCTGTTTCAGGACATATTGGTGACGCATCCGTTCACACGAATCTCTAACTGGTCATCTGGAAACAACTACTTCCACATGACCATTGGTAATCTAGTCAGAGGGTCGAAATTGTTGTGCGAAACATTGTTGGGTTACAAAATGGACGATCTGTTAACGTCTTATATTTCCTTAATGCTGACGAACATGAACAAACAAAGAAGTATGCGAATCAAATAGAAACTAAATAATTATTTTTACAATTTTTATTAAAATTTATTTGGTCGAATGTTATTTATTACATAATGTGTCATTGGAATTGCTTATCTGAGTGTTTAACAATTTTAAAATATCTATGTAAATCTCCAATATTTGATTTTAATGTTTAAATAAAAAACATCAAGGATCTAAATAGGCTATAGGTAGTATTGATTAAAAGTAATAGTTTTTGTTGCATTATAAAATTATTTTATCTATTTGTTTAATTATTTATTTACTTTATTTTATTCTATTTTTAGTCGGTTTCAAAATTGGTAATACTATCTAATGATAATTCCTTTTGCTCACGACTTATTATAATGTGAATGTCCGGTTATTAGTTTATTATTTCCTGCTATGTGTTGTATTTATATTGCATAATTTTAGATGTAAATAATTATACATCACAAGGTTAAATTGTAAATAGGAAAAGATGAGACAATAAATTATGTACACCGATAAAAATATTAATTGTTTTTATTGAACAATTACTCTGCAACAAAATACGACCTTTAAATGATGTTGCGTGTCAGTGACGAAAGAAACATTTTCATTTAAAAGTGTTATCTGGAAATTTGTAAAAAAATACACATGCAAAATAGTTTCTTACAATTTCTCTAAAAAAAAAACGCCTGTTACACCAAAATCCCGAAATATTTTTATTCGTTATTCACAGTTATTTCTCCATCCATTTCCATTTCGCAATATCGTCGCTGCGCGTCGTCTCAAACTTTGGTAAATAAAAAATTTGTATCAGCAAAAGCGATTTCGAACTACATTTTTTCAAATAACTCGTCCAGCGTGTATGATAGAAACAGTTCACAACACTGTTTAAATCAAATTGCCCGATTTTTCCAACCTATAGCCAAACTGCTTAAGAGTTATCACCGAAAAAGGCCAGAAACCGAGCACGCAGAAAGGACGAAAAAATATTTCTTTTTTCGACACTGAAATGTTCTTACCTACTAAAGGCGGTTAAATAAGAGAAATTTTTTATTAAATCTTAGACAATATCGAAAAATGCGTTTCATCGATTTTGCAAAAGTAATAACTTATAAAAAACAGTTTGAAGGGACTGCAGAATTTGCTAATCCGGTATAGAGCTCCTACAATTTCGAAGAAAGTAAAAATATTGTCCAGAATTCTACGCTATCACTATAGATTAGATTTAGATACCAGCGGGAGCACCACTCTCGATATTCATCCGTTTCACAGCGATAATAAGGGGACCAAATTACTGATTTGTTTTAATATTGTAGATATAATATTCATTACACAAAATAGTCTGCAGTAGCCTAAAAAGTAACAGATTAACAATGGCCCAGAGTAAACCCTAAATAATAGTATATTATGTAACAAATGTGGTAAACGGCATTTGAGTTTATTCGACACCAGCTGATCGAGTTTTACCAAACGTGTTGCATACGAGGGACACTTAAAAAGTTTCCGACCTAACCGCAAAGAGGGCTTCAATAGTTACTAAAAGTTAGTGATCGTAGTTGTGCACCTCTTAATAGTTATTTACCAAAGTGTCAGCCATTTTGGATTCGAGGTTTTTAGTTGAGAGAGAGAGAGCAGATAGAAAATATCCGAAGAACGTGATTGTCACATTTTAAGTCAGGATTGAGGGTGCCGCGTTTACTCACTTTAGACCAAAAACGTGTATGTATGAATATTTCCAATGCTCTGTTAGTGCAGTTTAGGCACTATAAATTGCAGTTTTGGCGCCGATTAATTACTGTAGATGAAACTTGAATAAACCATTATACTCCCGAATCAAAAATATATTCAAAACAGTGGACAGCAAAGGGGGACTCTGAGAAAAACAAAAACTTTTTTCAGTTGGGCAAATGATTGTGACTGTTTTTTGGGATAGCCATGGAGTCATCTCAATCAATCAATCAATTACTTTCAAAAAGGAAAAACCATTACAGGAGCAAACTACGCATCATTGCTTGGCAAGCTGGAAACCGAAATTGCGGAAAAGGGCCACATTTGCAAAAAAAATCTGTTTCACCATACCTCAGCGGTGGCCATGGCGAAAATCCATGAATTACCGTTTGAACTGCTTGACCATCTGCCTTACTCACCAGATTTACCGACTTCTTTTTTGAAAAACGCTAGGTTATAAGGAGACGTAGAAAAATTAAAAACAGGGAAAACATGTCTTGTATCATTGTTAGGTTGGAAACGTTTCAAATGATCCTCGTATTATACTTTTTCTACGACCGTTGGTGTGTGGATACATTTTTGCAAAACAACACTATGTATTCATGTTGTTGCCAAATTTGACAAACGTCCATATCCAAGCCGTGCAGTAATATCTCCGAAAACATCCGATTGCTCCTAAACCCGTGCGGTAATGTCCCGGAAATGTCCGAAGTGACTCGGATTCGTGGCAAACGAAAGTGCCGTGTTAAAATGACATTTTCCGCACGCTAGATCGATGTATAATTAGATATTTTACCGAAGGGAGTGTTAATATTATGCAACAAGTGCGATAAACGGCAAAAAGGTTACCGAATGTATGTATGCATACTATACTTTTTCTACGACAGTTAGTTTTTGGGTACATCTACAAAAAAAATAATACAATCCTTTTTGTATTGACTTACACTTCCTAAGTATATAATCTTTATGTATACGCGGTTGTTATTTATTCAGACCAGATAGAAACTGTCTAATTTTAAATGTAACACCCTCTAAGTATATTGGGAGAGTGTGTTCAAGACAAATTCAACGATATGTGGTAGTGCAGGCTTGTGACGGGACGTTTTGAAACTCACTTCCCGAATACACATTTTAAGTATATGATTTTTATGTATACAGAATGTTTAATTTTTTATACTCAGGTAGAAAGTTTTTTTATTTTAAATGGAAAGCCCTGTGATACACATTCCGGTGGTGCGTTTAAAAACGGGTTCAATAACATATGAGAGTGGAAGTCTGTGCGTAAAGTTTCATGTCCAGAGGCGTTTTCCTTCATTTTTTGACATAAATGGACATTGTCACAACGAGAGTTTTTATAGTATATTATGCAACAAGTGCGCTAAACGGCATTTGACTCACGAGTTATTTGATAAGAGCGGAGCGAGTGTTTAATAAACGAGTGACTTAAAAAGTTTACCGAACGTGTTACATACTATACTTTTTCTACGACCGTTCGTTTTTGGGTACATTTTTGCAAAACAACTGACATGACCGTCAGAATTGATAAACGTCAAAATTTAAAGCGTAGGAAATATCTACGAAAACATCCGATTGCTCCCAAACCCGTGCGGTAAATTCCCGGAAATGTCCGAAGTGGCTCGGATTCATGGGAAACGAAACTGACGTGGTAACGTGACGCTTCCTGCACGCTAGATTGGTGTGTAATTAGGTATTTTACAGACAGGACTAGAAAAAATATTTTTCTCCATATGCCAAATAAAAGACTGAAGGTCGCGATGCCTTATCCTTATTAGCCTTAGCCTAATACTGACGGGATAATTAAATTATTTTATTTTAATTTAAGCTCACTGGTCTTCGTCGAAATCAAATTCGGGTATATCTTAAATCCTATATCAATAATATCTTGATTTTTTATTCATTTATATTACATGATATAAAACGCATGATAAAAATTACTTAAATTAAAGTATTTGCAAGAATTCAGTGAAATAACTGATTCATATACAGAAATCCCTGCCCGTTAGTTTTGCACTTATGGAACCAGTCCAAAATTGTTGCGATCTTTCTCAAGTGTCCACCTGAGTTCAGTTTGTAAAATTATGTCAACTACTTGGGTAAGATTTTACTTCGTTTTCTATGGAAAGTACCACTTAATGGGCATTAATATTGCTACCGTACATCATGATCATAAAAGGTTAGAGGCTATAACTGAGTCGGAAAAGAATTCGTACTCGGTTCGCAGGGAATATGGTTTCCTTCGCACAGTAAATAAAAAAATCCCACATTTTCAAAGATAGTAATTTGTGTTTAAATGTGGGAAAGTTAAGAAACAATAGTGTTATTTCTAATAATCAGCTTCCGCTTGTATATTAATCAGGTGCTCCGGTTCCCACAAGCGCCGCCGCGGGCAAAGGTAAAGATTTTGCGTTTGCGGTCGTGAGAAATTCGGAAATATGTGATTTACGGCTGTGGGGGACTGTCGAGGCAGACAAAAGCTTCTCATTTATGTTCGCTTGAAGATGGTAACGCGCGATATCGAAAGCTTTACTGTTTTACGGGCTTAATGTCTGCGTGTATCCAAGTTGGTCATCGAGCAAATCCACGTGGCAGAACAGGGAACCTTTTATTTTAAATCTATGTGTAATAGTATTGCAACATCCAATTTTAATAATTATAATTCATAACAATATTCTCTGTAAAATAAAAAATTGAAGATATTGATGAACATCATAAAAACTAAAGTATTTTAGAATTAATTCTCGGTATAAATACATTCTATTCTATTGTCTGAAATATTGTTCCTCACATTTAAAGACACATACACACATACTAAAATACTATTTCAAATTTTGTTCGTCTGAAAGTAACTAAAAAGTTATATTAGTTGCGAAATAGATAGTTTGGACAATAGCCTTTGCTTTTTTATCACAGAAATATGGACTGTCTTAACACATAATTGTATTTAATAGCTTTTGAAAGAAAAGGATAACGCATCATTTTAGGTAGTTGAACAGGTATAATGATATACCATAAATTTCATCACTTACATTTAAAAAACTAATATTTTCAGTTATAAAAATTAACTCAAAACATAAATTAAATTAATGTCATCTCAATGTGTATAATGTGGACGTGTTCCGCTACGGCAGAGATAAGTGCTAGTTTTATAGATCATTTTTATGAAATATTCAAATCATACTTAAACAATAGATTTTTTCTAGTAAAACATCACTTGGAATATACGGATATATATCAAATTAACTCCGGAGTACCTCAAGGCAGTGTGCTGGGACCAGTACGGTACCTATTATTCACCTCCGACAGTATCCACTTTCGCTGATGATACAGCAATACTAGCTTCTCACTAAAACCCAGAAACAGCAACTGCAGGAATCTGCACAATAATCTAAATACTCTAGAACTATGGCTAAAGAAATGTAAAATAAAAGCCAACTAATCAAAATCTCAATACACCACATTTACACTGAGAAGAGACCCATGTCCTCCAGTAATACTGAATAACAACCATTTAACACAAGTATAGAGCGTAAAGTATCTGGGTATACATCTAGACAAACGATTGACGTGGAGTCATATTCAATAAGAGAAAACAACTGAGACTCGTACTACAAGAGCTACTGCTAATTGGTATAAAATCGTAAATGTCACTGCAAAATAAGATTCTTGTAGATAAAAGAATTATAAAACGCGTCTGGGCATATGGCATACAACCAAGTCATAGAAAAAGACACCATCACAAATGAAATAGAACGCTGCATTGAGAGACACAGAGGCAAAATAAAACTACATCCAAACGTGCTCACAGGTGCGCTACTTGACACAATTAATGATGTGCTAAAACGTTTTAAACCAACAGACATGCAATCAAAACTAAGTATGTAGTTCAAGAGAGGAGGTACTTATTGTTTATATATTGAAAATCAATTGTAAATTCTTATTTTCTTATTTTTCTTATTTTGAAGTTAATAAAAAAAATTGAAGTGTTAAATAACGATTTGGGCAAACACACTTTTTTTGTTGTTAGAATGCACACCTGTACATTCACAATGTGCCCATACGTTCGCTTGTGAAAATATTTGTAATAAAAAAAGGCATATGAATCGATCTCTTCATAGGGATCATCGGTATTAAAATTTACTCCCTTTTTAACAGTTCGTGTCCTTGTCTTTCGCCTTTCTTTTTTGCTGCCACCTTCATTTCAGTTTTTGTCATAAATAGAGTGCTCGCCATATCAGCGGTCCCCTGAGTATATTTTCTTTTGATTATACTCAAGGAATTGGAGATATTTCTTGCATTGCATATTTATCTTACAGGAAACAACATTCTTCTTCTTGTATTTTTGTGTTTTCTACATAGTTCTTGAATTTGTAAACAGCAGTCTTCTTTAAGACTACAGATTATATTCGCGGTAGATAAAGGTACATCATAAGAATACAGATAAGTATTTATTAAGATTCTAATTATTAAACATTTTTCGAAGGTTCCTGTTCCTGTTCCGAATTCAGAAGAGGAAGCAGGAGCAGCAAAAAAAAAAGTGACATAGAACGTAATAAATTGTTACTTGGTACTAATTTTTTTATGTACATGCTTCAAGAATTGTTCGGCAAAAAACATTGAAAACATACTTATATCTCCCTTTTTAGTATAGGTAGATAACTTGCTAGGACGGTCCTGGAATGGTTACGGGTAAGGGGCTGATGTTTTGGAGTAATAAACAGTAGACAAAATTAATCACGGGGTCCGTTGTAAAAGCACTATAATTCTAGTCCAAGTTATAGTTGTTGTTCAAAAAACAAACTTTGGATATGAATTTTAGTAAATTCCTTAACGTTTTGTCTATCTTGGTAACCAGTAAAAACAAATTCCTATTCTCGGATCAAATGCATTATACTGCGTTTATGCTGCTTTTATCGTACTATTAGAGATACTCTTCTGACCATATGACACCTGTTAGAGATATTGTATACCATTGCAGAGTGATTCACCAATGGTGACCAAACATGAAACCTAATAAACTTTGGGGATTTTTAAGCGTAGTATTTTATCTAGGAAACAGTGTTAAGCATAACAGAATATTATGCAACAATTGTGGTAAGCGACATTAGAGTCGCGAATTTGTTTGGCGCAAGCGGAACGCAATAGAGCAAGTGTTTAATAAACGAGTAACATAAAAAGTATTTCAAACGTGTTGCATACTATACATTTTCTACGACCATTAATTTTTAGATAAATTTTTGCAAAACAACATGAGTAAGTGAACTGTGACATGAACGTCTGAATCGAAACCCGTTTGTAATATTCGTTTGTAATATTCGGGAAATGTCCGAAATGGCTCGCAACTACGCAACTAAATAGAACAGCCAAGAATTCTATATAACTTAACTACTCAACAGTTTTTATCATGTAGCTTGGTGTGCTGAAATCTGGGTATCTCGTGTTTGTTACTCGGATTATACCATTAGCCGTACCCGGTTTCAGAGGATAATTCAGATTTTATTAATTTTTTGGTTTCAAAAAATATAGAGAAATATGGTGGTTAGTGTTATTTGCATGTATAAATAAGACTTGTTAAACACATTTGAAGAGTCGAATATTGTAAATCGTTAAAAAAAATACTGCTTAATAGATGTAAAAAAGACACAAAACTTTTTAATTCACTTGTTTATTAAACACTCGCTCCGCTGCGTTCTGCTCGTATTAAATAAACTTGAGAATCAAATGCCGTTTACCGCACTTGTTGCATAATATACTCTTCTATTCCCTGCCTTGCACTGTCCGGAGTAGGACGTTTCCAGTCTCCGGTTTAGGAGCTATCGGATGTCGTAGAAAAAGTTTAGTATGCGGCACATTGATACACTCATTCAGCCACTCGCTCCGCTACTCATTCGTGCCAAATCGAACTCGTGACTAAAGTGGAGTTTATTAAATTTGTTCCCCATAATACACTATTATAATACCTATTTAATACACTAATATATTATACAAGTTGTTGGGTATTATACCTTTTCTACGACCATTAGTTTTTGGGTACATTCTTGCAACATTGCATGGGTACATTGCACAAACATTTGCAAACATTCACTGTAAAATGTGGCGTGTCTATTAGAATTTGATATACGTGTCAATGTGATTAACGAAGTTCGTCTTAAAGTGACACATTCTGCACGCTTGACTAGTGTATAATTGGGTATTTTTGAGTAGAGACTAGAAAAAAAATGTTTAACATTCTTGGTTCGGAAATTATTCGTCGATTCGTTACTCCATCTCAAAGAGTCAAATAGTTGTTAAGTTGTAATTATATTACTATCTAATGAATTCATTGCGCAAACGCCAATTTCTATAGGATCAGACTTTGTTAGTGCTACGATCTACAATGTCATTATGGTGAAAACTTGGAACTGACACACAAGTAACATATTACCTCACCGAAATATATAACGCAAATAAAAGAATAAGAAATACAACATTAATTTTCCATGATGGTGGTCTCTTTACTATTGCACAGGCATTTTCAATGGTTACTCTTCTAAAGCAATTTAAATGCTGTTATTGTTGATATCAGATACTATATTAAAATAACTGGTACTTCGAAGCAATTTTATTATTTTTCTACTTTATTACAATTTTTTAATTAAAGGTGTTCTCGATCAGTTGATGAAATTATTTAATTACTGCTGCAATGATATTAACGTTTTTTGTCTTAGTCGCTCACAGTTTACCACATTAATTAAACGTAAATTGGAAATATTGTAATGGATTGTATCTTTCACTTTTGCTGGAGTGTATATAGTTGACTACGTTATAATTATAGTTCTCAAGAGGAAATTGTCTTCTAAATGGATGTTAATCTGTTAGACAATAAAGATTATTATTATTATTATTAATACTATTTAATTTTATTAGAAAATTACTAAAACTGTTTCCTGATCCAACCTCACCAACTTGCATTAAAGTTTTAAATCAAAGCAATATTATGGAAACGTGTTTATACCAAAGTGGTTGTAAACTTAGCACCTACAAAGCAAACTTTATTATAGAGTAAGGAAAAAAACTGAATGTTCGTTACTGTCACTGTCAAAATTTAAATTATCTGCAAGAGAGAAGTAATCCACATGACTTGCATTAATATACATTCTATTTAAAAATGAAAATAATTTTAGGTTTGACATAGCCCCCAGATAGGGTAATATAAAGATAATGCGAGTTAGTGTAACCTGGGAATCACTATTTAGAAAGAAAATGGCAAATAACGTCATCGTCCCTAGGTATAAAAAATTATTTACTAATATGGGATAAATTACACTAGAAATTGTACTGTTCTAAATAAATAGCTATATTTCAAAAAATATGCACTATATACAGCAAATTCTTCTACACAAAGAAAATAAAAAAAATCACACTCAAATCTTTAATATAAAATACTATACTTTTTACAATTTGAAAAATTTCAGGACAATTCCATGCACCGTATATGTCACAGTAGCATAACGGCACAAAATAATTTGCTACTCTAGAAGTGTATGTTTACATATTTTTAAACTTTCCTACCTTAAATATAAGGTATAATCATTATTGCAATAAATATTTTCTCTTGCATTTTTTAATTTGCACGAATAACATACAATGACTCACAAACCTTACCAACCCCCAACTCAAAATGAAATGGTTCAGTAATAAAAGAATATCATACACGTTTCGAAAATCAAATACGCAGGTTTAGTTTTGTTGGGGATCGACAACAAGCAAACAAATTCGTAATTAATACTGCCGGTCGCAAATTAAAAAAGCAATTATAATAAAACTTTGGTTTGTTTCTCATAGGTGAAATCACTTACACTAAAAAGAAATTCTACGGTTTAAATCTAAACAGATATATCACGAGTTAAATAAAGTCGATAGAAGCATGCTTCTAATCACTTCCATTAGACCTGAGATCTTATTTCTAAAAAAAGAAAAGCAAGAACTTTATGGCAATGGTAAAACAATTTTTCTAAAATAATTATAAAGAGAACTAGGTTGAGTCATGCCCTATCAATGCCGTAAGTAGAAATAGTAAAGACTACATTGACTTCGTCGCTTACTGGGCGAAAAAGATTGGCTCCACATTGCTTTTGGTAGAAAATATAAGGACTTAACAAGATCTAAGAGACAAAAACAATATCTTCTGTACAGAAAGCGATGACGTCCTTGTACTTTTTACTAATAATTCTACTGTACTACCTTTCTCTTAACTGCTTTTTGTTTCTTTGCTTAAAAATAATTAAAAACGGAATACAGGGAATTTATATTTTTATAAAAAAGCAGTAATTATATTTGGAAAGTTTGGATAAATAAAACAAAATGTCAAGTTTAATAATATCATTACGAGAAATTCTAAACTAAATTAAATAAATAAATAAAAACAATCATTCACCTCAACCAGGAAGCAATTATAGAGTTCTCAAAAAGTTTTTACAAAAAATGTTAATCCAGGTAATTAAAGGCTATTAAAGAAATTAATTTTTCTAAATTGGAATGCCCTGTTGTCTTTTTCAGATTGCTGAGAAGCTTTATTTAATGAAATAAAAACCCTGTATACCGAGACGTCGCCTTTGGCAAAAAAATCTTGGCAAAAACGAGACCGATCAAACATAATTGCACTGAATGTTAGTACCAAAAGATGGTTGTAACTTTAGTAATCTGAGGTATAAAAAAATTGAATCCTACTTCGCCTTTAGTCAATGCATATTCCACGCGTTTTCCGCAATAGCGTTCTGGTTCGAACTTTGCGATATGGTGGCGCTCCTCTGGTTCTGCCTCATAATTTCGTCTGCCGGGCTACAATGGGGCCTAGGGCCCGGTTCCGGAGTGTATGTGAATGTCAGTCCAGTGGCATATATAATACCATCGTTTCTAACCAAGGACACAGGTACCTGTGTTGGTTGTCTAACCTTAAAACAAAATTGGTGGGATTGTAAATTCACCGTTTGTACATTTCAAAAAGTCGAAATAATGCATAGATCAAGCGTGCGCAAAGTTACTCTAGTCACGGGCGATCAAATGTTTTCGGTAGATTTAAAATACTGATCATATTTTGACGCGCCACTTTTGATAGTTATGTAAGAGGTCACTCAGTGAGTGCTTTTTTACTGTTCTACAAAAATTTACCTAAATGGATAAATGTGGATAAAGTTATTTAGTCACTTGCTTATTAAACACTTGCTCCGCTCATAACTACACTTATGTTGTTTATGACAGTTGTTGCCTAATAATTTTAAGATGTTAAGATGTTTACCAGTTTAAGAGTAATTATCACTACCCGATTTTTTTAGACAAGTTAATAATGGGAGGAAACTTAACTGCAAGGCTAATAACGCGCACATTTGTCCAATCTCCCCTGTGAGTCAATTGTTCACCCTCATAATATTAACTTAAAACTCAGGTTAAATCCTAGTTAACCAGAAACTGAAACCCGTGGTGGAAGATCAATACAATGAAATGTTTTATGCAAACTCATTTATCCAAAAATAAAATCTCTCTAGTCTCTGTCATATAAGAACTCACCCATAACCATTCTCCCCGAAACTGAGAAATATCAGGAACCACACAGAGCATACTCTCCTGACACCGATACATAGTCTCTGCTTCAACATCACCAAACCAGACTTGCAAGGATGGGGAAAAGTTGTCGCCTGTTAATTCTAACATGGCTACATCCCCTCCACCATTTAAATGAAGACTATGAACAATAGGTACAGGAGTCACCGGAGATCTAGAGAAAACAATTTGGTTCTGTCAATTGAGCGCTATTAAATTCCATATGATTTATTTTTTACCGGACGGGCCCCATTCCTTCGTAAAATTGATATTCGGCCTTATCAGTTGAAATAATGGTCCAGCAGGCGCCGTCGTTGATCATTTCTTTGTTTGATTCTTTGGGGCACGGCGTCGCTTGAAACTGTATTATTCTTTCCTGAGATAAACAAAGATACATGCGCTCGGTATCTTTCATGTAAAAGGCACATTTATGAAGTTGAGAAACTGGATCATCAGCTTCCAAGAGAGCTTGCTGTTTATCAACCTGGGAAAGAAAACAGTGCTGCACTATAAATGCTGTGTTGATTTTTTGTTTAAAACAAAACAGTGTATAAAATTTTTCTTTATTTTTTTGCTATGAAATTTTTCTGAATAAACACTCATTTTGACCTTAACAGTTCTCTACAACCTCAATAATTAATTGTTTATTGAACAGCTATAACAAAGTATTTGGCTAAATGTTATTTTTCAGGTCCAAGTGTATTAAAACATATTTTATAATCCCTAAGTTTAAATCAGGCGTCTTAGGAAAGTGGAAATTATTTAACACTAACAAAAACTGAAGGTGAACTAGCAAAACAAATTCTGACTTTTTTGTAATTTGATTTTTCACCTTTCTCCCATCATGTTTGAGAAAAAAATGTTAAACCAATTTAATGAATTTCATTAGACTGGATTGTTGCACTATCCTCTATTTTGCTTTTGAACAAAGCTAAGCTATTAAAAAAAATACAACAGTCTGAAAAGTCTTACGCGCACATAGTTACATGTTTATATGTTCTTAGTCAAGCTTTTAGTTTAAAATATCTGAAAGCCATGGAAACAATAAATACATGCAACACACAGCTGATGAAAACAAAATCAATATTATAAAACATGACATATTCTTGAAAAAGAAATAAATCAATATTATAAAATTAATTAAATTCCAAACATAGAATTTCAGTTCAAACAAATTTTTCATTTTTAGTTTTTGTTTTTCCCATTGAAAACTTGACTAGTAACCAAATACTTTTAGTATGTTTCAATTGGTTTACATTTACACTTTTGTAAATCTACATACATCAAAAAAGTTATGTGATGGTTTTCACAGAATTATATGCAGAGTGTCTAGTCTTTGAAAATATAAAACATAATATAATATAAATAACAAAAAGTAATACCTTTCTTATAATCAATCGAGGTAGTGCCATTCCAGTAACGGAACACACCAGCTTAACAGTTGAACCATAATGAATGTAACCATCCCTTACTTGGAATTCTTCACTCTCTGATTCATTATCATCCAATAAATGAATAGTAAAAGCACCCCACTGTGTTGAGCTAGCATGAAAATGTCCATTTTCCACATGCAAGTATCTTGTAGAGACAGTTTGTGAACGTAACCTGTTAAACAGTGCCACTTTTGTACCACTAGCAATACACAAATCCGCATTTTTTAAACTCTGCTTCTTCTTTGAAGGTTTTGATATCACTTTTATTCTCTTACTGTGAAAAACACCTATATCATGACCTGAACCGTAGAACATTTTCACTGACAACATGAAGTGTTTTCTCTTATCAGAATCAGAAATGTATAATGTTTTGGCCGCACAATACTGCTTTCCATTATTTAAATCGAGCTGTTGCATGTCTTGATCAGAATTTCCAATACCAATAAAAGCACACAATTGTGCAGCTTGTTCAGACTCTCCTTCTCGAAGCATTTGTTCTTGACGCAGTCTCCAACCATCACCAAACAAATATATACATGGCGGTGGACAAAAAAACCTTTTCTCATTACCATAAGATTTTTGAGCAACTTTTGCATGTAAAATTACAATGACCATGTCTGATCTCTCTCTCAAATATTTCTCCATGGCTTCCCTGGTTAGCTTCCGATCTTCGCCTCTATAACCTCCAGGAACGACGGCACTCGCGAATCGAGGGTACATGGCCCCATGTTGAGGGGGTGGTGTTGGTGGTGACTGAGCATGGGCAATACCCGGCAAGCCATACTGATGAGGCATTTTAATTTATTAAAACGATCGCTAACAAATTAAAAACACATCAACCATACTTATCCTGCAAAGATAAGATGATTCTAAAACATCTCCAATACCCCGACATTAAAAAACACTTTTAACGATCGCTATTTGTTGTCAAACACAACTCACTACCAGCATGGAACAAACTCGAATGCCGCTAGCCGTGGGAACCTAAAACTGTTTCGTCCCCTCTTGTTACCACTCATTATACTTATTTCCTTGGGAAAAACACCTGTTTTTGAGCCGATTTTTTCCCGTCTCGTCTAACTTTGCACTCGCTCTGCACTGGGCATGCGTCGTTGATATCCGAACTGTATTTATCACAGACACGTTATTGGCAGAGAAATTGTCAAATATCGGAATTGAAATTTTCGAATTTTCTTCATCAAAACCTGAATTCGATTTCCAAACAGGGACGTACTGGTAATGTTGTTTTTCCTGCAGCTCAGTAATGGAAAAATTACCACTAATATGAATACCATTTAGCGATTTATGAAAAGAAATATACTTCTATTTGCGCGGATTACAGGTTCACACACAAAAATGTTAATAGAAGTAGGAATTAACACTAACGCACCAATTTGAATATATTGAAAATAACTGTCTGAGCCTGCATAAAATTATTATTATGTAATGAATTTGTAAATGAACCGAACAGTGGGTAAGTTAACAGTAAAAGTGTTATATATCTACTTTGATTTTATTTAGGTATAAGTTTTATAGTAGTTTCTGGTGATTTTGCTGTCTTGCAACAATTACAATGATTCACACTGTCGTGAAACACTTTGTTTATTTTCTGATTTTATTGGCAAATGGAGTGTGGAGAGAAATTATAATTCAGTATGTCAGGGACTGAAGAAAGCACACCGTGATCGCAGAATGCTAAAAAATAATTTCGGAAGTGCTTTCGAACTTTCGAGTACCCAAACTAAAAAAAAAATAAAAACACGTTCATTATCTATCCACTATCCTGTTTATTATATGGTTTGTTCCGTGATTTGTTTTCTAATCTTAATTTAAATTTAAACCGAAAAATATTTATACATTAATCAAAAATTATTTTGTGCTTAATTTTAGTTTGTCAACCTTGCCTAATAAACAAACCACAAAATCATTTCGTTATATGTTTAATTTTACTATCTAAATACGACTCTGTCTTAATGGCAGCCAACTGTGAACCCGTAGTGCAGTTGGTTAGAAAAACATTTTTCTTCTCCATTCTGTAATAGTATGTTATGCAACAAGTGTTGCATGTTGTGTTGTTAAAGTTTAGTTTTTGGGAACATTTGTGCAAAACAAAACGAATAAGTTTACTGACACGACCGTCAGAATTGACAAACGTCAAAATTTAAGCGTGCGGTAAATTCTCCGGAAAAATCCGATTGCTCTCAAACTCGTGCGGTAATATCGCGGAAATGTCCAAAGTGGCTCCGTGGGACGCTTTCCGCACGCTAGATCGGTGTATAATTAAGTATGTTACAGAAGGGAATAGAAAAGATACCTATTTATACACCGACCTACCTGCCGAATGTTTTTTTTCGCTTGTATAAAACAACTAATTATACACCGATCTAGCTTGCGGAAAGTCACTTTACCACGTAAGTTCCATGGACTCGAGCCATTTTGGACAGGATTTTACGGCACGGGTTTGGGAGCAATGGGATATTTTCGTAGATATTACTGCACGGCTTGAATTTTGACGTTTGTCAATTCTGACGGTTATGTCAGTAAATGTATTCGTGTTGTTTTGCAAAAATGTACTGAAAAACTGATGGTCAAAAAAAAACTATAGTATGCAACACTTTTTCCGCTGCGCCCCGCTCGTGTCGAATGAACTCATGACTCAAATGCCGTTTACCACACTTGTTGCATAATATACTAATTTTACTGCCACGGTTTTTTTTTCCACGGATCCGAGTCACTTCGGACATTTCCGGGATGTTATCGCACGGGCTTGAGGGCAATCGAATTTTTTCGGAGATATTACCGCACGGCTCGAATTTTGATGTGTCCTAAAATTCCTAAAATGGTCATAGAAAAAGTATAGTATGCAACACGTTTCGTAAACTTTAAGTCACACGTTCATTAAACACTCGCTCCGCTACTACCAATAAACAAAACTTATGACGTATATCAAACTTGTTGTATAATGTACTACCAATAAACAAAACTTATGACGTATATCAAACTTGTTGTATAATGTACTATCTTCCTCTACGTTTTGTAAAATACCAAATTATCCGCGAAAGTGTCGCTCTAAGATGCCAGCTTAGTTATTCTTAATGACTGTGTCGGACATTTTTGGTACTTTGGCAACGATCGGTAGATTTTAACCAGAGGTTGTGCAGTAAAATAATTTTTTCTACTCCCGTCTGCAAAATACCTAATTACCCACCGATCTCGCCTGCGGGAAGCATCACTTTATCACGTCAGTTTTATTTCCCACTGATCCGAGCTACTTCGGACATTTCGGATAATTTCGCCTTAAATTTGACAATTCTGACCGCCATGTCAGTGAATGTATTCATGTTGTTTTAAAAAAATGTACCCAAAAACTAAGGGTCGTAGAAAAAGTCTCTCGTTTATTAAACACTGCGCTCCGGTAGTGTCAAATAAACTTGTGAGTCAAATGCTGTTTACCGCACTTGTTGCATAATATACTGTTATAAAGAAAAAATTATAGTTATAAAATTTTGGTACTAATCTCCCAGTAGGAACTCAAATACACATCCAAAGATCTTTTTTAGTTGGTTTATTTTTTGGTTAGCAGTTCTGAACCAGAACTTCTTATATTTAATACCTTTGCAAGTATTGGCAACACCGCTGTCAGCTGGAACTTAAGCGCCGCCGCCATTTTTGCGTCACTGCCGTTTATATAAAACTGGCAATCTGCCTAGAATCAGATATTACCCCTACTAGCAAATAACAAAAAACGTCAAAATTTAAAAAAATAATCTATGGCCCCTACTTTGAACTTTTTTTTTGACAAATAATATTTATTATCTCACCTTTTCTTTAATTTATATTTAGGAATTTAACATTCAAAACGCACATATCAAATTATTACAAAATTTTAAATTAATCCAGTAACATAAAAAAATAGAAAAAACTTAAAACAATTTATTACTATACAAAAATCTTAAATCGCCTAAAAATTGAATTACAATTAAACACAAAGAATTTTCAACTTATTGGATATAATCCGCGCATTAAATATCGTTTTATTACACTAGGTACCAAAATGCTATAGAACAAATTCATAGGCATTAGACAGACCCAGGATAATAATACTTTAATAAACATTGCTTGTCCAAATTGGCAAGATTACCAACTCATTTGTTTTACAAACATTCTTCGCGGTTGCATCACTTAATCAATAATTCACCCGACAGAATTTCCACAACCATTTTTTTTCTTAAGTATGGCATATCCTCTTGCGAAAACGTAATTTTAGCGTTCCTCGTAATGAATTCGGCAAACGTGCAGGAGAACATACCGCAGTCGCTACCATTCATCTGCTGGGGAATATCCTCCCGATTAATCAAAGTGAAGTTGGTGGTGTCAAACTCGCATTTCTTCTTATCTAAATGTTCGGCTTCCAAATAATTTCTAAGAGCCTGAAGGCATCTGTCATTAGAACTTCCCATACTGTCGTAGTAGCTACAAAAATGTCAAATGAGAAGTTTAAATATGTTTGGTCTGTATCAAAACATGGAAAACTAACAGTTTTGGTTTTATAAGGTTTATGTTCAATAAATTACAGCCTGCATTTGGCACGCTAAACTCTAGAAGAAACTATTATCTGAAAAAATTTATGAACAATTGCAGAAAAGAATACTTTTCTATTCCCGGCTGTAAAATACCTAATTACCCACCGATCTAGAGTGCGGGAAGCGCCACTTTACCAAGTCAGTTTCGTTTCCCATGAATTCGAGTCACTTCGGACATTTCCGGGATTTTACCGCATGGATTTGGGAGCAAATGTTTTCGGAGATATTTCCCACGCTTTGAAATTTGAAGATTTTCAATTCTGACGGTCATGTCAGTGAATGTATTCGTGTTTTACGAAAATGTACTCAAAAACTAACGGTTGTAGAAAAAGTATAGTACGCAACACGTTCGGTAAACTTTTTACCGCACTTGTTGCATAATATACTATTTTCACATACTTCATGTTTGACTTATAGGTGTTATATTACTTATGTTGTTTGTATGTACTGTACTTCAATACAGACAGAACCACTTTTGAATAAATTTTAAAAATAGAACCACATACTCTGTGTATATTTTTTTACGATTTTTGAATATGTTTTTAATTTTTAACAGATTTTGACAGATTGAGCAGAGAATAACTGTTTACCATTATACTTTAAATTGTTTAATTCTTTTGCAAAGACATTTTGAGTTTGTATTGTATTTTATTTCAATATTTGGCGTTTAATTAATTAAAATTTCGGCTTACATCTTCACTCATAAAAAGCGAGGAGGAAATAATTAAAATTAAAAATTTCCCATTGAAAATATAACTTTGACTATTGGATGCCCTTGATCTTGGGTTGTAATTTGAATGCTTTAAAAAAGCACGCAGGTGCGTACAAGCCAATGGGGTTTACCTCCATTTAGTAATTTCTAAGTTGTAAAATTTTTTATCTTTAATTGGAAAGCAAAGATTCATTTACATGTCTAACTTCGGCAATTGGTTCTGGGAAAACTGAACTTAGTAAAAAACATTGTTCGGTGTAAAAAGTTGATTTTTGACAGATAATATTAAATAGCTCCAAATCCGCATAATTTACAGGAAATTTTACATAAATTAGGTCTAAAATTTTCGAAAGTACTTGAACAATGCTAGGTATAGTTTTCCATAACAGATTGCCAAAGTTCCCTGTAGGATACCTGCTTATCAAATAATTTGTAAATTAAATCATTTGTTTAAATAAAAATGTATTCCTTATTCCTTAAGATATAGTGATGTTTTGCATTGAAGGTACAATTAGTGGAAATATTAAAAAAGAATGCAATTCCTAAAACAAAAATTACCTTATTGTCCTGCTCCTGAAGTCAACAATTGCCATACACCAATGCATTCCAAGATGAATGGGAAAACACACCAAATCGTATGAAAATAGGTCGACCTTTTTTGTCCATCTTCTAAGGGACTGTGGTCCGTCTCTCATGAGTTTAGGAAAGAAAAATGTGTTAAAGGCATAAGCTCTCGGCCATTTTGGATCCAACCCGCGTTGAATAATTAGATTCATATAAAAGTTAATGACTTCATCATTGAGCCAATTCAAACTGTGCAATGTCATCAGATCTCTCCTGGTAATGGTTAGATTGAATTTATGAATCAGAACTTCATTGGGGTCACCTTTGAACGCTTTTGTTACTAAACACATTTGTTCCTCATTCAGTTCAGGAAAGACTGTCTCTTCCTCTCTTTCTACCACAGGTAGGACAATATCCTTAATGTGTAAGCATCGCTCTATCTGATTCTTCAGCAACTCCTGGTTAATATCTTTATTGATCTGTCGGTGTTTGTGTGAACTTTCCCGTAAGGTATTAATCTCGCGTTCCCGTTCTTTCACATTGTGCTTGTGTCGTTCAATGCTATAAAGAATATATAACATGTAAGAATACACTTGGACAACACGTACAGTTTAGAAGTAACTAACTGAAACATTCAGATTTACAGTTCAATGATCAGAAAAATTGCACTGCAAGTTAAATGAAGCAAATCATGTTTAAGCAAGTCGTTTTGTATTAAGAGTCTGATTTCTGTAAGTTAAACATTGCTACTCTAGAAAATGGTAAAGACAGGGTGGTCAGAGGAATTTTTCATTTTTGCATTTATTAAAAAACTGTCCCTAATCCCGGGTTTCCTATTAAAGTTTTATCTCTGCTGTTTCCTTTTGCTTCTTCTATTTACATCAGGGATGTTTTTGTTACAGTGGAATAGGTAAAATATAGTCAAATAGAAGTTCTTGTAGTCTTAGAATGATCTTCAGTTATAGTTAAGCTCTGTAAGAGCCAACAAATTGGAAATTTCAAAAAAATAATAACACCGCAAGTTATTAGGTGGGTGACACTTGTAAAATTTTCTTCTTCATTATTTGAAAATCATTAAGTAATTTTGGTTTTGTTTGCAATTTTTTGCAAAAACATAACAAGAAAAGTCAATAATCACCCAATTACCACCAGAAACCATGTTTCTAAATGGGATAGGTAAATCAGTTTTGGTTAGTTTTGGTGGTTGCATAACATTATTATTCTAATTCCTGAAAAAATCCTTATAGTAAGAGTTCCTTAAAGACAATCAAATTTTAGGCGAATAGAAAGATTTTTTCCATCATAATAAAGTCAATTTTTGAAAAAGTAAAACCCTAGGTGGTACCTGAGAAATTACTAAGTGAGCTGTATATCTCAATCTTACTCAACAAAAGAGTGTTTAGTTCGAATTGCTACAAATTCATAAAAATTATAACAAAAACTTACACTCCATCTAACCAATCCCTTTTTGAAAACATGGAACTGTCAACTATTTTTTTAAAACTATTCACTGGGTCCACTATAATATCTGGCTTCGGAGATGGTGGAGAGACAAATATGACATCATCAGAGTCAGAGTCCTTTATGGAAATATGTTCACTGCTATGATTATCTAACACTTTTATAATACAATCTTTTGTTGTTTCTTTGGACTTGGTTCGACTATCAAATAAAGGAGATTTTCCAGATCCTTTTCTGTCCTTACTAGCCATATCATATTCAAATAGCTTGCCCACTGGTGTATAATAAATAGAATCAACTGAATTACTGGAGGCTGCTGCAAGCAATTTCTTATACTGCATTTTGTCATCTATTCGATATGACTCGTCCAGCAAGGAATTAGTATCTGGGCACCTTACTTTGCTCCTATTGTTATTACATGCACTTTTTTTATCAGTCTTTAACTTAACTCCATTATGGTCAGCAACTCCTATATAAATATTACTGTATTATTTTTCTATGGTTATTTATTTATAACTTACCTATATCAAACAGTTTGTTGCAATATTTCCCTGTGTAGGGTTTAATATAATTAAAACCAGCCAACTTTGCTTCTTCTTTCTTTTCTTTTGGAGACTTGATCTCTTTCACGAAAGTGACATCCTCTTCTACACCATTTGCAACTCCATTACCATTAACAAAATGTTTTTTTCTATTTTCAGCTGGTGTTGAAGTATGATTTATTCTGGGACGTCCAGGCAAAGTACGTTCGTTTGGAGATTTAATAAGTACAACATCATCTTCATCATCATTCAAAGTGATAGTGTCAACAATTTTCAAAGGTTTCCTCACAGGTTTTGGTAATAGAGATTTTTTAAAAAGCGAGTCTACCTTCCCAAACCATTCATCTGATGTTGCTGTCCAGAAAAATATATTTTAGGAATAAGAACCATAATACAAATAAACATACTATGATTTCTAGTCAAACTGAGAGGCATTTTTGTTCTATCCATAACAGAGCCATTACTTCATAATAAGTCAAATTTAAATATATTTGAAGCACCAACAAAACAATGCAATGTCAAAGATATTGAAATATGTCAGTTGCTGAACTAATATTCTGTTAATGATTGAAAATGTAAAGGAATTGCTTATTCTTCATAACAAAAATTTTACAGGTGGAAGAGGAAAATAAAGTTTTCTTTTTATTTCAATTACCATGTATTCCTCGACGGAATGGGTCCACGGACGAAGTCATAGATCGCTTGTATTTGGGACTAATGCAACTATCAATTTCAGACCCGCTGCAAAAAAGAAAAATAGCTCACTAAACACTTATATGTTGTAGAATTACCGTCGCTTGCGGGATGTTTCTAGAACTGGAGCTCCAAAGAAGCTACGAATGTATTCTAAAACACTTCTCAGGTTATCCATTCTGGGACGCCTTAACTTTATCACTATATTTTGAGATACCAATAATATAGAGAGTACATGTCTGCCTTAGTTCATTAAATAAAATTATATAGAAATATCGTACTAGCAACTAACAAATAAGTTCTTGGATTTTCTTATAGAAAAATAATCGCTCCAACACAAAATCCATAGAACAAGCTGCATAGAAAACTATATTATATTGGTTGACAAGCCGCAAAAACCACAGTTAATAAAACGGTAAAAATTAAATAAATAGAGAAGGAGAAAATCGTTCAATTTGTTATGACCAAGTATATGCCAGCAAAAAGGGGGTAGTAACATTGACGATTTTTTCGCCAATTTAAGACGATTGACGCATTGTTTTTATTCCTATTGGGCAAGGCTGTCAGAAGAATACGACCAGTTTATAATCATCGGTCGTATTGATTCATGTGGCAAATGAAGAAATTAAAGAATTTTTAGTATGCAATAAATTTGATAACATACAAAATTGCACCCAAATAATAAAGCCCATTTTTCCCCAAAAAATTGCATCGTGCTTACCTTAAAAAAATGTTACTCAAAAATACATGCATTTATAACAGCAATTTTTATCTACTTAAAATGCGAATGAAGAAATACATGTGTAAATTGCATCGTGCCTACCAAAGGGACAAAGGGAGCATAGAGGAGTATTAATTCTCTGGTAGGGAGTAGAAAAAATACTTCAATTCGCTACATGAACCAAATATTTCAACAAAAAAACTTACCGAAACGGAAATCTTGCAGTTTACTTACATAGATGATCAAGTCTTAGATTGGAATGGTGTTTTATAGTAATTTTCTAATTTTAATTATCATTTTTTTTATGAATGTCCATTTAAAATATCTTTGAGGTTTCTAAAGAATAAAGACACATCTTCCTGATATTTTATTAAAAGATTTTGTAAAAGTGCAGTGACAAATGCTGCTTTATTTGTATCAATATATTACGTAAAGATGTTATTGTTATTTTTTTCGATTTATCAAGATGTTCATAGTTTCCAAGAAAAAGCATACAATTATAGGAGCCATAGCTCTGATGATATTACTGTTTTATTCTGTTAATATATTATATAAACTTTGCCTTTCAGCAGTGTCGAAAAAAATGTCAAAATTGACACATGTTTTAAAAACAATAAAATAATAACTACTTAACGCGAAGGGTCGACTGACATACTAATAAGAAAGTGATTTTTAAACTGTTTGAATAAGTCTTTTTTCTCTTTCATAGAATTGCTACTAAGACGAATTAATTGTACAGTACGTTAGCACCGCCTACGATCTACGACAAACCTCACATAATCGAATTTTATTTTTAAATGCAGTGTATATCTACTGTATATAAAAAAGATGGAGCGCAGCTAGTCAGACAATGACAGAGGGACGGGCAGATGATCATCATCTGGCATAATAGAGTCCAGGATTCTACGTCTGAGACAACCGAGTGCCAACTTTGTAGTTGAAGTATATACAACTAGGGCGCGAAACGCAATTTCGTGCATGAAATTGAAAATATCAGTCGAAGGCGCGAAATTTGTTCGCGTCCACGTTGTACACAATTTTTTCCTAACGACTGAAAAATATATTTGTTATCTGTTTCGGTTTGTTAAAACACGGAACGCATCCACTAAAACGTCATTTTGCGATATAGCCTCTATATTTGTGTTTCTATGTAAATACTATGTTATTTTCAAATTGCTGAAGTAGCGTGGTTATTTAGAAAATAAATGAAATGCAAACAGACAATAGGAAAGAATTTTGTACCACACCCCCTGTAATAGAGTATATCTGTTTTATCTGCTAGTATGCCGTTTTCAATATCAGTCTTTCAATTTGTTTGTTGTATTGTAGTGAATTAAATTAATTCAAACCTTATCTCTATAATGGTTAGTTTTTAAACATATTTTAAGCAAATATATTTAAATTAGATTGCCTATGGGGACGCCCATAGAAATGGTGAGCAAAGGAATTTATAGAAATTGTGCACTACTGTTAAAAACACTGAATTTATTTATAGTACTTATCACTAAATGTCAAACGGGTGTGACAGTCCACTTTTAATCAAAATTTCGTTTTATTTAAATGTCAATAGTACTAAATGTAGCATTAGTAAATCCAGAAGGAATTAAAAATTAGGAATATATTAAGTAACTGGGCCATTTTAGAATGAGCTACGTCCACAAAGGTCCTAGACTCTTCCAAGACCGAGGTGATATTAAACCTGAAAGAAGGAGGTCAGAATCACGACTTAAAACGTACCCGTCTTCCCTCGATCTGCGCAACTGGTGTTACGTAGTCGAAGATAGAAGAAAACACATAATAGAATTAATAGCCAAAGATATTGAAAAAGTAAAATATTGTGCTTTGGCTACATTTGCACAAGTATTTATTGTTTCAATTTTTTAGTGTACTGGAAGAGTTGTTCCCATAAAGTCGATTATCGATGCTTTGATGGCGTCCAAAAATGCCGATATTGCGCACTTGAAGAACTCGTTGCAACAACTTTGGGAATTTATCAATGACTTGCAATTATCGGATAAAGATTTGATGAGAATGGATCGCATGGTAATAAATATTTGCTGTAATTCGTTGATGTTTGATTCGTTCGTAGTTGACACGGGTTTACTTTTACTTGATTAAAGCTCACAGAGGTTTAATAAATATAAATACTTGGATCGGATTTGACCGTTCTGATTCTTAATGTAAAATAGATAATTTTATGTGTTTCTTAATAAACAGAAAGGGAAAGCTTAAATTAGTTGTATGCTTTAATAAATCGGATTATAAGTTATATATAAAACTTAACAATAATATTAATATTGAAATAAAAGTTTTTGCTCCAAATTGTTATTTGAATACTCAGAACATCTGCAATCACAAAGTTATACTCGGAGGCATAAATATAAATGGTTCCAAAAATTTTAAACAGTTTTTCTAATAAATTTCAAAATAAAAGTTTAAAAATATTAAAAAGGTTTAAATTTATTGAATATCATTAATACTCAGGTGTCACACAATTAATTAAATTTCTGTAGGTCGTGTATATGTTATTGTTCCTTTTCTTTCTATTTTCACCATATTTCTATTAATTTTTTCACTAGTAATAGGGGGTTACTTTACCAAATTTGGTAATCTCTATGCTAAGTACATGTACAGAGTTCCGGCCCATATTGCGCTTAAGGCATTGTTAAAGGTTAATACTTTTTTAGAAACGCGCCATGAGAGGTATATACCTGGATGATGCACCATTGTTAGAATTAAATTCCGATGAGTGTATCGCAAAGCGACGTCACGATAGAGAGCGGACTGAAATTGAGGCTCTAATTAAAACTTCCTCGGGGGAAGAATCTTTGGGCCGAGTTCGAACCAAATTTAACGGTCCTGCGAAATTAGTTACAAGAATTAAAGGTGTCGATACCGGTTTTAGCATCGGACCGGTGGTTGATTTGTCCAAACCGGGGCAGATAACGGTGAAAGCTCACGCCCCGACGAAACTCGGCACCAAAATAAAAAAAGTGCAGCCCCTTAAAAAAGAAAAGCCGCGGGAACTTTCGAAGGCGAGCGAAGTGCTCGTCAATCGGGATCCGCTGCCCAAAAGAGAGGCAGCAAGTTCCCCGATCAGGGAGAGGAAATTAGGGGAAGTTAAGGACGAAGTGATAAATGGGGCCATACGCGATCGGCTGACTGTAATTGCAATTGGCCTTATCTTGAGAGGATTTTCAAGTGAATTGTTTTATAGGCGGCAGAGATGCTTTGCGAAAGACAGAACGCGGCAATTGACAAACTCGAAAAAGAACGCGACACCTTAGAAAGAAAATTAAAGGAATGTCTCAAAGAACTTGGGACTTTTAAGGTAAAGCCAAGAACTCGATAATAAACTAACCAATGCCTAGTTTTGGTTCGTCCTAAGGATAAACCTACCGATTTTTAATCTCAGTTACCGAACCTTGAACCTGTTAAGAAAATACATTTATATTTCACATCGTTACGGTTAGATCGAACACTTTGCTACGTCCCTAGAGCTTACGAATCCCATCATGCTTCGACCAGAATTATAGTGCTTTTACAACCGACCCCCTCATGAACTTTGCCTACTGTTTATTACCTCAAAACCGCAGCCCAGTAGTGTATATTGGTAACTCCTGCATCCGCCGTCCCCCGGGGGAGATTTTGAGATTGCAAATTTACAGATTCCCAACCAACGAAAAAAAAAAAAAAAAAATATATATATATATATATATATATATATATATATATATATATATATATATATATATATATATATATATATATATATATATATATATATATATATATATATATATATATATATATATATATATATATATATATATATATATATATATATATATATATATATATAGTTTGACCAGTTTACGAGGGATGTCGCGCATTAATAGCTCAGGTTTAGATCGCTAGATATCAGCCTTAATGGGGGTAGGGGATAGTTTTTGTGTTTGTGCTTTTTTTACAATTTTTTTCGCCTCCTGTCCTTTACGTCGCATGAGGCGAGCCAGGCCGAAGGCCTCGTACACTGGTCAAACAGTTTTTTTTGTTTTTTTTTTGAGTTGGTTGGGAATCTGTAAATTTGCAATCTCAAAATCACCCCCGGGGGACGAGGGATGCAGGAGTTAGACACTACTCAGCCCCTTATAGAATTCCCTGCCGAGCACACTCTTACTCACAGCCATTTCAGGACCGTCCTAGGAATTTATCTACCTACACTAACAAACAGGATATAAGTATGTTTTCAATCTTTTTCGCCGAGCAATTCTTGAAAGATGCACATAAAAAAAGTACAAAGTAACAATTTATTACGTTCCATGTCACTTGTTTTTATTGCTTCTCCTACTTCCTCTTCTGAATTTCTTATAAAATTGTAAAGATTCAAAACCATTTATTTAGCATCCGAAGACAAAAATTATTATTTTCAAACTTACCTGTAAGATAAATACAGTACTTACGCTTACCGTTTGAACTATCCAGTGAAAACAGCCTCACAGGGTCAAAGCTCAAGAATCAGGTACATAAATACTTACTGGAAGGATCACATTCAAATAGAAGAACGATACACATCACCTGATGTCAAAATAAACGCTTCTACTTATTCCAAAATACCCCGCAGCATCCATGCTTAATTCAAAACGGTCCATTTACGTTTCAAATAAAAATTTAAAGTTTTTACAAATATTCGTTACGGTCCATTTCAGGCAAGACCTACTTAATGCGGAATAAACATCTGTTGGGATGGGTTTAACCATGGTGATGCGAAGGTCTGCCGTTAAGGTACTGTAAAGTACTTAAAACGTCAAAGCAATAAATGCACGATATTTTTGGTCGTACAGTACCGCGGTTTTTACGAGAGGGGTTAAATTCGTTGCATCGCAAGTGCCTTTCATCTGGCATCTTTACGGTAGTAATTTGGTATGTCATGTTTGTTTCACTTTGATGCCAGGATTCAAGCATAGAGTATAACATAAACTAATTAAAATTACTTATTAAATTAATTAAACAAATCAATAACAGAAACAAAGACTAGAAAATTAAAACAAATAAATTAATATATAGGAATATTTTATGTTTTTACAATTTTTTAGAAGGGAAAGTTGTACAAATTTTAAAGATTTTTTCCTCTTCGATTATGATTGACTTAACAGTTTCATCAAAATTGGTCTCTAATTTCTCAGAAAAAATATTTAGAAACCTTCAAACCAGCTTTCGACTGCAGTAGCATTGCTTCATTTGTAGTTTAAACAGATGCATTCGGTTTCAAGCGTCGCCACAACAATTTTATAATTTGCCGATCTTTTCCAAACTTTTCGATATAGTCCACACACATATTGTATGAAATTGGAAAATTTACTGACACAAAATAGTCAATGGTTTTTATACTCTGTCTATAGCCACTATTTCAATATCCAGAATTCCAGGGTTTTTTCATCGCATCGCATCGCATGACTAAAATTAGCAGTTAAAGTTCGCCAACAATATACAAGGTGTCCTAATAGTGCGTACTCAGTATGTATTTTCGAAACGGTAGGCGATCGAAAACAATTAGGAAGTTGCTAAATGAGGTGCTTAACCCAAAATTATTTTGATATATAGAGTAAATATTACCTTTTGTGTAGAATCACCATAATATGCACTATATATGCTGTAACCAAACCTAATAGTTTTTTGATTTCGCCATTTTGCAAAGATCTCCGATGTAACTGCAAAACAATCGGTCAGCTATATGCAGAGTGTTTCAAATATACTACAGAAATGAAAGAATTAAAAAAAATAAAATCTACATTTTTAAATAATAATAATTTTAGCCATGTCATATGTAAAGGATCTTTCAAAAATTCCAGAGGTGTGACGTGGAGGGATGAGCAGGATCTTAAATTTAAATTATGAACGTCCGTGCGAAAGCTGATTTATTTGAAAAGATAGCGTGGAGACTTCAATCTTATAATTTTGTGATAAAGATTACATTTATGGAGATATCGTCGATTTTTCATATTAAGCCATCGGACTTCCTTCAGTTTATGACTAACAGCCCTGCCGCGTTTAATCCCCAAAATGAATCTTAGACAGTATTTCTGGGTTTTTTGAATTCGTTCTGAGACAGCCGCTGTCATAGACGACATCACAGTAGTTAAAAGAAGATAAAACTATCGAATTACACAGGACCTCTTTTAATGAGCGATTTAAAATATTTTTAGAACCATATAAGTATTTCAATCGATACTGCACCCGTTCCCACAACGGAACAGTCCTTAGAAAGAATTATATGATCAATTAGTGTGAGTGTTGCATTAGAAATACGCGTAGGCACGTCAACCAACCAAACCAAACCGAAACTCTCCAAAATACCGTTGTATGCTGAAACGACGGGGTTGTTTGGATTGAAAAGATCTAAATTAAAATCTCCATGGACATCGATTAATATATTCTCAAATTCGTTAAGAAATGTGATTGAATTAAATTTAGGAGGTTTATAAACACAGCCGATAGATATAATTTCCTTATTGACTTTAGTTTTAAGTCATAAACATTTTACAGTATCTATCTAAAGTTTCGCAAGGAATGTTGGAATAGCCAATATTTTTTTATTCTTGCTATTCAGCCGTTCCGAATATAGCGACTCGAGACTCGACTATTGGGACACGGTGTGTAATTTATTAAGACTTCACATTCAATGACCTTGTGAAATATAAATGATCTGTATTAAACAAGCGTAGATGAGTACTTAAGAAAAGCAATGGTGTCATGTTTTTGAGTATTTGCGGTTTAAGCTAGTTTTTTTGCATACTGCATTTAACAATTTCTCACGTTATATCATTTTGTTTATAGCGATTCTTAACAACCGCGACCAGAAGAACCGGAATGAATAGAACAAAATTTTCGCTATGTGATTGCGAATGCGATTGCATTTAAATACACTTTTGGGACTTTCCTATTTTTTTATTTATCAATTGAGGAAAATTAGAAATCTGTTACTGTTGCATGTTACGATCGCGATTTTTCACCAAACATATTTTGTATAGTGTAGTTTCCAAAGTTCTCTGGCAAGTCTTTTTGGACCAATTTTTGAGATAACAATTACACTATTATTTAAGTATTCTATGATATTTTTGTAATCAACCTTATTAAAGGTTAAAGAAAGTGTTTAACTACTACCATTTGTCACGACGTTTACTGAATATTCTATTTATAGTCAATCTATGTCATTGACTAGTCCATATTATTGTTAGAATTTTTGAAAATATGCCACACTCTGTATATATGCCTTTTCCAAAAAAATATATGTTTCATTCTATGTTCTATCCTATAATTAAATTTAATTGTGAACTTTGGTAACAGAATAAGCAGTATAACAATTACGAAAGGAATTTATTCTCACAATTTCGTGATATAATGAACAAATCGTTAACCGAAAAACAGTGAGGTCGTTTCAGAAAAACTGATTAAAACAAGTGAAATTTTCTGAAGCTCACTGCCTTTATGAACAAACTGACATTACTCAATATAATGCAATCAAAATAAATCTGTTCAATAAACATGGTGGCCAATGGTAGTAGTTGAAATGATAGGGAATACACCTGTTGCTTTTCTATGGGAGCTAAGTATGAGACAACCTATAATTTTAGTTGGTTATTATTATTTTTCCACAGAATTTCTGCGCTGGCAGAGATTGGAAACTGAATTTTTCGGAATAAATTTGCATTCCATATTTATAACATGCAACAGTAACGCCTAATTTTCCTCAATTTATTTCCTTCCATTTGTAATTAATGATATATCTTTACTTCATAAAGAAACTAGAACCAATGTCACTTCTCTCCGAGTCATACCAAGACGAAAATAAAATGTCAACCTTATTAGACCTCCAAGATAAATTACACGATCTAGAAAGAGTTACACAAGAAAGAGACGATCTGAAAAATAAAGTGTGTCTGCTAGAACAGAAACTGATGCAATATCAGAATCTGCCTGATGAGTTGGGTACCATAAGGAGCAGCACCGAAATGTTAGATAGCGTCATGAAAGAACGCGACAAACTGAGTCAAAAAATCAAACAATTAAAGGACATGGAGAAGGAGGTGTTAAAACTTAGAAAAAAAGCGGACCGCGTGGACGAGTTGGAACGCGAATTGAGATCGCACAGTAAGTTGGAGAAAAGCTCTGGTACAGAATTGAAAAAATCCCAATCGATGTATGAGAACCTGGAAAGAGAACTCAAAAACACCAAATCTGAGCGCGACGCCATGGCGAAACGGATAGAGAACCTTAAAAAAGAAGTCGATAGTAACAAATCGAAAATCAGGGAAGCTGAGATGTTACGTCTAGAAAGAGATGGTTTGCAGATTAAATTAAATGAGCTAAATGAAATTCAGGCAAGTGAAGTCAATCTTAGGAAACATATTAAATATATCTCTCAAAGCTGTCCTTTAAGTAAAGCTACCGAAAAAACAAAACAAAAAAAAAAGAAATTTTCAACATGCCATTTTAGGGCCAAAGTATCAAAATATCTCTCCCGTTGCCATCAGAAATTACGGAATCTATTCAAAATCTGGTTATTCTGTTGTAAAAGTCTTGAAAAAGTAGGGTAATAGTATGCAGAGTAAAAATTAATTATTTACAAATTTTACAAAAGTAACTTAATTGAAAAGTAAATATTATACGGATACAATTCTTAAAAATAAGGAGTCCTCATGAAAATACAAGTGAGTTTCTGAAAGTACATATATTGATTTCATCATCGTCTTTCGTGGTTATGTATAAAATAGCCATACAATTTATTTTTTATGGGTTAGGCACTGTTCACATACTTTATGAAATTTTTGAATCTCCTGCAAGTGCGCAACTTAAAACTTAAAGCAACACGTATTATTTTTTATAATTTATTATATTATTAATTCATTAAATTCTGTTGCAACGTATAGATAACAGGATTCGCTGTTTTGTTTTCCTAAAGGATTAATTTTTCAAGTGTCCCGCCATTTTATGGTCATGAATTTTCATCGGTTTCAAAATTTTAAGGCCCAATTCGAAGTTGTCATGGAAAAACTCAAAACATTCGACACAATCAAGGACGAGCGAGACATGTACAAGCAAAAATACGAGGAAATTCTGGAGATGGAATGTAGGTGCGAAATGTTACAGTCCCAAGTCGACGAAGCACATTTCATGATCAGAGAGAGGGACCACCTGAAGAAACAAGTCCACGATCTTGAAACGTGCATTTGCGAACAAGAGAACGAAATCAAACGATTAATTTCCCAAGTAAGTACGAGGGCAGCGCCAAAATTTACCGGCCTGAATATGAAAGAAACAAATTAGAGTAACAATTTTTTATTATTTCCAATATAATCCCCCTTAACTTCAATTCACTTATTACATCTCTTAATTAACAATTCAATCCCTTTAAAAAAATATCTTTTGGTTTGTCTGCAAAATGAGCTAAAACAGCCTCTTTTAACTCAACTTCGTCGTTAAACCGCCATCCACGTCAGTCATTTTTCAAATATCCAAACAAATAATAGTCGCTGGGGGCCATATCTGGACTATAGGGAGGATGATCTATCTGTTGGAACCCACACTCTAAAATGGCAGCTTGTGCAACACCAGCAGTATGGACAGGTGCATTATCGTGCAAAAGACGCACGCCTCTGGTCAGTTTTCCTCGACGTTTTACACGTATACAGTCTCGCAATTTATGTAATAATGTTGCGTAATATTTACCATTGACAGTGGTATTAGTTTCTTTAAAATCTATCAAAGGAATTCATTCACAATCCCAAAATATCGTTTCCATCACCTTTTTTGTTGACTGGCATACTCCGAATTTTCTTGGAGGTGCTTCAGCCTTACGACGCCACGACATTGATTCTTTTTTCGATAGAGGGTCATAATAGAGAACCATGGTTTCATCTCCAGTCACAATAGTTTCTATCACAGCCTTCGGTTCCGACCCACAGAGTTCCAAAAAAGACCGCGTACACTGGACACAGCGTTGTTTTTGAATAGCTGAAAGGTTTTTAGGAACCCATCTTGCACTAACCTTATGCATACGATTCGACGAACACTTGTATCAGAAAGCTTAGTAATTTCTGAGATTTCGTTGACCTTTAAACGTCGATCACTCAATACCACCTCTTCTACAATCGCAACAATATCTTCCACTGACCGACCAGTTCTTGAATCATCTTCAATTGACTCCTGCCGCATTCGAAAACGTTTTGCCCATGCTTTCACTACAGAATACGAAGGAGAACTTTGGCCGTACACACCATTCAGCCTTTCTTTAATAATTTTAGGTGCTCACCCTTCTTTTGTCGAAAACTTTATGACTGCTCTATACTCAATTTGCGTTACTTTGCGACATTTTTTCGGACACGTCTTGTTTAAAATGCTGTCAATAAAAAACCATTTGACTTTAATTTTTTTTTCGCAGCCTACTAAGGTACATATTTAAAAGAAGACAAAGTTTTATCGTGTTACTGGAGCAGCATCTATGTCAGACCTGGAAATTTTGACGTTAACCTCGTATGTTAAACTAACAGGCTATACATATCGCACATTTTGTTTCTGTATTATATTACTTAACTTACCTTGTACGAAAAGAAATATAGACATATACAGTGAAAACCCCCTATAGCGAAACTCTGTATTACGAACAAAATTTGTTGTGCTATTACGTCTCCATACAAAGCTATGTATTAATCCACTCTGTATAACGAATTGATCACTTACCGAAAGAAAAAAATTGAAGATTTGTATCGGTCAATGTTGTAGTCGTTCCAACGTCTTAAAAATGTAAAACTAAAAGTAGAAAAGTTTGCTGAACAGCTTGGCATTATCGATTTCAAGGCTTCGGAAGGATGGTCGGGGAAGTTCAAACAGAGACATGGTATAAAATATGGAGAGATAAGTGGCGAAGCCCGTGATGTCGACAAAAACGTCACTGGCTAGAGAAGACGTGGCCAAAACTAGCAGAGAAGTACCCTGCCGACGACATTTTCAATGCTGACGAAACTGGTATATTTTACAAAATGACGCCAGAAAAAACTCTTAAATTTCGAAGCGAAAAGTGTGTGGGTGTAAAACTTTCTAAAGAACGTATAACAGTGTTAGTGGTAGCTGCCAATATGAGTGGGAGAGAAATAAGAAAGCTAGTCGTGATTGGAAAATCAACTAATCCACGATGTTTTAAGAACATTAAGCGTTTGCCGTTCACTTACAAGGCAAACAAGTCTGCATAGATGACATTGCAAATTTTTGACGAGGCGATACGGAAATGGGATGCAAAATTAAAGGGGAGGAAAATATTACTTCTCTTAGATAACTGCCCTGTACATCCCCATATTCCAGATCTACGGAATATTGAATTGGCATTTCTTCCAACCAAAACAAGTGTATTACAGCCGGTGGACCAGAGCGTAATAAGAAGTCTTAAGAGTCGGCACAGGAAAAACATTTTAATGGAAATGATCGAGCCCGAAGACAATTTTTCCATTATTATGCTAGATGCAGTCAACTTTATTAGTAAAGCTTGGAAAGAGGTGATTGCAGAAACAATTCAACACTTCTACCATCATGCAGGGGTTATTACCGAGACAGAATGCGAACAGGACTTGGAAGATGATCAGCCACTAAGCGAGTGGATAAAGCAGTTTCAAACAACAATTACGTTTACAAGTGAGGAGTTGCAAGATTTTATGGTGATAAATCAGGATTTGCCTACAGCAGCAGACTTGACAGAGGAAGCCATATTGCAACAAGCAAGAAAGAGTGACGAAGAGCACCAAGAGGAAGGAGAATATGAAGAAGTTGATCTGAGACCACCACCAACCATTCAACAAGCTCTATATTCAGTTAAGCTGCTAGAGAAATTTTTTATGTATTATTTGTCTCTCTCGAAGAAATGGTAGTACAAGCAAAAGTACGAGATTCGTATTGGCATACTAAAAAAATTCAAAAGAAAATGACCGATTATTTGAAATATTAAATGTAGTTCTTAAATATTTATATAAAATGTTCCTAAGTAGATGTTAAAATATGTACATAAAATAATTAAATATTACAGAATACATATGCGTATTGTTATTTTTCAATTGCCTATAACTCTTTTTAACGAAAACGCTGTATATTAAAAAACATCTAGTTCTTGAGAAAATTACGTATTGATGGCCACAGTTTTAATTTAATTATTTTTGGTCACCATCACCCGGTAGAAACTAGTTGAATAGCAATTTGAGCAAAATTCTTATTAATCTCCATGTTTCAGATGGATTCCAATAACATTGTCACCTCCTTTAAAGAAGAATTGACATCTAAAACCCAAATACTATCGAACTTAGAAAAAAAACTTGATTTGCAAAGAGTTCGTATAGAAGAACTAGAGATACTCTTGCACAAAGCGGAACACGCACTTAGTCAAAAAGATTGTCACATCAAATGTCTAGAAAATCAGTTAAATGATCGAGAATATTGCATAAACAGGAGCAAGAAGTTAAACCAAAAGGAATTCGAGTCGGTGGAACTGATGAGGCGCGAACTGGACGCGGCCAAAGCAGAAAATAAAAAGCTACAAGATATTGCGAACAAAATGATCTCGTTGACGGGAGACGGACACGTTAAGAAAATGCTGAAACAATCGGAGTGCGCTATCAAACGGGTGGTTCAGGAATTGGGCAAACAGTACCGCGAATGGGACAGCAAAAATAAAAAAAATGGAGACGCGGAAGATTGTACGTGCCCGACCGAGGAACTGTCAGGAAGCGACGATTGCGAAAAATTGAGGAAAGACTTGGAAGAGTTACAGAACGAAAAACAAAATCTGGAACATACTTTGAAACATTTAAAAAAAGACGGGTTGCCGCCGGAACGGCACAGAAATTTTGTACAAGACGGGCCTCAAATTGTTGGTCAACAAAAGAAGGAAACTTCTGTTAAAAAATATAAATATTCCAATAAACTATAAAAACTTTTTTTGAGGTGCGATTTATTCCAATGTTCCGATAATAAATCGCAAATACTTGTTACTTTTGAAAATCGATGAAATCGAATTTTTCGAAAGTATCTGCGCTCGTATAAAAATTTTATATCTCGGTAGCGGTTGGTCCTATGGGATCGCCGTTGGTACAGAACTGATCACCGTCAAAAAAAATTTTTTGTCTGTTTGTCCGTTCTCCGTTCTCATCTTTTGGTTTCTCCTGAATAACTTTCGTACCGTTGGAGCTACAAAATTGAAATTTTAAGTTAAGCTTATAAGAAATAACCCTGATCCGGCGCCGGTCATCCATCTTTTTTTCGCGATTTTCGACTGTTTTTTGGACCTTGCTTGCAAATTTGGACACGATAAGGGTCCGAAATTTGAAACAATCGACTTCATATTTGGCACATATATGCAACTTTGCCCCGGGACAGAACCTATTGAAAATGGGGTGGACGGCAGGGGGGTCGGGAAGTATTCTAAAAAAATAAAAAATCGCGCGTGCAAGGGGTTCAAAAAACGTCACTTTTCAAAAACTGTTTACGAGACCAAAAAAATTCTTAAACCAGAAGAAGTAGAAGATACGGCTCTATAAACTTTTATTCTTGACAATTTTTCAAAAATATACAGGGTACGCCGCAAATTCAAAAAAACTGAAAAATGGGTCCCCCTATTATTGGAATTTGGTTATAACTAAAAGACTATGATTCAGATCTCACTTTCTTTTATATTGGGATATAGCCCCCATAGCAAAAACTTTTGTATTTAAGGTTTTTACTTATTGTACAGGGTGATCCCGATATTCCGTGCTAAATGAAAAATGTGTTAACTGTCCTAAGTTTGCAGACATCAACTTCAAATTTAGCAGCAAATTTTACCAAGCATTTTTTAAAAATGTTTGAAATTTTTTGTTTGGTAATTTTAGCTTCCAGAAAAATATATTTTCCTCCATAATCGTTAATCCGTTTGGCAAAATTATTTAACGGGTAGACGCAGAAGATCCAGTGCAATAACATTTACTTTAGGCATTTTTCAGTTATATACAAGGTTTTCAAATTAAAGGCAAAAATCTAAAAGACCTAGAAAATTGTTCTTATACAGAGTAAATTATTAACCGCAAATCAAAAATCGTAAAAAATATGGCTAATTGGTTCAAACGGTGTCATAGGCCGCTTCAAGAGCTACAATTTTTGTATTTGCGGTTTTCGGCTATCACATACGCTGCTCGGGATATTTAAAAAAAATCCATATGTTATTTCGGGGGCTGTCAAGACGCGATGACATCATTAATTATTACGGTTTCAGGTTACGGTTTATGGTTTCAGAAAAAAATTATTTTCTCGAAAACCATTTACTATTTTCAAAAAATTCTTGAACCAGGAAAATCGAGGGCTATAAGCTCTATTTCGAACAATGATTGTATCTAAATGTAAATATCTAAAATATCCTAAAAATTTCCATTTTTGTGGGTAAATTATTGGTGATAAATGAAAATCCGTTAAAGATAGGATAATTTTATTTGAACAGTATCGTAAACCGTGTCGTGAGAGAGTTTCAGGTTTCGTCAATTATACGGGGCGCGAGATATTTTAAAAAATATCATTCGACAACGCGATTATTTGGGCAAATTTTAATATTTACCGATGTTTGATGTAACTTTGAAGTTCGACGAGATGTGAAGGATTTTTTATACAGCATGCATGCACAATTAAATTACATCGATTTTGCGAAGGTTTCCGTAGGAGCACGATAGAAAAACAATGCGTCCCTTTATCACACGAAGCCGCGAAGTTTTTTCCTTTTGTAATAAAAAGCTGCTTCGCGCTACGCGCTACTCTCTTTGAAAAAGAAGACATTTTCGACCACGGAAATTGGGCAGAAAAATATAAATATTCCAATAAACTGTAAAAAACTTTTTCGAGGTGCATTTTATTCCAATGTTACGATAATAAATTGCAAATATTTGTTTTTACTACTCTCTTTGAATACGACATTATAAGTATTATTAACGCCACTGGTCAATTTCATTTCCTGCAACCACTCTTCAAAATCTGATGACATGCAGAATTGTCTTTCTATAAGGAATAAACAATAGGCCAAAAATGCCAAAAATTTATAATGGTATTCCAGCAGCAATAAATAATATAATAATATATAATTACAATAAATTATTATGTATTTATATTTAAAGTAAAATATTAAAATCGATAAATCAAAAACTAATTAAGAAAATTTATGCATAAAGTTTATTTCAAAATGATATTAATTATTATTTATTATTATTATTTATATCTGCAGGATCCGCAGTCAATGCCGACAACGATGTCAGTAATGACATTTTGTGTGGTGTAAATTTCGAATCTAAAATAAATGGTTGGAAAGGTTTTCATTTGTGTGTCGTTTTTCTTTTTAGTTTACACCGAAATAACATCGCTTCGAGATTAAAATTTGGATTAATATTTGCTGATTAACTACCTATATTATTTATTTATTATTAATTTGACATTTCTCTCAGAAACGAGTATAATGTTGCTTCGTTGTGTAGACAAAACATCAGACAACGTAGCGAAAACTTATAGTAGGTCATGTGACATCCCCACCGTTGCTAATTAATTAATCTAGTTTATTTTTGCATTTCCATGGTATATATGCTTGAGTTAAAAAACTCATCCTGTCACATGTGACATCTAGCTTCTGTCGATTAGTTTTGTTAGGAGAGTTGGTCAGAAAACGTTTTTTTCTAAACTGATAAATAAGCCTTAAACATGAGTTACCTCGATAAAAAAGAGCGCGCTTTTCGCGAAGAGCTTTTTGAAATTGCTCGTGTAAGATCGGAGGCTCGAATGAAGAGGTATAGTTCCGCCGACGATTTAAGAGTTTGGTGCGATGAGGTTGAATTAAGGCGGCAACATATTCTGGAACTATTTGTCAAAAATAAAGGAGTGCGCAAAATAAATACAGGAATTCGTCCTATTACTTAGCACTTCTATTATTTTAGGGGTTTTGTATGGGCAACTTCATCCCCGTGGATGTCTTATTAAGTGCGCTCGATGTAAAAAGGAGATCGGAATTGGATAAACTTATGAGGAGAATTGAATATCTTCAAGCAGTGCTTGATATTTATAGCTCAATAGATTTAACCGCAGCCCAACGAGATCATCTAAAATTATTGGTATCAAAATCACGACCCGCTTATTTACATTTGTATGGTAAAAACTCGAAATTTTAGAAAAATCAATTAACAGATGATTTGAAGGCACTTGAACTTCTGGAGCGAAAACGTCGGCTTTCCAAAAAGGTAACATACGAAATTTCGACGAAAAGAATGAACAAATATTGCATAAAATCAAAAGATACATATTTAAGAAATTATAGGTGTTCTATAAGCGGTAATAAAGTATGGTTTAAAACAACTACGAAAAACTTAAGGGGTGATTCCTTGTTTGAAATAAAAGGTAGTTTGTTATATAAACGTGAGGTCAAAAGCCAGCCAACCAATAGGGAGGTATCATACCTAAAAGTACAAAAATAAAATATAAATATATAAACAATAAAATATTACGCAAGTATTACTATGATAAAAACACACTCGCTGCATATTTTTTTTTTAATAAGTGCAGGGAATTGAATTGGACTACCCCTATCATTTTTCTTAATTAAATTTAAGGAAAAACTTGTACGATGAAATTAGTAACTTTTTTGTCATCTGCGATTTCTTCATAAAATCATTCTCGGTTGGAAATGTCTTCACCCTATGTTCGCGATGTGGAGATACTTTAAATATCTTTCAGACAGTTGTTGCGTCAATACTAAATACTAACTTACCTAGCGGACACAAAAAAATTGGGATTAATTAGATGGTGTGTTTAAATTTGACCTAAGATGCATACTGTATGTTTTACGTATTCTAATTTCATTATGTTTTAAACGGAACACACTGTGTAATTACTTAGCTATTTTAAAAACAATACTTAAATTCATAATATTTAACGATCTATTAAAATAAGTAAAGCAAACACCTAAAACCATTAGAAACTTGTCGAAGATCGATAATTTTAAAAGATAGAATAAGACGTTTAGAAAAAGTTTAATATTAATTTTATATAATGGAGATAAGTTTAATTTTGGTTACTTTTTAGTTTTTCAATTTTTCTAATCCACCTAAATACCCTTTTAGAGAAAGGATATTGAATTAGACATGGAGAGGGTTAAGCCGTATCATAAGAAAAAAATACGGAAAAAACCGAGAACTACAAAAAGAACAAAACCGTATCCTGAAGAAGAGGATACAACGCCTAAAAAAATGAAAGTCAGGCCAGATCTCGGCAAAAAGCAGATCGAACCAAAAGAAGAATATAAATTAAGAAGGGTAGAGGTCGGGAAAGAGTTATCAGCAAGACGAGCACAAATCGATAGAGAAAAAAGGTCACCGAAATTAGATGACAGTAAATTTCGAGAGGAACGTTTAGAAATGCCAAGAAAAATAATTAAAGAAACTCCAGAAAAGTACAAACCCAAAAAGGAGAGGAGACCAAGATACGAAAAATATCCGGTGGACCAACCCGTTACAAAAATTCCTAAAGCTGAGATTCCAGAGGAAGGACTGGAAAGCGACCAAGTTATTCCGACAAGAGGAGAAATAGAAATAGATAAAGTACCTGTTGTTCCAAAAGCAGAAGAAAAAATTCAAACAGACGAGGACGAGAAAATAGTTAAGGATGAAAAACTGCCGAAAAAGAAAATACTTGCGGAACGAAAAGAAGCGAATAAAGAAATTCCAAAAATAGAAGAGGAGGAACTGCGAAAAGGTACGTCACTTTCATTGTAAGACTTTCCAATTCCCAACTTGCTGGATCAGAAGAATCACTGAATCGTGCAAGCAAATGTCTACAGGAGGGATGGAAATAACGTTGCAATTATTTAAGAGGTGATTCTAGATTTACGGATAGGAACACGGGTCCGGAAATGCTTAGTTTTCAAGAGTTGTCAAACTCTAAAAAAAATCTTGCTTCGTCTTCCAAAAAAAAAAAAAACAATTTATTGAATGTCCTTAGACTTACAATTTTACACAAAACTGCTAAGATATCTGGATCACGGTTATTTTAAATATTAAGAAAAAATCAATTAGAAGATGTTGCCAATTAGGGACATGCAATAAATTGTTTTTTTTTTCTTCAAAACGAACCAGATACGAAAAAAATTCAGGAGACAAAAAGTTGCATTTTTAATTGTTTACTTAAAAAAGAGAGGTCAAAAAAATCAGTGTCGCATATTTTTTTGTCAAAAATTCGATAGGATGCCTCCCGGGACCACACTACACTTCATAATTTTGATTTAATTAAAAAAACAGCCTCTTGTCACAACAAATTATACTACCAAATTTCAACAAAATCTGTAAAAGAATATTAAAAAGTGTTTCTTTTTAAAAAGTTCCTATTTTTTACTTAGAAGCACATCTTAAATTATTCGAACGTTATGTTCTACACCTATAAGGACAAACAGATTGTTCCTAACATATTGATTAACAATACAATACAATACAATAACAAATTGGCTTGTATGACTTTCCGACGGTATTCAAAATACTAGGGTATTGACCTCATTTACCGATTAGAATTTGTTTGTTGCTATTATATAAAAAATCGCCACAGAAAAAGAACGAAGAGGTAGAGGTAGGAGAGTTGTTCCTGAATCCAAGAAACCGCCTGGAATTTTAGCTGCGAAAGAAAAAAAGGAGTACCCTAAAAAAGGTATAAAACTTTATAGAAACTTATTCAACAAAATAATATTGAGCAAATCATATTAAATATTTTTAGAAACAAAGCCTTTTTTAGTAGAAGAAAAGAGGTTAGGTGTTACTCCTGAACTAGATAAGGTAGGGGAAGCAGCAACATGAACTGTCAAGTATTATCAACAATCTGGTAGTTATCAAAATCACCTTATTTCGTTGCAGGAGAAACCTGAAAAATCAATGGACTATACTATACCCAAGGAACGTAGAATTGAAGTTGACCTCCAGAAAAAGGAAACTGGAAAACGAAAAGGAAAGAAGAAAATGCAAGAAGCAACTGATGAAAGACTGATAATCGAGGAATTCGAAGAAGTGAAAGATAAAGATATAGACCCTCAGAAAAAATATGAAGATATACCAACAAAGGAAACGAAAGAACAAAAAATAGTTCTCGAAGACAGACGAAAAAAAAAAGCGAAGGCACCCGATGAAATAGATACTAGGAAGGATGAAGACATAAGATCAAAAGAATTGAAGCAACCAAAAATTGATCTTGAAGATCAACGGGAAAAGGAGCAGATGGAAAAGGTCCCAAGAAAAGCATTACCTACCGAAATAGCTAAAATAGAAACTCAACGGAAATTGGTATCACCGGAAGAAATTTACGCTCCTAAAGATGAGGATATACCAGCAAAGGAATTGAAGGCACCAGGAATAGACACCGAAGACAAACGAAAGAAGCTGAAAAAGATAGCAAGAAAAGAAATACCTACCGAAATAGCAAGAATAGAAACACAAAGGGACTTGGTGCCACCTGAAGATGCACAGGAGGATGAAGATATTGAAAGTGAATTGAAAAAACCAATTATAGACGAGAAAGGCAAACGGAAAAAGATCAAAAAAATTCCAAGAAAAGAAGTACCTAGCGAAATAGTAAAATTGGAATCTCAAGAAGACCTGGTCATAACGGAAGTTCGAAAGGATGAGGATATTCCAGGAACGGAATTGAAAGACATAATAATAGACCATGAAGACAAACTGGAAATTGCGGAAAAAATTCCAAAAATGGAAATACCTAGCGCAATAGCTAAATTAGAAACTCAAAGGGACCTGGTTTTAACGGAAGATGTAGATGTTCGTGAAGATGAGGATATACCAGTAAAGGAACCCAAAGATCTCGCAGAAAAGCGAAAAAAAGAGAAAAAAGCTCCAAAAAAGGACATGCCTACCAAAATAGCTAAAAAAGTTCAAAAGGATGAGGATATTCCTACAAAGGAATTGAAAGACATAATAATTGACAGCGCAGGCAAACCGAAAAAGGTGAAAGAAGTTCCAAGAAAGGAAATGCCTAGCGCCATAGCTAAATTAGAAACTGAAAGTGACCTGGTACTACCGGAAGATATAGATGTTCGCGAAGATATACCAGCAGAGGAATTACGGGAACCAAAAACAGATCTTGTAGAAAAACGAAAAAAGGAGAAAAAACCTCCAAGAAAGGATGTGCCTAGCGATATAGCTAAATTAGAAACTCTAAGAGATCTGGTGGTACCGCAAGATATAGATGCTCGTGAGAATGAGGACTTACCAGCAAAGGAATTAAAAGAACCAGAAATACATGTCACCGAAAAACTAAAAAAAGAGAAAAAAACTCCAAGAATGAAAATGCCTAGCGAAATAGCTAAATTAGAAACTTCAAAAGACCTAGTGGTACCGGAAGATACAGATGCTCGTGAAGAGGATATTTCAGAAAAAGAATTAAGGGTACCAAAAATAGACATAGCAGAAGCAAAAAAATTGAAAAAAGCTCCAAGAAAGGAAATACCTAGCGAAATAGTTGAATTAGAAACTTCAAAAGACCCGGTGGTACAGGAAGATACAGATGCTCGTGAAGACGATATATCAGCAAAAGAATTAGGAGTACCAAAAATAGACATCGCAGAAAAATCAAAAAAAGTGAAAAAAACTCCAAGAAAGGAAATACCTAGCGAAATAGTTGAATTAGAAAGTCCAGAGGAGTTAGTGCTACCGGAAGATACGGATGCTCGTGAAGAGGATATATCAGCAAAAGAATTAGGGTTACCAAAAACAGACATCGCGGAAAAACCAAAAAAAGGGAAAAAAACCCCAAGAAAGGAAATACCTAGCGAAATAGTTGAATTAGAAACTCCAAGGGAGTTGGTGTTACTGGAAGATACGGATCCTCATGAAGAGGATATATCACCAAAAGAATTAGGGGTACCAAAAATAGACATAGCAGAAAAACCAAAAAAAGGGAAAAAAACTCCAAGAAAGGAAATACCTAGCGAAATAGTTGAATTAGAAACTCCAAGGGAGTTCGTGCTACCGGATGCTCGTGAAAAAGATGTATTAGCAAAAGAATTAGGGGTACCAAAAATAGACATAGCAGAAAAACCAAAAAAAGGGAAAAAAGCCCCAAGAATGGAAATACCTAGCGAAATAGTTGAATTAGAAACTCCAAGGGAGTTGGTGCTACCGGAAGATACGGATGCTCGTGAAGAAGATATACGAGTAAAAGAATTAATGGCACCAAAAATCGACATTGCAGAAAAACCAAAAAAAATAAAAAAAACTACAAGAAAGGAAATACCTAGCGAAACAGCTGAAGTTAAAACTCCAAGGGATCTGGTGCTACCAGAAGATATAGATGCTCATGAGGATGAGGATATCCCAGCAAAAGAATTAAAGGAACCAAAAACAGATCTCACAGAAAAACGAAGAAAGGAAAAAAAAGCTCCAAGAAAGGAAATTCCCAGCGAAATAATTAAATTAGAAACCCAAAGGGTACTGGAAGAAATACATGCTGATGAAGAAATACCAACGAAGGAAGTAAAGGATCAAAAATTAGATCTTGAAGAAAAACCTAAAAAAGAGAAAAGCGCGCCAAGAAAAGAAATACCAACCGAAATAGCATTAGAAACGCAAAGAGACGTGGTGATACCAGAAGAAAGAGAAGTTCAGAGACCCAAAAGAGAAGCACCAGATAAAATTAAAGGTAATAAAGTCATAGAATATATGCAGAAGTCTACACAATAGAGTTCACTAATATTTTTTTAAAGTATGCTCTCAGTTTACTCTTATTACACAAGTTAGGAAGTTTGTGATATAATTTACTTAATGGTCTCATATACGAGATATATCACTGTAGAAGGAAAATTAGACCTTTTTAGTGTTGCAATGTTGCCGCTTCTTTCGAAAAGTAGCGGCAACTTTGATTATTTGAAATGGACCAAACTATATACCATTCCATTTTTCTCTTGGCTATCGAAACTCAAAATTGTCTCGACTCTACGATTTATATACTTTGTTAGAAAAAATTGCAAAGGAAAAAGAACGAAGAGGAAGGGGCAGAAGGATAGCAGTTGAGGAAACTAAGAAACCGCCTGGTGTCGTGGAGGTGGAATCTCAAATATTGCGAAAAGAAGTAATGAAACCTTCGGAGATAGGTATGAAGTTTTGGTTAGTTAACAACGCAATTTGTTATGGCGAATATTTTCAGTGCCCGGTATTGATGCCAAGGAGCCAATGACAACAGATCAAGTCCCAGGTAAGGAAGTAAAAGTTAACCAACGTAAAATAAGAAAATTTCATAATATTGGAAGGGAAACCCAAGGAACTGAAACCTAAAATACAAGAACGGGCGGTAATAGCTAAAAAAGAAAAATATCCCCAAATTGAAGAAGAAAGGGCAGGTGAAGAAAAACTTGTTCAAGATCGGCCACATGTACCTGAGACGGATGAAGAATATGTAGAACATGTATTGGGAGAACGGGAAGATGTTGAAAAAATCGACACTAAACGAATACCAAAAGAAGTTAAGAAACTCGAAGTTCCGGGGGATGAAATGGTTAAAAGTGCAGACGCAGTTGAGGAGAAAGACGTAATGCAATATAAAAAATAAATTGTGTAAGTATTTCATTTCCCTCAATTTCAGGATGAACGGGATGAAGACGCGACAAAACCCAGTATACCTGAAGATCAATTAAGCAAAATAGAGCGTTATGCGATGGAGAAAGCTGAAGAGGTAGCGCCGAAAGAATTTAAAAAGGACAATTTTTCGTTAGTTTTCAAAATTGTTATGCAAATTTTTAGGAGCCCAAAGATATTAGACGAGAAGACGATACATTTGAAAAAATCTCTAAAGTCAGAAAACCGGAAATAGTTAAAATAGAAGAAGAAACAAAAGTTATACAAAAGGATATGGAGGACAAGGAAAAGGATGATTCTTTCAAAAAAGAAATCACGAAAAAAATTCCTACACGAGAGCAGTTAATAAGAGACGATAGAGTTATACCCATAGTCAAGGACGAAGAGGAATTTAGGCGACTTGTAGATAAATTGCCAGTGCCAGTAAAAGTTTTGTTTCCTGTGGCTTGAATTCACATACAATTTAATATACATTTTCTAATAGCTTAAAAAAGAAATTGAGAAACACATTGATCCAGAATTAATAACAAAAGAAGAGGAGGTAACACCAATTGAATTAACGCCAATTAAAAAAAAAACAACAGTTGGCGAGGATGCGAAACTAAGAATAGAAGACATCCCTGCGGAACCAAAACAGATTATTGAAAAGCGAAAGGAAAAAAAATCTAAAGCTGCCCCAGATAAGCAAGACGTAAAAGAATCTATTAAAGTGGATAAGGTCGTAAGTGACGTTGAGCATCAATTTCAGGCAAAATTGGAGGTAGCAGATGACGAGCCACAAGTGAAAGAGTTGATTGCAGCAAAAACAGTTCCTATTACCGATAAACAGCTAGAACCAACACTAGAGAAAACAGAAATTAGCGAAACGAGGAAAATTGACGAAGAGGAATCAGATAAAGAAATTCTACAGTATAAAGAAGTTGGTATTCAAGATACAGTCACAGACAAAGTGAAGTACGAACAAGAAAAAAGAGTTGTGGAAAAGCCCGCAATGGAAGCTAAGTGGAAGAAAATGCCACCTGCAGCAGTCGAATTTGTATTAAATATTGTTCGTTACGAATTATTTGCAGCAACGAAAGTAGCATTTTTAGGAAAAAATTGCGGAACAAATGGAAGTAGCGGAAAGCGAAGAAGTTTATTTTGATGATCAAGAAGATTTAAAAAAAATTGAAGATTTGGAGGTAAAAGCAGAAAAGGTTAGTATGTTTTTTTTTCAATATTTAAGCTCTAATAATTAATTAATAGAAAGCTGTCAAAAAGCACCTCAGAAAAATTGATGTGGTGGAGGAAGTAAAAGTTCAAGTTGCTGAGGACAAAGAAGAAAAAAGGAAAATATCTGTTAGACTAGTAACGCTAGATTGACTAACCATTACAAATTGATATTTATTTTAGGTAGACAAAATCGAGGCAGATGAGAGTCCAAAGATTGTTGTCCTGAACCAAGAGAAAGTATCAGTTTTTCCAGTCCCTTCGGAGAAACCAGAAAAAGTAGAAATTGTGGATGAAATCCCCAAAGATAAAATTCTACAAAAAATTGAACTAGCCGAAGTGAATGAAAAAGTGGTAAAAATTCTTTTGAATAAATAAGCTCCAGTCGATATATCTTGTGATTTTAGCAAGAAACTATCCCTGCTGTAGACGAAAAAGCTCTTTTAGCAAAATTGAAAGACAGATTCAAGACGGTAGAAGAACAAATTGAACGGGAACCGGCTGTCAAATCAGAAGAAGAAATACAAATTGACGTGAAAGAAGTAGAGCTCGTCGTCGAAGATAAACTCCAAATAATAGAGGAGAAAGGAGTAGTGCCTAAGAGTCCCGTGGAATTTGAATTAGTAGAAAAGGCAAATTCGCAGAGTAAGAAAAGTATAGCGCATGAGTAATTGATATGTCTGTATGTGTAGGTAAAAAAAGAAAAGATTGAAATTGATAAGGTTGAACTAGATGAAGAGAAGAAAGAGTCTATTATACTGCGTGAACTGATTCCAAAAATTATGGCACATGAGAGAGAACAAATTATTGAATTAGGACCAGAAATACAATTTGCAGAAGAAAAATTGGAGGAAGCAGAGTTAGAAATTCCTCAGTTATTTTTTGAACCCCAGTTAATTGATTTGGAAGGAACAGACGGACGCAAAATCCCGACACTTTTAGAAAAGAAATTTTCCGAAGAGCACTATGAAGAAGTTGATTTTCCAGAATTAGAGGTAACTGAAATGCCTCCAAAGGAATTAGAATTGATACCGGTAGACGATAAGTTATCACCCAAAGAATTATGGGCGGCAGCTGAAATAGAGAAGGAAATATTAGGTACTATAATTTATAAAACAGTTTTAAAATAAGATAAATGATATTCATTTTATAGAAGACGACGAGTATATCGCTGTGGAGTCATTAACAGAGTTGGATGTGGAATTTGAAATAGACGAAAGATTCAAAAAAATTGACTTGGAAGATGTCAAGCCAGTACCAAGCTTGGTTATACCGCCACCTTGCACTTCCACTTGCGCTCGCGATTTGGTCCCAATTGCATTGGAAGATTTACCTACTTGTGTAGCGATATGTGCTCAAACTTCAATTAAAGAGTTCTTTCTACAACCACAGAATCTGCGTGAAATTGGTACGCAAACTGTAGCAATACTTTATATTCCTTCATATACGCAAACCTCACTAGAAACCGATGATCCTGTAGACGTGTCAGTTAAAACCCAATTCGTTGCGTTGGAACCACGTATAGCTCAAATCACAGATCGCAAAATTCAAAAATCAACCGAAACTGTATCAGCTAAGCGTTGCCAAGCTACATGCAGTATAGTTTCACCTATAGCTCCTAGAGGGAAACAGAAAGATGAAAAACCTGTTCCTTGTACAGCAATATGTTCAAATCTATCACAAGTCACAGTTCGTCGTTACCCTTCGGATGTCAATATCAAGGCGGATGATGTACCAGTTTCTACGTGCCGAGCTGAAAATAAGTGCTTAGCGTTAAGTAGAATTAAAGAAAGACGTGGACTGTTTGCAGAAGAAACCGGTGGGATAGTATTGGGTGCAGTTAATTTGGCTTCTGATGCGGTACCACCAGGATATTTTTTGCCAGAAGAGATAAGTCCCAGAAAGTCTTTACCGGAATGGGCGAACGTTCCGGTCAATAAGCTAGAGACCATGGATATAGACCTCTCTTTATCGTGCGAAGAAAACGACTACGCAATTCCAGAAGATGTGACAACACAGAATGTTACAAGAATTTCCTCTCGACAAGCTTTGGGGTTAGGTTTGGTAACCATACCAACGAATCTTGGTTCTTCGGGAAACTTACCAGAAGTCTTGTTCAAAATAAGAGTTCCCAGTAGAGGACAGTGCAGGGCGCACTGTGCCATCATTAAACTAGCAGAACAAGAAGTGGAAACCGACGAAGATGTTAGTGATTTACATACAGATTCGGAAGTAATCGAAAAATTTGTATCCGTATTTGAACAGACCACTGATTATTACTCGGCTAATGAAGATACAGATAATCTCACTAATTACGAGCCTGTTGGCCAAGTTGCGCCTGAATCGGAAGAGCAATATTTGGACCTCCAAGAAATAGCCGAGAAAAAATCGTATCACACACAAACAGATACTATTAGTCTTGAATTTCGGGAACAACATTTACAAGATGACATAATTGTTAGTGATTATCCAGCAATAGCTCAAAGGTTTGAAGCAGCAAGTACAACAAATGATCACCTCACCACAACAACCTCCACCGACACATTTTACAGTCTCACACAATCACTCACTCTTTCAAGTAATGATGGGCTAATTTTGTATGAGACAATGTCTGATAGGATTGCTAATAAAGCCGTCCAAACTAAACTATCTGGAAGGTCTGTAGTTGAGCAAACTGATTCAGAGGCGCTTTTAAGGGCACCGCCAGCTAGTGAACTTGACGGCACCTATTTGAATAGCCAAATAGAAAGGGTTTCCCCACAAGAAATATATTTAGAAGTTTTCGAGACCGAAGAAAATGTAACAGACCAGCATGGACAAATTGAGGTAGAGATTGCGCAAACCAACATTTTCATTTCAACTTATTCACGACAGAACAGGAAAATATGACAATTTGTATGTTTAATTCTTTGAAATGTAAAAATTAATGAGTTTAGATAAAAAATCATGTATTACTGGGATTTTTGGATGCGATGAAAATAGAGGTAAAAAGATAAATAATTTCGCGCAAAATATTTTTTATTATGTTTGGAATATCTTTTGTTTAAAAAAAAAACAGAAGTTCAGTTTTTAATTTCAACCAAAGCGAGACACACTGTATATTGTTGATGAATTGATGAATATTATGTTGGCCTACTGTACATTTTATTAACAGAAAAAAAGAGGACAACAAATTACTTTTCACCCCACTCTGTATGGGTTTAGGGTAAAATTTCGCACCTGTTTCCATTATTTAAGCAGGTACTGTGATCATTAAATGACAGCTCGTCAAAAAATATCCTTTACGATTTATCAAAATGACGGAGATAATAACTTCAACTTTTGTGTGTCTGTGTAAAAATGTATGTGCATTTTATTATTCACTACTTCATTTTCAGGTCAAAGAAGCATATGGCGCTGAACAACGCAAAATCGCATCCAGTGCGCTGGAGCAATTGGAAAATATAAAGCATATAGTCGAGGAAAGGGACGATCTTCGTAAAAAATTGCAAAATTCTCAGTACGAGTTAAATGAACTTAAGGTACATGTTTAGGAATATGCACGCAACATTTTGTCAATGGTTGATTCTTTCAGAAAAACTTCGCTTTACATTCCGTCTCATACGAGGACTCCGAAGAAAAAGACGATGAAGAAAGCGAAATAATGGTCCATTTCATTAAGGATGACACCAAAAGTACCGACGTGACCGATGACGAAATTCACCACTTAGAGGAACAAATAAAGAACATGAGAAGTTCGTCTCTCGCTCCACATGAAGAAGCTCAAGCTATCCGCAAGGAAGTGGAGGTACTGAAAAAATATTGTTCTAAAATGTCGTCCATTCAGGAAGAGAATGTAGCGTTAAAAAAATCTAACAAAGAATTAGAGGAACGACTGCAAAAAACTGACCAAAATGAAAGAGACGGTGAAAGTATTGAAAAGTTGAAAGAAAAGCTATCAGCTCTTAATGAAACCACCGCAGAAAGAGACAAATTAAGAAAAAAAGTAGAGCAATGTGAGAGACAGCTAATGGCATACAACTATTTGCCAGACGATGTGGAGGTGTTCAAGGAAAGGTCGCTTTTATTAGTTGATGTAATTCAAGACAGAGATCGTCTTGCAAAACGAGTAGAACAGTTGAGAGGGACTGAAGAAGAACTTTTGGTATTGAGATCCAAAGCGAGCAGAGTAGACGAACTGGAAAGACAGTTGCGATTGACTACGAGGGAGTTGCAATTGACGGAGGACGAATTAGATAATATGAGAAATAAATGTACATTTGCGGAAATTGAGGTGATGAACCAAAAATGCGAAACTGACACGCTGAAATCAAAAATGGTCTGCATGGAACAAGAGGTAGAAACGCTACGCTCCATATGCAAGGACCAGGAAATATTGCAACTTGAGAAGGAACGACTACAGAACAGCTTGGATGAGTTAGTTCGCATGCAAGATGATTACGAACACATGCGCGTACAAATAAAAGCCATGGACGTGTTAAGGACCGAACGAGACAGGTACAAGAAAAAGTATGAAGAACTTTCCGGTTTGGAGTGCGAGTGCGATATTTTAAGGGCGCAAGTAGAGAGGGCTAGAGGAATCGAATCTGAACGCGATGCTTTGGAAAACCAAATAGAAGATTTGGAAAAAAGCATTGCAGAACAAGAAGAAGAAATACGAAGACTTGTTAGTCATATCGATGGGTTAGCTCAATCCAAGGAAGATCACAAAGCAAAAATGAGAAAAGAGATATCAGCTTTACGAGCTAAGCTAAAACGGAAAGAAACGTCTGACGAGAATTTAGTCAATACTCAAATGGAACTTGAGAATTCGTTTAAAACTGTGAATGATGATTTGAGTCAACAAAATCGAAATCTACAAGAACAAATTAATGATCTGTCGAACAATCTAAGGGCTGTTGCTGCAGAAAAAGAATTCCTAAGCAATAAAGTGAACGAAACACAACGTATAATCGAAGTCATGCAAAACATGATGAGCAATCGGCCATTTATCGATAAAGCTATTGAAACCAACTCCAGTGTCGAGACGAAAGGGAAACAAACACAGGCGGAATTGAATTATATCGAAAAATCGTTAAAAACTAACATAGATAATCATTTAAAACAGATGCTGGAAGAATCAAAAAGTGCAATTGAAAGGATTTCTGTCGAATTGGGAAAGCAATACGTTGCAGACCAAAAAAAGCTTTACAGATGTTGTCCCAACTGTACATGTAAAAAACGAAATCTGCAACCGGAAATTAAGGAAAAGATCGTCGTCAAGTGTTGCGCAAATTGCAACTGTAAACGCAAGTTGCGAACCAAAGAATACACACATATATATCAACAGACGGACAATGTGCCACTAACGGTTTCGACTTGCAGTTGCCTAAGGCGAACAGCTCAGCAAGAGAGTATTAGAACCCATAAGAAACAAAAAATGACTGGTGTTGATGAAGATGACGAAGAACTCATGTATACCGCAAGGTCCGAAGAACCTCCAACACATTTTTCAAAAATCGACCACCTCGAGCAAGAGCTGCTACGAGCGAATGACACAATTATGGAACTACAAGAAAAGGCGTTGCAAGCCGAAAAACTGGCAGTCGAGAATGCGGCATTAAAGAGACACTCCGCTGAAATTCAAGACATTTCCAAGGCCCAGATCGAGGACTTGGTACAGCATTTGAAAAAGGCTAAAGAAAATATTGTGGAATTAGAAACCAAGAGTTGTAGATTGAAATTTGACCTCAGCGCTTGTTTACGAGAGAAAGATCAGTTGCAGGAAGCGTTAAAAGGGAAAATGGGTACTTCAGATCGCGAGTTGGCAGCTGCACCTGATCTTGATATAATTGCCAGGTTAAAGGTAGACTTGGAAAACTGTTTAAGCGAAAAATCAGTTCTATTAAAAACAATCGAAGACCTGAAAATGGAGGTCTTAAAAGGAAAACCCGATTCAGATGTGTTCGTTCAGTTGCAATGTGATCTCGAGAACTGCTTAAACGAGAAGAAGAAGTTAATAAAGACAATCGAAGAGCTTCAGTTAAAACTCCGCCATGGAGAAAAATATGTGGCGGATTTTGTTGAGCTTGAGAAAATAGAACTAGATCTGAAGAATTGCATTGAAGCAAAAAAACAGCTGGAACGCGACCTAGGGGAATGTCTCAACCAGAATGAAAAAATGAAAGCCACTATTGAGAACTATCAAAAACAAATTTCGACTAGAACAACGTTGGATGACGAATTGTTAAAATTAAAGGAAACATTAGAGGAAACATTCAGGGAACGGGATGAATTATTAGAAAAACTGGATCTGTGTTTAAGTGAAAAAAAAAGCCTTACAGATTCGTTTAACGAGATGAAACGCGCAGTAGACTCTGGAAAAATAAAAGAACTGCCTGACATAACTGAATTTGCACTGCTTAAAGCCAATTTTGAAAAGTGTATCCAGGAAAAAGATAAATTGTTAATAAAAATTGAAGCTCTGCAAACTACAGTTAAAGAGGCTAATGAAAAGTTGAATGAAAATGCTATGATAACAAACAATTTGGAAAATGAAAATGAAAAGTTACAGAACCTTGTAGAACAACTACAGCATCAAATTGATCGAAAAGGGGAGCAAGCGTTTATTGATGATTTAGAAAAAGAACTAGCAAACTGTTTGCGTGAAAATCAGTATCTCAAAAATGTAATTGGAGAACTAGAAAAGCAGATTGCTTCTGAAGAGAAAGAGGGGCTTCTAACGGATAAACTGAAACACGACTTACAATCAAGCTTCAACGAAAGAAATGCACTTTTGCAAAAAAATTCTGAGTTAGAAGAAATGTTAGACAATTTCAGGACAGAACTGGACTTATGCTCGACTCAAAAACAAAGTCTTCTGCAAAGCATAGACGAATTAAAAGCAACTCTTCAGTCGGAAGATATTCCCGACCTTACAGAATTTGTATTATTAAAAGCCAATCTCGACAAGAGCTTAAAAGAAAAAAGTAATTTAACTATTAAAATTGGCAAATTGCAGGAAGAATTAGACAACACTAAGTCGCAATTAGAAATCTGCTTGAATGATAAAAGTGCATTAATGAAGATCATAGATGACTTGGGGCATGACAATGTTAAAGCATTTGCTGAATTAGAAGCAAATTTGGCCAAATCTTTGGCGGAGAAGGATTTATTGACACATGAAATTCAGGAACTTGAGAAAAAAGTGAAAAGCGATGAGCTTGGAAGATGCAAAATAGATCTTGAGAAATGTTCAAAAGAAAATGAAACCCTTTTGAAAACGATTGATGAACTACAGTGGAGCATCCGGTCGGAAAAGGCAGACGATTTGCCTGGTTTGGCGGAGTTTATTCAACAAAAAAATAAATTGGAAAGCGCAGTTGCAGAAAATGAACAGCTGAAAAGTAAAATGCAGAATCTATCCAAAACGGTGAACCAACTGTCTGCAGAAAATGATAAATTAAAATTGGAGCTTCAAACACTGGCAGTTACAAATGAGCAACTCAAAAATGAAAACCGAAGCTTAAAAAATGCTCTAGACCAACAAGCCATAGAAAAAGAACAATTTGCATCAGAGGTGAAGGCTCTTGTCACCGAATTAAAACTGATGAAAGAACAAAAACAATTAGAATCAAAATTAAAAACCGACGAAATTGAGAAGCTAAAGAAAGAGAAGGATGATTTGGATAAAATGCTGTCTAGTAACGTAATGACGACGTCGCGCAGAGCTTTAAGTTTAGAAGAGCAACTGGACGGTCTCTCTAAAGAAAATAAAGAACTTACTAAAGAAATGGAGAGGTTATTGGGTGTAAATCGAACACTGGAAACAAGAAATCAAGATATACTCTCGAAACTGCCAAATCTCGAGTCAGCAAATGATAAATTGAAAACAGATTTAGCAAAAGTTAAACAAGAAAACCAAAAATTGGCTAAGGACGTTGAGAGAATGAAGAAGTTCGAAACTGATGCTGGAATTTTAGAAGAACTAAAAAAAGAAAATGAGAGTCAGAAAGATGAAATAAGAAATCTATTGGAAAAACTAAAGCAACCACCTATAACAGAAAAAATAAGTAAAACAGCACTCGACCAGCAGCTCAAAGAAAATGAAACTTTAAAAGCCATCGTAGATGACTTGCAAAACCAACTGAAACATATAACCAAGGAAAAGGCAGAGGCCATTGGTCCAGGACAAGTAGAAGGGACATTTTCAGCGCTGGCTGATAAACTGGAAGAAATGGAAAGGCGTGCTGAACTTGCAGAAGAATCCCTAAGGAAGTTAAAGGCTAGCGATCCGTCGGCCATGCTAAAATCAGAATTGTCAAAGCTGCAAAATGAGATCGAACAATTGAAAAAGGAGAATAATGCTCTGAAAAAGATGAACGAAGAGACCGAGAAAACCAAATCTACACTGAAAAGGGACCTTGATAATGCGTTAACTGAGATAAAAAGGTTCGAAGATGAAAATGCTAATCTAACGAAAGTTAATGAAAATTTACAGAAAGAATTGCGAAAGTTTGCACAAGGGGTTCATCCCGAAACTCTGAAGGCAGAAAATGAAAGTCTTAAGGAAAAATTGTTGAATTTGGAAGACGAAATAAACAACCTGCAAGTGACAATTAGTAAGGCGCATAAAGAAACTAGGGCTTGTGCCGAGACGATGGGGCAGGTTCAATCTGAAAATGCCGATTTAAAGAAAGCACTGGTCCAAACCCAAGTTGAAAATGCCAAAATACAAAAAGAATTGACAACGGCATTGGCAAACGCGAAAAAGTCGCGTGAGAAGTTGACCGCAACTGAAACGGAAAATTCCAAATTGAAACAGAAAGTAGTGGATCTTGAGGATCAAGCTACTCAATTGAGGCGAGAACTAAACAAAATTTTGGAGGATGCCAAAAAAAGTGCTGACACTGTTTCCGATTTGCAGAAGGAAATAGTGAGTTTAAAACAGACTGTTGCAAAATTAGAAGCAGAGAAGGTAAAATTAGAACATAGAGAAAAAGAATCAGCAAAAGAAGTAAGTAAATTAAAGCAGGCGGAAGAATCGGCTGCGCAGCATCGGAATGAAAATACCAAATTGAAGAAACAGATCGATGAATTGCAGAAAGATATCGAAGATATGAAAAGAAAATTAGAACAAGAAATATCGGTATCTAAGAATAAAACTACCGAAATATCTAATCTGCAAAACCAGATATCGCTTTTGAGGAAGAAGGTGTCAGAGTTGGAAAGCGAAATTACGTATCTACGGGAACAACTTGTGACAAGTGATTTGAAATCTGAATATGACAAACTTAAGAAGGTGCTTGGCGATGCAGAAAATCAAAATGACAAATTAAGGCACGACTTAGAGAAAGCCACAGGTAAGAACACCCATCTCTTAAATGTGTTTAAAAAAAGGCAATGTCATCTAGAGGTAGGGGTATAATTTTTAACATGTTTATTATCGATGTAGATTATAACGACCATAAGGTGGCGAACATTTTAATTATTTGTTTTGCATTATCAACTCTAAAACATCCAAAATATACAAAGTTTAAGATATCAGCTGCGGTAAACAGCACGTAGCACGATGGACGTTTTTATTACTTTAGTTACGAATTTGAGAGGATGATTTCGGTAGATTTTAAACACAGATGGAATTTTGGTGTCTGACAATTTTGATGGTTACGTCACATATCACTCAGTTACTGAAAAATGGTACATCATATGTTCATATAGATACTCGTTTATTAAGCACTAGCTCCACGCTTAGCTCGTGCAGAAACAAACTAGGGACTAAAGTATCGTTTATCAAACTTGTTTCTACGAAGATTAGTTTTTGCGTTTTTTTTTAACAGAATTTTGATGTTGCATTACGCAAAAACTAATATCAGAAGTGATTGGCAAAATTATTTGACCAAGCTGATGTCTCTGATTTAATAGTTTCGTTTGCAACTCAACCTTTTATTAATTTATTTATGTTTCGGCTACAAACCATCTTCAGCAATCAATACGTTACTCTCAAAAGGTAAAATGGGGCTGAAAGATTTTGCAAATTATAATTGAACTACTGGACACTAGAAATAGGTAAACCACTCTAAACTAATAAGAATTGAGTATGTGCGAAATTAATTCGCACTAAATGTACAAATTAAAAAAACAACCAAAAATTGGAGATATATAAGGTCGAGCTTGCAGTTTACTTTCAAGATATAGATATCAGTAATATAGGTAAACTAAGGGAAAAAGCTTTTCAAGGAAGACTCAAAACCAAATATTGTTTCGTAAAATTTTCCTAGAATAATATCAATTTTAGTAGTGTATATTTCCACCTATTGATTCAATTACATATTCGTAGCATCGCATGATATTCGTCCATCACGCAAAACTTTCAAAGTTTGCTGTTGCATAAGCAATGACGAACTGATCTTTTAAATTTATTACAACAATGAATGTTAGCTAGGGAGGTTTTAAAATAATCTTTACCTACCTACCTAAACCTCACATAAGAAACGTTTCATATTTCAAATGGCAGCTTAATTAAAAATCTAGGACTGTAATAATTAACCATTGAGCCTTTTTTTTAATTAAAGGCGTTTATAATAGAAATTGGATAATACAGGAGGAAAACTTTTCTAAAACAAAAATTAAGCTGCAGGGAACTGGAAACAAAATATAGAAATACAAAGTGCTCTTCTACAATTTTAAAAAAGTTTCAAGCCTAACAAGGACAAACTTTGGACTGGCTAAGGTTCTTTTCTGGCTGAAGATAACTTTTATAGGGTTTAGGAAGTTTACCGTTCTGGATTAGTCCAATGACAATATTTTTAAGTTCTAATTTCTTATTATATTCGTAAGTTTTGTATCATTAAAATATATGTTTATGACCTTACCTTACACCTTAGGGTATATATATATATATATATATATATATATATATATATATATATATATATATATATATATTTGTGTGTGTGTGTGTGTGTGTGTGTGTATGTACAAGCTCGCATAGAATGAAAAGCTTTACTCACGTTACACACACACACCTATTTCGTACCACATAAAAGGAAAAACAAAATGTGGGGAGCACATTTCTACAGCGAAGTTAATATTAATTTCGTTTCATTTATTATTGCAGGATAATAAGCGAATCTTTAGTTTTACTGTAGCAATTGGAATTAATGAAATTAGGCTTTATTAATTACGATAAATTGTGTTTCTAGGCGATGCCAAAAAATTTAAACAAGATTTGAACGAAAGCAGACAAACAGAAAAAAAATGCAAAGAAAAGTTAGCACAACTCGAAAACGATAACAAAACATTAAGGGATAACATAAACGAGAGTTTGGACAATTTGAAAAAAATTGAATCCGCTAAGTTGGAAATTGTAACCGAAAACTCAAAACTAAAAAATGACTACGTTATGTTGGAACAGGAGAACAAGAAACTGCGGAAAAATCTCGACGCTGCTTTTGCAGATCAAAATAAGGCGACCTCGCAGGCTAATGAATTAAAGGAGCAATATGTGTTGGTTAGACAACGGACTTCACTACTCGAAGTCGAAAACGCAACATTAAAAAACGAATTGGACTCGATTTTGAATCAGCTAAAGGCAAGCAAAGAAGAAAATACACACGCCATAGAAGAAAATAAAAAGGCGAAAGACAAAATTAATCGGTTGGAAAAAGAGAACGCGCAAGTCAAGAAGCTACTGAAAGAAACCCCCAAAGGGGCGATACCACAGCCTGATGATGGTTTAACCTCTAAATTGATGTTGCTACAGGACAGTAATCAAAAACTAAAACAAGAACTCGACGACGTGCGAAATCAAAGCAAGGAAAAGGACAGAGAATTGTCTAAAATAATAGGGGAGAACGCACAGTTAAAACAAAAACTAGAAGCCTCGAACGCAAATCTGAAAATAAACTTGGATAAGGCTTCCGCAGATCTCCAAAAATTCACAGCCGAACGAAAAGAAATGGAAAAGGAATTAGCAAACAAACTAAATGAAATAAAAGTGGAAAAACAAGAGCTCGAGGCTAAATTAGGGGAATTACTCAAAAAATATGAAGCTGATAGCGCACAATCGAAAGCCGAAAATGAAAGATTAAAGGAGCGTCTCGCAAAGATGCAGTCTGAAAATGCTAAATTAAAAAAAGATTTAGATTCGTCTTTGGCCGATTTAAAGAAAATCGCAGACAATCTCTCTCGTGTTACTGACGAACGAAATAAATTCAGTCAAGAATTGTCTAAAGTTCAGGCGGATAACCAAAAACTTCGTAAGGATCTCGAGTCTGCGAAAAGGGATGTCAAAAAGGAGGAAATGGGCGCCGGAGATCTTAAAGTCGCAAACGAGAAATTGAGGCAGCACTTACTCCAGTTGGAACAGGATAATGAAAAACTTAAGTCGGACCTTAACGAAGCATTAGACGCGCAAAAGAACGCTACGTCCGATCTCACTAAATTGCGCGAGGATGAAAGCAAAACAAAGTACAAGCTGGCTAAACTAGAAACTGATAATTTAAGATACAAAAAGAACCTGGACAAAGCTGTGCAAGATGCGGAGACATCCAACTCTAAAGCAATACAACTAAACCAAGAAAACGCTGCCTTGAAACAACAGTTAACCAAGCTGGAAAACGACATTTCGCAGTTACGAAAAGATCTGGAAACCAGATTGGATGCCGAAAAGGCCAAGGCTCGAAGTTTGACAAACGCACAAGCTGACAACGACAAATTGAGGCGAAATGTAAGAGAGTTGGAAGCGCTAAATCAACAGCTGAAGAATGACTTGGACGCCGCTTTAAAAGCCGCGAGGTCCAGTTCAGATAGCGTTGATACTTTAAAAAAGGAAAACGACAACCAGCGGAAGAAAATTGCTCGGTTGGAAGCAGAAATTGCGAAATTACAAAACGACTTGGAAAAAGCAAATGCCGAGCCTGCGAGAAAGGTACCAGACGAGAAAGAACACCGCAAAGAATTGGCTCGATTAGAAGTCGATAACGACAAATTGAAGCAAGAGCTTTCCAGGGCGTTAGATGAAACAAAACAATTAGCCAATCTTCGAGAAAACGTGGACAGACTGAAGCAGCAAGCTTCGCGAAAGGACGGGGAAGTGGAGAGCTTAAAAAAAGAATTGGCGATTTCTGCGGATCAAGCAAAAAAGATTTCGTCTGAATTAAGTAAACTTAAGGAGGGCGAAGCAAAAATGAAACAGAACCTCGCACAACTTCGCTCGGAAAACGTTAGATTGAAAAAGGAATTGGACGCCTCTTTAAACGATAACAAAATTAAAAACGAAGAAATCGTTAGGCTGAAAAGCGAGAATGATAAACTGGAAGCAAAAGTGAGACAGTTGGAAAAGGATGTGGAACAACTCAAGAAAAAACTGATTGACGAACAAAATAAGGCGAAGGGCGCGTCGAACGAATTGTCGGAGCTAAAAGACAAAAATATCGAATTTAGACAAAAAATTAGCCAACTGGAGGGGGATAATCTCAAACTTAGAAGCGAAGCTGAACGGTTTCGAGGTGCGGACAAGGCAACGGAAAAGCTCGAAAGCGAGAACAGAAAACTTCGGCAAGAAAAATCGAAGCTTCTGGCAGATATTAATGAACTTACGAAGAAATTGATGGCAATGGAATCACTTGCTGCGGAAAACGAACAGCTGAAAATGGAGATTTCGCAATTGAGACAAGAAATCAACGGGTTGAAGAACGAATTGACTAAAGTCCAAAGAGAATTAAAAGATGCAGCCAAGTCCATGAAAAAATTGGACCAAGAGAATGGAAAAATTAAAAACGAAAATAACAGTATGCAGAAGAAACTGGACGAAATCAACAACCTTCTCAACGATACTTTGCAACAACTCGAGAAGTTTAAAGGTATGTATGTATTGTAATTGCTAATTTTTAAAATATTTTTTATGAGGAATTCGTATACAATAATAAAATATTCTGTTTGATTGTATTTTCAAAGGTTGATTGTCCATGGAAAACCGAGTACACTGTATTTTTTATATTGCCTTTTAACATTTGCGTGTCCACAAATAACCACTACATAAGGCATCACACCATTTTTTTTGTATAACAGAAACCGATATCGAACAATACCTAGAACAAATTAAAGAAAGCGAAAAAAAAATAAAACAGCTGCAAACCCAAATTTCTCAAGAAAAGAAGAACAGCAAAGAAGTCATCGCTTCCCTTAAGGCCCAGTTCGACAAAGACATAAAAAATATGATGAAGAGTAATGAAGAAGACCTCAACAGACTTCAAAAAATTAATGAAAAATACGTAAAGGAGTTGGAAGAAAAGAACATGGCCTTAAATGACGCGCTCGCTATCGCAACAAGGGAAATGGAGTTGGTTAGAAAAGAGCGAGATCGATTAAAAAATTTGCTGGATGAGCAAAAGCGAAAAAGCCTCGAAATTAAAGATAAGGTGGGGGAAGTCGAACAAATTCTCGCTAGAGAAAGGAGAAAAAGTAAAGAAATGGAAAAGAAACAGAAGGAGCAAAAGGGCAAAGCAGACATGTTGCAAGACGAAGTTGAAAAAATACGACAAAGATCGTTCGATATCTTGAAGGAAAGAGACAGTATAGAAAAACAGTTGGTGGCTTTAAGGAGAGAAAAGGAAGATCTGGAAAAGATAAGAGCTGAAAATAAGGAGAAAAAAATTTTACCGGAACTTGCAGATAGTATTATTCATAAGGTAGGTCTTGGTAAAGAGCACAAATTGTTTGAAATTTAGTACTGTAACCACCATGACTATTACTATAATTTCAAACCAATTCTGATAGTAGAAAATTGCAACAAAATATACTTGCTGTAAAGTATAGCTTCAAATCTCTTCAAATCTATATGAATACAAAGTTGATGTGTTGGAAACATCGTAATTAAAATTAAACTAGCGTTAATGTATTCGTCAAGCAAAGTGGTGGTGTGATTATAATATGCTTTTACTAAATACAGACAAAACTGAACTCCGAGCAAATCCCATACCTGTTCCATTTGAGGTATCCAGGAGCTATTTTTAGAATATTGCGTCAGCAAAAATACCAATTATTTTTAAATATTATTAGAATGTTCTACATGCATACAGCTGCAGTGATTTCTTCCGGCATTTTATTTTGGGGTTCTACAAATGGTGCGATTATTATCTTTATAGCCCGAAAGAGGGACAATATGTAGACCTTTCTTTCCACCTACCTAGTTGGTAAAATTTGGTAAATGTATTTTGCGCATCAAGAAGCCTCTTCAGGAGCTCACTTTTTTCTATCACTGACGTCAGTGCGGGATTTGTTTCGCGTATGTTTCAAGAAAAAAAATGCTACGCCACTGAGATTTTTTCAGGAGGGTGAACTAGTCATTTCTGTAAAAGTTAACATTTGCATTTTTATTGTCAGATGAACTGTTATTGATTAAAATAATACAATTTAAGGTGTTACACTTCGCTAATAATTTTTGAAGATCCAAATCTAGTTATTCTGAAATAAATTACAGTTTAAGAATGTCATTCTCAAATAACTCTTTGTTGTTTTCGTTGGGTTATTTCTTTTTAATTTTCTGGCAATATGGTAAATTATACTAATACAAAAATGACACCACCCTCTATCTCAAAAGTTAAGAGGTGTAGAACATATGTTTTTTTTAATGCTCTCAAGGATTATCCCCTTCAGTATTCACACACCATTAAGCAACATCGTCTAAAAGAGAAATGAAAGATAACAATGTGTTTGCCTACAAAGTGGCAATAGATCCAAAGCATGCAAATTTTGAAAAGTTCAGGAATTTTTTATACATTTTATAGTTATGGCTTATTTCATATTTTTGCATTATTTTAGTTTTTGAGACGAGTAATGCACTTTTGTTGGTTCACCCGCGTCTACCGGGAAAATTTTTTAAAGAACTTGGCCAATATATTTTGTTTGTATAACAATTAAATATTATTTTAGGATGGGGAAATTAAACTAAAAAAAGATAGGCTAACTATGGCCACATTTGAGACTGTGTCATTAGCACCCGATGTTATTCCTATAACAGCTCCTCTCTCGGATACGGAATTAAGATATTTCGGCAAAAAACCTTGCCCGTGTTCCGTAACATTCGAAGATGCTTTGAAAAAGGCTGCCAAAAAGGGACTTAAAGTAAGTAATGTTTCATTCCAAAGGAGTATCAGGTCTAGCTTGCTATTTAACGCAGTCGCTCTCGATTGAAGAGCTTCAGCTGATTCATAACAATATAAGTGAAGTGGTTGCAACGATTTTGGAGAAATATGGACAGAAAACCGGTGTTCTCAAATCAAATGAAGGGGATAAACTGTCTTTGCTGAGGCGAATAGCTGAACTTGAAGGCGATTTAATGAAGAAACAAAAACAAGCCCAACAGAAAAGTATTGCATCTTTGTACATGGAGATTTTAGTGCGCACTTAACAGACATTACTACTTTTCAGTTGCCGAAGTGCAGCACGCAGTCCGAAATGAAAAAGAAAAGATAACGAAACTTAGGAAGAAGTTAGCATCGGATAAATCGAGAAATGATATTGAGGAATTATCAGAAATTCCTGAGATGCTTACCAAGAGAGGAAAAAATTTAGAGGTGACTATTTTGGCCTAAAAATGTATCAATTAAAAATGTCGATTTTTGTATAATTTAATCAAAGAAAATCCTCTATATCTGTTCTAAAATATTGTGATTGATATAAAAAATGATTTTTCATTGAAGAATTTTCAATTGTAACAAGAATTTTTTATCTCCATATTTAAATGGATTTGTGTAATTCTAGAAGGGAGTACTTTGGCTGTATCTGCTTTGAAAAGAGATTTGGATAAATATTTTACTAATAACAATACATATTATTGAATATTTGTTCCCAGGATTTGAAAAGTGAGCTGGAGAAGAAACTTAATAACGAGTTGATAAATAAAATGAAACTGGAGGAACAATTAAAGGAATACAAAACTACCGAAGTGCCCGTTAAGGAAGTATTGCGTAAATCACGATCTCACCAATGTACAGCTAGACGCTGAAAGGTTATATGATATTCCACAAGAACTTTCTAAAACTATATTTTTTTATTCGTAGGTAACACAACTAGGATCGTAAAATGGCGTGACGTGTCCAACAGTGAACGAAAATTTCAATGTTTGTCTGAAATAAATATAACAGGTTACAAATTTGATTTCTTATAATTTAGACCCACCTTTATAAGACCTACCTTTTATAAGAATTTAATGTAAAAATGACTTAGAACTGTCGCGGGCTTAAAATCAATGGGAAGCATGAAAAGTCAGGGGAAGCGCGGTCGGAGAAGTATTGACTGTTTCGCAACTGCAATGCATAATGTGAACATATATTCTGTAAATCTGTCTTTCTTTGTATATGAAATCGGTCCATATTCCTAACTTTGATGGTCTATATATTTTCTTACGCACCTTTTACATGCATGTTTCCTTACACTGATTAGATGTGGGCGGCACAATACCTGTAACCTAAAGCAATATTAGTGTTGTATGGATGTCGCTTCTATTGTCTGTGGCAATGGATTCTGAATAAGTTAAGTTAGTGTGTGCATAAAATAAAAATATATATAAAACCCTAAATCTGTATAATTGGAAGCATTTCTAGCCAACAATTCTCCTTAAAAGCATAACAATTAACAAGAGGCTCGTTAAGTTTTGGAGTGCCTTCGCCAGATGGGTGTACGATTGGGTCAGTGTCACAACTCCTTCGAAAGATTTTTTCGTAGAACTACTCTTGGACAAATCTGTTTTAGTTCAGCATTGAGATATGCTTGGTCACTGCATATTATTGCCATTGCTTGTTTTAATAATGATTTAACTTTCAATTTTCTTTACTCCAGAATTATTAGAATAAAAACTAGAAATTATGTAGATAAGGTCACTCCTCTGTAGAACACTTGCGCTCAAAATATACGGCATTCCCGTCGAAATAAAAATAATGAACATTTCATTTCTTCAAATGAAATGCCGTATAATTTATCTAATTAAAACTAACCAAAACTATTCTTAAATTAAATACCCTTGGATATAAAATATTATTTTCATATTTACCTAAATATACCCAATCAGAACATGCTTCAGTAAAAATTAGCACATCTGCTTTCGGTAACCATGAAATTGTAAATTAATGTTGCATTGGCATTTTTGAGGCAGTATTTTCTAGGAGAACGAGTTAAGTGCGTGAAAATCGCTGTTTAGAAAGACAATGGTGCAAAGTGTAGGCTAGTGGGTGAAATGTAGAGGCATGGGCAGAAAATCATTTTTTTTTTTTTGACCACAGGAGGGTCACCAAGAATCTTAAACCTAATCCGCCAAATCTGTCCGCAAGTGCAATGCGAAAACTCCCGCTTTCTGTGACGTAGGTGAAGTCCTGTATTGACGCGTTTACTATGTAAATGCAAGGAAATAATCCGAAACTGACCAGAGATATGATATATATATATATATATATATATATATATATATATATATATATATATATATATATATATATATATATATATATATATATATATATATATATATATATATATATATATATATATATATATATATATATATATATATATATATATTATAAACTAGAAATGCCTACTTTTGGATATATTAAAGAACATATTGAAAAACAAAAAATAGATTAGGCATACATAACAACTATTTATAAGTGGTAGGTAAATAATAATATGTATTTATATGGACCCTCGTATGTACATAATATAAAAAATATATATTACTACATACACTTAAATCTTTATTTTACAATTTTACCAGACTTAGCTTTATGATTTATTATTTGGGGTTCGGAGATGGGTTCTGGAGATGGATTTTTCTCTAGAATTTCACTAGTGGCATTCGATGTTGATTCTAAAAGCTCACACAATACCTGCTGAGCTCCTTTTTTGGCATTTTTGGAATGAAATCTTATTGATCTAGATAATCCTGCTTCTGTTGGTGGCTTCTGGTTAAATAATAATAGGGTGGGAACAGCAGTTTTTTTTATAATCTTTTTTAAATTTAAACCTAAAATTTAAATTTTGTGGTGAATTTAATGTGTTACTCAAGACAAAAAAAAACCTAATAACTTATTTTGTAAGTCTCTTTCGTAATCATTTTCAGTAAATTGAACTGAGCAGACATGGCTTTTATCTGGATATCCAAATAGTTCGGGATACTTTCCCTTTGGAAAAGCGATGAAAACTACATTTTCGAGAACTTGCTTTTTCATCAAAATAGTTGTTATTGCACCCATACATGGCACATTTTGTTCCAGGCATACCTAACTATGTTTTGATGTAACTTGGCCCACTGAAAAATGTAAAAAATGTATTTCTTATCTTTACCTATATTATTATGTGTAATATTTTGAGCTTACCTCCTAACTAATAACACCGCTAATAAGCAGCGTGAACACAAAACTTTTAAGTCTTTGTTTAAGGTTAAAAATTCTGTTTTACACAGTTCTCGCCACTCAAGCACATACAATTTTAAAGTATTTGTTAAAGCTTAAAAACACTGTTTTGTACGAGTTTTTTTTACAGAAATATAATTAATACAAACATAAGCGCACTACTCACTAATTTAAATTATTTTAATTGTTCAAAGAACACAAAATACAAGGATTTAATACGCCTTCAAATGCATTGACAGGATACACAAAAACCGTTAGAGGACTTCGCCTACGTCACAAGCGACCACGTGCGATCGAAAATTTTGGGATTGGGAAATCCTATTAGGTTTACGATTCTTGGAGGGTCACTATATTATCTGAAAGCTATGTGGTATAGATTATTGTCTTCAACTTTTAGTGTGTTGAACTTTGGAAAAGGAAAACAAATTTTAATTTTTCGATTGGCTAATCGCCTCCTAGTGTGGCTTTTCATCTTTTCTAAATTAAAATGTTTTTTTTTCTATTATACAATGAGCTCGCACTTAGACGGCTGTCCAGATTATTCTATATATCAACAAGTAAGCTGGCAATTTTTGTCAGTCGTTAAAATAGGACAAACACAAATACACCCAAGTCTCCCGGTGGAAATCGAACCCACAACCTCTGGCAAGTCGAGTCTAGCATGTCTAACGCCTTACCAACCGAGTCATCCTCGGTCCCAAAATTAAGATGTATTGAAAAAACGATGCTAAAAAGACAAATTTCTATGACAAATTGATATAACTAAAACCTCTCGATTTATTGGTTAGTACGTTATACATCTCTTTTATGCTTTGTGGACGACGAGCAGGTAGGTAAACTCTGCGCAAGGAGAAAAAGCTACTTTGCTCTTGTGTTCCGTTCGGTTCTGTTGGCAAATTACCACAAATTCACAATTTGGGTCCCTTTTCAATTAAGAATCATCCCTTAGTAACCCTCCTTAAAAAGCTAAGAACGTTTTATATTCACGAAGACCGTTTTGGCAACCAGAAAAATCTCCCATACCTCATCCAGGCTCTAGAAAATCTAAGTCCGTATCAGAATAAAATCTATAAAAAAGTCATTCCACCTCGTTTTGAGTTTGATTATTTTAACCAAATAACCCCTATAAAAACATTAAACTTAAATATAAAAAAATCTGACCCTGACATAAAGGAAAAATTCAATCTTGCCACAGAAAAATTTAAAAACACTTTCCACTTCGTATATACAGATGCATCTAAAATTAGTAATAGTAATGGTCTTGGGGTTTACATTCTTGATATAGATTACAAATTCTCTTCAAAACTACAAAACGAAATAAGTATAACTTCAGCAGAAATAATAGCAATATATGAAGGGGTTACGGTTATTTTGAAAAAAAATCTTAAAAATGGAATATTTTCTGACTCTCTCAGTGCAATCACAAAATTAAATACCAACAATATTAAATACGCTTCAGAATTTCTAACTCTTACGACCAAACAACTCATAGTGGATGCAAATAATAATGATAATAACATTATTTTAGCTTGGATCCCAGGACACTCAGACATAGTAGGTAACTCAGTTGTTGACTCTTTAGCAAAAATAGGTACAAGCCTAAATATTCCAAAAACCATTGACTTAAAAATAAATAAAAATGAAATTCTTAATATCATAAAACAAAAAATACTTCATCAACACAACAGACATTGGAAAATATATTAAAATTTAAGGGCAAAAATGGTTTGACGGACAAGAATATATAGACAGAAGACATGTCACCATTATTACAAGGATGAGAACAGGACACTGCCTTACTAAACAGCACCTTTATAAAATAGGTATAAACGATAGCCCATTTTGCGAATGTGGAAAGATTGAGGATCTGAACCACATGTTCTTTAAATGCCCTATAAATGAGATACCCGATCTTCATATCTACAATTCTTTTATAAAGCTGGGCTTCAAAGCCCCTCTTAACATATCTGCTGTTCTAATTAAACCCAATAAAAAGATTACAGATATCATAAATTCCTTTTTAAACTTTAATAAAATTAAACTGTAACGTAATATCTATCATTAATATTTTCAGAATCCATTATCTCCAACAAATCCAACCTCTATGCCCTCTTCCCCCCATATGTTTGTAATACTAACAGATACCTCCATTACCGAATAATTTACTCTTTATTGAGCAAAGTAAATAATATAAAACATCTAAGGGTAAAAGTAGGTAAGAGTTCCCAGGAGCTCTGCTCGTCAAGCTGAGGACTCCCCTAATGAGCTGGCAGACTGCCTAGTTGCAAAGCCAAAATATTGACAAGAAGAAGAAGAAGAAGAAGAAATTCACAATTTCCTCTGGGTTTGTGTTAACCACGATTATTTGAAAGTTGTTTTTCTTTTCATTCCCCATATATTTATGAATGTTTACATCGAATCGAAGTGATTTCGGCATTCTTAACATGAAGAAATACTAATGGATTACCCAAAGTTTTATAGAATAAATTAGAATAAAAATTAGCGGGAAACGATGTTTACGCTTCAACATACATTGACTGGTAATTCACCTAATTAAAGTGTAATGTAATTTTAGATAATAATTTAAGGGGAAGAAATTCAGTTACGGGAACGGAAGGAATATATTGTTGGACGAAAGAATTGCGATATAGGGATTGAAGGAGATCCTTCGATAAGTAGGAAACATGCGATCCTTAGAATAAGGGTCAGTAACAAAATTTAAAAGAAATTCTTATACACTGCCTTACACATTTTTAGGATGATAAGGTTTTTATAGAAGATTGCGGGTCTAAATATAAGACAACACATAACGGAGTTGAACTTCAACCTAATAAAGAAGTCCAATTGCTTAATAATGATGTGATTCAGTTTGGTGTTATGCAAAGTAAATACAGGTAAGCTTAAAATATTAGTTTATATTTAGCTGTTAGGCGCTGCACATTCTTTTTAGCTTTCTTAATTACAAATTTGTTACCACAACTACGGGTATTAATTCAAAAACCAATGAAACCTTAAAGCAAAACCTCATCAAATGTGGAGTTAAACTAGTAGACAAATGGTTGAAAGTTTGCACCCATCTGACTGCTGAGAATATTGTATTAACATTAAAGTTCCTTCAAGCTTTGATAGATGAGAAACCAATTGTAACGCCCAAATATTGGGAAGAATATGCCAACTGTATTATGAACAATCATGAACCACCAAATATTAATGAATTTAATAAGCCAAACATAGGTGAAGAACTTCTTAGTAAGGATTATGATTTTTCCCCAAATCCAGCGCGGAAAACATTGTTTTCCAATAAACTATTTATTTTTCCCATGGAAAAAAACAAACTTCAAATGCAAGAAGTGATTGAGTGTTGTGGTAAGTTTAATATAATCTTTTGTTTAGTAAGAAAATATATTTGATTTGATTTTTTGAGGAGGCGAATGTGTATCTTGGGAAGAATCGCCATTAATTATGTCTGAAATGAAAAAGAGCACTAAGGACTACATACTTATCAAATCAGAGGACCAGTTAGGAACAGCTTTTAAAAAAGTTGTTCAGGCATTCCTAAAGGAGCACAAACGAACTATCCCAGTCTCAGAAATTGCTTTAGCTATAATTAGCTGCTCTTGCAAGACAAACTGCAATCCTGATTTTGATCTTGCAAATAAAGTTTTTGGCAATCGTACACAGCATGTACCAGCTGAAGGTACCCCTTTAGCAATGGAAACTCAGAGTGAGCCCCAAATTAATGAAAATAATGCCACTAAACATAATGTTATAATATCTTCAAGTCTTGATGACCCTTTAAGTTTGTGTTTTGACAATATTAAACATAAATTAAATGAAGATTCCACAAAAATCTCCAAAAAAAGATTGAACGAGGCAGATGAAAATGAAGCAGTGAAAAAATTTAAAACTCAGTAAGTATAAAAAAATTAAATTTTTATTATCTAGTATTTAGTACTTAATGCATTTTAGTGCAGAAACTAGTAATTACCATGACATGTCAATTCCTTCGACTTCTAAGGGACTGCCTCAAAACACCAACACTACTAAGGTAAAATATGTGAAATATGTACAGGATAATCATTTAGAAGAAGCTTTTTTTCCTGATGTCGCCTGAATCAGCAAGTTGTATATTACATGGAAAATGAAAAACTTGTTCAAATCAGTCTTTATCTGATGCACACTAGCCAAGCTGAAATGCAAGTCAGCAACTTCAAAAATAGTAATAGAAAAAGTAGCTAGAGTGGATATTCTGTCCTTAAATTATAAATTAAAAAATTAAAAAGTCAGCATAACAAAAAAAAAGTTTGAAAACATTGTGACAGTTTGATAGGGGGGCTTTCTTGTTTAGTATTTTGGGTAGTTTGCTTTATATCATTTATTATGTGCAACATAACAGTGTAAATAACTAAAATGAGAAAAAAATGTTACAGTAAATGACATTTGTTTGCGCAGCTTAATCTCTCTTCGAAACGAAAGGCTGATGACCAAGAAGAGGGCAAGTCTCCAAAAAGGAAGAATTTGAATCCATTCAACTTTATTAGCCCCTGCTCTAACAAATTTTCATCATCAAGAGACAACCCATTTGAATCTTCCAAAACTCCAAGATCTTTAGGCCCAAGAAAATCAGAAGCAATGAAGGAAAACCCATTTGCCAAGTCTACCAATCTGTCTGCAAGTCTTCATGAAAAGTCATCTCAGGTTACTATCAAACAAGAACATGCTAGCCCTGATATCCATGATAAACCAAAACCATCTAGGCCAATGATTCTACTAAAAAACAAAACTGAGATGCCAAACATTTCTTTAAAGACCAAAAAAAGTCCATTGAATTTAAGTTGGTTGTCCAAGAATTCTGTGGTCAAGGCAGAAATCAAAGAGGAAGATCCAGAACTAACCAGAATTGCTAAAGCTTTTAAAGATTGCATTAATGTAAGTGTTCTCAATTCGGAGTACTTCCAAACTTCCAGGACTCTTTCAAGAAACACATCTATTGACACGACATATGGCGTGAAAAATTTCAAAAAGTTTAAAAAGGTGAGTCTGTGTTTTTTTTTTCAGTGTTTTAAGAATTACCTTGTTTCAGATTGAACCGGTTCATCCTCAAACGCAGGTTATAGGAAAAAACCTCTTTACAAAAGTCCTTCCGGGCAGTGATGGTATAGATATGAATCCTGAATCTTTACATTCTGATTCTGATGAGGAAGGAAGTAAAACTGTGAACGTGAAACCTAAAGCAAAGAAAATTTGTCTTTAGTTTGTTGAGTTTTGTTTTTTATTTTACTTACTATAAAATTATATTAAGACATTTCTAATAATAACATTTTTGTATTAATATTTCTAACCTCTCATCGCTGTATCCTAGGGGCGGGACGCAACAGCGGCATTGCTAAATATTTTACCCTTTGGTTGATCGTTGCCGCATATGTAAACGTCGATGATTTTTGCGAACAATATTAAAAATAATTATGTGAGAAAGTCCTAGACCAAATAAACAATTGACCCGTAATAATTATTTAGTACTATTCTTATATGCTTTATTATAACAAAAACATAAGACATGCACAGTTCTCTTAATCCTCTCAACAACGCTTAGTTGTCATTTGGGGCTTGTGGAACCCATGACCGGGTAAACGCCGAGCTTGGAATGAAATAACTGATATGTCGCGACGCAGAACGCCATCGCCCAGGTCGTAAATCATGTATATTAGATTAAATAAAATAACCTTACACACGTAAGCGATCGGGCACAGATCATTTTCATCTAACCTCTGCGTTCTTTCGGTCATGGGCAACATAAGCCCCAGTTGAATTCGTTATGGTACAAAGAGTATAAGATAGAGGGGAAGGTCGCATGCGTACGAATGCCATCTAGTATTTGTGTCCAAGTACTAAAGTACTGTTATGGCGGTTTAAAGTAATGCGTCACACTGAAAATACTACAGTAGCTTGTAACGGATAACAGCACTTTATTTATATTTTAATAAAAAAAAATTAAAACTATTTCGACATTTTTTTTTTACATTTTATCTTTCAAACTGTAAATTGAATTGAACCGTACGTCCAGCGCGTTTTCCGTTTCATGACTGGACACAATCACTAGAGGCGTTGAAACTCGTGAGCGCTTTTTAACATACCTCTGCACTTGAGTAATTTTTTTTTGGTTTAGTTAAAAAAAAACTTTTTACTAATGTTTCTTTTCCATGTTTTATACTACAGGTATAATTTTCTGGGAGTTTCTAAAGGACGAGATTCTCGTGAATAAGGGTTGTATTGTAATCTGATGTATTTATTTACGTTTGGTACCGATAAATCGCATCATCTTGAGGTGTTGCTGAATTTGTTCCAACGTCCTCCCTTTCGTTTCCGGCATGATGTAGTACGCCAGTACCGCATTTACAAACGTCAAAGCCGCATATACCATAAAAGGAAAATACATGCCGACGTAGAAAATGAACACGTTAAATATGTAAGAGTTGAAAAAGTACGACAGGGCGAAAATTAAATTGTAAATACAAACCGCCTTCGTTTTAATACTAGCAGAAAACAATTCTCCTATCATCAGGGTTGGTAATTGACCCAGACCTAAGGAAATCACAACTATCCATGCTACCGTAACCGCTAATGGTATCCACCTAACCGAATCTAAGTTTACAGTTGATACGAAATCGTTCAAATATAAATACACCCCGTAGATTAGCAACGTAACGGCGGTGAAAAAACAAGACACCATGAACGACTTGCGTCTTCCGAATCTGTCGAGGAGAACCATCGATATCGGGTTGATAGCGGTTAATAATCCGGTGAAGATGATCGCTGATATTTCCGGACCTATATTTGTTCCAGACATCTCAAATATGAGTTGCGTATAAAGCTGCATTACGGTACCACCGGCCAAGTGTTGGGCAAGACGTAAGAATATCGCTACGATGAGAGCTCTCACGTTGGTTTCGATGGTAAATAAATCTTTCCATGTGCCAGATTCAGATATTTGGCGCTCTACGTCCGCTTTTATTTGAATAAATTCGTGTTCGACGTTGTCTTCCTTCCTTAACCACTGCAGTGATTCTTTCGCTTCCTCGAATCTCCCTTTCATCATGTAGTAATATGGTGACTCGGGCATCCGACTAAAGAATATAATGAAGATAACCGGCAGACATACGCAAAGGTAAGCAGTTGTTTTCACCGTCATGTAGCTTCCTGTAAATGCAAAGGAGAAACAAATAAGGTTTATCTCCGTTATTGTGGAGACAAATTTCTCAGAAACCTCTCAAAATTAATGTGAATTAAGAAAATTGCCATTTGCCCCAACAGTTTTACAAAAAAAAACGAAAATACTCGTCCGTGTCGTGTTACGTCGTTGGAGAAGACATCCGGAACTGTGATAGAATTCTCTCTTCTAAAGGGGAACCGTCTATCTGCGTCTAAAGAATCACAGACGAGTATTCCATATTTAGGATGACAAGAAAAATGTTTAAAAATCAACAATTTGTCTTGAACATGGTGTTACACAAGAAAATTTGGCGAGGATATTTGAATATGCGTCTTAGAAATATCTTTCTCTTTTTCTTAAAATAGGCGTTTTAACACACTTGGAACTATCGACCTCTTTAAGACATTGCGTTTTTTTTTAATTTTTGTTTCCTTTCTCTTTTTATAAAATATCCGTTTATTACCCTCTAAATAGCCTTTCTACATTTTATCATGTTTGGAAGAGGCCTGCAAGTCAAGGTCTCTTATTCCAATTTGTATCTGTGTACTTTTATGCTTGACGCTTTTGTGAGATTATTCATAAAATTCTTAATTATTACGTTTCTTTAAGTGGATTATTTGTTTCATTTAGCTAAATTTAAACAAAAACAATGATGTGCGTAAAATTTGTGTTTGTGTAAGCTGACGCTTTTGTATATCTGATGAACCGCATGATTGGATTACAATGTAAAAGCAACTTCAGTCGAACTGAATACGAATCAACAAGCTAAAGTTTCAAGCTATGAGTTTTCGCTAGGTCGAAATAATAACCATGAAAAATATGAGAAATTGCGTAAAACAGGTTTCAAACAAATGAGGTTTAACATTTATAAAAATAATTCAAAAATTAAATCCTATAGCAAAACGCAATTAAATAATTAAATAAATAAACTGTAATATACCTATCACGTTAATAGCGAATATGCCAAAACCGTAGAAAAATGTCTGCAAATTTCCCCACACCCCTCGAACTCTTGGGGTAGCAATTTCGCCGATATAAATTGGCAACGACGCGAATAGGGCCGCATCGCTCATACCGCTAACAAATCTGGCGAAGTAGAGCACATAAATGTCTCTTGAGAATATTGTGATCACCCAAAATGTTAACTGTGGTATCGTCAGGAGCAACAACGTGTTCCTTCTACCAATCGCGTCATTCAATTTGAAAAAGGCCAGACCTGATACGAGCATTCCTAAAAAAAATTAAACTTATTATTGTTGCTATAGATTCTGGTGGACTTACCAAGAGAAGGAAATACCGAGAAATAAGATGCTTGATCTGTTGTAATATCATAATTTTCCTTATCGTTAGTAATCTTGAGTATGAACGGAGATGGCCATGCCAGCATTAACCCATTGTTGAATCCGCAAAAACAACCTAAAACAAAAGATGAAAAAATCTTTATTGAATTAAACAGGATTTCAACAAATGCTGCATTGCTTTTTACAAAACTTCTGGATTCCTCCTGCGTCGGTTTTTGCTTAGTCTGACGAAGCCAACAGGATGATTGGCGAAACGTCAACAATTTCGACTAAGCAAAAATCGACGCAGGAGGAATCTAGAAGTTTTGTAAAAACATTACAGTGGCCTGTAGAAGTTTCTTTGAAAAACTAAATGCTGCATTGGTGTCTTTTCATGATCGCGTTTTATATGTTACGTAAATCTTATACATTGAGAGAATTTATTTCGAAAAAAAATTATTACACTTTATAAAGCACCTTTCTCAAAACTAAAATCGTTTTGGAGCTTCGATTTTCATAAAAAGCATAATGGTAGGCAAAATACCAAGGTAAATTAAAGTGAAGTTGTAAGTAAAAAAGTGCAATTGTAAATTGAACTAAATTTTAATCACAAATTGCAAACATGAAACATGAAATATACTTGACCAATGTATAAAATTGAAACAAGCTGCAAATTTATCGAGTTTCTGAATACAGTGATAAATTTCTATCAGAAAAAATCGCTGATATTTTTGACTCAAAGCTGGGAGTTGCAAATGTTATTTTGGATCACTGCTATCGTATTCAGTAGTGTGCATCAACGAAATGTAGTCACAGTAAGAAGAAACTGAAGAATAGTAAAGTAAAGAATTCATAAAACAAAGACTACGAACTATTGCTTCTAGCCAAAGAAAAACTTGGAAAGGAGGTAGTATGGACATCACAAGTCAAAATTTTTACAAAATTAACAACCAAACATATATTGCTATAAATAATGAAAAGAAATGCTATCTGGACTACTGCATAAACAATAATTTTCACGATTTAGAGGTTCTCTAGAAAACACTTAAATTATTAAATATACATATACCAAAAAAAAAAGACATTTTTTGCAGCTTTCTGTATCAAATATTGATAAATATGATAAAAATTCGACTTTATTTTCCAAGCAAAATTTAAATAGTAATTTTACTTCATTATTTAGTTTTTATGCAGCTGCTAAAGAAACCATCAAAAAACTGTTATTTGAAGTGAAATCCACAGCGACCGGACAAATTAATCTGGATAGGATACTATTAAGCTGTTATGTAATCCTCCTTTTTGTTATTAATATCAATTTTGCTCGATGGGGAATTTCCTGCTTTGTGAAAAATATTCAACGCGATGGGGCTTATTAAAACTTATTTCGGAAATAGACTTATACAAACTAGTAATCATATCATCATTTAGTATAGTATGGTATATCATCTAGCGAAATAACATCTTGTGGGTTTGCGGCATAGAGTTTTATATCTTCTTTTCACCTAATGAAGCAGCAGCTGTCCAAGAAGGGTTAAATGAAGATTTAAAATGCCTAGTCGCATTTTCCGAGAGCCACGGTCTGCAGTTAAATCATCGGTTATGGTATTTGGGAAGCATACCATTTAAACTGCATTTAATGTTACATTTGGAGCAGAAAACAAGGAAGTAATCTATGGTTACATTTTGACACATCTCTCCATTTTAAGCATGTCAATAAATGTATGCAGAAATCATGCGAAAATTTAAACATTTTATTTCCAAGTTGTTGATTGCTCTCGAAAGAACTAAAAACTACTTTATTCTTTATTATTGAGCCAGTTCAATTTTTGCTAATTAGTTTACGGACCATGTTTGGATAAAATAGATGAAGATATAATTCACAGGATACAAAAATCTTCTACAAATAGTCTACACAGAAGGATCTCACATAAATTACGGGAAATTAATGCTTATAGATAAAAAATCGACTTAAATTGCATTTTGCAGTTTTGATTCATAATATTACAAATAATCAATCTCAAATAAGATTGAATAGAGAAACGAGTTTCATAATTTTAATTTAAGATTTCAGGGTTATATTTTGCCTCCTCTTGTGGAATGTTAATCGTAACAAGTTACCCACAGTTGTTGTTACCATCTGTTACAGGTAAATTGTTTATTAATAATTGGTCGGGTTGCGTCTTATGTTGAGTTTTTGGTAGCAAAAATTAGAGATAATGATCTAATAAATATCTTTTCTATTCAACTATTTAGTTATATAGTTGTTTGTTTTAAAAGTGACATTTGATTGACTAAGATATTCAATTAAAAATAATAATAAAAAATAATTTTTATTTCAAGTAATGTGAAGTTTTGATCACTTTTATGTAAGGAATAAATTTATGTTAAGACGGGGGTTTCTAAAAACAGCAGCCACCTCTCTGTAACTTTGAAGCCGCCATCAACATTTAGTCATCCGATATACAATTCTATCTGCAATAGGAAGAAAACAACGATAAAACCTTTCTGGTTCTTCTACTAAAGTGAAATCGTTGACGTGACTACCTTCAATTGTACAGTTTGCTTTACAAGCAAATGCTTTAAATCATAAACAAATATTAGAATTTATATTTCGAATAGAATCCAGCGTTATTATTGTAATTTGCAGCATCTGTATGTATTTTGATAATGCCTCTTATTGTCCGAATGTTAAAAGAAATTAAGTATCTTCCTGCGTATAATTCATTACCATTTATATTTATTATTCACAAATTATCCTATGTCAACAACAAAATCAAAAACTTACCAAGCACTATAGCTACTATTTGATTTAGGTTTTTGCTTTTTTGATTTCCTCGTTTTCCTTGCTTCATTGTAATGATGGTTTAAAGTTCCATCTATCCTGGAATTATCATATTGTAATTTTTTTGAGATTGATAATGATTGACAATTCTTCAATATACTAATACCCATAAAAGATTCAAAAAAGTGAAAGTCAGCAGTGTCATAAAAAGATCTCTAAAAATATAAAGTATTATATAGGGGGGAGCTTTAATGGACCCCTTTAAATTTTTCATATTCCAACTTTTTTGAGACGTCCGACAAAAAATTCTTAAACCTGTACATTCCAATGGGAATTTTATAAACTTCATCCTTTGTCGGTGATACAAAATACGGTTTTTCATTTTTTTAAACCAGGGTTAATTTTAATTTTGGAGATAATATTGGATTTTCGCAATTATAACTAAGATTTTACAAAATAAACTAAGGTACATTTCATTATATCATAGTTAAAAGTGAACATTACCTACTAATAGAAGAAGCTTCAAGACAACGCACTGAATAACCATCGAACTTTGTTCTGATAAATTAAAAAATAAAAGCTTCAGATACTATCCAAGCGTTTTAATATTTCATATTTATATTTTCTGAAAATACAGTGGTGTCTTGGATAACATCAATAACAATGTAATGAATAAAATTATTAGAAACTGCAAAAATCCAAAAGGAAACTTAAAGTTTCAAAAATCTGCCAAAAACTAAAATTCGGCAACGCAAAATGTAGTATTTTGCAATGTTTAAGAAAATACCAAATAATATTATCAAGCTCATCAATACGAGATGTAGATGCAACTTCTAATCTTCCTCAATAATAATAAAGTTGATATTTCTTCCAAAAGCAGCGACGACGTTAGTGTGGAAAAGACCAAGTGATAGGCCAAATTTGTTGTGTCGTTTACCATGCCATCACCCTGTATAACTATTTGTTCAAGTGGTTCATTCAAAACCGAGTACTACTTTATTTACCTTATTTGTTCTTTATTTCAATCTTCTTTTTCACCGCGACTTTTTGACGGCCACATCACGGTACAGCGTAAGCTCAAATCTTCATTATCGTATAACAATTAATGTAAGCAGTGTTATTAAGTAAAATTCATTTTTTTCTATTCAGAAATATGATAAGATAACAATTCCGCGTGGTCTTAGTAGCAACCGGCCAAAATATCCAATCCTACAGCTTTTGTCAAAGGACGTAAACGCACAGTTGCATTAGCAGAGAAGATAATTAAACAATTTTTAACTTTCATTGTAATATTTGATTTGTATTATAGCCGAGTTATCTAAAACAATGTTTCAGTAACACCCATATTTAAAATTATTCACGATACCAAGTTTTTTTTTTTTTAATTCTGCTTCAATGCACAATACATATGTCGATATGCCGTTTAAAAACAAAATATTGTTATTAGTTATAATATTTAGTAGTCATTCAGCTATGTAATTGGAATAATCTGTTTTGCAGTTGCATTTTGCAAAGATATACCCAAGAATTTAATGATGCTAGAGAAAATATAGTAATAAGTAAAATGGCGTTTGTCAAACTTGTTGCATAATATACAATTTAGACATGGACCAATTAATATCGGTGAAAATTTGATGTTTCTGTTCATCTTTTATATTTCCTAAAATAATGTAGTGTCCCAGATAAACTGAAGTATTTCCTAATTCCGCGAACAAAAAAAAAATGAACAAAAAATATTACTAATCTCATACTTTATGCACATTAACTAAATCCATCGTGTCAAGCGGTTATATAGAAAAAATGATCCATTAATTTCGTCAAATTATATAATAAAAATTCTTGTAAAATATAATATTTTGGAAACGAAATCAATAATGGTTATCAGTTGTGCAAAATTTTAAATGTCAAGAACATAAAAAAGTCCATATATGTTGTATAGCGTTTATAAAAATTCATTATAGTATCACATCCTTGGTTTCTGATCTGGTCTCAAAATCAGGGGCGGTGCATATTAAATAGGCACTTCCTATATCTATTCAAAAATGTTGTGGACGCTAAAGTTATAGATTCTGTAAAACATATACATATTTTGCCAAATATAAGCGCATTAAATCTATTACAGATTAGGTACGTCTAGAAATGTAAATGGAAAAATCTCTACTTGGAACTGAAATAAAAATACAGGCTTCAATCGCGCCAATAACATGACAAAAATGTTGCGAAACTATCGAAGCTCCGTTGTTGCAATGTTATATTTTGACCCGTTGTTTAACTTTTCGCTTTTAAGAGTCAGTCTAAAATTGTTAAAAAAAGTTTGGAGCAATAATCAAACGAGAGTGTGTTACAAATACACATAACTACCCACCAAAAGAAACTAATTAAATACAAAGCAAATGAAAAAAAATATATTTAATTTTACCTACAAAGTTTTTCCCTGCTGTTGACCACATATAAATTTCATTTTAAGCTCCTTTTTACCAAGTCAAATTACGATCGTTACCGCTATTAGATGAGAGAGACGCCCCTGACATTTGTTAAATTATTCTTCGGCAATCCACAAAATGCTATATAAAAACTAAGGTGTCTTCTAAAAATATTATTCCCATCCTGATACCCATCGTAGCTTCCTTCAGTCAAGCAAAATGATAAAATTGGTAAGTTAATGTAAAATATAATTAAACAAGTTTCAAATATAGTTTTAGTTGATGATGGAAAACGTTGTCCCTCCATATTCACATACGTATGTACGTATATAGTTGTTTTCATCTACTTACGTACGTACGTATGTGCATATTAGAATGCATGTATTATAAACAATGTAAAAATGGATTAAACAGCAAAGAACGAAATTAATTATAAATATAAATGATAAATGTTAAAAATTTTCAACTTTTGACACCTGTCATTCCTAGGATAACGACGCTCGCTATAATTTCACCTATACTCTGGTTTTTAGTCAAAAAATAACAATATTAGTAACAATAGTTGATATCGTTTTATTAAAAAATAATATAATGGCTTATTTTTGAACTGAGGTGGGTTTTACTTGATCAAAATCCATTTAACAAAATAAATAAGAACTAAAAGTTCAGATTTTCACGAAATTATATATATTCCATGAAAATTGTTTCGACAACACCGTGTCTTTATCAAATGTCACAGGGTGTTGTCGAAACAATTGTGATGTGAATATATATAATTTCGTGAAAATCTGAACTTTTAGTTCTTATTTATTTTGGCGTATTTTTTTTTCTAATTTCGACATTTTAGTTTTGCGTTTTTGTTTTCTGTTATATTCGCTTTCTTACGAATGAGGTTTCTGTCCAAAAGGAGTTTTTGTTTTAGGTTGGTTTGGTTATACACCAATTTTTAATTAAAAATATTCCTCAGTCACATAATTAGACTAAGTGATAGAAAGTTAATATTTTTGTCATTTTTGAAAATTATTGTATTTTTTTATATTTTTTCTAAATATGTAAAAAAATAATACAAAAAAAAACATTGAAATTTATCAAATGAAATAGTCGATCTTATATAGCGTCAATATTAGTAGTTTTCTGCCAACACGACTGCTGAATATTCACCTTAAACCAGTCAATTTCAATAAAATTCGTGTTACTGTTAACAGATGTTCCATTTTACGCCCCACTGAATAATTTATTTTAATATTTGTATTTATGCAGAATATTGAAATACCTTCCTAATATTTTATATTTCTTACAAACCATAATATTTAACTTCAAAGACGTTGTTATAAATATCTTAAATTCTCTTTTTCTCTTCTATTTCATTTGGGACGCTTATGAACGAAAATATTTTGAATCCAGGATCAAATGAAAACATGTATACCCAAAAGTTTTATTAATTTAAAATATGAGAGAAATTTGTGGTTTGTAGAAAATAGTTTTTGCTTATTGAAATTGAAGGGTTGAAAATGCGCAATTTACAGAATGATTGAAATTATCATTTGAGACCAATTTAATAAATTGTTTTCTTCGAGACCAACTTCAATATTTTTCCGACTTTTTTAGAAAAGGGGATCATGACTGATGATAGGATATTTGAATGTATTTTTGAAAATAATTTGCTGTTAAATACAGTTTTAGGTTTTTTAATTATCTTGCTCTTCACATAGATATCCACCATTTTCCTTATTGCTGTTGTATCAGCCGACGTGAGCCAATTGCCATGGCAGCAGCAGTTTTTGAAACAGCAAAGAAACGGACCTTACTCTGGTCAATCCAATCAGAGAGTCGCGAAACCAGTCATAAACATTTTACGTTCGGATTCGGAAGTTAGTCCTGACGGAAGTTATAAATATTTGTATGTACTATATACTTATTATATGTTATATATATTATTATATATAATTTATGAATAGTATTCAAAGCACATTTAAAGAAGAAAATTTTCATAAATTTTTTAAATGCACCGTTTCCACTTAAAATTTGAAAAAAGTTTGAAAATTAAAATATTTTAGATACCCACTCAGAGACTCAATGTAAACACGTGTGGGCTCACTTCGATATGGGTGCAATTTTTAGCGTAAACAGAAATGCATGCTTAGTGAAGCTATTCCTACAGATTCATTTGCAAAATCTGTGAGATAATCAATGTCTGCAAAATTACAAAACAGGATTCATAGATAGAAAATAGGATTGCATTAAAAATTTTTACTGAATACCAAACTAGTACCTTGATGGTTGACTTAAATGTTTAGTCCTATTTCAACCATTCATATATTTATATAAACGTTTCATATAGGTTGTTTTGGTCGGTTTCAGTTACGTGCGTACCTAATGTGCCCATTACTTTCAGTTACGAAACTGAAAATGGAATAGTTAAGCAGGAACAGGGACAGCAGAAAACAATCGGAGATGAAGCAGGAACGGTTGCGCAGGGGGGATTCCTTTTTACATCTCCTGAAGGAGTACCGGTTTCCATTACGTACGTGGCTGATGAAAACGGGTTCCAGCCCCAAGGGGATGCGATACCGGTACCTCCTCCCATTCCTGAGGCCATTTTGAAGTCTTTACGTTACAACGAGGCACACCCCGAAGAGGAAGAAAATCCACCACAGCAACCCCCACAACAACAACGCGGCTTTCTAAGGTTTTAGTCAAATGTCATTTTTTCAAAATGGCACTGATATGAAAAAGTAATACGTTTATAATTGTTATAACTCGTTAGTGCTTGTAAATAAAGCAGATCCCTTAAATGTTAACGGGAATTTTATTTAATAACGTTTACTCTACAATTTTCTTTGTTAAATCTGTCAATGCGTACGCCATCACAATAATCGAATATTATAGCGCTTATGAAGTGGCATGGAATAGTTAGATAAAATTTGTAGGTATGGTCTGTTCATAAGAAGAACAAGAAGTTGAATATTATTGAGTTTTGGTTTTGGTTTTCTATTAGTTACTTCTACTACCACGTTCCAAGTTTGTTATGTTTTCAGAATTAACAATTTTTTGCTGGTAAAAGCTTTTCTTTCTACTCCTTACTAACCTCGATTTTAGTCAACCTATATCGGTCTCGTAAATTTTTATATATTATTTATAAAACAGATAATTAAGTGCCCTACATGATTTTTTTATATCATAGCATATCCACGACATAAAATGGACGTTTAGGAAAATACGTGTTAAAATTTGACAAAAGCACTCAATAAAAATAGTCAAACACAATCAAGGCTGCACACGCCATAGATATTAGACCAATTTTCATGAAACAGTGCTTGTTCAAAAGTCCTTATAGTCTCCTCTGAGAAAGATCTTCGGAACGTTACTATGTTATTTTGAATTGCATTTATATTATCGACAGAGCTTATTTAAAATTGATCTGATATTTTATTCGAGAATATTGATGTGACTCTAGTTGGCGGATGAACTCTACCTGCTAAACCAAAGTAAGAACATATTTTATTAATTTCCCTGTACCCTAAAGGTTTTTTTGTGAATCATAGTTGAAGTCACTACATAATGTAACTTTTCTATTCGGTTTATAAACGAAATTCAGCACATCCATTAATTGATTACAAACCAAGTTTGATTTACTACTAGAAGAATGATAAATTGAAAGTAATACCAAGCTTTCTTTCTTATTGGTTCTTTTTTTACATATGACACACCACAAACTTCAAAATCTTTGTCCACCGAAAACCGGTCCAAAGGACCAACCTCAATTTGATTTTTTTTTTCAATTTTATTCAGTACGGCAGCTACTAGCTACTAAGTCGAACCCTTTAAAAACCAGCTGATTTAATTTTTTCTTTTTCTACACACGTTTCATAAATATGGAGCAACTCTGTAGAGCTTAAAAAGTCATTTATGTGAATATTATCATTACTGACCTTGTCAAGTGTTAAATACTGAGCGTTAAGTTGAAATATATTGGGTTCCAGCAAATTGTGCACTATTGAGCTTGTACCGGTTTCTGGCGAAGGTAAAAAAAAACTTGTTAACACAAGCCCAAAGGGACCATTGCTCTGGACACATTATTTTTGTAAACGACACTTTAGTCAAGGATAACACCTAGGTCCTTATTGAGAGAGATACTTTCAAGTGCACAACCATCAACTTGGCAATTCCCTGCGTTGAACTCCATCCCATTATCTTGACTACAATCGGCTGACTGACTCTGATGTCCCATTAGCTTATGGTGGTTCATCGGAATCCCAACGCTAACCTTTTATAGTCCACTAGAGTAAGGACCTCAGCCTCATGATGAAGGGTGATATTTTCGATACGATACGATATCGATTTGAATTTGGAACGCCTATTATTCTCTACTAAAACTCATTCTATGCATAATTATGTACTGATGAATTATGGGACAAGTATTACACGAAGACGTCAATCGTGCTGTTTTGTTAAAATTTACCCTGAAAAAGATAAATATAAGTAACGAAAAAGTACTCGGGTCTAAAATGGGGTTTATCAAACGTGTTGCATAATATACCATTCGCTACTAAAAGTGGAAAAACAAGGAAAGTTTTTATAATTAAGATGTCCATAGTTTAGTTTTGAAGAACTAGAAATTCCGAAACTGAACTTATCAAAATATTTCTTAAACGCTATTATTATGACCGTGTACAAGGTGAATCACATTGTATAACTATATAAATATCACAGACTCGCAAAAAAGATCTCATTTTAGAGAAAAATTGATCTATGAATGATCAGAACATATGAACTATTTATTTGAAGTCAATAATTCAAATGAACACAATATGAAAAATTAGATAACGCAAATGCAAACAGAAAATGTACATTAAGGATATAACAATTTATATAAAATTCTTCTAGATTATAAATTTAATACAATAACCGTCTAAGGTCTTTGACCAGTGAAGATGGCAATCCACTGAGATGTAAGTACCAATGAAATCTCCGTTTTTTTAGAATCCCGCAAGACCGGTTGGTGGTTTACCCCAGGATCGTAACGAACATTTTATTATTACATACATATATTACATTGCTTCTAACGATAATTAAACGCCTTTTTGCAGACGACAACAAAAACTTTATCAAATAACATCTAGTAATGCTGGTAGTAATATTCAGATTTACTATACGGAATTTCTAAGAAAAATTGTAAATCAAAACCATTTAAAAAAATATGTCTTTATAGCTTTTAGACTATTAAAAAAGATTTTATTGACAATACTTTAAAATGAGAACCTTTCTGAAATAGGCATTTAGAAGAATGAGGTGTTTCTATTTGAAAGCAAATAACAACGAGTTTTTCATTTAAATTTTCAAAATTACTTTTCGACCTCCCTGAATTTGTTTATTTTACAAATATCAACACAGAGAGCTAAAGCAAATCTCTTCCTTATGACAATTGAGTTTTGTTTCAAATATCAATCAGGTTGCCTGAAAGGATGCCATTGATAATTTGGATCTAATCTAATCATTTTATATGGTTAATTTATTCTTTGACTACAACAAATAAGCAACAACTGGATGGATATATATGATAATTATGCATGAAGAGAAAACACACTGAAGCTATTTCGGGCACCTGTTTATTAGAACTTTTGTTTGACATTAAAGAAAATGAAATGTCAAACGTAGATATATGTTAGCCATAGCCAGACGCAGAAAAAAAAATGAAAGAAACTGATACAACTTGCTCATAAAAATTCTGTTATTATTTATATATTGGAATCTCATTATTATTAGAAACTATATTACAATATTAAAATATTACTTACTTAGATTTTGACTTTAATTTGGCAATAAAAAATGCAAAAAAATCTATATAAACAATTTTAATTTAATTGTATTTGCCATGAATCGCTAAAATATTTCGTCATCTAAGATGCAGTTGACAAGTGAAAATTCTGCCTTTAACCGTTTTAAAGATAGAAAAGTTTTAGTTTAACAGGCAAATTGTCGCTTTTGAGATTCATGCTGTAAAAGTGAACAGTAGGAAACAGGTGACGTCGATAAATAATAATAAACAAATCCCCTTTTTTACACCTAAATCCATATCATCAAAATTGGTAATTTTTTCTAATATTGAAAATATTATTTTTATAGTTGAATGTGCAAAAGATTATTTAAAAAGAACGAATTTGCTAATTTAATTTATCATTTATAAATATGCTGAACGAGGATGCCTCTTTCCGACAAAATCAACAATTCCCGGAAAGAAGGTGACTAATTAATCAGATTATTAAATTCTATGGAAAACTTGATAATGTACAGGTGACTGTCTTTTTTTATTAATGAAGACAATTAAAAGGGACTTAAAACAATGAAATACATTTGAGCGAGGTATTTTTCGCATTGAAAGTCGTTAAATTTAATTAGCCGCATCAAAATCTACGCAGCGGTACATTTTAACGACTTAAAAGGCGGCCAAAAAGAAATTGTAAAACAAACTTTATGACATTATTTATCTTCGTTACGAACCTGTTTCAACGATGCTGGAGGAAGTTAACTATGAGCAAGAAATTTCGTATAAAAGCGTACGCGAAGAGTTCAACAACTCCAGTCCTGTTCATTTCACTCATCATGCTATTAAATTATTTATTTATCTTTACGGTTATCGGTGCTGTGGCGCCGGCCAATATACAAGGAAGGAATATACCGGTTGAAGTACGGTATCATGACACGACGACGAATTTGGCCGAAAAACCGCAACTTTCCGACAACGAGCTGATCGAAAGCAACACTCGATTGGAAAAACTCAAACAAGAAAGTTTAATTGACAGCCTCGGATCGGAGAAAGAAAATTTAAAAAACAACTTTGACGAAAATATTCAGCAGTCGCAGGACGAATCGTCAAAATATATTTCGGGGCTCCAAGAAAATACTTCGGGCGAATCGGGTTCGAATAAGCTTACCTGGCTGCAGCAAGTCCAGCAACACTTCGAAAAGGGCTTGCAAGATATCAGGAAAAATTTCAAACCTAACGATCCGAACGAAGCACCCAACGAAGAAGTTTGGAATAAGTTGGAGGAGGAAGTTAGGGACTACTTTGCTGGCGAAAAAAACAAGTTGAGTTTAAAACAGGACCAAGGCGGTAGCCAACAGAACTTTTTCCAGAATTTGGCAAATGGATTCCAGCAAATTACGAATAATTTCGTTCAATCGTTTCAAGGCCAAAACGCTGCTCAGAATGGTACTCAAGGTGATGATGGTGCGCAACCAATCCAAGGAGGCTGGCAAGGATTTGTGGGATATTTTCAGGGAGGTAAGCACTGCGAAAACTTGTGAGATTTTATGTAATTTATAAATTTAATATTTCATTTGATCCCTGAAGTTGTGCTGAAACAATTACGTAAGAAACGGTAAAATATATTTTCAAGATTTGCAGGTTATTCTAAATACAACGGGACATTTTTTGCCTGCGCGTTATAGAAAAATCTGTTATAGACTATAAAATATAAGTTGTTATTTTTTTATATTCAAATTTAGGTTGGCGCATAACTACAAGATATTTTGAAGTTTAAGAAACTATGTTTTATTATTGAATTAAATTAGCGCTGATTCAAATTTTAAAATGTTTCAAAAACGAAATAACAAAAATCGAAATTATTTAAGTATAATTTTTTATACTTTAAAATATTCAATGTTGCACGGACCAAAGTGCGGAAAGATGCCAACAAAGTGGGGTTTTTTTAACTAAATTATATGAAAATATTTTATTTTTCTAACTTGTCTATGTACACAAATAACATGTACTCTATAATTTTCTTTGCAGAAATTATTTTTTTGGATATGTTACTAATAATAAAAATAACGTTATTAATTATCTTACACCGATTTTAACTGTGTGCCAAATTTCTGCAATGTAACTAAAAGAATGAATCAATTAGATTCATCACTCTTGTCCGAACGATCCTACTTTCTTAATAGTTAACATCACTGTTTTCGTTTTCTTTCGAAAACATATTGTACAGGGTGGCAGTGTTGCCACGTTTCGTAAAATGATACTTTTCTCAATTTTCTTAAATCAGACACCATGTATATTATTGTATTTTCGAATAGCCACTTTAATAGCAATTTCAATTATATAACATAGTACCTATCTCTGACCTACCGTTTTCGCTTAATTGTCAATTGTTTTCCAATAACTCATAAATTCTCTTACATTCATAATGTAAGAATCTTGTAAATAGGGTCCTTAAATGGAAAAAACTTTTAAAAAATATTTAAATTCTTTATATTATAGACCATATAAAAATATATAGCAACGCAATAAAATGTAGGGTGTTCTATTTAAAAAGAAAAAACTTTTTTCGCCATTAGGAAAACAAAAAAAACATAAAGGTCATTTTAATTGAAACAACTTTCGTATTTAACTTTTTTTTTGTAACATCCTCCTGTTCCTGTTCATTAAAAAAAAACTGTGCAACTATCATCAATCGATCGAGGGCAAAAGAACGTAGTGTGATGATTGCCTTCACAACCTTTCCCGTTACCGAAATATAGTTTCTGAAAGAAGCCGGAATTAATAAAAAACAATAAACAATCCGGTTAACTGTAAAACGGCCGACCAAACGTGAATATAATTACGGTACATAAGAAAAGAAAATTTTGGTACGGTGGTTCGTCTTTTGGTAGCATTTCGTTGCTGAATAAATTAATCTGGTTATTAGGTCGTTGTGGGTCAACGGCGATTACGTTTTGAGGTTAATGTCTATTGGTGCGTGTTCAATAAATCAATTATTCATTTGTTGTCGACATTTGGAGAATTTTACATATATGTTGTTCCAAGAGCATATGTTCACTTTTTAATAATAAACGCCATAAAGACAGTGGTATTGGTATAAAAAATGTCAACCAAAGGCATTACCTACTTGTTTACAAGAAATAATTCTATATACCTAAAAATCCTCAAAAAAAGTTGTAATCCAACAGTGAGTTAGAAATTGGTTGTATCGAAAAGCCTGTTTAAAAGTTTGCGCCTCAATGAGTTAAAAATTCTGTCTGGTATTTTTTTAAAAATTAAAAGGCAATGACTTATTTTATTGTTGTACAATGACCGAATTTAAAAAAATGTAACGAAGTTTCTAGATTTAGTAGTTTTTTATTTTATAGTTTCATTAAAGGTGTGACGGTTAAAGATTTAAAAGGGTCTCCATAATAAGAACGAATTTTTAAAAAATATTACTTGGTTGGACAACTTAAAAAGTTGCCATATTTAGGTCTCGTAAATTTCAAATTGCAGGTGTTCAAAATCTTGTGAGCACGGTCCAAAACATCGGAGGAGGTGGTCAACCTGCAAACAGTACCGTATTGGGTGATAACGGCAGCGCTCCTCCATCAAACTTTTTCGGTAATATTGTAAGCAACGTACAACAGATTTTCCAGGGCCAAATTCCTGGGGTCAGCCAGGGCAATGGAACTCAAGGTACTACGGATGATTTCTTGTCGGTTTGACACAAATGGTCCGATCAAAAAAATGTTTAAAAACGACTGTTGTCTTTGTTTCCCATTTATTTCTTGTGATTGTTTTGTTTTAGTTTGTCACATATAACAAATAATATAAATTAAACCTACACAATATGCAAACAAAAATTCATTTTGTATTTCCTATTCTTTTTATCGTAAAATGTTTGTACATTGTCTAAAGAACACATAAACATAAGTATCAGTTGACGAGAGCAACTCACCTATCATAGGTAACGAACCATTCTTCCGAATGTTTCACATGAAAAAGTGAATAACGGCTGCCGCGAACAAATGAAGTTCAGAGCGAAACTTTCGCTCGTGGTTACGTTCGATTTGGTTAAAGTGGGCACGTTTTCAAGTTTTTTTTTTATTCGTTAGTTTTGTTAACTGGCCGTCGGTTCCGGTTCCGATAAATCCGCGCCCTCGGATTTTGTCGGTCGATACTCTATCACTTTTCATTTCGGGTGTTTCGAATGTTTCTTTTTTTTGACTCGCAATTTATTAAATTTATTATTAAACAGTTATAAGTCCGTCAGTTTTGTTAATTTTTTTTTTAATTTTATTCCTTTTAGCATTTCCACCGATAATTTTTTTTTCTAGCCACTAAGCGAGCTAACTAAACTAAACTAACCAACCAAAACTAACCAGAACTAAGCAAAACTAAGCAAAACTAACCAAAACAAACCATAACTAACCAAAATTAACCAAAACTAACCAGAACTAACCAAAACAAACCAAAATTAACCAGAACTAACCAAAAGTGACCAAAAGTAGCCAAAATTCACAAAAGCAAGCCAAAATTAACCAAAACAAATCAAAACTAACGAAAATTAAACAAAGTAGGCAAAATTCACAAAAGCAAACCCAAACGAACCAAAATTAACTAGCCAAAATTCACCTAAATACACCAAAGTAACCAAAACTAGCCAAAATTCACCAAAAGAAACCAACATTAACCAAAATTAACCGTAACAAACCAAAACCAACAAAAAAACAATATGCCAAAATTCATCAAAACAAACCACAATTGGCCAAAACTAAAGAAACACAAGCAAAATTAAGCATACTCAAATAAAAAGTAACCAAAACTAAATATATTCAACCCGAACTGACCAAAATTAGAAAAAAAATACCAACATTCAATTTAGCTAACCAAAATTATGGTTCTTGGATCAATAAACGGGGGTAAAACGACGTGAAATCATCATTGTAATTTGCTTTCCCCATCGATGGCTCTATTTAATAACTTATAGATACATTAATAATGTATTGTGTATATTTTTTCCAGGTGATAGTGGTAGCACACCTCAACCATCTCAAGGTTTCTTCGCTGGTGCCGTGAGTCAGTTTAATCAAGTTGTTGGTAACATTATCCCCACTCAACCACCGCAAATTGGTACTCAAAGTGACGAAGCCAGCTCTTCCACACCTCAGGGTCCTATACAGCAAGTTTTCCAATCATTCGGCAATATCGGTAAGCAAAGAAAAATTAGTTTGAATCTATTGCATTATTTATATATTATTGCAAATGAACTTTTGAATAGCACCTAGAAAGATATAGTCAAATATTATCTAAAACCTGGTTAACCAAATAGTTTTCTTTTCTTGACAAATTGACAGAGAATGCAATAGAAACATTAAGGGAATTTTTTTTACAATTACTTAGCCAAGTGTTTTCTTTATCTTGTAGGCACAGCCTTCAATCAGTTTATTCAGGGTGGGCCACAGCAAAACCCGTCAGGTAATTAATGATTCTGCTAGTACAAATTTTGAAGTTAAAAACCTTCTGGGGATTAGGTTCAGAAGACGAAGCGAGTACACCTCAAAGCCCCAATTTCATCCAAAGTATCGGGCAGAACATAGGAAACGCCATCCAAAATTTTCAGCAACAGTTCGTGCCAGGTCAGAGTTCACAGAGTTCTGGTGGTGTGGCTAATCCCATTATTGAACAAGCGTCCAATGTTGGAAGCCAATTTCAGCAGTTAACACCCACTGGAAATCCCATTGGGAGTTTATTACCAGGTACAAAAGAGCTATTCTCACCCATTTTTATTTGGGTTACTCTAATATATATAATATTAAATATAATATATTAAATATTAAATCACAGATGTTGACTAACTCCTCCCAAGTAATAATTATTTTGTAGATTTTTTAAATTTGTAATAAATTTATTTTGAAACTAAACATGTACAAAAATTGTAGAAAAGTAAATAAAACAAAAGAAAATGTAATTCTTTCATCTGTAATTTATAATAATCCACCATTTAATTAAGTTAAACTTGTGTTTTTAACCGAAATTATAGTTACCTATTATAGTTATTCTTTCTTGGTGGTTTCTTTTGTGGTTTTCCAAAAAAACATCAATATAAACTGAACAAGCAAAAAAATAAAACTTTTGAAAACTTGGGCTGCCTTTGTTTCTAAGGAAAATTTCAAAAATACTTCCTTTCAAGTTCATCTTGGTCTGATTTGGTTAAATTTACGACTAAATTTATGAAAATTATATGTATTGATAATTTCTAATCTGGTCAGAAAATTTTTGTTATTTCCATTTTTTAAACTAAATTTGGTACAGAGTCCCTTCTGTTAGATTGATCGTATCGTATTTTTTATTTTCTTTTTTATAGCAACACCATCGGAGCCATCGCCTTCAAGACAATCGGAAGAACAAGGGCCTGAGAAACCAGCGACGAATTTAGACTCGAAAGATAGTGAATCGGGAGTAGAAGAAAAGGCAAAGGGCGGAACAGTAGAATAGATTTTAAAAAGGCAAATTTTGCATATGTAGTACTGATTAGAATTGCTAGTGGTTTAATTTAATTATTTATTATCACTTATTCCAAATATAATTTAAATATATACGGAGAGCTGATTTTATTTGATTGAAATTGAAGTTTACTTTGAATCTATTTTTTTTTAATGGAAGCATTTATAAAAAGGTTAAAAACAAAATGAAACAGGGCGCTCGTAGATACCTTACTTCAAAATAGACACGAAAGCGAGTCTTACCTAAAATAATAATGCAAATATTAATACTAATACTAACTACTAAATACGGTTGTAAATTCGCTACGTTGTGATATTTTATTCAAAACCAATTATAAACAGAAAGTCGCATGGGCACGGCACATGCGTTTTGAAATCACAAGAAATAGTTTTTTTGTGTTGTAGCATAGATACATAAACCTGTTCCTGTGAAGTCTGGACTCATTTGATTGCTTTTAATCAATTTGAAAATTTATCTGGAAATGTGGAAATCTTCCAAAAGCAGAAACCGACCTTCACTAGCGGGACTCGAAAAGTTGAAGTGTTTAAATTCTTATTTATTTTTATAGAGCCTCAGAGCGGAGGTATTTTTTGGAATGATTCATTACTCTTTACACCAATCTCAAAATGACAATACATTTTATTCGTATTTTAAAAATCTTTTTTATGGGAGTATTTGACTTATTTTAATTTAATAATTACGAATATAACAATGTTGATACACACCATTCAGTAACACGATATACAGAGTGGCTTACTCTAACTGTCGTCATAAAAGTCCTGGAAAACTAATTAAATTGAAACTTCTGTCAATATAGATAATAACTTATCTCTTATAACTGTTTTAGTAAAAGCATTGTTATCAAATCATCATAATATTGATATTTATAATAGGGTGAATAATATATAATTATTCTGTAGACCCAATTATCTTAGGTACATCATTAAGTATTTTATTATATTATATGTTTTCTAAACACTATTTGTTTGTATCACATAAATGCTAGAATCAGGTGAAATAATGTCACACGCTCAATGTTACGGAAAACTGAAGAAAATTAATGTAACGACGTCTTTGAAAATATAAAGCGAACGGCTAAAATATGGGACAAATACATTTAAAAATTAGGTATTGGATTTCGAGAAAAATGCTTACACACATCCATCATAATTTTTTTCTGGCTCATTGTTGCAGTTCACATAAAATATATAGGGTATGCGCAAAAGCAGATGTCAATACTAAGTTCCTTTTTTATTTTTTTAACTCCCTTTTCAAATTTCCTATATCTTACTTTTTAGCAAAAGAATAAAAGATATAAATTTTAATTTGAAATGAACAGATAAGTGGCTACTACCGGTAAAGTTAATAAAACCCAGAAATTTTAATTTTTATTAAATACGGAAACAAAACGAGAACTTATGAAGGAGTTTGGAATTTGCTTACGAAAAATATCGAGAAACGCCCATTATAAGATCCACAGTAGTGTAATAAAATTTATAGAAACAGGGCAAGTCAAAGATCGTCCATGGCCAAGTCGTCCAAAAACTGTGCAAGGTGCATCTTCTGAAGTAGCTTCAAATGATGTAAGTCAACGAACAGCTTTGCGTGAATTAAAGGAAGAAAAGCGTCATCCTTACTAGAGGAGTTGAACGAAGATGCTCCCTACCGCAGACTACAGTTTTGCGATACTATGGAGGAAATGAAACAAAATTCTAGGCATCAGAGTACAAATAATCCCCGATGAAAATCATACACAACATCCACAAAAAATGAATGTTTGGGCAGGGATATTCAATAACAAAATTATTGTACCCTATGTCTTCGATCAAAATCTCACGGACTCCAGTAATTACAAGTTCTTCAAAATGACTTAATTCCTACTCTCGCAGTTTCTTCCCAAAATCTAAATCAGCCTGATATGTCAGATAAACGATCTAGTTTCCCCAACAAGTGCGTACGGTATCTCCCGGACAGTGGATTAGTACAAGGGGATCAATAGAATAGCCTACAAGACCTCCAGATGTTACTCCACTGGATTTTTTCCTCTGGGGATATTTATTAATTTTTCAATAAAACATGTATAAGAAAAATTCACAAAATTTAGATGACTTAAAATTTGAAATTTGAAACGAAATAAGGCAATTTAATGATATTGGGTGCCACATTGATTATACATGAAATTGATATAGACCTTAACTTTTTGACCCGCCCTGTATATTTATTATATACTGCAAAAAATTGGCAACAAAAGTTATGGAGGTGTGTGAACATTTATCTTGAAATCCAATATATGAGTTTTAAATGAATTTGTTCCATATTTTAGCAGTTGGCTATGGTAGTAAGGTGTTAAAAAACAAAACAAAACTACAAAAATAATGTTTTGGTTAGTCGTTTTATAGCTTAGACTTTTTAAAAAAATATGTTTTTCTCAGAAGACAATAATAATAAATGAGAATGTCGGTAAAAGACAGATTTATGTATAATCTGCAAAAATTCTAAAGATGCCAATGGATTTGTATTGGTCTGGCAATCATGGGATCTCCGAAAATATCCCTAAATACGTGATTATTTTATAGAGAACAGTGTTAGGATTTTTGGGCGACTTTATAGCGATATGGAAAATTCCGATATCAACTTTTTTATATGACAACAGATTTTACCTTCAATCAACTAGTCATAACATTTTCACAAGTACAAAGCAAACTTTTCCTTTTTAATTCATAAAACAATTTGATTTATATTTTTTTCGAGTTTTCTTCTTAACGAATTGACCAAATTTTATGGAATTCTTCTGAAAATTGTCTTTAAGAGGTTTTCTTAGTAATATTGACCGTGATTGCTTGCTGCTTCTGCATTCCTACAGGGTTTTATCAAAATAAATCATATGCCTAAATTAAAACTCAACGTATTAGCAGCCAACAACCAATCTGGTATGTATTTTAAATAGAATAACTCTACAAAAAATCAAGTTCTATATTTTTTTGGAAATTATAATTATTTAATATGACATTCAAATATACAAGCGGATCTATATAAAAAACTATTTTGCTTTTAATAGCTATTAAACTAAAATATATATATTATTGATACCATTAAATTCTCCGTAAAAGGTGCTTTTTTAGTTTTTTTTTTGCAATTTGAACCTCTACCTACCTACCTACCTCTACCTCTTTTAGAGTGAAGAGTTTTCATTTAAAAGACCAATTTGGCCCCCCCTGTATGCAGTAAATTGTCAAGTACGCGTCGAATAACTTAGATCGACGGCCAAGTGTGACAGATATTTTATAGGACCGCTTTTAAAAATAGGTGACATTATCACGTGTGGAAATGTCCTTTGATATAGGTCAATAGTTACAGCCAAGAATCAATCTCTTAATTACAAAAGCGTGATTCAGAACGTTACGCGTCCTCCCGAATTTACTTTCCTTTTTTTTGATGACGCCCAATGGCTGTGGAAGTGAAACTTTCAAAATCGAATAATGACACAGCTTGGGGCTTTCGTCTTGTCGGCGGTATAGATTTTGGTGAACCTGTTACAGTAGTAAAGGTAAGCAGAAAATTGTCTGTTTTCAATGTGAAGGTCAATTCTATGTACCATTAATGAAACGCACACTAATAGAATGATTTGCTTTTCTGCTTCATTAAGTATGGTGTAATGTCTCGAAATACTGGATTTAAGTGATTACGGAGATCACATAAAATACCTTACTGATATGTCAATATTTAAAGGTGTCATTCGACATTCGAGGTTGCCGGAACCGTGATCCAAAAATGTTTCAGTATCAAAAAACACTATGCGACCTCAGAATTAGAAAAAACAATGACTTGAAAGCTTCTAGAATCATATCTTCCTGACTGGACGATTTACATTTCGGGAGTTTTAAATTAGAAAATCATATCGATTATTAAAACTTTAAACTTTAAAAATCCAAAAATTCCGTGGTAGTAGGAAGAACAGTTTTTGATTAATCCTGATACTAATACGATTAGTGAACCCTAGCAGTGAATACACACAAAAATAACAAAATATTTAACCAATTTTTTCATCATCGATTCAGCAAAAAACTTGGACAATACATATTGATTTACGAATTCAGGACATTATAAATGCAACACAGGGATACAATTATGTTTTAAATTATTATTTAAAGATTTATGTATTATAGTTGGCTTCAAATGGAATCTAGAGTGTGGAAAGCAAACTGTCACTTGTCTGATGTATTTTAATGCAATTCGATTTTATAATTCATTGTCACAGAAAAAATCACAAACTTAAATTTAAAGTTATTATCATAAATTTCATTGTTTAAAAATAACCATTTTCTTCCTATAATACTGGTTATTATTTGGAATTGATTAGTATAAAATCATCCGATATACATAGTTAAACTGTTAGTTAATCTCTTTTTAGCTTTGAATCTCTGTATATAGAAAACTAAAGTGTGGAAAAAATTTTGTACAAAACACGCCTTCTCCTTTTTCCTAAAGAATCTACAGTTACATTTATTACTACCACACATCAAACTCATGAAAACTCTTATTCCAAATGTTAAAACTACAACATACTAGATTTTCAGATAGATAATCGGAGACCCCTTTTCCATTGTAGAGAATTTTTATAGACCACCGAGCAGGATGTTTTATTGTTCGACATTTCCTATTATCCTGATACCATAAAAATATTTTGAAGCACCTAGTCACTTTTTTACACTTTTGAATTCTTGAGTCCAACCTTTCTCTAAATAAAATTTAGGAGATTTACAATCAAGACTTAATGCCATTATATAAAACCATATAATAAATATATAGTGAAAAGCAAATACAAAGTCGAGGTTTATTAATACATAAAAACAACTTTTAAATTACTATAAAACGTTTCTCTTCTGCCTGATGCCTAGAATTTCATTTCAATTTTACGTATTTATCACTTAGATAAACGAAGGAAGCATAGCCGAAGATGCTGCGCTGGAAGTAGGGGATATTGTGGAACAGATAAATGGTGTATCCGTCGATGGGCTCACCCATAAAGAAGTCCACGATTTAATATACGCAGCTGGAACTAAACTTTTATTTGTTGTTAAAAGGTAAACAAAATTTGAAGAAATAGTTAGTTTTCAAATAGCACCTCGGTAATTTCCACTCGGATAAGGGATCTTTGGAAAAATGTTTTCTATAAAACTTATGTGAGTTTAACTAATTTCCACCTACCTCTCTAAAAAATTGTCCAATTAGAGTAAGTCTATTGCTAGTATTTTTTTAGTTGAGATATTTATAGACTGTAACATATTGAAATTTGACTTTCACCGTTATTGTCGATTTTCAATCTTTATTATTTTACCGACATAAAAATTTATTTTCTATTAAACCAACATAAAACATAATTTTCCTTATAGAAGCTTTCTCTTTTACTTATTAATGATCTACCACAAGTTACCACTGTAGTTACAAAAATCCGAAATATTATCGAAAATATCTTTATGCCATACTAGATTTTTTTTATTTGCACTTAATTGGGTACATCACAAATTAGGATATTCACGCATTTTCCGGCATGCGCCAAGGAAAATTTACCGATACCAATTTTTCCACACACACAACACCCAAGGCTCCCGATGGCAATCGAACCCACAACCACCATAGTAGATAGAAATCTAGAATGAGAGTTTGGTTCCGTTAAGAAACTTATTATGTAAACAAAATTGATGAAAAAACATAAGAACCTTTTATAAAAAATAATTGATACCAAATTATTGACAATAAATCCCAACAGACGCTTAAAATTTTCTAGACACTGCTATATCTATTTATTTAAATTTATTTAGTAGAATTTTTAGTATTTTTATGATTTGACCAACCTAGGTAAGTAAACCAACTTTTTCCATGACACTCTTTATGGATAAAAATGTGATTTTCAAGTTCATGGAGTTTAACTAATTATAGACTCGTTTTCTAGGGACTGTTATGAAAATATCCCGATGACTGCTGTAAGTTTGATTTTCAGATAAAAGCAAATTTAAAAAATACCATATTTCCAGGAAGAATATACAGCAAACAAAACGGAAAACAACCAGTCAAACAATTTACGGATAAATGGAAGTAAGCACCTACATTTTTCATTCACGAAAATTACTGAATACATTTGATTACAGCATCCAATAAAGAGAACGTTGCACCAAATCAGCATATAGCTGGTAAAGGGAGTGACAGGTAATTTTTAATTAATGGTATAAAAATAATTGAACTCAGTTGGCAGCTGTTAGACAGGATCAATTTGGAGACAATCGAGAAAAGAAATGGTCCACTTTTTTGCAAAAACCTAAAGGTCCCAAACCAGTGCCTAAAAAACAAGAGGAAGAAAGGAAAATTATTGTAAGAATAATCAATTCATTTATTTTACTCTATTTTATATATTTTATATCCAATATTTGCTGTTGTCAAAAATCTTACAGGGAGAGCCATATAGAGTGAGAATAGTCAAACAGAAGAAGAGAGATCCAAATGAAAAAAAAGCAGTCCGGTTTGAAAACGTGGTAAGTTTTTACCAAAAAATTGGGCTGCAATAAATTGTTTCATTTCTCACTAGCCAAAAGCAGAGGATAAACTTGAAGAAGTTGGTGAAGAATACTTGGAAATTCAAGAAGAAAGCACGGAATGTAACGGCAACAACAACGAAACTTCACAGGCGGAAAATAATGATAACATAGAAAATAATTCAGAACCATTCATTGAAGAAGAAAGTACTTCTGATCCGGGCGATTTGGAATCTGAGGACGAAGAAATTAGGGAATTAATTAAAGAAGAGGACACAAACCCTCAAAAGGGTGAACCCAATGTTAAATTGTTAAAACCTATACGTAAGTATGCAGTGTATCCAAGAAAATAAATGCGTAGATAATAAATTGCATCTTGAATTTAAAGAATCAGTTTCAAAACAAGCATTCAAGAAAATAATTTTCCTCGAATTGTATTTAAAACAATAATTGCAGGTCTATTTTTAACCGTGTCAATTAATGTGTGATTTTTATTTATTTTTCCCTCTCATGTACTAGTTTTGTAATCTCTTATTTTCCTTATTATGTGATCATAAACTTAGTTGTTGCGTATGTTTCACTTTATATATGTAATAGACACAACATGTTAATTGTGTCTATCTTATATTCTTTTTGAACTTGTTAGTGTCAGTTGCTTGTATAGTTACATTCATCTTCTTGCTTGAGTTAGAATTGTTAGCTTAAAGTAACATGTCATTACGCTAACTCCATAAAGTCATAATAGTATGAGTATTTTACACATTCTATTATTCAATTTTTTTTTTGTTGAAAAATATTTCATTGTCATTCATTTCATATTCTGGTGTACCCATCTAGTCTACCTTAACTAATTTATTACAGCTATACCCCACAAAACTTAGTATACAATTTAGTATAAATAAACAATAAAAAAATTCTCCCGTGAAGCATTCTTTGCATAAAAGTATTGAAAGCTTTAAATTAAAAAAAATTCCGTGATAAACAATTGGCAAGCATCTTTCAAATATTTTCATGAAAACAAATATGTCTCAACCTTAGTAGTTTATTAAGCTTCCGGAACTACTAACTACTAGTTTTTGTGGAAATAATTCATTTATCAAAATAAAAAGTGAACAATAACTGAATAATCTGAATTCGTTTACTTAATTGACAATTAATACCAGCTGTGGCAATGCAATTATCCTTATTTACCGTATATCTACTGTATAAATCGTCATATTACTTTTTAAGTAAAGAACAAGCCGTTGGAGATTCGTATAGATCCCGTAATCGAATCAACGCTTTCATTGGAACAACAATTGGCTGCTGTTCAGAAACAACTGCTAGCACTATCACAGCTGCCATCAGCCATCCAAGTTACCCTGGAGGCAGTGACACAGCAGCTAAACAATATCGTCATGTCAAAATCCTCAAACCAAGAGACTGAGAATGGGATTTATGAAGAGAACGGTGACGAACATAGTTTGGAGCAGGGAAATAATTCGGATTGTTCCGTCGAAGAAGGTGTGGAACCGTAATTAAAGCACTTATTCGTCTGTGTGTACATTGTATTGTTTAGAAGCTATTGCTGAGAACGGTTCATATTCTGAAAACGCAGAAGGAGACGTCACTGAAAATGAAGACGACAACAATTGTATTCTTGATGCTGTGGAAGAAGAGGAAACAAACGTTCAGAAATACATTTCGAGCGATATCATGGACGAAGGCGACGAGAATGTCGAGGCAGTCGAAGACAAGCCTCCGGAATTGACAGAAGAAGAAAAAGAGGAAAAGAGAAGGGAAGAAGAAATTTTGGCCAAAAAACAAAAGGTAAAATAAGAGAATTAATTAATCTTACAAGAATTTATAGATTTAGCGCAGGAACCACTTTACGAAAATTTATCACCCACTAGGCATTTGTATGATTGAAAACGATACTTTCATGCGCGATAACAAATACTACAATTTGGTAGCCAATAAATGCCTATTGTCCGCTTGCATTTTTAATCAGTGCTCGATGCCAAGTTTACGTAGTTTTCATTCCTTCCTGCCACTCTATTTTTAGTGGCAAAACCTATCCAAATATCTACGTGCTCGCTAGTTGCATTGTACAAAATCATCACAATTGTTTTATCAAAGTGAATCTTCGCACCGATAGGAAATCGAAGCAAGGAAGAAGATGGACTGGGCTGAACGACCCATAATATTACCAGGAGGACGAAGATGGTCAGGTCCCGACGATACTACTCCCCACAAGTGCAAAAATCCAAAGTTGTCTGACGAAAAGATTTCTAAAATGATCGAAACTTATTCCGAGGTGCTCGTGGGCAAAACTAAAGGGTAGGCAATTAAAATGATAGCTAGCTAGTAAAAGTGGGTTCGTGTTTTCAGGTCAGCCAGTGGAACAAGACGTGGCCCTGGAGAGATCATTCGAAGCCCATTTATAGGTATGTCGAGGATGTCCGATACATTGTAAGGCAACATTTATTTTATTCGAAGGATATTGTTATTGTAATATTGTTATGTTTCCAAAACAAGGGTTGATAAAACAAAACCGTGGGCCGCTTTACGAAAACTAAGCAAAATTAAAAATTTTGCAGTGCAAAAAAATGCACTACTGCAAGCAGCTGCACTCTTTTGGCAAAGGAACTTCAGAGGACATATGCATAATTTCACTCCCCATAAATCGAGATTATTCCATAAACGCAAGATTTTGTGAAAGTAGCTAACTCCTCTGAAAGATATATTTATAAAAACAAATTTACAAAAACCTTTTCATTAAATGTTTTGGAACTTTTGTAAAAATTTCTCAGTAGCCTTTTAAAAAATAATTTTGTTCTTTTATTTGCATTAGATGAGAAATAATAGACTTTTATTAGTTATGGACTCAAATGAAACCGAAAATTCATTTTAATATTAATATTAAATACAGAGCTTGTTATTGTGTTTCATTTATTTTAAAATATAAGTAAAAAAATATTATAATAATATTGCATTAAATTTGCGAAATGTGCTTGTTTTTTTTTAATTTTCAATAAAAAAAATTTAATATTTATTTTTACTTTTTTTTATCGGGAATCATAATTTGTCATTCGGGCATAATATTAATTCTCAGGTATCTTTTTTAAGTGCATAAAAAGTAACTACCGAGCATGCGATAATAAGTAGATCTACTTCATTTGAATGTTGTCGTTATAATGTTTTAAGACATTTTGTGTTGAGAAGTATTTTCTGATCGCTTTTCAGAGAGTCTAATTGCCATCTGTTGCCCAGATCTACAGCTAACAATGGAGTAAGTCTAGGTTAAATATTTTCTTTTTTCTTTTTTTAAGTTTGTGATAAAATTAATCGTTTAAATTTAATTCATCGTATATTATAGCCGAATGGAGTTTTATAGTTTACTAAATATGTGGTAATGGTCTAGCATCAACTTTCTGAAGTATCAGCCGCCGCCGAAAAATTTGTCGTATCTGCAAAACTCGGAAGTCTACCGCCTTATTCACGGAATGGACCAGCCAATGAGAGGGGTCGGTGTGAGAGCTGAGAAGATACTTTCGGAAAAAGATTATTACGGGGTAATTAAGATAAACAATTTGCCACTTGTGTTTTCTATTTAAAACTACATTTCAGCTAATAGTAATTTACACTGATTTTGATTTACAGGACAACGGAGCGCCTTAAGGACCGAAGGCATTACTGCTTAGAGTGAAATAAAAAATATGGTTGAAATTTCAAATAAAGGAAATAATCAATAAATGTGTTTATTCTCTTTGCAAAGTCCATATTGATGTGCTATGTATACGTAATTATACTTTTGTCAAAACTAAGAATTCGTTTGTTGACACAGGTTTAGATTAAAAAAGGTATTTCGCAAAGTTCAATAGTTCAACTATACCAAAAAAAATCCCAATTTTGCAATAAAAAAAAATGAACATTTCTGATTTTTCTATTTTTTTTTAAATTTGTTTTTATAAAATACAAAATGAATTTTTTCGATTTTTGGCAAATGTTAAGTAAATATATGTTAGTTATTTGGGATATTTTAAAAACATTCTCAAATAACAAAATAAATAAGAACTAAAAGTTTTCAAGAAATTATATATATTCACATGACAATTGTTTCGACAACACCGTGTCTTTATCAAATGCAATATTTACAAACTGCAACTTTTTTTTTAAACTTCCACAGGATACTGTAATACTTTTTACAAAACTTCTGGATTCCTCCTGCGTCGGTTATTGCTGAGTCGAACTTGCTGACATTTCGCCAATCATCCTGTTGGCTTCTTCAGATCTAATAAGAAATTCTGTAACAAGTTCCTGCTACTATATATACCGAAAAATGACAATAAAATCTTAATTAATGTTGTTGTTAAATCTAACTGATCGTTAACCAGTACATTTGAATGTCTCATTTTGTTAATCTGCATGGCTTCCAATAAATTAAATTTTCTACTTTTTGTGGCTTTATGTAAAATATCAAAATTGTCGTCAAAAATGTGTTTTTCTGCGTTGAAGTGTCTGGTATAATTACAATCTAGACTATTGTTTTTAAATGCTCTTTTATGTTCATTATATTATCTTTCTTGAAGGATCTACCTGTTTGTCCAATATAAATTTTAGAACAAGATCCGCATTTCAACTTGTAGACACCTGATTTTTGAGATTTTGGACACTTCGTTTTATTGTTTCCGAATGTGGGTGAAATCTACTAAATCTATCACATCCATAGGTGGAATACTGGGAAATAAGTTTTGTACATCAAAAGACATCAATTTTGTTGATTAATTCAAAAGAATTTTTTATTGCAAATTTTGGTTTAAAATCTGTGTGGAACTTTAAAATATTTACTAATTTTGTTGAGAGTTTAACTGCTGGAGCCATTACATAAGACACGACTGATTTATTCTGCATATCTTGTTCGTGTAATTTAACTAAAGAATTAAAAAATACTTATCTTTGTCAGTAAATAGTGTGGAGTTAGTAATTACTTCCTTGACTTGTCTTGGAAAAGTTCTGATTTAACAGAATTTTTGGTTTTTGAAATATATTCTGAGAGATGGATAGCTCAATAGTTCAATTTTGCAAATATATAATATATAAAATTAGTTTCACTTACTTTAAGATGAAGATCTATTCAGTATGTATTATATGTGATTTTTTATAGTATTTGGACTTTTTATTTTATCGAATAATATCTTTATAAAAACAAATTCAAGACATTGGTTTAGTATAAAATATCTGTTTGTCAGCATATGTCTCCTTAAAGAATTGCATATGGTAGAAAAAGGAAAATTGATTGTATGTTATAGGTTTTTTTACTTTTTATTACAATCGCTGATTTTAAACATATTTTTTCTGATAATTGAAAGCACTAGACAACTATAGTAGCTGCAACAATCCGATTAAATTATCTGGAAGTTTCAAAGCTTGCCATTAAAAAAGACAATTCTTAGAATTGGTGCGACATTGTTATTTACACTTTAAGGTTGCTTTTTCTGTAGCCACATCACAAATGAAAATATTATGGATAGTGTTTTGATAAATAACACACCGTCAACGATTTGTTGAAGTCTGCAAAACTGCAGCGTAATATTTAACATTGCCCTATTTTATTGAATGTCACTAGTGTAGCTTTTGTTTTTAGATGACCCAGTTTTGAAAGCATGAATTAAACCTTCCATTGTCGGTGAGACTGCACTTGTATAAAACCGTTTATATTGTTTGTATTTAGTTTTTTGTTGGAAATGTTTATTTTGTTTTATTCAAAAAAATTGACCATTTTAGAAAATATCTTTTCTTTATATTTTTAACCATTACAAAAATATATAAACCTTTAATAGGTGTATTTTAAATAAAGAATAAAACCAGGAAACCTGGTTAACAATAACCGAAAAGATGATCGAAGGACAAATCGTTCGGGTATTTTTATCAGAATATCATTCATACCGGATACTCTTTAAGGGGGTAATTTTTAACGCTATCTCTTGTTAACTTTAGACCAGCTACTTTGAAGGTTTGCGTAATTATGTTCAGTAGAGCTTGTGTACTGCAATTTTTTGTAGAAACGTGGCAACTATTTCTGCTTATACTCTGTGGAAAGGAATTGAATTTTTCTTACCTTAATCACTTTAATCACATTAATTAAAAATATAAAAAATAATGGGGCACGTAAGTGTACCTAGAGCAGGGAGTTAACATTATAAGGTTTAAAGCTGCGTTTCTAATTAAGGAACATTCAGTCAGGAAATAAATTGTTTGTCTTTCTAAAGTTCATCTAATGCAAAATAATACGTATACAATCGGCAATTTTTTTTCTGAACTTCAAGATTTTGTTTCAGTTTATCCATTAGACAGACATAAACTGCTCATGCCTCACCAAAATTTATAATTATTAGCAACTATCTCACAATATTTTAAGATTTGTCTTATTTCAATATGAGTAATAAATATGGACAGACAAAAAAAACAAGTAAAGTGTGTGGAGATTCATGTTTAAAAAAGGTCGCAAAGTTAAACTTTTTACGTAAGAATTACGGATATGTGCATATTATTCACTTATACACTACAAATTAGTCTAAAAAATTAACAATCTAAAATTGAAAGTACTTCTTGCTAAAACGGGAAAGAAAAAAAGTGAATGACACTCTTTCTTGCCATTTATCAAAGGAAACCTTTCCGCCTTCGTCTTAAATGCATATTGCACGAAAGTTTTTGATATAATTAGCGAGATAAAAATTTCTTTCTTATGAGTTCATATGACATTATTGTTGTTCGACATTTAAAACTTTCCGTCTAACTTCCTAATACTCCGGTCTAACGACTCTTGTACAAAGTTTGACGTAAAACGGAGACGGTTATAAAAAATATATGAATGGCCCAACAATCGCATGTCACCGTCTTGCGTGACAGCGTGACACTGCCTTATACTCGGTTATTTTGCTATCAGTTAGAGCTAAAACTTTAACGGGGGTGTTCTTTTTATAGTCAACTCCTATTTATGGATTTTCCGCATCATTCGAGATATTATTTGCGGCATTACGCTCAGTACTGACGTAACCAATGTTGACGTAACACGGTAAGGCATCAATTTTATTATATTCGTTTGTTATTGACTGCAAAATTGCATATAAAAAAATTAACGAATATTTTTATATGTTATTCATAAGTCTCTTTTAAAAATTGCTGATGCACTATGCAATGGTCCAAGAAAGTGGTACGAATTTAATTTAAAGTGTCAAGGTAGCATTTTCAAATTCGGAGGTCTTAATAAGGACTAAATGTGAAACTTCTCCATATTAGGGTGGTTTGAACTTTCGGTTAGAAATCAAACCAAATGTAAATAGCTCACGCTTTGTTGGATTGGATTTTGTTACTTTTTCCTCAGTTTCGAGAATTGTAATTAGGCGAATGTATATATAAATAATATATTATGAGATATGATGTACTATCCTAATATTATTTAGTTATATTGAAGGTTATTTTCAGTATGACTAGTATTCATATTTTGGGATACCCTGTATACATAACATTTATTGGGAAAACAAACATCCAATTATCTGCACGATGTTTCTCTTTGGTATTTTTATTCATTACTGACTGGAGGTTTATTATTAGTAGCAAATATTTTCACCACATATCTAAAGTCTAAACTAGTCACAGCAGATAGTTAAACGCCTAAACACTAAGATCATTTAGAGGAACATTACAATGTATACAAATTTCAGTAAATTAGACCAGCGCACACCTCGAATTATTTAAAAAATGCTAATTCGTTAATTATTAGGAAAAAAGATAATATGGTGTAAATTTGGAAAATGCAATAGAAACCCGTCGTTCTTCTATTACCATAGGGTGAATAAAAAAATGCTTTCACTTTAAATATTGGCACAACTTCCCAGTTGTTAATCTATTTCCTTGCGTCGGTTGAGGAATCGAACTTTCTGACGTTTCGCCAACCATCCTGTTGGTTCCTTTAGAACTTGGCTCAAACTGTTTATTCGAAAATCAGTCAAAGTTACAACATAAAATTTATAAATTATTTGTTTCAATTTGTGATTATGTGATTTCTTGTAAAATAAGCTGATTTGATAAGAAATGCTGCAGGGGACTTGACAGTAACAGCATATGGAAGTGAATCAGAATAAATAGGTCTTGTTTTATTTTAAACTTGTATAAGTTTTAAGTCAATGGTCTCATTGCATAGCAATAACAATTACTCTGGGTTTTCTATGTGAAGCTAATTTATTTCTAACACTTTTGGATACGAAGACAAGAAATTATTGAAAACATTCCGTGAGTTGTGTTCTCTAAAACTCCGCCTGTTGAGCTTCTTCTGGGAGTTGACTTATTGTGACTGATAACGTATTTGGACTTAAGGATAATAAACCTTTTCAAAGTAGTCGGAATTATACGAAGAATTAAAAACTTTTATAACATATTCCCTACTTCCGTGCTTTTATTATTACGGGTTTATCTTATGCAAATGATACTAAAATTTGGCATGCGCACTGAGTGTATCGGCAAAAAAATATTGCAAAATGTGATATCAGGTCCACTTGCCCTAAACTTTTCCTCTTTTTTGAAGAGAGCATTCATAGTCTATTAGTAAAAATGTAATATAATATTTAAACTAAAATCTAATCAAATGGAAACTTTATTTATGGTAATGTCAAATTCAAAACTGAAATTTAAATTTTTCGTAGTCAAACTTACACAAACTCTCTATACAAAAAAACTGCATTTGATGTATATGACAAATGCTGTCGAATTTAAATACTGCTTAAAACTGAGCAAAGACACTGTTAAATTATTGGAATACAAAATATTTTCAGATGAATCTGACCCACAGTGCGGCGGGCAGTTTCCTATTAAAAAAGCATGGTTTCGATAGGTGATTAATTGAATCGAATCCAATTTCCTATTAATAAAGTTTGGTTGTAGAACTATAAGCCGGAATGATGCCGGAACAACGCTTTGGTAGCGGACCATTTACATTTAGAATAAACGATAACGGTTCTGGACCTCAACTGTTAACGCAGGCAAGTAATTTATTAATACATTAATAGTTATTAATATATTAATAGTAACCACGCGAACACGTCTAATTAAATCAGGAACGCATACATCACAAACTGCCTGCATAAAATAATTATTGTCATAATAATAAGCAGAAGCCCCAAATATTAATTCAAATTGAGAGATTTATAACTCTATTAATTTCAATAACGAATGCGGTGGGTTAAATTCTTCTCTTTTGGAAACAATTCGCGTGCTCGTTGTTAGTTACAGTACAGTTCGTAATGGGATTGCGCAATTTTATTCTCACAATTTATTTGAAATTAGGATTTATATTTTATTTTACTGCTGCTCGACCGACTTTTAAAAACGGAATTAAATTGTCTTGTGTTGATTAGTAGTCTTTCTATAAGGACTACTACAGGACGTATTTCGAAAAATGTTTGCATTAATTTTCATAAAAATGTTATATTTAGGCATTAGTTTTGATGGATGCTACTTTCAATTTATTAAAGAACAAAAGAAAAAACACTAACATTTAACATTTTTGCTACTTACCTCTGCTGCAGAGTTAGGTCGAGACATACATGGCGTCGCAATAGTGTGGCAAACTATTTATGACTATTACACTAGTATTATCACTATTTGTTTTTAAAAAAATATAAATTTGTTTTAACAAATATTGTAAAATAAAAATTTTACAAATATATATATATATATATATATATATATATATATATATATATATATATATATATATATATATATATATATATATATATATATATATATATATATATATATATATATATATATATATATATATATATATATCATCCGTTCGCTCGTTGAACTCCGACTGGAATCCTGCAGACGTTTCGCCAAAATCTCACTTGGCATCTTCAATGCTCGCGCTCCGAAAACACTTCGAACACTCGGAGTGCGAGCATTGAAGATGCCAAGTGAGATTTTGGCGAAACGTCTGCAGGATTCCAGTCGGATGCAGGATTCCAGTCGGAGTTCAACGAGCGAACGGATATATATATATATATATATATATATATATATATATATATATATATATATATATATATATATATATATATATATATATATATATATATATATATATATATATATATATATATATATATATATATATATATATATATATATATATATATATATATATATATATATATATATATATATATATATATATATATATATATATATATATATATATATATATATATATATATATATATATATATATATATATATATATTTATATATAATTATGAAAAAAATATTTAGAAATCCAGATAGTCAAGGACTAGTACCTTACTAATTATTAGTTATTCAGCATACAGTTTAACATGTGTCTCTAAATCATAACTCAAATTTACACGCATTTCAACTCCCCTATCCTTAAATAGTTTCTTATTATAATTCGTATTTATTCGTTTACCGTATGTATGGCATAGTTTTAATTACTTTTATCGAATAATTTTTGGCAACTTAAATTAAAAAATATCCATAATGGTTATTTAATAATAACAAAAACGTATTTTTAAACGACCAGGGTATTAATTCAATTATTTAATAAATTTAAATATACTTTTCTTATATTTTCTAATATGAAAATTAATAAAAACGGGCATTAAGGAAAAACTACAATCGATAGGGAAAAAATAGGGAAACCGTAACAAAAGTAATAGAGACAAAGTAGTTAAATATAATTTATTTTAAGCTTAGTCAAGTTGGTTAGGCCCTCTTAGCCGCTCTAGTAAACTCTAATGCACTTGACTGTCACAAGATCAATGTTTGACATTTTAATATATGCGTATGGAAAAAACATTTTTATTTTTTCCCAACAATTTTGGGATGGATCGTGATATGGAAAAATATGTATGGTGTCATGAGTTTAATGAAATACCATGTATGATTGAAACAATTTTTAAAATGTGTGACTTCATTTTATATAAACATCTTTTTTAAAATTTAGCTCCTAACGTAATATTTCACTTTCGTCTATAAACATGTATGTCATATGTTTACGCGGATAAAAATATTCCTATAAATAGATTTAAAAAAATACTAGAAATCATATTTCAATTCGAAGTAACATCGTTTAAACCGTATTTAAATTTTGGTAAAGAAGTTTTCAATTTTCTTAAACCTGACATATTATTGTAAAAGTGTTTTTTGATTCACTACCCTTCCACGAAATTATATTTGGCTGTGTGTGTGTGAAAGTGATAAAAATAATTAGCTCTATTAGATTTAATACCGGTGAAATCCATCTATCGCCTTGACTTAATGGTACTTTTATTTTCCGCAACGTAGCGTGTGACAGCCATGACATCCTACGCGTAATGGACGACGAATAACAAGATTGATTCGTTTTACGTATGCTAGAAAACACCTTTAAAGAAAACCTTAATAAAAAACTCCAAAACAGACAACTTTATTTAAAACGTCTTTGTAAATTTATTCACGTTGGCGATAAGAATGCGTTGGAATGGTACGATTGTCTAAGTGCAGGGGGCAACACGTAAAAGAGTCAATTATTTTTGGGTACATTTATGCAAAATGCCACGAATATATTAACTGAGTGACGTGGGACGTAAGTGCCAGAACTGACAAACTTCAAATACCACTCCAGTATTTAAAATCTACCTGATCGCTATCAAACCCGTGACTAAAATACCGGTAATGTCCGAATTGATTTCCGACAGCGTTGATCGAAGTCATAAAGTGACATTTTATAACTCCTGATCAGCGTATTTTAATATTTTACGTTATCTAACTGCGATATGCATAACAAATAAGATGTTATCATCGGAAATTTTCAACAAACATAGTGCATTTTGCAAGAAATTAATATCCAGAGTATAACATCCTCAGATGAACGCACGGCAAAATACCAAAAAATTCTACTAAAATAGTTATCTACAGCACAATGCACAAAATGGTGCAAGTATAAAAATATAAAATAAATAGGGTGTTTAAAACAATGGATTTTGAGTTTCAATAATACACGATCAAATTCCTTTAATTTTCAAATCAAATTTAATTGATTACTTTAGCTTTGCGTCTTAGAATCTAACTAGGGGAGTAAATATTAGGAAACAATTTTATAGTTTCTTTTAGTTTTAACCATATAATCGCATTCATCTTTTATATAAAATACAGACGTGACCTATTTTGAATTGGAAACACCCCAAAAAATTATATATTTTTATAAAAATCAATTTTTCTACTTCCTACTCTAAAATACTTAATTAAGTGTATGTCGCTTTGTCCATTTCAAGTCACTTCGGACGTTTTCGGTACTTTTGTCACAGATTTGAGAGCGATCGGATGTTTTCGGAAAATTTTGGCAATGGCATTTTGACATTGAGCAGTTCTGACGGTCACGTCATACTTCACTGAGTGAATGTACCAGTGCTGTTTTGCAAAAATGTATCCAAAAACCAATGCTCGTAGAAAAAACATACTCGTTTATTAAACCCTCGCTCCAAAACTAACTTGCCGCAAGTATAATATTAAAATTCGGAATGAATTTTGATAGTGTTTAATTTATTTATGCCTTCAGGTTTGCCTAGAGCGTGGATGGCGAGAATATAATCCAGATTATAACGAGAACTGGAATTTATGGTGGAGAACATCGGGATTTCCCATCAGTCACCACAAATGCCTAACGTCGTTTCAGGTCTCGCATAGTTTTGACAAAAAATGCTACAACTTAACTTATTTATTTATTCTTTCAGTATTTAAACCATATCCCAAAAGGGTCCATGATTTGCAGAAAAGATAATTTAATAAGATATCTTCGATGCATGAAAAAGGTGTACGGAACAATTTACGACTTTAGGTAATTTTCATATTTTTTTCACTTTGGTTTAGTACGTGATCATATTTCAGCCCAGACAGTTATAATTTGCCGTTAGAATATACGAAACTTGTATCGGAATGTAGTCACAGTAAGTTTCAAACTAGGAAGGAGGACAAACTGCGTGCTTGCGTGGCCGATAATCGTATTTGGATTTCTAAACCAGTGGCTCAGAGTCAAGGCAGAGGAATTTTTTTATTTAGAGTAAGTAGGATTGCAAGTAATAGAATCTAATCAAAAGAATATAGTTTTTCAATGAAACTTCCACATTTTACTGTAATACTATTTACAAACCTTCTGGATTTCTCTCGTCGGTTGTTGATGAATCGAACCTGTTGACATTTCGCCAATCATCCTGTTGGTTTTTTCAGGGCCTAACTAAATTTGAACCTTAGTTCAGTTTCAGTTAAGCTCTGAAGAAGTCAACAGTATGATTGGCGAAACGTCAGTAAATTCGACTCATCAACGCAGGAGGAATCCAGAAGATTTGTAAAGAGTGCATTAGTACCAAATTTGAAAATAACCACTTTCTTCTTATTTCTTTCATTGAGTACTGCCCTTTTACACCTAGTAGTAAAACAACGAACACTCTAGTTAGTTGCTTACTCTAAAGTCTTCTGAGCAGAATACCTGGGAGTATGTAGAATATTGCTTAAGCTAGAGGAGGGAATATCTAGAATACTAAATTACCAGTACCTTACCTCAAAAGGTTGATATGTTCTTGTTAACGCTTTTATTTTCAAATAAATCTGATAACCAAAACAAAATTCTTTATTCATTGGTCAAATTTATCGTAAAATTTCGATTTTTAACTTATTTGGCATACGTATTAACTATTAAAAAAATAAGGGATATTAACTTAAAAAAATACAATATTTTTTTTCTGTGAGTGTATTTTAAGCACAAAGCCATTCGTTCTAATACATAAAAACAACTAAACTTAATAAAAACTTTTTTTTTTGCAGAAACTGAGCGAGTTGAATTATGACACGAGCACGATAGTTCAAAGGTACATCGAAAATCCTTTACTTATTGGAGGTTACAAATTCGATTTGAGACTATACGTATGTGTTCCGTCTTACCATCCCGTTACAATTTATATGTACACCGAAGGACTGGCCCGCTTTGGTACAGACAAATTCAGTCTCAATGATCTGAAGAATCCGTTTCGACACTTGACCAACTCGTCAATCAATAAATTGGGTCCGGGATATTTGGAAATGAAGGAACGGGTAGGATCAGGTAAAAGAAAAAAGCGATATAAGGAACGTTAGATTTCTGTTCTCAAAAACATCAGAATTAGTTCGACTCGATATCAGTATTATATTCTGAGAAAAATGAATGGGATTCTAGGTTGCAAATGGACATTAAGGCAACTTAGAAGGTATTTGCGACAAACTGGTATTTTCGATTGGTTGATTTGGCAAAAGGTAACGTCATTGGTAATCCTGACGGTGCTCAGTCACATTCAACAGATTCCCTCCACCACAAACTGCTTCGAATTCTTCGGTTTTGATATTTTGATCGATAACGCCTTAAGGCCCTGGCTACTTGAGGTAAATTTGAATATACACAATATTATGATATGGTTACACAACACATTTAACCATTAATTTCGTCCACAAAAAGTAACAACTTTTCAGACAACTGTTACTATTTACCCCTGTGGGGTTGGGGGTTTTTAACTGATACACCTTAATTTACCTTTAATTTTTTTACAAGTCTTTCTTGCAATGTCTTCGAATAGACGTAATAATTGCCTACTTATTCATAGTTAGCGGAACAGTTTTGAACCCAATTAAAAATGTTATAATTAGTGTTATCTACGATATTAACGAAGTAATTTCCTAGTCTGTTATAATACTTCCATACTTTATAAAATAGAAAACTTTACGTTAACTAATAACTGTAAACTGTAAATGTAATGACTGATATAACATATTAACTCAAAAAATAAGCTGTTAAGGTCAAGGACCTAGTATAGTTCGTAACAAATACTATACTCCATATATTAGTATTGTACTTATCTTAAGAAATTTTTTTCAGGTCAATTTAAGCCCAGCACTAAGCAATGATTGCGATGCAGATAGACTAGTTAAAAAATCAATGCTACATGATATGTTTGATTTGCTTGGATTTCCGATGCTTAATACGGGACTTTCTGTGTTCACGGTCTGGCTAGAAGAATCTGACCAAAAGTATGCTAATAAAATAAGTGTATATTTAAGTCATATAAAATGTACAGATTTTCTTTTAAACGTCAATGGAATCAATAGAATTCAATTTTTTTAATTTAAGTTATTAAGTTATTTAAACATTTAATTGACTTAAAAAAATATTTTTTTACTTCAAATTCATTAAAGTTTTTAACTGTATAAATTTCATTCTCTAATTGTCTTTTTTTATATAATGGAAACCCCGTGAATATTACTTCAATTTTTTGTTGAAATTTTTTATCTGAATAAATAAATATTTTTCAAATTTCATTAATTTTAGAAATATAATATAAGAATAATATATAACAATATCAGAATTTATAATTAGATTTTTTCGTTGTTGTTTTAAAACTTATTTCCAAAAGCGGCTATTACAAATGAGTCATATATTAGTTGCGATAGTCATCTGTTTGTTTTGACACTGTCAGGTAATAAAGGCAAAACTTTAAAACTTTTTAACTATAATAAACTCCCTAGGTAGGGTGCAAAATATATAAAACATAAATTACAACTTTACCGAATTCACCGTAGTTGTAGTGCAAATTTTGTTTACATTTACAATGGATGATTGTAGTGACGATTTTGTAAAGAATGATCAAACAGTTAAAAACCAGCAAACTTTGATTAACGCAGAATCCAAGCGAAGACAAAAATACAGAATTTCTTCAGCCCGATCCAAAGTCTCAGCCAGGGCGCGAAGAAGGACGACATCCGCTTCAAATAAAAGTAATACGCTACTTTACTTTACTTTACTTTAAAATACACCTCAATAATTCATTTTTTAAGGGGGTTATCTAAAACTGCCAAAAGTTCAAGTAGACGGTGCTGCGTTAGAAGCAAATTATCATGATGTGCCAAAGGGAAAGTTGGTACTTTTCTTTCTATTCCTCAGTGATAGTTGTCAATATTAAGCGATTATTTAACTTGTAGGTTGCCGAGAATTTTGCTAATTCCAGTAGAAAAATTTGGGGCAATGGAAAAGATTGGAGTTGCCCCATCCCCAGGGAAGGAGGCTGGGTGCGAATTTGGCCCATGACTCTAGACCATGGAGATGAAAACGGTAACCCCATTGTATCCGGGGGTATAAAGAACGTAGTTAATGCGGTATTTAAAATATTAACATCCTTAAGTATGACCCGTTTTTTTATCATTTTTACTTAATTTTAGGTAGTAAAATTCAACAAAGTGGCGAAAGAGTTAATGAAAAAACATCCTGCAGCATCCGAATGTCAACTAAACGAATTTCTGCAGCAAGAGATCAATATGGCCGTCGATGTGTGGATGCCACCATCTTGACATCACTTCCAGAACTAATTATTTAACTGTCAAGGCTTGCTTGTTTGCTCTTTTTCATTAAATTTTAACATTTTGTGCCACGAAATGAACAATGCTGCATTTGGACCAGTTTTAATAGACAATCCTCACTGCCCTCCTCAATAAATAATATCCACTCATTTGATCTTTTCTTTCCCAGCTGTAACTTTATATCAGAACTAAAATTCTAGTTTAATTTATTAATTTAAAATACTTATCAAATTCGACTTGGCCTTTCCCATCCAGCACTTCACAGAAAATAAAAGTTTTTCAAATTTCGTGTAAAGGGAAAACGCGAAAACCGGAACAGTAGTTATATTTATTTATACATTCTATACATGGCCTGAAACAATCCTTCTTAACGATGAATGCATATATAGAATACATTTTGATATATATTTTACATATCTACAATATATTAGAGTCGCGCATTGTTTCGAATATAGAAATAAAATAAGGAAATTTTACACCATTCAAATGTACACACACCAGAATTAAACTTTGATATACGACAGCCGTGGAAACAATAATTTTCCTAGAGTTTCATATTTTAACTTACAAGGGAACAAAATAGATAGCGTACGTGGCACAATTCACATGCAAGCGCGTGTTTGAATATTTATATACATGTATTATTTAAAATGGTAACAAGTAAAGCTAGTAAAGTATTGACTTAGAAGCAGGGAATCCGCCCATATGATCCTAGCGAGCGTGATTCTTGCAGAACGGTCGACCTCCTTTTGCAAAGAAACTCTGACCTTCCAGATTCTTTTTACACATCTGAAAACCAAAAAAAAAAAACGGAATTTGAATAGAACAGAACTTTTGTATCGTCCTCATCACTTACCGTGCAATTGAAACATTGGCTGTGGTAATTATTGTTGAGTGCTTCAACCCAACGATCGCCAGCTTCCACGGGAAATCCGCAAGCGAAACACTTAGTAGTGAAGAGTTCGTTCCAGTCTGTAAAGTAGTGATTGAAGTAGAGACAGTCGTTTCCACCAACGTTTTTAGGCGTCAATGAACGCTAAATGGTACATAAATTAATGTTTGCTAATAAAGTCAATATTGATTTTTTGAGGAAAATTTTATTTAGAGAGAGGTGTGTGTAGTAATAGGTATTCCTTTCTCTGTATACATTAATACTAACGAAAGGTAAGTGTACCAAGAAACTGGTTTATAATAATGATCAAGTTTTCTATTGATTTGAGTTGTTTAATGGGTACTTTGCGAAATCATTTCAATGGTTTATTCTTTTTGGAACTAAGTGGTTGTGATATATTTTTAAAGGTATTTGTATATGTAGAATACTCTAGGTGATCAAAAAAGAAGCCGACTTTTGTAATTGGCAGGGCTATATACATTCGATCTTCGATATTTTTTTGTTATGTTGGTACACATGTCTCTAAGTCCATAGTTTGAGCGAGTTTGCACTATTACTTTTTTTGTGAGACAGAAGCGTAAGACGTGTTTTATGTACCCGGCGATTTTCTGCTGTCAAAAAAAAGGAACAAAGAATTTGCATAAAATTTTGTGTAAAAAAGAGAATACAGTGCACCACAACACATGAAATGTTTTGACCAAAAAAATGTTTATAAGTGGTACAAGCTGTTCCAAGATGTCCAATAAGACGCCGATGACGAACCTCGCTCTGGACGCCCCAGCACGTCAATAAATTATGAAAGGGCTGAAGAAGTGAAAAAAATGGTGTTGAAAAATCGTCGAATCACTATTAGAGTGGTTGAAGACTATCTCTAGGTTTTGGGCATTTGTTCCGGAACTGCTTAATTTTAAACAAAAGGATAGTCGAAGGACCATCGCTCATAAGCTGTTAAACGACGTCAATGATGATCCTGATATGCTCAAAAAGGTCATTGTTGGGGACTAATCATAAGTATATGATTACGACGTCAAAACCAAAGCCAAGCTGTCCCAACGGAAGAACCTAGTATTGCCAAGACCGAAAAAAACACGTCAAGTTCGATCAAATGTCAAGGTTTTGCTTACTGTTTTCTTTGATTATCGTGGCGTAGTACATAAAGAATTCATACCTTGAAGTTATGCGCCGTTTCATCTCTACGACTTTTTCCTGTTCCCAAAACTCAAAAAACCCATGAAAGAAAGAAGCTTTGGAGCGATTGAGGAGATAAAGCAAAAATCGGTGTTAAAAATTCAAGGCTATACTACGAAGTACTTACCAGAAGTGCTTCGAGGATTGGAAAAAACGTTGGCACATGTGTATTATATCTGAGGGAATTACTTTGTATTATATCTGGGGGGAATTACTTTGAAGGGAACAATATTAATTTTGATGTTTTGATATTCTCTATCTATCAAACACTTAAAAAGAAAATTCAGAATTTTTCCTTTTTGTTCATGAAATATGAAATATTGTTAATGTATAATATACATTTTTTTCACCTTATTTATATAACTTACATTTGACCATCTCTAATGGTTTTCCCACAGTTTCACAAAATAATGCCTACTATTCCATATTGGATTGGCTGAAGAACAAGCGATATAATATGAATACCATTTAGTTCAATATTTTGTTAAATCTATCTAATGCGAAAGAATTTTGGAGAAAATCTTTTAATATTTACAAACAATTACCTACTTTTAAGCTGTGTTTGCTTACCATATTTACTAAAGAATTTGTACATCGGATCTATATCATAAGTTTCCTTCCACTAAAACTATTAATGAAACAAGAGAAATAACTTATTATAGTTGCCATCTTCATCAATGGATGGTATAATTGCTCCATGCAACTAGTCAATGATCAGGCACAATACGGAATGCATCAACATTTTAATACGACTCAAGTATGTCCAAAGTTGTTATAGCTACTCACCGGCTTCGCAATATGGACTGCCGTCCTCTAAGAAAAACGGAGAGTTTCCAAATAGTTTTCCGCAGTAGACACAGTTGAAGCATTCAGGGTGAAAGTTTTTCCCGATTGCCTTCAAGCAATCCTAAAACAATTAAAATTTAACAAACTTGTTTTTGCCATGTATCGAGCTAATATGACACATAACACGCTTTCTTACTCCTTTGATTTTCGCAGAGCATTTCGAGCACGGTGGTGCCAAATACTGCTCGAAGCAATATTCGCAATAAAGCTGTCCTTTTTCTTCAACGAAACCCAAATCTTGCAGCGAGCGTTTACACGACGGTGTTGCGCAAACAAAATGGTGGGGACACCAAATCTGCCCGAGCGCTGTTATAAACGGCCCTCTATCGTTAAAAAAAAACTATGTGTCAACCGAGATACATCGAGATAAAAGAAAAACATCTTTTTCAGAACACCGCTATTATTGATACTAACCGTAAATTTAAAGTCTATAACTACCCAATCGTTCCAGTTATTCGCTTATAGCTAATATTAAGCATAGGCAACTAGAATGTTTTAACCAAACCGGGCCTTAAACTTATTTTCCAGACGGTAAGGCCCGCCTCATGTTTGAACATTCATTTCGTGTAGGAAAATGCATACGGAACACAAAACCATCACCTTATCTGACCTCGGCAGGAGCCACAAAGTGGAACTCTAGAACCTGCGAGGACTGCAGCATTCAGGACACCACGACCCTTTCTCGGAGTCACGCTTACACCACCTGCTTGACGTCCTGTACCAGCACCTATGTCGGATTGAGGAACACTGGATCTATTAACGTTATGACTAGGTAATTGGGACACATCTTGAGCAGAGCTAGGTTTATTAGGTGCCAGGTTAAAAGGGCAGGCTTGCAGCTGAAAATTGGGTGCTTGAGGACTCGCTTGAGTGTACTGTTGCAAATTTGAGCCAGAGTTCAGTTGAAATGGACATGGTGAATTTCCAAAAGCTACCGATATTCGTTTAGGATCTGTCACATGAAGACTTTCAGAGTGTTTCTCTTCAGCCGGTGCGTTGATTCTTTGAAATGGATGCTTCGCTATTGAAGAAATTTTTTTCTCGATCTGAATATTCGTTTCCTTCTGAGTGCGTTCATATTCTTCAATCACAGTTTTCTTTTTCTGAATTTGCGTGAGGCCGTCGGCAGAGGTTTCGCGACTTTGGTACTGCGAATTGCTCTGGGATTCTAAATGTTTTTGTTCAGACTGCTCCGAAATTCTCGTTTCAACATTACCCACGTTGCACACTTGATCCGATCTCGAGCTGCTATCATCGTAACGTTGCTGCTGCGTGTGCTGCAGGTTGACTTGACAAAGCTGGCCAAGCTTGGAGGCGCTTGTTCCGCAACTAGCAGCATTTCCATCTACCTGTAACTTTGAGTCGCAGCTTTGAATTGACTGCGGTTTAATCTGTTCCGCTACAGCCGCTTGAATATGTTGCTTTGACTTCTCAATCTTTGGGTCCTGAGTAGGTGGAATCGACTTGCGTAATGCCGAAGGACTCGCGCTTCTTATTTTTGCCAAGCAGGGACTCGGCGACCTAGAAATATTTGGACTTTTTGGGTCGAACAAATGGGTCTCAACTGCAGGCTTATAGTGGGCAACGAGATCTTCCTGGTAGTAAGGCAAGAGAGGCGGAGCTTTACTTATCATACTAGGAGTTAAAGATCTAGTTCGCGGAGATACAGCACGCGGCAACTTATCACTTGCCATGGATTTAAAACTTATATCTTCAGTCGTCGGACCTGAGTCGCCGGGTTGTAACAAAATCACAGGTTTTGTTAAGTGCACTTCGTTAGTATTTTGTAAACTATTCTCAGAGTTTTGTTGTTTATTATTCGACACTACAACTTCATCTTTCATCTCCATTTGTTGTTGCTGTTCCCGTTGAATTTTTTGCTGCTCTATTCTAGCTTCAGCCTGTTTCTTTCTCTCCATCAAGATGAGCTCCGCTTCGGCTGTAGCACGAAGGTCAACTTGGTACTGCGGCAGTGTTCCCGGCTTATGCAAAATCAAGTTGACCGGAGCTGGTTTGACCTGCACAACATCCTCAGCTTGTTTCTCCAAAACTTGCGTTTTCACTTCCTGTTTGAAGGATTCCTGTCGGTTTGAGGTTTGTTGCTGTACTCGATTTTCCTGTATTATCGTCTCTTTCTGAACAACAGCCGGTTTTTCTTCAACAGTGGCTATATACGAAATGGGCGTATGCGGTATCGGTGATGGGGTGGGCACAGGAGGTGTGGTGGATACCTCGATAGAAAACTGAGAGTGATCGGTTTTATTCTGAAATGAACAGGTAAACCCTTGGAAAAATGGAGGAAAATTGGTGGCCATTTGGTCCTGAGATCCGCTGGTAACAATTTGTTGACTGTATTGAGCCGGCTGAATAGTTTCCTTTTCCGTAATTATTTGTTCAATATTCTCTACGTTTTCTCTAGTTTCCGTAGTTGTTTGATCCGATTCGATAATTTGTTGAATAGTAGGAAAATAGTAGCTGGGTGGTTTTGCTAATTTTTCGTTCATTTTAAAAGAAGCTGGTAGTTCATCCGGCTTCAGGGGCCTGTGCAGCTGCGAACGATCGATACTTGACTTTCTCGGTTCTTGATGGTTTGTTGGTATATCAGTTTCTTCGTCATTCGTTAGAGGCGTGTAAGACCTTTCAGGCGCGGTCGTCAAAGCGGATCTCATATCAAGTCGCTCTTTTGGTTTTGGCAATTCTTCTAGCAATTTGTCCAGGGGGTCCTTGGGTTTCTTCTTGACGGGAGGCGGCAGGGCAGAAACCCCCCCAATCGGAACAAATGGACACTCGGGGGCGATTTCTAAAGCTTTAACAAACACACTCCTCGGTTTTGGGACTTTTTCTTCGTTTTTACTCTCGATTTTTACGGGTTCTTCAGTTTGTTCCGATTTTATTGGAGGAGGAAAGTAAGGCTCGGTCTCCTCCGGTAAAGGTACGGGTTCAAGAATTGATTTTGACGCTGGATTGAATGGCTGAATAGGAGTAACAGCCAATGCCGATCCTAATGATGTAATAGTCTTCCTGGTTGGAATCTGTGCAAAGGTGTCCTTATCAGGTGAAACTGTCCTGATCCCTTGGGTTAACGTAGATTCCCACTTTTTCGGTACCGAATTCTCAATTGTGACAAGCCCCGAAGCAGGATGCTCACCCACTTTAGGTGGCGCAGGAATGTGGCTCTCACTTTGAATGGAACACGTAGTATCGGTGTTGACTTCATGACTCGCTTTATATTTAAATTCTTGAACAGACTCCTTAATTTCAACAGTTTTCACGTTTTTGTTATCAAATTCGATAATCGCCTCCGGTTGAAGTGGTGGGAAAACATTTTCCGGAGGACCTTGAATGACACGCTCAACTAGCTTTTGTGTATCTAACGTTTCCGATAGCATTTCGGCACATTCCGTGGCACTTCTACGACCACAGAAACTTAATTCGTCGGAATAAAATGAACTTGTTTCATCCATACTGAACTTCCTCAGTTCGGAATTTTCTTCTTCGGTGTAATATTCGCTTTCATACGTTTCTTGTTTTTGTTCTTTTCGTTTTCGCAGTTCGGTTTCAATTTGAGACGGTGGTGGGTAAAATAAGGGGCAAGCGGTCGGCGCGATGGAGTCGTCTGGAGGCGGAGGCGGCCAGGTAATGTTAGTACTATTACCTTTTGACAAAGGACAACGACAAAACAAGAGACACACGAGGAAAGAAAGAAAATATATATGTTAATAAGCTTAAGCAATGCTATGACGCTTTAAAATTATTTACAAAATAATTGATAGAGCTGCTGTTTGGGTTTTAGATAATTCCATTTACCTTTGAAAATTCCCCCAGAAGATTTAAAGGATGGGTTCCTACCTAGGAAGTTTTAAAACTGTATCAATTTTAGTATTCGAATAAATAATAAGTTACCTAATTTCTCCAAATGAGTAAGATCACGTCAAGTGGACCCCCCATTTACCACTTTATCATAAAAAATTAATCTATATATATTTTTTATAAGTACTTATTATGGAAAATTGATCCCTTAAACGATTTTTTAAAATTTTGATTTTAACATTTTTTTATAATCAAAATTTTAAGCTCTTTGAAATAAAAAATGGATTAAAAATCAACCGTAAGATATAAATTTTTGAAATATATATACTTATACTTATATATCTACTTATCTGCTCATGCATTAGACTTACCAACAGTCGATGCTGGACTGTAAGACGTTTGAGAGATTGCTGACGAGAACGGAGTTTTAGGATAGTTTCCCTGAGGAGATAAAGGGGCCGCCCTGGGAAGTGTGCTCGCGGGAGACAGTGGGGCCGCAACGCTGGAGAAGGGTTTGGGTCCAGACAAATTCCCAGAAGACTAAACGATACATAAATTTTTAATATACTACTTTTGTTTGCAAATACTAAACAAAAATTCCATTTTTTAAAGGACATAAAAACTACTACTAGTGACCTTCAAAAGGCTCCCAAATTCTAAATTTTTTAATGTAACATATTAGTACAATGCATAGTTTAGGATTAATTTCAAACAAATTTTTCCGTTAAGTGAGATTTTAATCAGGAGACTGAAAAGAAACAACGTACACATGCATTTTTGTACTTTAAAGCTCTTTTGCTTCACCTAAAATAAAACATAATCAATCCAATATCCACATACAGGCTAGGTACATGAACATATTCTGGAAATTGTTTTTAAGCACAGCATTTCACCGCAAGGGAGCGCAATTTACTATACCTTCCATGAAATTCAAGATTTCGCCGAAAGTTCTCAAATTTAGCTATAAATAATAATAAAATTGTTCGGAAACCCGAAAAATTCCGTTAGGTTTTGTCTAATGCTCATTGCCGTACCAATCTCGAGTATATCTTCAGTTGAAACCATATAGAAGACATAAGATTTAAATAATTATAGCCATTCAGGAGATCGTCAATCAGCCTCCGACAAAACTTCTAATAATGGTATTAAATGGTAATAAATTTGATAATTTTCTTCGAAATCTTATGATTCATCATATTAATTACGACTTTTTCAGGAGCTTCAAAATTATTTGCATCATTTTATCATGCCTACTTATGGAGATTGCGAGTGTTTCAGTTATTAATATGAGCTTTTTCATAAAACGAACGGTTCACAAAATTGTCATAACTCGCCAGCGTAACAAAAATAAACTTTGCTATACAGTTCAAAATTAAAATTGTGTTCTTTTCGCTTCTGTATGGAAAAATCTAAGAGATCTATGAAAATTTGTCGGTCGCTTTGCTCGTTTCATGAAAGCGTAGCACATGATTATGAAGACCACCCTTTTGAAATTTTATTAATCATCTCGGTAATCAACAAAAACGAACAAATGAATGAACGAAACTCTTTGCGTAAATATAAATGTTATTTTGGAAAATAAAAATAATGTACCCAAAAATTTACTTTAATTATACAATCAATACTCACCTTATTAATATATTTACTGAATGATAGAGGAGCAGAACTATTATAGAGGGAGCTGTTACTAGAAATTTTGTTACTGGGTTCGCTGGAATAGTTATTTAAGGCCGGAAGAGGCGGAGACACACCATCGACAGATTGTTTTTCGTCAGACTAAAAGGATGAAACAAGTGCATCATGCAGTACGAGACAAGTGCAACAGCTTTATTGAAAAATACAGTAAAATTTGACTGAACAATTTACTGAATCTTTCATTTCGGTTAATAGTAAATGATAAAGTAAATGTAACTACGAGAAACGGTCAGACAGATTCATACACTTAAATTAACATTTTAAATTATGCGCGTGACATCAGTAAGAAACTTACCTGGAACGGTGAGCTTAAGTTACTTTTTGGAGAAAGAAGGGATGGCGATTGCAAAGGATGACTAGAGAGTGCAGTAGAGATTGCGCTTGAAGGGCCTTTGGCTCCCCTGGAAATATTTTTGTTAAAATTAAACGACGAAATAGATTAGGAAAATGAAGTAAATGGACACTTACGGTGATACGGTTAGAGGAGCAAGTCCAGGTGCAGGAGCGGCAATCTTCAGAGCAGCAGACTTTGCATGGATATCACAGTAAAGCTTATTATTAATATTATAGTACCTATAATGTGTAGAGGTAATTATACAACGGCAATCAGTTAATGTATAATGTTTACCCAACGTTCTTAAGCGACGTCCCGCAGGTTGAGCATTTGAAGCATTCTACGTGCAGATTTTTGTCTTTTATTCTAACGAACACGCCACTAAAAGTAAATTCAAAATCAATTAGTAAATTCGACATTTTTCTCTTACTTACAAAATACAATCAAGTACCTATAAAGTGAAGCATGGGTGTGGAAAGGTACTATATCTTTCTTATTTAATGCTGTCGAAAAAATATGGACGGTTTCATATAATCGTGGCTATGTATATTGCGACGTTGCCAACTTAATGGCCAAAAATAGAAAATTTGTTTTATAATAACCTAATAATTTATTCAAATTCACCACTATTAATACTTGGATAAAGTGTTTGTCTTATACAAGGAGTATTTCAAACCCTTGCCAAGTTGAAGAAGAAGTCTAGAAAAAGTTCAAAAATCATTTAGAAAAATACGTTCACTTCCGCTATCTAGTTAAGTACTGAAATATAAAATAAAAGTTGTACAATTTTAATTTAAATAATCGATTTAATACGCTGTGCGTGCTCAAAAGTTGGTTTTTGTTATAATTAAATAGCAAATTTGGGAAGAAAGGAATAATAATCAGAATAAAAATATTTTTTTAGATTTGAGTATATGAAATATGAATTATGATTTCGAGAGAAGTGTTAAACTTTGCTTTAACCAGGGTATTAGTAGGATTATTGAACAAGTCATCACAAAGTCGTATTTTTTTTAAAATTCACGAATATGGTTCTTTAACGGTTTATTTTTGGCAAATAAAAACAAAAATTTATCGAAGCTGCGATTTTGGTTTAATGAAACAATTTAGAGTAGCGAAAACGTATTTTTAAGTCAGCGGAGTATTAGATAAATAAATCTTTAAAATATAATTCTAGCACTTTATTTTGTATTGAATTCAATTCAATAACATATTGATTTGTATGCTGAATAAAAACGAATTTTAGTATACTCTTTACAAAAATTCTGGATTTTTGACTGAAACTGCTCTGAAGAAGCCAACAGGATGATTGGCAAAACGTCAGCAATTTGGACCCAACAAAAACCGATGCAGGGGGAATCCAGAAGTTTTGTAAAAAGTATTACAGGAGCCTGTGGAAGTTTCTTTGAAAAAGAAAAAAAGAATTTTAGTATAGTATAGAGGTGGATAGCTCAACCACACAAAGTCATTGGGGTACATTAAAAAAATTAATTTAAATGTTATTAAATTGGCAAGACTTTAAAAAATTCTCTATATGAAACAATTGCTTTACTAAACAATGAATTTGTCTAAAACTCTTTAATATTAACATTTATTATTATATGATTGAGAATATTTTTTTTCTACTCCCATCTGTAAAATACCTAATTACCCATCGATGTAGATAGAACCATCACTTCACCACGTCAGTTTCGTTTCCCATGATTCCGAGCCAGTTCGGACATTTCCGGGATTTTACCGCACGGATTTGGGAGCAATCGGATGTTTTCGGAAATATTTCCTACGCTTTGAATTTTGACGGTCATGTCAGTGAATGTATTCGTGTTGTTTTGCGAAAATGTAGCCAAAAACTAACGGTCGTAGAAAAAGTATAGTATGCAACACGTTCGGTAAACTTTTTAACTCACTCGTTTATTAAAAACTCGGTCCGCTGCGCTTCGCTCGTGCCAAACTCGTGAGTCAAATGCCGTTTACCGCTGCATAATATACTATTAAATGTTTGCCCGCTATATAAAAATGACTTTGTTCCCATTGTCTTAGCATTTTTATATATTTTTTATTAACCAAAACTTTTCCCGATAAAAAACATGAAACGTTATCGGAACTCACACGATCAAACGTTCACACTCCGCGCATACATTTTGACCAGGCGGAAGTTGGGGTGATGGAGGTGTGGGACGATTCTGGGGTGCTTCCACGTGCTTCAATCCAAATGATCCTCTATTGGGACTGGTTACCACACCGGAATCCGGTTCTTAGATGCCAGAAGTAAAATATATTTAAACATTTATAAGTAACAGCGAACAAGTGATAGACAATACCCACCTACATCATTTGATGGAGTTCCCGGATCATTTTCTGCTTCTTTGAGCATTCGGTACACAGCGCTGTTAGAAACATCGTAGTCCTTTTCATTTTTTTTAAAATTCACACTGCAAGCGCCGAAAATCTTTAATTAGAAGATTCAGTCGTGATAATGGTTTATATTAATAGTATTAAAACAAATGGATCGGTTTATAAAAATGAATTAACAATTAACATAAAGAATGCAGGCATTTCTTAAGTAATAGTTGTTAATTCTTGGTTTTATTGTTACTTCTTATAGATAAATAAAAATTGTATATCTAGATACAGCTCTGATAAAAACGCTTTTGTAATTTTTAAGTAAATAAAAATCACTTTTTTTGTTCTCATTAATATGTATAGGAATAACCACTCTTTACAAAGTTAAATATACGATTTTCCATTTCGAAAAATTATAAAACCCGGTTGTTCCACATTTGAACATTTTTTGCAATTTCGAAAAAAAATTGAAAATGATTTTAATATTAATTAATTGTGTACATTTACAATGTAAAATTTCAAAAATTTTACAGAGAACTTAAAAAATAAGAGTAAAAAATGATAACATTATAAAAACCCGTGGAAAATTGTTGTAATTTTCTTTTAAAATATGTTATTAGTTTGATTATTGCCCACATGTAAAACAATACGTGTCTATACTAAACTATTTCGAGAAAATACAATACAGATTTATCAACTAATGTATAATTTATAGCAAAAGGGGTCATGCAAAATTTATGGCACATAAAAAATCAACACAATTTCTGATTCGCCAGGATAATGCATATTGATTGTTAACACTGTTCTAGTTACCTATAAACTATTAAATGTAATTATTTAATCTCAAATATCACATCACCTTGATCTGGTAAAATCTAGGGATAAGGTGCTCAACTCTATCAACGGATGACATTGCGAAATATAGATACATGTTTTCCTGGACCCCCTCTTGGTTTATTTTTGTAAGTGAATCATCTTTGTTGCAGACTACACAAAACCGTTGTGATTATTTTTAAAGCAATATTCTACTCTAACAGTCAACAAAATTAATCACAGAAATAAAACTCGCACGTGATTCATGTCCAATGTTAACAAAACATTATTCAATAGTTTTCGCCTTTAAGTACAACAAAATTGGATATATGCCATCAACGTTAATAGCTTGCTTTTGTTTTCTTATGGCACGTAGACAGTAACGCGGTTTTCATTTTCAAGTTAATTTTGTAGCCTTTATTATGGATTCAAGTTATGTTCAAAGGCCAAAGGCCTCTCAACTGCATAGACGTAAGAATAAGGAAAATCTTCTGAAGTTTACGTAAAAAGATCGCTTACAACCAATCAATTTTCGAATATTGCACACACGCCATCCCTAACACAGCCCAAAATTGCCATAAAGATAGTCGAGAACGGGAAATTCTGAGATAATCTTAACACACCCGAAGATTCAAAATGTTTTATGAAAATTAGAATTTAATGTCAAAATCGGCGCAACAAGTTGCTAAAAAATGGGTTTTGCGGTAATTGATAACTCCTGATATCATCAGACATTTCAACAGTAAGGATCTAAAATAAAACAATTTGATAAAAATATAGATTGTTTTTATTGTATTCGATTGAATACCTCATATAGCTACTAGATTTAGAAAGACATTGCCTATACTTGTACAGAAACTTTTAAAGCCACCATGAAAAAACCGTTGAAAAGAGTCATTCAATATGTCATCGAAACTCGCTGTGTTTTTGGAAGAATCTCTGATAAAATATATGCATAACCATAGCAAAAAATCAACTTCGATTGGTTAAAAAAACGAGTCAATTGTATAGAGCTCACTGTTTAGAAAATGGTGCAAAGGACATGTTAGTTCTTAAAATTTAGGATCATTGCGAAAGATCTTCTGCTGGGCCTGAATCACATCAATGTTACTAATTGTCTACTGAGATATGTACAATGTTTCCATGTAATAAGGATTGGACACCGTGAGATCTGCGATGTCAGCATTTTGCCACGATGGTACTATGAAGAGACCGTGAGATTTACATTGTCAGCTTTTCGGATGCGAACCTATAAAGTATTAGTTTAAGTAATATGAAAGGATTCTTGTTGTTACTTTCGAAAATTGATGAGATCGAATTTTCGGAAGTATCTGCGATCGTATAAAAATTTGATATCACGGTAACGGTAAGTCCTACGGGATCGCCTTTGGTACAGAAATGATCACCGTCGAAACAAAAAAATTGTTTTGCCTGTTTGTCCATTCTCCGTTCTCCGTTTTCGTGTTTTGGTTTTTCCTGAATAACTTTCGAACCGTTGGAGCTACAAAATTGAAATTTGAGTCCTTTTTAATCCTCCTTAGCTTATAAAAAATGGCCCTGATCCGACGCCGGTATCCATGTTTTTTTCGCGATTTTCGACTGTTTTTTGGACCTTGCTGTGAAACACGATAAGTGTCCGAAATTTGAAACAATCGACTTCATATTTGGCATATATATGCAGCCTTGCCCCGTGACGGAAGCTATTGAAAATGGGGGGGCTGGGGGGGTCGGGAAGTATTCTAAAAAAATTAAAAATCGCGCGTGTAAGTGTCTACAAAAAAAATCATTTTTCAAAAACTATTTACGAGACCAAAAAAATTCTTGAACCAGAAGAAGCAGAAGATACGGCCCTATAAACTTTTATTCGTGATAATTGAAAATTGGCAATAATTTCAAATCTGTGTTTTAGGTGTCAGTTTCTTTTACATGACGATATAGCCCATATAGACAGCTTAAACTTTTGTATTTACGGTTTTTAAATATTGTACAGGGTGTTCGCGATATTCCGTGCAATATTAAAAAACATAATAAGTACTCCAAATTTGGAGCTACCGACTTCAGACTTGGCAGAGAAGTAGAAATCTGGACCAGCATTTAGACTCTTTAAATTGGGAGCAATAAAATAACGCGAAGTATTTTTTTTTAATTTTTGAATTTTTTTTGTGGTTATTTTGCCATCCAGTAAAACATCTTTTCCTCCAAAGCCGTTAATCCGATCGGAAAAATTTTACATCCGTAATTCGTAGGGACACCCGGCAATATAACTTTTGTTTCACGCATTTTGTGTTTTAGTTATGGACTAAAATCTAAAAGACCATGAAAATTGTACAAATTCGTACAAATAATAGCCAATCCGTTCAAACAGTGTTATAGGCCGAATCAAGGGCTACAATTTTTGTATTTACGGTTTTCGTCTAACACATACGCTGTTCGAGATATTTGAAAAAATCCAAATGAAACTCACCATTTCTCGTCCTCACTCTAGACGCGATGACGTCATTTACAATTACCACGTACTGCATGGTTTCAGAAAACAAGCAGTTTTTTGAAAATCATTTACTCCATTGAAAAAATGAAACCAGGAAACTAAGGAGATAGAGAGCTATATCCTCTATTTCGAACATTGTTGGAATTATATACAGGGTACGTCGTTTGTGGGCAAAAAATTCTAATAGATTCTAGAAATTTCCACTTTTGTGGATGAATTATGAAAAACTTTTAAAGATGTGATAATTTGATATGAACGGTATCGTAAACTGTGCTGAGAGAGAGTTTGAGGTTTCGTCTATAATACAGGGGACGCAAGACATTTGAAAAAATATAATTTTAAATTGCAATTACCAGTACAAATTTTGATATTTACCGAAGTATGGCGTAAATTTGAAGTTCGACGAGATGTGAAGGACACAGGGTGTATTCACAATTAAATTACATCGATTTTGCGAATGTTCCATAGTGGTCCGCAGGAGCACGATAGAAAAATATTGCATCCCTACAAGAATCCGTGAAGCGCCTTCTTTTTAATATAAAAAGCTGATTCGCGCTATTCGCGACGAACTTGCCCCGCTCACCGACGATTTTTCGAAAGCAATCTTGCCTGCAGAAACTCTTCATTTTCGATTGTATTTTTGTTTTATATTTCTAAATATGTCAATGTTCACCAGTTCAAAATAACAGGAAATTGTGAGATATATTTCAATGCGCTCTCAAAATCTTACCCCAAGGCACCTGTCGATAATACTTCAGTCTGTGCAAGGAGAGTTTCGGCTATAGTATCTTCAGAATAAAGCTTGATAGGGCTATTGTATTGTTTGTTGGCCGGCTTCAGTCCCCCGTTTACAACCTATAAAAAATATTGCTTATACCGACTTCATTAAAATTATTCTACCGTTAAAATGCTTTAATAAAGCGCTTGCCAAAACCGATAGTAAATAAAACGCATGTATTCATCAATTAAGAGTGCCAGTAACAGATTTCAACAACGCTATTACTTGGATCGAATCCTACAAATTTAAGTTAATTGGCCGTCACTAATTATCAATTGCTTGAAGGTTAGATAAATTTGCATTCCATAGGAGGTCTTATTTGATGAAAACAGATTACCTTCTACTTTACCTTCTACTTTCTGAGAGTTTTTAGGTTTAATTGGACGAAAAGGACAAAGGTTTGTACAGAACTCGCCTCGGTAAAATGCAATTACGACCTAGTGAGCAGGTGATATCTATAGAACACTACATTGTCGCTAATATTGATGAGTTTTCATAATAATGACCAAATTACTTATGCTATTAATATTTATTTTCTTATTATATTATTACAACTAATAGAACGTTTTCGTTAGTTTCTCTCGCCATTTATAAATTCATGTGACAGATATGAAGAGAACACTAGTCATCCCACTAGATAATTACGGCGTATTATTAGCAATCTGAATTTTGGCAGAATAATATTACATATTACACTACAGTAAAAAAGTTTTAAAAAGGACTATTCGGAATGTGTCCGAAAATTGAAACTAATTATACATATGAAAGAAATGCCAGTTTCATATATAAACGCTTTTAAAATGCTTTAAAAAATGTTTTTTCTGCATGCCATGTATATTTTAAAGCACAGAAGATATTTTTGTGAAAATTGGCATACGAGCTTCACTGAACTAAATACTAAAAAGTGGTACGCCACTGGTTTCTCTTGAAATTCGTTTCACAATATGCTTTTATTTTTTACGAAAGGCCCATAACAATTTTCATACAAATATCTTTAACTATGTAGGAAATAACAAAACTGTTTCATGAATGGTTTGTGTGAACAGTTTCCATAATATTGGCTGCCTTTAACGTAATACAGATGTAAGGCATTTTAAAACAACTAGAGTTATTTTCTAGATGTTTGTACTTATAATAAGAAATTAATGAACTAAACAAAAATTTCAATGTTTAGAGAAATTCGAAAAAAATTATAAATTGGCTGCTAATATTAATTAAAAGCGCTTGGTTGGCAATAAGATTTTTGCAAAAGCAGACAAAAAGAAAAGTTGAACAATTTGAAACTAGTTTTGTTATTTGGTATTTCTGATTTTATGGTTTGGCAAGTTAAAAGTATCATTTTTTTTTCTTACTTTAAAATTAGATAAGGAAAATCAGTTGGGAAAGTAACACTATTGAGGCGAATATGTCGAAACGGAAATTTCGAAATCAAAGAGAAATAAAAAAACAACGAAAAAAATAAGTCGGCGTATACTTACTGGCGCATTAAATGGCTTTGCAGCCGAGTTGTAGCCTGTACCGACGGCTCCGAAATTGTCGCTTGGTGGTGCAACGAGCGATGTCTTTGTGACCGGACTGATGTTGTTAATGACGGGAGAGGGTTTTGGAACCGCTCCCGTGGGCACAACCTTCGGCTTCCACGTCGAACCACCTCTGAATAACAAAGGTGTATAAATAAACCAGATTTAATATTGGAATTGTATTGGGCAAAGCATCAATAATGTCAATCAAGGTTATTATGTAGTTCTAATGTTTTACAATTAAAGTTTCAATAACAGTTCCGTATATAAGCTCAACAAAACAAGACGCCATTGGTTTTACTGATAAGGGTGCACCCTTCGTGACGCTTCTTTATTACTATTCTTATTATTATGATTATTGTTACTATTATTATATTGTTATTATTAAGCGCTTGGCAATACTGTTCCATTTTTCCATGAAAACAACGTTACAGGTCACCTAGATTTGGTCTTACCAAACACAAAACTGATCTTGAAAGATTTTTTTAAAGTTAATTTTATGGCTTAATGGGTGCTACTTACTAATTCGGTGCATAAAGTGTTTTACATTTTTTGAAAATTCCTTAAAAGCAAACTTACTCTATGAAATTATCAAATGAGTCTAATATCAGGTTTTTGTATAATCTGCACTTTTACTAAAACTATGTATATATATTATATATCACTTACTATATGAATTACCAGTTTAATTATCATTAATATTAAGTTATAATTCACTTATTATATTTTTATGTGAGGTTATTTACCTGACCAATGATTTGTTTGCAAATCAAAATTGATACCATGGAGTCTTGTAGAAAATAAATAATAAACTCTGATATAAAGATCAAAGCAACCCATGCCCAAAGAAAAAACCACTTCGAGCAATTCGCATAGCAGCAACATCAAAAAAACAGTGTGCTATCGAGAACTATCTACCAAGGGACGTCATGCTATCGACAAATGGACCACGAGCGTTCTCGCACTCAGTTGAGGAATTCAGATTTTAACCTCTTATATATATCTCTACAAGAATAATTACAAATCATTTAAACAATAATACTAATTAATTTACAATACGTTTTATGAAATGGACTATTTTTGGAAAGTTTTTTAATGTACGCTATCAATAAGGCATTAGATTGTTTTATACAAGGAGGCCATTTAAAATGAATCAATTTGTCAGATACTACGAATAAGCCGTGTTTGTTTTTGTTTTTGAATATCTCAATTCAGTTAACTCATAAAGTACTGTTTCGAAAAACTGAAACACCGGGTATAATATGTGCACCAAAAAGACAAAGACGAAGAATTTAAATTTCGTAGTTGGAGTGAATGAGCAGAATAATTTTCAATACCTGGTAATGACCATATCAAACGAAGGACCCGCTCTTACAATGACATCTTGCGCTTCCTTATGCGACAAATTGAATACATCAGTGTTATTGATCTTGATTACAGAATCTCCTGCTATAAGTCCAGCGCGTTCAGCCGGAGAACCACCATTTACCTGAAAAAAAATTCATCAGTAACTTTTCAACCATTAAGAACAAAAAATATTAAAAAAAAACTACATTGTTTGATTTTAGTATTTGCTCCCTAGCATATTTATTTTCAATTGTACAAAAAAAGTTGTAGGGCTCAAAAGGAGTTTCTTTGGAATTCACTTATTTAGCCTTCATATCTCATATTGTATTCGGGCTTCATTTGCTTTGTCTAGAGGGTGTCCCAAATATGAAAACAAAATAAATTTCAAAGAAAATGCTTTTGAACCGTACAACTTTTGTACAGCTTATTTTAAAACTGGAAATAAATGTTCTAGGAATGAAAGACTAAAATTTATTTATTTTTAAATATTCCTTAATCAACCTTCTCATAATTTAGTTTTGGTAGCTTTAAGGTATTATGCATTTACCCTGTATTTTTAGTAATTTAAAAGTTGCCCATACATTTCCATTGACAACGAATTATATTATTTATCACCACGGTCACTGTCTTTTTTCAGAGCATTTTTCAATTGTATAACAATGACAGTTTCCGTGACTATATCGACTTTTGATATCTAAACCGGTTTTAAAAATACTACTTATTTTCCGAAAAATTGATATTTGCCAGGTATTATTTATTATGAATATAACAAGTTTATAAATAAATAATATAATAATATAAATAAATAACGAGAAACTTGCTTCATAAAAATGTTCTGAAAACCTTCACGTAAGCAAGCAAACACCGAAAATGTGAAATGTCTGAAATTGTCAATGTTAAAAATATGAAATGTAAATTTAAAAAATATGTATCCAGCAATAAATAGAGCAAAATTATAGTTGTTTCAATAAAAATCATTTAATTCGTTTCGCAACGTTTAATTTGGATCTTGCAAGTGGGTTGAAAAATATTATCCCGCATGGATTCATCTTTTCTAAAATTAGAACTAATTGTTTGAAAACGTCTCGTTTATACTGACCTGATTTTTTTGTGTCTATTTCTGTTTTTATAGGGCTTTCCCAATTGTCTTGGTTTGAGGAAAAACAAATTTCAATATGCAACATTTTTTAATTAGTTCTCCCAAGAAGGTTACATTATTTTAAAAATGATAAATGATGATAAACGATAATTGTCTATTAAAATGTTGTAGATATAGGAGCTTAAATTGTGCAATTTTATTTATGTGATTATTGCAATTAAAATTGTATATATTTTTCAAAGTTATAACTACATTTTTTGCGTAGTTGTTGATATATTTAGCAAATCTACATGTTAAAAAATGTCTGTCGAGTTGATGATTAATTTCAAGGTAACAACAATGAAATTAACTGTGTCGTCGGTATTTCGATAAGAGGAAAACTGCAACGTTTGCAAATTTGTTTGTGTATTTCGTTCTGTTTGTTTTAGCTGATACGATTATATTTACCTATTGTTTGAATAAAAATGCGCTGATCAATTACAAATTTTTTTGTTAGAATGTCGGACCTGTGAAAGACAATTAGGCAAAATTTTTAAACATTCATTAAAATAATTAATTAAATGTATTAATGTATTAAATTTAAAAAAATATGAAAAAGTTTCAATAACAATTAATCTACAGAAGGTGTTACTTCCATTGCAATTCTATTTTATGGACATTTCAGAACCTTAATACAGGATGTTATGGTTAGTTTAAATGGATAATGTTTGTAATGCTGCCTCCTTACCGAGTTATTGTACGACCAAAAATATTGTGCATTTAGTACACCTTCGCAGGACCGTGGTAAAACCCTTCACAACAGGTGTTTATTCTGCATTTAGTAGATCTTGCCTGAGATCGACCGTAACAAATATTTGTAGAAACTTGAAATTTTTATTTGAAACGTAAATGGACCGTTTTAAATTAAGCATTGATGCTGCGGTGTATTTTTGAATAAGTAGAAGCGTGCATTTTAAATTTTTAATAGTTTAATCTAAATTGCAATATGTTCGTATATATTACGGAGGTATTTGAATGTGATCCTTCAAGTAAGACGTATTTATGTACCTGATATTCGAGCTTTGACCCTGCGAGGCTGTTTTTACTGGATAGTTCAAAGGGTAAGGGTTTTGAAAATAAGCGTTTTTGTCCTGTGTGCCTGTCGATTAACAACATTCTTCTTCTTGTATTTTTGTGTCTTCTACATAGTTCTTCGATTTGTAAACAACAACAGTCTTTTTTAAGAGTGTGTATTCGCTGTATATATTATTATATTTAATATTTTGTATATTAATAATGATACTATGTAGAAATGCAATGAAATAGAACGTAATAAATTGTTACTTTGTACTAATTTTTTTATGTACACGTTTCAAGAATTTGCTCGGCCAAAAAGATTGAAAACATACTTATATCCCGCTTGTTAGTGTAGGTAGATAAATTCCTAGGACGGTCCTGGAATGGTTAAGGGTAACGGTCTGCTCGGCAGTTTTACAAGGGGCTGCGCTTTTGGAGCAATAAACAGTAGGCAAAGTTAATTACGGGGTCGGTTTTAAAAACAGAATATTTCTGGTCGTGGTATACATGGATTCTTATATTTAGTTTGAATTCGATATCACAATTAATGCGATTCTGTTACCCAACAATCCGGTTTAGATTAAGTTTAAATATTACTCATTATCTTACAGCTAAAACGTGTGCCATTGATAATGAAATTTCAATTTGATTCATGCGTTTCCCAGCAATGATCAGCTTTTGGACTTGGCAATGCTGCACCAAACGCATAAAACTTTTCAAAATAAACAAACGTAAGGAATAAACATTTGAATCACGGATAAAATTTTCCCTCGGTTGACTATTTGAAACATCTTTTTCGTCTGCTAAGCCTCAGCAAACAAGATTAATAATTAGACTTATTTAGACTATTACTATTACATGAGTATATGAACTTTATACAGGTTTAGGAGAAGTTAGCAGAACGGTCGATTGTTTCAAAAGGGTGAGCAAACAAAATGTTGTGTGGATAAATAAACTCATTTTTTTATCGTTTATTTTTATTACTTTTTATTTATTGATTGTCGTGATATCCAGGAAATTAATGGATTTAGGCATAACTTATGGTTAACAAAAAAAGTTGTATAATAACTAAACGTTCAAAATGAGTAATTGAAAATATGAAAAAATATGAAATATGAAAATGTGGTTTTCAATCGTGACGTAGGTATGTGTGATGTCGCAATCTTGCCAACATTTTCCCGACGACAAAACAAAATAGTCGGGTTGCGTGAAATAAAACGAAAACATATTTATTTAAGTCCGAAAAATATGCCCACCCAACGAAGAAGCAGATCTTTTGCGTTATTAATAAATTGAGTTAATGATTAAGTTTGCTATTGCACTGAGCGGTCTGTTAAATTGGATTTTCTGTAAAATATGACCGAACGAATTTCGGGATATATCCAAATGACCTTCCGACACTTTCAAACCGAGATTGTCCGGTTCCAAAAATAACCCCGAATTAACATTTTATTTTTGTATTTATAATTTTATTGTCCGGCAGATCATTTAGTCGACGAAGTGCGGCCGTAAAATCTAATTTGCGGGGGAAAACTTAAAAAAAAACAAATGCATATCGCGTTACTTCACCAAAAATCTAAAATTAGCGTTGATATGTCACGAAACAGCATTCAAAAATTCGCCATAGCATCCGCCGTTACTTCTAAAAATATATTTTTAAAAATATATTTGTCGGGAATATTCAAAATTATATAATATTTCGGCATCTTCAATTATTCGCGATTGACATTTCGAAGGCATTGTTTTCAAAGCACTCCCTGATAATTTAATGAAGCACGCTAGCTTTTTATTTTTAGCGTTTGGTACTCACTTTTTGAATGACCAGGGGGGCTCCGAAATCTTTGCCGCCTTGCAACCTGAAGCCCCAGCTGGGCGAATCGCTCTTGTTGAGTCTGATGGTGGTCAGGGTGGCCATTGGTGGTGCACGTTTTTCAGTTGCTTGGATGTGTAGAGCGCGAGAAAAATTACCCAAGCGGATTTTTTACAAGGCAGCGTTAAAACGTCGGTGTTATACAATTTCAAAAGTGAGTCGCGGGCACTCCACGTACGACGTTCCACGGTGCGAAATCTGGTCGGTGGGGAGGCCGGACGGTGTATTAATAGAGCGTCGGATAAATAAATTTGGTATTTCGGAATACGGGCTTGTTTACTTGCAAATTTAGCAAATTTCGATTAACGTAAACATTAGTTGTTCAATTTGTACTGATTCATCCCGGGATTTGTTCATACTTCTGACATTTAAGTACCGATAACGAAAAATAATATTGCCGCATGCATCTTTTTACGGCCGTCCGTTCGACGTTAATTGAGTTCGGTCAAATCTTGTTAACGCGTTATCCCATTTTGGCTCCGTTTGCGACTCGTAATCGATGTTAAATTTCTGATTTTACCGGGAGTGTTCAATAAGTTTAACTCATTTTTAGAAAGCGCAAAATATGCAAAAAAAAAAATTGAAAGCATAGTAGGGTACAACTTTCATCCACTAACGACTAACTGAAATACTTTATTAAAACTAAAGCAATTTTCAAAATAATATGAAAAATAACAGTTTAATTTTGACACTACATATTTTAACTTCTACTCAGGAACATTTTATTCATTCATTCATTTTCTTTTGAATCTTTTTAGTATGCCAATAGGCATCTGGTACTTTGTCTTGTATTTTCACCATTTCTTCGGGAGAGGCATCTTTCCCATGATACATAAAAAATTTCTCCAACAGCTTAACTGAATATAGGGCTTGCTGAATGGTTGGTGATGGTTCCAGATCAACTTCTTCATCTTCTTCTTCCTCTTGGTGATCTTCATCACCCTTTCTTGCTTGTTGCAATATGGCTTCCTCTGTCAAGTCTGCTGTTGTAAACAAATCCTGATTTATCACCATAAAATCTTGCAACTCCTCGCTTGTAAACGTAATTGTTGTTTGAAACTGCTTTATCCACTCGCTTAGTGGCTGATCATCTTCCAAGTCCTGTTCGCATTCTGTATCGGTAATAAGTCCTGCTTGACGACAGGAGTGTTGAATTGTTTCTGCTGTCACCTCTTTCCAAGCCTTACTAATAAAGTTGACTGCATCTAGCATATTAATGGAAAATTTGTCTTCAGACTCGATCATTTCCATTAAAATGTTTTTCCTGTATAGACTTTTATTACGGTCTGGTCCATCGGCTGTAATACACTTGTTGTTTTGGCTGGAAGAAATGCCAATTCAATATTTTTCTCCCCTTTAATTCTCCTCTTCAAAAATTTGCTAGTTTTGGCCACGTCTTCTCTAGCCAGTCGTTAGTGACGTTTCTGTCGACATCACGGGCTTCGCCACTTATCTGTCCATAATTTATACCATGTCTCTGTTTGAACTTCCCCGACCATAATTTCGAAGCCTTGGAATCGATAATGCCAAGCCGTTCAGCAAACTTTTCTGGTTTTAGTTTTACGATAGGTCCAGAGAGTGGTACATTTTTAAGACGTTGCCATTGGAAGCACTGCAACATTGCCCGATCCAAATCTTCAAATTTTGGTTTTCTTAGTTTTTTACTATAACTGCCAGCCGCTTCAGTCTGAATGATTTTTTCTTTGCAGTTTTAAATCGTGGATACAGTCGACGGTGTAAGTCTTATAGAGAGTGAGAAATTCGTGATACAGAGTGGATTAATACATAGCTTTGTATGGAGACGTAATAGTACAACAAATTTTGTTCGTAATAAAGAGTTTTATGTTATACAGAGTTGCGCTATATATTATTAAAGAATTATAAATTCTTTTGATATTGTATTTTAATACAAAGTTATTGCTAAATGGGAAAAAATAAAATATTTAGTAACAGTCGCTACAGATATTGTAAATTGCTAATTGCATCCTGTCCTTGATAGACACGTCGCTGCAACCCATTATGATCCGTGCACTGTTGAGACTGACCAACTAACCAAAAATCAATGTTACATATTTTTTATATATATATTATTATATATATTTATGGGTTTTAAAAAATCTATTCAGTGTGGTTCCATAATTAAATGCGCCACTACTATGCGTACTTTATTTGCAAAAAGGAAATCCAAGGGGAATCCAAATTTTAACTTGAATTTTCTAAATTATTATGTAATGTTATTTTATTAATATCATTTTAATTTCTAATTATTTGGTTGCCTTGTTTTAAATTAAAAAGGCCACCACCAATTTGATTTCTAATTTGTTGTTGCAGTTTTTAACACCGCAAAGAAAAAGAAAACATTTTTAAAACTTTCAGTAAATTTCTTTATTAAGCGTAGATCTAAGATAACAACAGTTTCAATACCGGTTAACTAACTAATTGTTACAGTCAAGAAAATTCTAGCACGAGATTACAGATCACAATCTACCCACAGAAGCAACGAGAGTACAAACTTTATCAAAAAACACGCAGATCAACCAGAATCGAAAATATTTGAAAAAACATCTTGAAAGTATATGGATTTGTTTGTATCGGACAAGTGGCATTCTGGTGGCAGATATATTGAAAGAATGAAGAAATTGTTAACGCACAATATTACAAAGTCGCTTCTTTATCGAAACCATCAAATAAATCGCCATAAAACAGATTTAAAATACCCGTAGACAATAGTATAATCATATTTTCCAATTTCGATAGGGTTTAGTTTATTTTAGCATAATTTTGTGCTTTGTGCACTTAGTGAACATAGGGCAACTATAAAAATCCTAGTAATTATAAAGAAAAATTAACAGGTGTTGTAGTTTGTTAATTACTTTCCGTTTGGGGTTATTCAATATTCAAGCCTTTCGAAGTTCAAGCCTACCGCAGAACTAGAAGATTAATCGTTAGAGCATTGGAATAATAAAAAATTGGTACCGGATAAAACTAGAGCATGTGGTTTCTGAAAATTCGATAATCGTCAGTCAATAAATCTTGTGTTCTTAGCACCAACAGTCGCCAAGCATATCTTCAAAAAACAAAATTTTACATTTTATATGGCACAGATCCAGACAACACAGCCCACTAGGTTAGTTTTTCTCAAAACGATCTTTTCCAGATTTCAGCGGAATCTAAGCTAAACATTCCAATTTAGCTTAGAATGTATAATTAATAGGAAACGATTGCAAATTTTAAATAAAATCTCATCGGTTTAGCCTAAACTGTTCTGCAGAATTTATAGTAAATACATTAGAGACACTTTTCGTTCGTCGATAATCTATGATAAATACTTAACATTATACTTAAAATTGTTATTTACAGAAATGCATACGGAAATATCACATAAATATCATATTAAAAATATAGTATAAAAATTCAAAACGAGGGAAATACATTTTGTAAAGCTATTTGGCACAAATATCGTTTTTTTTTTTTGGGTGAATAGATGCGCAATATTGGTTTTGAATTATCACCAAGATGTGTTAACTGCAATGGACAACTTGTAATAACCATACTGCAAAGTGTTAAAACAGCACCCATACGTCCGTTTTTCTTTAATTTGTTATATTTTTTACTTTTGTCTAAGTTACTCTATATACGTGACATGACATGACAACTTATGATTTTACCTATTTAATAGGTATCGTGAATGAAAAATTTTTGCACCAAATCAAAAAGCTTTCAGAAATACAAAACGCAATATGGATTGGGCCAATCACGGCTCACTTATTCGCGGCAGCCATGGCCGCTTGTCGCCTGAGGTCGGAACTCATACAGGCCGTCATAAAGAGACCGACTGCGAGACAAACAGACATCACCATGTTGGCCCAAGTGTCGTTCACTTGATAAAATATCGGCGAATAAATGTTGGTGAAGGCGATTCCAAACACCTGAGCGGCCGCATTCAACAGCCCGGCTTGTGTCCCTTCCGGTTCGGGATAAGTTAGTTCGGATCCCATTTCGAAGCCCACAGACAACAAGCCAGTCATGAAAAATCTAAAAAAGAAGCCCGACTTAGTTAGCTAGTGACATAATCTAGCCAGAATTTTGTCGTTCGTACGAAAACCATAACTTACCAACCAAAATGATCAGAGGCTACTTCGCTAAAATATTTTTAAGAAAACACACGCAAAATATAATTATGACGTTCGTAACTATTATTACTTGATAAACACAAGAATTTATACTTTATTCATAGGTAAGGGATAAGACAACGGAGAGTCGACCACTTTTCGGCTGATATCAGGGTAAGTACTGAATATCCCGTGCCTATTTACAACACTTTTTCAAAATTGAAGATTCTTTAATTTGCTTACAAAATAACGTAGACTTCATTGAAATTAATCTTAATGACGACTCAGAGAGAAACAGAATAAGATAACCACGCACTTACTTCCTGTGGCATATTTTCTATTAGTACTAATGTTTTTATCATAATAAATAAGAACTAAAAGTTCAGATTTTGACGAAATTATATATTTTTACATGAGAATTGTTTCGACAATACCGTGTCTTTATCAAATATATCAAATATCAAAATTTTATACATTTCGTATTATTGTTTTTTAAAAAAATTTTCCTATTGTGTTGTTAGTTCTGAAAGCTATTTTTAAACCATATTTTGACAAATGTTTTGAAACATTTTCACTAGGTTCTCCTATGTATGTAATTGGTTTAAATTGTTCGTGTTATGTATTAGGTTTCGGATAAATAAAGTTTACTGGTGTCTGGATTTGTTTTTTATTTATAATTTTATCTGTAATGGACGGATTGTAGCCGTTGTTCAGTGCAATTTATTTAATATTATTAAGTTCTTTTTTGGAATTTTCTGTTGAGAGTGGCGTATTAAGAAGTCTGTGTATAAAAGAATGAAATGTGTGTATAAGGGTGATTTGAGCTGTTATGTAGGACTGTGTCCGTGTGTGAAGGTTTATGATAAATGGAAAAATCTAATTTGTTTTGCGTTTTCCTAATAGTTAAGTTTAAAAAATTAATAGAGTTAGCTTGTTCAATCTCGATAGTGAATTTTATACGATTGTGTAATGTGTTAATATAATTTAAAAAAGAATTCAATTCAATTCAAGGATGTTCTAGTATATTTTCCAAATTATCCATAAAAATCTCGGCTAACAAAGGACTAAGTGGGTTTCCATTAATCATACCTTCCTTAGAGATGTAAATCTGTCCAATAAATTCAAAATAATTTTGGTCTAAAGATACTATTAAGCAATCTAATAAATCTTGTTTCACCATTGGGTTAACTTGTTTCCGAGTTAGGGTGAAATCTACTAAATCTCTCACATCCATTGGTGGAATACTGGGAAATAAGTTTTGTACATCAAAAGACAATAGTGTGCAATTGTCATGTAAAAATATATAATTTCGAGAAAATCTGAACTTTTAGTTCTTATTTATTTTGATAAATGCATTTTCATCAAGTAAAAGCCACCTTAGTTCAATTTTTTATCATACCTAAATAAACATAATATAATATTAAAACTATATATTTTTAAAACACGTTAAAAGTCTGTCCATCATGCTCTGTTCTACAATAGCCACTGGTCATATGCTTTGTTGCCGTCGCCAGGTTCGATAATTGACGTCAAGAGTTAAGACGATACATTATTGATTTTTCGAAATCTTCTACCCGCTTAACAAAATTGTTATATTTATTAACACTGGTTGATGAAAAAATTGTAATTAAAAGCACACTAAAAAAAGAAAAATTCTAACTGGGAAACCCACCCACGTTTACAATCTTATCTTATTTAACATTAAAAAGTAGGGCAACTTTAGATAACGATATTTTTTCAAAATAATTACAATATTCCTTGTAAATAGCCGTACGTATAAGTTAAAAATCATTTCATTCATTTTATTTTCATTTTAATTATATAAACTAATTGTTATTTTAATAGATATCTAATTGAAATGGTTTCAACTTCCTATAAGTAAATATACGTTTTAAATCATTTTTTTCTATCATAAAATAACCTGCTTCGTTTCAACTCATTTAATAAGCAAGTAGAAGCCTCAATTTTTATTAATATTAAACTCGTAACGTAAAATTATTTTCTAAAAGTTCTTATAAACTTTACACACCAGCTACATATGCCTACATATTCTTCAGTTTCTTTTTTTAATTATCCCCAGATAAAAGCATGTGACAGAGAAAGTAACCAAAACTATTTAAATATTTTATTACAACAGTTGCCTTTTTATTCGCTGTAAATGTTTGCTTAATAATGTACTAAAATTTTTTATAATTTATTAGTAATATGGCAAAGAAACATATTCGATGTGGTGGTAAAAGTGAAATGCTTAAATTTCCTTTTGTTTCAGAAGATTAAACACAAGCACTTTGAACCAAATTCAAGAAAATTTAAAAATGTTAAGGTAAAGCGCTTTCAACACCCGCGAAATCCAAAATCAATGAGTACATGCAATAAATATTTTGGTATCCCTCCCAGTACTCTTTACTCAAACTCATATTTTGTTTATTTTAGTCATTTTACCTATTCCCGTTGACCGGTTCAAATTTTTGGAAAGTTCTTGTGATTTTGTAATTCAGTCAATAACGAAAATTAAGTAAATCATACCATTTGTATATAACCATTTATTAGAAAAGTACAGTAACGCCAACAGTTGCTAGGCACGAAATCACAGTTTAGGGCTTCCGCTTTTGCGTATATTCTATATTCCTTACAAACAGCAAGAAACAATCGAGATCTAGAAGAAAGAAGCAAATAATTTTAGTACGAAAGCAATGAAGTCACTGTTCTCTTTTCTAATAATTCCACCTATATCTTTGGAACTTGGATTTTTCTACGGATAACTCCTGTGAACTGAACGGTATAGCTATAAGGTTTCTTTGCAATACAAAAAATGGCAATATTTCGAAAACTAGAAGCATTTGGAATGTAGAGCTTTACAAAGTTACCCTTATTTTTAATTGCAAATAACATTAGATTAATAAGAAGAAAATAAAATTTGTTAAGAAGGCTGTTCTTACAAATGAAGCTACTTGAAATGGAATATGAATGAAATCGGCTGGAATATACACACGAATTTCTCAAAATTCGCTATTATATTTTTTTTTTGGAAGACTTAAAATTTAGATCGTAGAACATTCAAATTTAGTTAATAAATTACAGTTAACTTACCCAAGTCCACCGGCTACCACATAAACAACATAAAGGCCTTTATCTATGGTAAACGTGAATACAAGCATCCCAATTAAGGCAAACGCATATACGACCACAGTTGTTTCCCTAAAACAGAAATAAAAACTGTTAAATCATTAAGCGCATGGGACAATCAATTTAACAGTTATCAGTTTGAGTGATGCATATTTCGGAAATATTTTGTCAAAATAAGTCCGGATTTCATTAAATTTTCAAGAAAAAAACGCGTTAACTTTGGAAAGTGTATGAATACTCACTTAAATTTGCGAAACCTGTCAAGGACATATCCGCAACATACCGATCCTGCCATACCAGCTACTACGATTACCAGCCCAATACGCCCCGCATCAATTTCCGCACCCTAAAAATGTCGAATTATTTCTGTTGATTCAGCGTTTATCTAATTAATACAGCTAAAGATAGAACAATTCACAAAACTCTGTGGTCGCGCTTACCGGATAATAATTTAGAACTATTTCGTTAAGCAACGTAGAGATGGCGTAGAAAACTCCGGTGTTGATTCCGTAGGCCAAAAGAAGAAGAACGAAACTTTTGTTTTTAATTAAATTTTTCAACGAATCGAAAAAGCTCCCTTTTTCTTCGTTCTGTTGTTGGGCAGCGTACGACGGCGGCGTAGGAGGTCCATTTTTAAAAACTACAAAAAAAACATTTAGGACAACGAGCAAAATGATTTTAGAAAATAGCTGTAAGAGGGCTACCTTTTATATTTTGGGATTTGTAATAAAAAACTATAAGCTACCAACAAATATGATTTTATTGTTTCTCAAAATATTCACCCTAATGATCAATACACTTTTGCATTCGGTAAAACCAATCATCAAAGCACTTTTTCCATATCGATTAAGTTCCATTTTTTACAGTCCCATTTTTTTTTAATTTATCGCAAAAAACACAAACAACATAACCAACACTCTTTCGCCAAAACCTAAGTAAACCTAACCTCAAAATGTCCTATAAAAACGTTGGTCGCCAGATGTCAATAGTAGTTTAAGAAAATACCGAAACATAAAAGGCAGCCCTCGTAGCACCGCGTATAATAGATAAGTGATCAAAACTTTAATCACTTCAATCGCTGCTCGTCAAGCGAATATGGATCAAATTGGACACTTAAAATAAAAATCATCTTTATTAAAAAAGTGTTTGTGTCTAGAGCTCAGTATTCATAAAAAACATAATGCTAAAAACAGCACATGAATATATGTTACAGCTTGAGGGTCCTATGGTGTATTGTTTAAAAATCATACTGTTTTGCTGGGCAACATTTTGTGTACTTAAGAAAACATAAGCATAAGCCAATTAATGTTATAAGTTTGTTTCAAGCTATAACTTTATCATTTATTAACTAAAATATCAATTATTTATATATAGATGACTGGAACATAATATCATGTGTAAAAATGATTCCCAAATATACAGGGCGTGAAATTGCTTTCATGCAAAATTCGAAATTTCAAAATTGCACAGATTGAGTCTGTGTCGCAGATGATGACATCAGTTTTCATCTATTTGATTTAGATCGGATCGGATCCAGCCGGTACAGATAGATACATCTATTTAAATGTAAATACACCAAAGCGGCATTAAAAAAACTAAATATATCGGATACATTCACTAGATTTCAACCACACACATTCAGATATGATGCATATTTCAATTTTGATTATTGTTGATTATTTAAGTTTTTGGACAGTCTTTTTATTTTACTAGCGATTTTATACACAAATAAACCACGAACTTAGGTATCTCAATAAGTTGGTTCTCTCCAATGTAATGTTGCTTTCCTTTTTTCACTTTTCAAAAATTATATAATATGTCTCTTTAATTGCTAAATCCTAATGTTTACAATTTAATTTCTGCTTATGGAACTTCTAAGTTATTAAATATATTTTTAGATAAAAATTAAACCAATTCTTTATTAAAAACAGAAAATAATCTACAATCTAAACCTAAACACCTATAAAAAACATTCTTTCTTCATCCTTTCTTTCTAAATACTAGTCGATTTCAAGAGAATGGTAACTAATCTTATAAATATTGTCCGAATTTAATGCAAAATTCTAATTATTTAAGTCTGTCTCAAGTATTCTAGAGGCTTTAGAAATAAAGTTCAAATGTAATTTACTAAATTGTAGTACGTTGAGTGCGAAATTTGAATTTTAAGTAGCTTTTCAGTTCAAATTATAATTTATTAAATATTTTCCAAACCAGTATAAAACAACGTTTGAAAGTAAAGTAGATAATAAGGTTATCAAAAAACACCGCATTATCGAAATAAAAAAAACTTAAATTCTGTAAATCATATTGACCACCCACACAAAATCTCTGGAGTAAATTAGGCACTACTTACATAGTAAAATAAGAACAAGTAACACGGAGGTCAATATTGCCACTCCTCCAAAAAGTATATAGAGTTGCGTAGTAACTTCGTGGACAGTTCCACCAGGCACAATCATCGGGGGTATAACAAAGCCAGCTGCAATGCCGATCTGTAATGCGAGAAGAAAAATGTAAAATGTCTCATATATTCAAGGCGAAGTGTACTCACTTGATTTCCGAAAACTCCAATACTACAAGCGGAAGAAACCTGATCTGGACCGAACCAGACAGATGCCAGTCGCGCAGGGACGGACAAGACAAACACCTGAGATAAGGCTACTACTCCCTGTCCCAAGAAACTGATGTAGAATCGATCCGGGTCAACTGAGGCGACTTTGATCCAGGCACCAAGGCATGTTCCCAAAATTCCTATGGTTATGGCCAGTCTTAAACCCTACAACAAAAAAATGAAAATTTTCGACATGCTCTTATTCTTTTTCCAAAATAAACATACTATCTTTCATGGATTTCTTATACCCAAATTTACAAAAAATCAAACGTTTTCTGGACAAGGAAAGAATTTTTTTCGATCTTAGTTTTTCTTTAAGTAGGCCATAAAATACATACAATAAAAAATACATAAAAGCAAATTTAACTTATCCAAATTGTTGGGACTTGTGCCCAATATTTTTTTTAATTCGCATTTTATTTTTTATTTACAATATCAGTGAATGTGTCTAAAGTATTTGAAGCAACTTCGACCAATTCCCTCAAAGGAAAAATTTTGCCGCAAACTTCAGAAGAGTTTGAGAATATTTAAGGCAATAAGAAGCAATTTAAGAAGTGAGTTCGTTTCTCGGTAGAAGAAGGAGGATATTGGCATTATTTAAATAGCAGTGAAATTGTGTCAAACAAAATTAATAGTATTTTTGGATGCAATTAGCAAATTATGTTTCCAATTTTCTATATTTTTTCAATAAAAATAACCAAATCTTTTAAAAATGCCCATTTACTATGTGCAAAACATGTTCGCAAATATTTTAGTACCTTTGCTTTTTTTTAGATTTTTTAATTCTATTTATGATGACTAATCTAAGTAGAGTTCACCGATATCTGCCCTTTTAAAAATGTCAATCAAAATAATCACAATTTTGCGATTCCCCTTTCAGATAAATTCCACTGTTTCTAAAAAATATATCACGCAAAAAATGCATGCTTCAATTAGCAACTTCAGAATTATAAGAGTACACATCAAAATTGAAGGTGTTAGTTTTAAAAACGTGTGCGCTAAATATTTCCCAAATGCTTGCTTATAAACCTAGTAAAATATTTATTGATATATCGACAGCTATAATATAGTTTTCGAATTAAACTAATGCGAACATTATTTAAGACAACGCGGAATAGTATTTCAACTATTTCGTCAAATACAACAATGATTGATATCAACACGAAATAGGACCTTACAGTGCGGCGAAGTTTTTTCATAACAGCCGTGACGAACAGGCCGTTTGAAAATGGTTTCCACTCTTACAGAAAACATTCATTACGTTATTCGTCCATAAAATTATTTAGACGATATTTATACATACTTAGTGGTCTCTTAGCCTATGAATGGTTTTGACAATAATCTTGATGAAACAGCACTTTCTTACAATGTTAATCAAAAGGTAATCAAAATAATTAAAATGAAGAAGTTAATTAAAAAAAAATTTACAGTTTAGTTAGTTTAGTTTAGTTTTTAGTTCATAGTTTATTTCGGTTTGTCTACTCTTCGTATTTCACACTTTCTAATTTGAAAATAATATAAAAACTAGTAAATACCAAATTTCTCTGAACAATTGTAATGTAAGCATCATCAGCCACGATATTACAAAATAGTGCTGTCTCCAGGACAAGTCTCTTGTTAAAGAAGCTGCATAACCTTTTTTATTTTTGGTAGTTGTGTCATTTTAATTTTTTTATTAGTTCATTAAACATTAGTCTAAATTCTCTTAAACTTAAATTGTAATCTAGTGGTTGTTTATTTTTATTAAAGCATGGTTAACCAAAATTAGCCATTATATTACTATTACGGTAACATAACTAATATGAGTAGTATTACAAAAAATTGAAAAATAACAACCAAATCGAAGGCAGTGGTCCGAAACAGATAAACCCTATTAATTTGCTCAAAAATTTTACTGCCGCCAATTTGACCGATGATTGGTCTGCAGTAGAGCAACATAATGACGTAAGAATCATCTCAGTGTACATTGAACTAAAATAGCATTCACAAAATACATTTTGCGTATAATTTCAATTAACAATTGAATGGTGCCAAAATCAGTTCTAATGAAAAGTACACACAAAAAGCGGTTAATATCTGGCTTAAATCTAGTCCTAACCACGAATCCACGTTTCCAGTTTGGAATATGTAATTATTTCACACCATGAATGAATATTATTTTCGAATTATTAACCGACATTTCTTTGATCTTTTCATTAGATGCTCGCCCAATATGCATTACAGTTAAATTGGTTTAGAATACTTTGATTGGTTTAATTTAGTTTTGGATGCCCCAATAAAAAATTACATAATAAAATTTACCTATGTAAGAAAAAGGACCATATTAGGTAAAAGCCGAACAGGTAATTTGTTAAATAATTTTGTATACCTGATTATAAGGAGCTTTAGCAGGAAAATGTTTAAAGAATGTTTAGATATTTGTATATTAAAATCGTTTCTGAGCGAGTCTGATTTGTATTAAATGAATGTATTAAATTTAAACCTACAAGTTTTATAAATTCATTTTTCAAGTCTGCATCTCCCATAATAAAAAGCCGACCCTGCACGTGAACATTTTATTTGCATTCTGCGAATTTGCATTTAAACCCTAACCCAGATAAAACGACACATTGTTTCCACTTCCGAAAGATCAAAAATTTACGATAACGTTCCTCTGATTTCTGATAATCCGTGGTAAAAATATTTCCACAAAAACTCGTCTAAAAGCGTAATCTTAATCAGAAATCTATGGCAAAGCGTTTATTGCAACAGAACAGAATTCTTGGTTATTTTTGTGCATTTCCTAAACTCACGCTTTGTAAATGACAGGGTCTTTGAACAAAATCAATACTTAACGATATATAATGCGTTTATGTCCTCTTTAGAAGTGAGGCAAATTGACAATGAAGTACTAAACTTTTGTAATTGAAAATTGACTGTGCAAAAAAACTGCTTTAATCTATGGGAATTTTTTGCCCGCACTGCAACTTTGCACTTATACCTTACCCAAGCGCATGAAGCAAAAAGTCCAAAAAATATGTACCCTCCATACTCAAAAATCGCAACGCGAGGAGTATCGAAAAAATAGTAAAAGTACGAAGATAAACTAAAGTAGTATTTAATAAATTTAAAATGAAAGCTGTGAAAAAACATGTTGTTTCCTGTTGTTTACTCGCGACCCCTTTATCAATTTGCAAATACAAACAAGCCAATAATAATAACAAGTGCTGTCAATCAAGTCTAAGACGCACTATCCACAAACTCCAAATTCCAGACATGTGGATTCGTCGCTTACGAAGCATGAAATTGTGCTGATAATGTACTAATCGCAGACTCAAGGAATTTGCGTGTGTCAATCAAATGAAGTATTCTTAAAACTAGATATGGAACAATTTGTCCAGTGCCGCTATTTTATTATCGTCGAGGACCTCTTGTGTTATCGATTAAGATGTACGTCACGAGTAACAAACTCAACAATTTATTTAAATTCAATAGCGTCATAGTTTTAATCTGAAAACTATCGAAAGTGTCTAACTAAACAAACCGACTACATAGTTTAAAAAGCTCATCCAAACAAAACAAAAGTCTGCCAGAAAAAGCTGTAATTTTCCTTTATAGAGTAGCATTAATGATTACAATGTTTGACTGAGATATGCCTTGTAGAGTCCAGTAAGCAGGTCTCCATGAAAACATATTACACAAGTATTTCAATTACATAAGAAACTGTTCAGAATGATCTTAGGAAGAGCCTTCGTAACCACTTCATATCAGAACCACTATGTCCTTACTTCTGAATGTTAAAGAATGAATCACTATATTTTGATTTTTGTTATATCTTATAACATAGCTAATATGTAACTTGTATGTAACTTAATTTTAATTTTTATCACTTTTCGTTCTTTCCAGCTAATTTTTACCATATTTTGATAAGTTCAAATGTTTATTTCAAATGTGACAGTTATGCATTTGTGATTTAGATTCAGATTGGGGAGCGAGCAGTTAACCTCTGCGTCACTGCTCTCCAAAGAATTTATTGTCACTCCTTCAGTAATAATAGAGCTTTTTCCCTTATTGGTATATTTTGTTGATTGCAGATAGATAGATAGATAGATAGATAGATCTCCAACGTTATAGTGGGAGTTGTGCTCATAGCGTTAATAACTCACAGCTATGAGCACAATGCCACAATTGTCGACTTAAGAAATATATTTGAGGTTTCAGATAAAACGTTATCGGGCGTTCGATGACGCCACGATTATTAATTAACAAATTATATAAATCGTAGAGCGACTTTGCTAAGGAAATTGAGCCATTAACAGAATCAGGTAGCGTTACCTTTAGAAATGTCAAAACATAATAAGGAGATTATCGTTAGATGACGATCATCAATATTTAACAAAATACGTAGTAAATATTCGAATCTGGACTATTTTTTCGAGTCTTTCTAATTGCTGAATGTCAAATAAAAGTAACAACAAACACATCCAATGTTTCGACCTAATTTAATTCAAAAACGAAACAATAACTCACGTAAATGTTGTTGCGAAAATCTTTAAGCTCTCCGCACCGTGCCTGAATAACTATCTCAATACCAAATCGGTCTATATCAACAATTAAAAATCTAATAAATATCTAAATGTATTAAGTTTTACTTTGTAATTATAGGAAATTTTCGAACAAAACTATTTTGTTTGATTATGACCGAGTTGTGTCAACCACATATTTTTCTATAGAATCCATGTATACTTATAGAAAAAGTTTCCAAATTGATTAATTATTTTAACGTATGTTTTTACAAAAATGCCAATATGTATGTTTAATTACCTAATCTTTTGTCTCAGAAATTCCTTTTTACTAGCTAGCCTGTTTGCTCTAGTATTAGATAAGGACCAGGAAGAATTGTTTGAGATCTATCAATAAAATATTGAAAAATATTTTTTATTTATTAATAACGTAAAGTTCCTTGTATAAGAGAACTACATCACAAAATAATCGACTACTTCTGATGCTGATACAACGTACAGAATGTTGAAATATTGCCCAATATTTGGTAGCGTATTGCATGGTCCTTTTCAAGATTTTTTTATGTTGACTTCAGAAGTGTCTGCATTAGCAGCATAGCCAAAACCATGTAATCTAGTAGTTATATGAAAAAGCTTTACACACCTTCCTAGATTAATGCTAGAAAATTTAAAAATAAAACAAAAAAAATGTAGAATTCAGCTACTACACCCTACAGCTAAACGACCTGTGTGCTGGACTCGTTCCTATCTGCGTTCGAAAAAACTTGGGAATGCGGGAACAATCGGATTATTACAGAGGCCGCCTGTCGACAGACAACTGTACATAAATTATAGCATGTATAGTGTGTAAAAAGCTAGTGAATTTAATTTTTACTTTTTACAAAACTTCTGGATTCCTTCTGCGTCGGTTTTTGCTGAGTCGAACTTGCTAACGTTTCGCCAATCATCCTGTTGGCTTCTTCAGAGCTTGAATGAAATAGTTTCAGCTAGACTCAGCAAAAACCGACGCAGGAGAAATCCAGAAGTTTTGTAAAAAGTATTACAGTAGCCTGTGGAAGTTTCTTTGAACAATTGACTTTAATTTTTATTTTGTATGAAATAAAGTTTCAGTTTCAAATAGTTTTACGCCAGTGACTTTCCAGTACGTTTAATTTTTTTAATTTTACCGTCTTATTCGACGGCGTTCTTTTAAAAATGCAATATGTAAATTTCTGAGAGCCTGTAAAACGAAAAATTGATTTCTTGGAAATATATCGGGGTTTCTATAAAAAGAAACAAAAGTTGGTAAACATTTAAATGACAGCCCGTGATCATTTGTTTTCTACTACTGCTAAATAAAAAACTACTTCATGTTTGCGAAACCAACTAGTAACGTCTGTAACACGTCTATAATAAATAAATGAAGTTCTCACCAATTTTTCTAGAAGAAAACTTCCTGGGAAGATGAATGGAATGTAAAGTATCATATAAATCAAGGACGTCCAATTCACCCATTCCTTGGAAACACCGTAATAATCTCGAATCACGCCGCTGATAATGGAAAACTGAATCCACTGCATAGCATTCGATGCAGAGAAAAGGACGAACAGAAACAGAATAAACCATCTTATCTTGTAAACTTTGGGCGGCTCGATGTTCGGTAAGCTACCAGCACTTCCACTTTTTGATTCCAGATCCATTGTAGAACTCATATCGTGGAAGATATCTGGTAGACCTGCAATATTTTTGACCGTGAACATTGAATTTCAAATAAAACTTTTAGATATCATGACTACTAATAATTAAACAACAATTTCAATTGCTTAGAAAATGATCTTTTGGGACAGACAACATCAATGTAATTTGGATTTATGTATAGACATAAATTATATATAGAGCGTTCGTCGATATTTATTTATACTGTAAAAGAACCTGTTGCAGTAGTTGGAGGATATGATGATATGTAAATTTGTAATATCAAAATATAATACAAAAGATTTATATTATAACTATAAGGTTATCTCAATCTATTATCAATAAACCAAAAAGTGATGTACCTTTATATTGTATTCTACACAGGCAATATTGTAGCAGGAATAATCACGCACAGATATACCGGAACTAAAAGCGTCTCTACTCTGCTCAATGCTTTTATATAAAGTATGTGAAAATTGCAATCATTACTTTATCAGATCGAGTATATAAAATAACCTATTGTCACAAATAATCACACATTCTCAAGATCACACACACGTTGAAACAGATTGAATTTTGAGTTTACTTCGTTTTTAAACGCAATAATAGCGTAATCATCGCTAATTTTTTGCGAAAATATTAAATTTTATACGTAACCACGAATATCGAGATGATATTAATTTGGGATAGGTATTGTACAAGACCAGCAAGCTAGAAGACTATAGTTCCCTGTTCATTTTGTTGTAGAGGGTAGCTCACAGCGGCATATTTGAAGTGCCTGGAGAACGGCCAAATGTAATTATTTCAAATTACACAGAAGAATGTGTTCTAAATATTCGGAAAGGGCTGTAGTTGCCGTTTTAATTCGATAATACCTTACTAAATCTAAATGGCACCCCTGCAGATTTGATCAATGGCATCGATGTCCGCATCACCCTATATCTTTTATAATATTTGGAATAAAATATAATTATAGGCATTTTTGTTTAATAAACGAGTTATCAATTTTTTGCATACAACACTTTTTTAGGTGTTGCATATAATTTGTGATCGTCAGGTCGTTAGAAACCGACACATGTCAAAACACCATTAATCCGAAGTGGCCAACGAAGATGAAGTCTTTGCATAGAGAGCTTTCAATAAACAATTTACATTCGAGATCTACATAACGGCACTTAATGGTGCGAATCCTGCAGGCATGACCTATACTCGGAGAGGGTAAAAAGGTTTTCAACAGTACGAAGGACAAGCCCACTACTCCATTCGACCCGTGACCGAGGTCCAGAGAGAAGAAGACTATACAGGATTGGCGCGCCAATTTTAAGAAATTGAACTCCTACGACAAGCCGTTAGTCAAGTCAGACCAGAGGATATCCGCCAATCGAGGTTGTTAACCAGAGGGAGGTCAAAAGTCAATTGCTGGTGATGGATCGATCGAATGCGCACTTGTACGTTTCGTTGTTATAATTGTAAACCCCCCCGCTTAGATCGTAATAAATAATTCTTGCCAAAAGTTGGTACTCGATAGTGGTTCCAAAAATGTCCTACAAGACTTTATTTTTGTAACACCCTTTATTGTTGAATTCTTCCACGATCTCCTCGCAATATTTTGTTAACTTAAAGAATGGAATAGGTAGATTTTTTCTAATTTTCAAATTAAATTGTTGCGGAAGCCGTTTAAGTAAGATAGATAGATAGGACTACCTGACGCCAGAATTTTTTTTTATGTTTACTTACTTTCACGAGAAACAACAACACTGCGTCACCGAACATTAACATAAGAAGAGCCAATCCCCATCGGTGCTCAAAATATTGCCGATCTTCCATGCCTCTCTTCAGCACCCCTCGTTCACACTTATTAGCATATCGATATTGCTTTATTGAAAAGATTTATTTTACTTAGCCACATGCAATCTACACGAAAAAAGTATGTTTCGATGATCCATGTTTGTTTATCGAATTTTAAAGATGGAAACTTACGGTGTGGTTCAAGAAGTCTGTAAAATCTACTTTTAAATATTGCAAGAGCCCAAACTTTTAATGCGATTTAGGGTTATTTCAGATTGCCACAGCTCAATTGATTTATAATGGAAATTAATTAAGTGTCCCTAACCAACGACAAGGTACCGCCAGATATATCAGATTTTTTTGGTGGATACGCTCAAAAAGTAGTTAACTAGATATTTTTATTTAAAAGTACGTTTTTTCAAAAAGTTCATCGAACACTTGAAAGATCTGCAAAAAGTTAAAGACGAAAAATATCGTCATAAGATAAACAAATTAAAAGATGCAAATCATTACATTACCTCAAGTATGGTTATGACCAGAATTAACAAGAAAATGTCACAAATTTCATACTCTTGAATGAAACCTTCATAGCTATCAACTTTTGATTTTATCTGTTAGTTGGTCTGACTTTAACACGTAACGACGTACTCAGAATTTTAATGTCATTTGCTAAACCGGAATACGTTTTTTTTTTTTTAATTGCAATAGGCATTTGGACGTGACGTAAGATATTGGTTTTCTTGATTGAATGGTTCTAACTTTTGCTGAGTTCTTATAAGCTCCGAAATACAATTTTCATTCGCCTTCTGAGCCGCTTTGATATACAATATGGCTTTAAAAAATAAAAACTGTAAAATAACAAAAGCAAATCAATCAAACATATACGAATCAATTAGAATGATAAGTGGTGGTCTACGCAAATTCAATTGCTGCCAAATGTAAATATGACGAATAAATATTGAACGCACATAGAATTAATAGAGTCAATCGAATTAAACCGGTTCTTAAAAATAACGAAGTGACTTGTTGAGGTGCTCATATTGTCGAAATAGTTTCCAGACACTTACCCCCAAAGTGTAGTGTTACACCTTGAAAAATTCACCAGACTTAATAATATATAGGGACGGGATCACTCAATCCATAAAACTAAAGCGTGAATCGCAACCGCAGTCAATTATTGTTAATGTTTAACAATAAAAAAATTAGTTGTAACAACATACGCCAATTGGGCATAATGTAAGTAGCAAACTCCTACAAGTAGGGTCCCCGCAAAGCCGCAAAGGTTTATTTCATTCAATTGCTTTACCATTTAAAATAAGTGTCGCATTTGAAAGTGATCTGATTATTTTAAATTATCAGAATATGAATACACCACAAAATTCATTATCAATATATTTTTTGCAATAAAAATGGAAGAATTATGGAAGTTATTTCGTCACAAAATAGGTAAAGATATTTTTTAAATAATTTTTTAAGGAAAATTTGGGTGAAAATCAAGAAGGTGTCATAATTTATTACTTCGAAATAGAAAATTTGAAATTAAAACTTGAAATTCTCAAAAAATGTTTAAAAATAATATTTATAAACAACTTCTCCTAAAATTTCGTATTTTGCAAAATTAATGGTTTTTCCGTGCACTACATCCGCAGCTAAATAAATCGATTGCAGATTAGTATTGTTACTCTTACAGTAAATTTATTTAAGAAGTTCATCCAATTTAAAAAGAAAAAGGTAAATGGAATATAAAAAACAATTTTGTTGAGAACAAATTATCTGTGAATCTAGGAGAAACCTACGAAGATTTTTGCTAGTAAAAATGCTAAAAATGTAAATATATAAACTTTTTTATGTAATATATATTACAGCATAGTTCGATTTGGCGTGAAATTTAAACATATGTGAGTTTGGCATTTAATTTATTTTCACTAATATTAATTACTACAAAATCTTCTGGCGATTGTCTGTCTAGCATTAATGTGCTTTATATATAATAATTATTGAAACAATAGCAACAAATATTCAAAAAATAAAACTGTCAGGTCCGGCGTAAAACTGTTGGCCTTTTCCTCTTTGCTCTTTTAAATACTAAAAATAAGTGGACGCGATACTCCTTTACTAATCACTTTTGCAACAGAAAATATTATATTGTTTCGAGTATTTTGAAAACGCCAAATATTCGGAAAGACTACTTTACCGAAACTTAGCTTAGTACAAAAAAGGAAAATTTAAAAAAAGGGGATTTCCATCTGAAAAAATATATTTTTTGGTAATATTTTCAATTTAAATTTTTTGAACACCGTATTAATAGGAAAAATAATAATCAATACAATAAAATCAATTAATGGTTGGTTCTTAATAAGGAACTCAACCGAAACCACAGGATTTAAATTTCACTTCTGCTCTCACAAATTGTGACTAAATATTTATATGAACTATGAGAGTCTATTTTTTTAAAATGTCACTTTCAAATAAAAAAAAGCTGTGCTTTCACATCTGGAAAACTTTTAAATAAGTTAATTTAAGACTTAAATAGAGCTAACCAATCAATAAAATTCGGTAACTTTTAAATGTTTAATGTAATCAAGTGATCGGTCAGATAAAATGGTTTGTGATGAATTACAGGTAAAAGAAACTTTTAAAATTATTAAAATATTTATTCTACACCAAAACTTGTTCCAAGTAAGCACATTACACCAATAGTTCTACTGCTTATTTTAAATGTTTTTTATGATTTTTTAATTCCTCAAAATATGGAAATTCGCCAATGCAAATTGAATTACCAAACTGATTTATGTAAGAATCAAATTAAACCACGAGAAGGCATAATTTATACAAATGAGCAAGACAAAGTCAAGAAACCTTACTACTACCCGTCTATTTCTATTGTAAAAATTTGCCTCATTTTTTTTATCGAACCGATGTCATTCCCGATAAAATTGTGCTGCAGTAAGAACACAAAAAGATATCATTGTCCAACATGGCAAAGTTAACAAAACAAACTCTACATACCGCAGAATAGTTTCTGGAAGCTTATATAAACACAAACAAAAGCTTTTTTACGTAAATGCGTAAACTCAGTCCAAGCGTTTGCTAATACTTATACCAAGCAAATTATCATAAATTATTTGCTCATTATCGCAAACCTTTCGACTAAAAATAATTTCCAGTTAACGGTTTTAATAGCAGCTTGGAAAGAACTGAAAAAGGACAGATTTTTATTCAAGGGTTTTGATAAATACGAATTGTTAACAAATTTGATTAATTGGCGCTTAAGGTCCAGTGGTGTTTTTGTTTTGTTTTTACTGTAAATGTATAAGCCTAAAAACAGAGTTTCGTCTCACTGCTATGGAGATACTAGTTGTTTTCGTAAAGTGCTATTATTTTTAATACATCAGTTTTGAGAAGAACTTTAAAGTTTGAAGTAATGGATTCGACGACCAATGCTCGTCTCATAGTTTATCGTTTGTTTAGTCCACTCGCTCCCATACATCCTCCACCCGCCAGATGGCGCCAACTTTAACGCTTACATCGTTTAATATTTGAATAAACCAGAGCACCAGAACAGTCTAATACTCCACTTCAAAATACTTCAAAACTTATGCGCTAATTGGAAAACTATAATTATTATGTCAAATTAAAAAATTCTTACCAATAAATTTTAGAAAATTTTATTGATTATAGGTTTTAATTGTCCCGTAATTTAAAATTTTTACCAATAAATTTTAGAAAATTTTATTGATTATAGGTTTTAATTGTCCCGTAATTTTGGTCAATATTTAGACGACTTACCTCCCTTTTTTGCCTTGACAATTATCGCTCCATACCATGGTGTTAAAGCGCCAACTGAAGCCTTTTTTAATAGAAATTGTCCATTCATATTTTTTTAAGTACATAAACCAGTCACTTTAAACCACTTTCTTTCATTACTTTCCGACTTATTCTTGGCGCTCCGTCAATTCAGCACACCCCACATACCCACAAATAATGATAGGTCTATTTATACATAGTAATTTTAATGAAATTATATTGAAACGTATGCATAGTGATCATTTACTCCAGGGAGCAGATACAATCAAAAATCCATCTGTGCAGAGATAACAAACAGCTTTCTCTGGATTTGCAATTTGTGGCAGCGCGTATTGTCTTGTTAAAGATGCTTGTTTCTGGGAATTGTTCACGAGTTGTTGGCTGCATGCCGTCATTTCAACCGATCTTTGCGTTATGGTGCATGTAATATCTTCCGAGCGAAATCCTTTTGCATTAATGATTATCTGTAACACAAATACTTAGTACAGTGGATAAATGACCCAAATGATAAGATAAAGTCAAAATGCCGAGTTACGAAAAGATGATAGGTTTAATAAAATAGAAGTGCATTTCGATGCAGATCGCGTACTTCAAATTTATCGGGGTAAAAGGATACATTATCCATATTAAAAACACCGTTTTATGGATTAACAAAATAATATAGTAAATGGTCGTGTTTAAAAATTTAAACAATGTTTCTTGCTTTAACAAAAAACAAATCTAAATATGAAGCGGTTCCTATTTGAAGTATGCACCGGAGATTTTGACGACCCATCGCTTTGAAATTTTAAAACTGGCGCACTAATTGTTGACATTTAGCACTGACCAGAAAAGTTTGGAATTCTGTTTTCTATGATAAGAAGAAAGTCAATATTACTTGTTTGTTATTTCATTATTTACTTGAATAAAGAAAGGTTATTTTAAAGCTTTATTCTTAAACCACATGCGTACACGCGTTGACATTCTATATGTTGCGTCATCTGTTTTTGCCGTCTGGTTGTTGCATTCTTCCTTTCAGATTCCTGGGCAATCTCTCCGACCACAAAAACACACAAATTACCTTTCAATTATGGCATTAAAAGATATAACAAATGCATAAAACTTGTTTTGACAAGAATAAGGCTCTAATGTGCAGAAACAAACTAGATGTAACTTTACTAATAATCTTGCAAAATACCCGATTTGTGCTTAAAACTTTGTGGAAGAGAAGTTTATAATGGCTGAATGATTTCAGGGAACGAGCCCAACAAAAAATTGAGTTATGGTCCCAAGAAAAAAGAAGAAAAAAATCTGTTCTTTGAGAAATTAACATCAATCTGTTAAAAAAGTTATCGTATAAAATATGGATACAGTATAGAGGCATAAACCCTATATTTCTACTTAGAAGTAAAATTGAATTTTTGTTTGAAAGGAAATTTTGTTAATATTTGTCTTCAAAATGTTGCAAGGTACCTACCACCTCACCTATCGAATAAGAAGCTGGTAATTGATAATGTTTAAGATATTTTTTTTTAGAAAAGAAGACAATTATATTGAGACGTGGCAGAATTTCGCAAAAAATTAAAAACAACCTGCAACCGTTGCTGCAGAACACAAAAAAGCAAATCGCTCAAGATGCTTACTATCAAAATAATCCAATAGGCTCAAGCCCTCTAATAGGACAAAATCAGAAAACAACTGTTCATGAACGTCTAGGCCTTAAACAAATACGAATGAAACGAATCCCTTTTATAGGAACAAACTCATCTACAATTCCACCCAAAAAAAGAATTTTCAAACAGCATCCAAACCACATAAGGAACTTTAATAATTCCAAATTTCAGAGGATTTATTCTGCACAAGCAAGGCTTGATCGAATACGTCAGAAACACAAACCTCTTAGACTTCACAGATTTCAAAATACTAGAAAACACCGAGCTGCAAATCTAACTGTACAAGTAAAAAATCCAAACTATGTGGGAAGTGGAATTCAAAATAGGGGAGCAGCTTCTAGTGCTGTTGGACGATTCAAAATGATATTAAATCCTGTATTGCAATCGGAGATTTTGCACTTGAAAAATAACGAAACTAAAATGGGAGATGTAATCATTTATAATTGGCGTCCTACTCCAGTTACCACCATTTTCAGCACACATGAACGTTTCTCAAACTATTAAATTTTGTTTATGTTTAGTTTTATATAGTTTTGGTTTAGTTTTGGCCACCATTGCATGTTTGATTTATAGACGCAGCACACAAAGTAGTATGTTTAAAGATCTATTATTTTCACATTGCAAATAAAATAAAACAAATAGCATTGCATATATTCTAGTTTCACAAAAAAATGCTTTAAGGATAATAAGCCCTTAAATTATTGAATAAGCCTTGTAAGGTTAATTTTGGTAAGTTCTTTTAGTGGATTGTGCTGTTACTTATGGTATCCAAGAGATGTATGTTTGACTTGCATTATTTAAACCACTTTATGAAAGTTTTAAAGTGTCAAAAATCGCATTGGTGGTCAAAGCCCTAGATGTTACTTTATATTTGAAATTAAATATATTTTGGATTTTGATTACACTGGTGTTAATCCTCTTTTTTTATTATTATTCATATTATTACATTATATAATCTGCAACAGGTGATGTATAATTTGTTTTTTCTACTCCTACCCAAAAATTAATGGTCATAGAAAAACTACAGTATGGACCCGAGGGAAGCGCAGCGAAACAAGAGACAAATGCCGTTTAACAAATGTCTTGTATACGACTGTTAGTTTCGGGGTACATTTTTGCAGAAATTACACGAATACGTTCACTGCCAGACCGTCATGCGGTAAAATTTCCGAATTGGCTCGGATCCATGGGAAACAAAACTCCCCTGGCAAAGTGACGCTACCCGCACGCTAGATCGGTGAATAATTAGGTACTTTACAAAAAGGACTAGAAAAAACTTTTTAAGTCACTCGCTCTGCTCGCCATTAAAATGCCGTTTGCCAAACTTATTGCATAATACAATATTTGGTAATCAAAAACTTTGAGAAATGTGGTGCCTTTTCATGTATTTTTGCATTATTGTTGGAGACACAGGAAACACTATAGAGTTGCATCTATGATTCTCGCGTTCAGCATGTCCCTTGTGTATTTTTTTTTTAAATATTGAGTGGCACATCAATAGTATATTATGGAAGAAGTGTGGTAAACGGCATTTGAATCACGAGTTTATTTGCCACGAGCGGAGCGAGTGTTTAATAAATGAGTGACTTAAAAAAGTTTACCAAACGTATTGCATTCTATACTTTTTCTACGGCCGTTATTTTTTGGGTACATTTTTTTAAAACATTCAAACATTCATTGATATGACCCTCAGAATTGACAATCGTCAAAATTCAAGTCGAGCGGTAAAATCTCCGAAAACTTCCGATTGGTCCCAAACCAGTGCGGTAATATCCCGTAATATTAATATTAAGATTTGTCAATTTTAATTGTGGTATTAACAATTAGAAAACATAAATGGCATTATAATCGATGCAGTTAGCAATATATTCCATTCAAACAAAAGCAAGTTCCTTGAAGAAAATTTTCATAACAAAGGAGTCACAGTAGCAAGAAAACGACTCCGACTTGAAACCGATCGAAATTGACCAGTACTCCCGCGTATAAAATCTTGGGCTCAGTGGGATTCCCTTGTTGTGAACGATAGGCTTCTAAAAGGTTTGCGGAAAAACTCAGAAGGTAACCAAGGAGTACAGTTTCTGGACCTCAGAAACGTAACAAGGCCCACAAAACGTCAAAATATTGTAGTAGTACAGTGTCCAACACTGATAAATTTGTCCGGTTACCCATTTATTACGCACTCGCTTACACGGAGTGACTTGTTGAATTCCACCGTCGCGTTAGACGAAACCAAACGATTTTGGTTATCAAAACGTAACAATAATGTAATTATTATCGGAAGTTATTTTAGTCGGACTAAAAATCACAGTAACATCTAAATACCTAATCGAAGGTTTTTACCAATACCGGTACCCCTGCTGACGTCCTTGCTCATTCATTCATTACTTGCTCATAGTCATATGTTCGAACCCGGATTATTGGAAGAACTTCATTAGATTCAAATTACTTAAATTTTGTCAATAAGGTACTACCATTAATATTTAATAACTTTATAAATACTTGCCTCACAGGCAAGTACTTATAACAGTCGTTTTAAAACCGTTCGGGTTGCATCTGAAAAGAAAACGTGTAAAATAAATAACATGTATAGTTTAAAAGTTTTATTGATTTTAGTGTTAGTAGCATCGGGTAAGTTTAACTGAATCATTAAATATCCACTGGAGCTGAACACTCTTTTTCTGTTCTATTTTCATCACCATGGTTCTATGAAATTGACGGTATATCTATCATTTAATGTGTGAATGTAGACCTTCTCCTGTTACTGACTAATTATTTTGTTCAATTGAAATCGAATTTGAAAATGACATTTGATTGTATTGGTTGTTTTTAGTTGCAGGTTGGAGGCTTATCGATATAAAATGTAATCCGGATTTTTTAATTTTTATAATAAAAAATACTTCATAATATTTTTTAATAAGTAAATTAAAGCAAAACTGCAAACTTACCAATTATTTCTATTTATATAAAAGGGATTTTAAAAAGAAATTAGTCGAATTCAACTCTTGGAAGTAGGTTTAATGTGTATAAACGTTAACACGGAAGAGAATCTATCATGAGTCTGTGTCCATTAGAAGAATACTCAATAATAATGTTGCATTTTTAATTTGTTTTTTATCAAACCTGATTACAGATTTAAATCCAAATACCTAAACATGATGTTCTTTAATTCTGATTAAACTACATGCATTTAAAACTGGAAGACACAATGGAGAGCACAATAATAATATTGGAAATGTTTCATTTAATATTCGTAGTCAAAGACTATTATTCAACAATCAATCAACAGCTCAATATTTCAAAACATCGATAGTTATTGTAATGAATCAATTTAAATCGCAAATATCCAGTTCCTCTTGGATATATTTTCTAAACAAAACTTCTATATAAGAATAGAATCCTTTTTTTCGTAACGGCTTAAACATTACAATCTTCAAAAAGAAAGTATAAAAATCAAAAAAGATGCAAATATTGAGTTCCAGCATGCAGACGTTAAAGTGGAGTGGATTTGGATCTACTGCTTTTGGGTTATAATCCCAACATATTATATTAAATCGAACACTGGATTTTTCTAGACCATTAAAGTTCATTATTTTTATTTTATTTTTTTCTTTTCAATGATGTATCACAATCTCTACTTTCTATTGTGCTAAATGAAAAATATACACCGTTTCTATATAAACACATGTATCAGAAGCTGTTGTCATCTTTTTAATGTCATAAAAGACTATCAATATGGTGTGAAACCTGGTTCGACACTTATGATACCCCGGAAAAGGGTTGGGTTGACTCAACTGATAAGCGTAAAACAAACGTGCCATCAAAAAGAGGTAAAAGAATAACTATTTTGCATGCTGGCTCTAAAGATGGTTGGATTCCAGATGGACTTTCTCTGTCTGCGAAAAATATTAAAGATTCTTCTCTGGATTACCATGAAGACACCACCATTGTTTTATTTGAAAGTTGGTTTAAAAACAAACTAGTTCCAAACATTCCTCCTAATAGTGTGATTGTAATGGACAATGCAAGTTATCACAGTAGACAGTTGACTAAAACCCCTTCCTCATGTGACACAAAAGCAACAATCCAAAACTACATGTATAATATCGACATTTATTTTCACCAGGATTATACCAAAAAGCAATTAATTGAGGTTCTACAAAGCTTGAATCCACAAAAGGAATACATCAGTTTTAAGACTTTACCACTGTATATTTAATCCCATTGAACATGTTTCGCACAACAAAACCCCAAATAATTAAATTCTCAGCAAAGTACGGACGTGTTCGGCCATATTTCATTCTTACAGCTTCTCCGGGTATTTCCTTAATTCGTATCAGTTACTCACTTTCTTATATCTATGAACAGACTTTACCCTGTAAATTATGTTTATCTTAAAATCACCCTATAACTTCCAAAATTTGTGACAAAACTCTCCGTCTGTAAAATACCTAATTACGCACCGATCTAGCGTGCGGAAAGCGTCGCTTTACTACGTCAGTTTCGTTTCCTGCGAATCCGAACCACTTCGGACTATTCCGGAATTTTACCGCACGGGTTTGGGAGCAATCGGATGATTTCGGAGATATTTCCTACGCTTTGAATTTTGACGTTTGTCAATTCTGACAGTCATGTCAGTGAATGTATTCGTGTTTTGCGAAAATGTACCCAAAAACTAACAGTCGTTTAAAAAGTATAGTATACAACACGTTCGGTAAACTTCGGCACTTGTTGCATAATATACTATTTCTAATTTTGGCATTTAAAATGGCAGTTTTCAAATCTCGTTATAAAATGTCTTACTTTTCATAACCAGCTGCAAAAATTAAAACGGAACTGGTGATGAAATAGTATATTATGCAACAAGTACGGTAAACGGCATTTGACTCACGAGTTTATTTGATACGAGCGTTTAATAAACGAGTGAGTTAAAAAAATTACCGAACGTGTTAATTATGTGATAGAATATGCTGATGAAATGCTAGCTTCAGTATTCCCAGTATCTGCGACGCGACGCTTGCATAAAAACTTTATATATATAACAACTTTGTACTTTGCGTTCAGTTCTCCTTGTAACGGGTTAAATAAAACCTCGTAGTTCTGTTTGTAAAACAAAAAAAGTGTTTTTTAAAAACGAGATCCTTCGTTCGAAAACCTTAACTGGCGCAGTCGTGACGGATTTGGGGTAGTTTTCGGTCAAAGCCACGTCATCGGGACGATTTGATCGCGAAACGTGGGTTTCAACCCTTAGACTCCAAAACGAACCAGTGATAGACTGTCTGACAAACCCAACGTGATTGAGTTCGACTGAGGGCAAGGAAGGCAAGAAATCACCCCCGCAAGCAGTGCTACGCAAGGAAAATTCCAATAGGAAGAATAGGCTGACGACTAAGAGAAATCAAGGTTAGTGCCCAAAATTCCTATTGTTCTCCTTTCATCTTCCCTGGTTAGGACGGTGGAAATAATTTTAGGATTCTTAGTTTTAAGTTCAATTTTAAGAAATTTCAAAATCAATTAAATTTATGAACGAAGATAAAGACGTCGACAATTTAAGTGCGTTTTTTACTTCGTTAAATTTAGTGGAAAAGAAAGTAGAGAATAGTCAAATCAATTTGAAAATGAATTCTAATCAATCGTCGAATTCAGGTGTAAATTACACTTTGTTAAAAATGTTTATAGACAGTATTCTACCATATAATGGTGATTCCAACACTTTAAATAGTTTTCTATCAGCTGGAGATTTCCTTTTTGATACATATGGTCAAGGAAACGACGAAATTTTAAAACAATATTTGTTAAGAACTATACGAATGAAACTTGTTGATAGCGCACAAATTCTAGTAGGCTGTAGAATAGAGTTAGTAACGTGGGACAATATTAAAGTAGCTTTGTTAAATTGTTTTGGCGATAGACGAAATTTAGAATGTTTAGAACAGGATTTGTTTATGGCCACCCCCTTTAAAAATGAACATCCTTTAGATTTTGGGAAA